CCAAGACCCTAGCCAGTCATTTGAACCTGTGTCTAAGACCTCCTGATTAGTTAGTGGTGACACCCCATATGTGAACTCTAGCATTTAGAGGCTGCCATCATGGTGAAGAGATGTTAGGGATTGAGAGAAATAACATGCGCATTTTTCGCATCAAATTGTCCTGACCCTACTGGTCGAGAGTGAGTGATTCATTTTTCATATTCTATATACTCTTGTACCCCGGTGAGGACCTAGATTGCTCGGTCTCTATTATGATGTCTTGAGTTGGATGCATGAGTTGACTGTTTTGAGTAAGTGGTTGAGTCAAGTCTAGGTTGGTTGGTGAACAGAAGGGAGACTCTTCCTTTACTCGATTTTGCTGCACTCGAATGTCCTTTAGGGTGGTTGTCCAGGTTGCTATTGAAGTTGGTCAGGTATTGATGTTCGAAAACCAGTACGATTCACGTGTTTTGTGCCTTTATGACTAGTCCCCAATGTTGGTTGATTGAAATATGTAAGCTTACCTTGTGTCTGACTTGGTTTGCTTGGGGACAAGCAAACGGTTAAGTGTGGGGGAGTTTGATAGACCGTTAATTACACATGTTTTCACCCCTGTTCTTACACCGTTTGAGATGTGGTTTCTCGTGTTTTAGGCCGATTTCACGCTAGGTTGTGTTTGTTTGTGATATTTCAGGTCCTAGTACGTGAATGGAGGCTTGGGAGCGAGTTTGGGGTCGATTGGACGAAGATCGGGCGCGAGACAAGGCAAAAAGAAAGCCACACGGGCACACCCACAACTCACACGGCCGTGCAAGTGACCTATTTGGCCGTGTGAGATTGTGCGAGAGCAAACACGGCTTGCCCTGATGTTCACACGGCCGTGTGAAGGAGTGGTTTGGCCGTGCGAGTTTCACCGAGAGCAAACACGGGCAGATGGAAATCTCACACGGCCGTGCGACCCTGGCCGTGTGAGAAGCCTGAAGATCGAACTAATTGGAACGCAGCGTTTTGACTCACACGGGCAACTGGGTATGCCACACGGCCGTGTGGCCCAGCCCGTGTGAGTCGGGATTTCCTGGTTTTAACCCAATTTCGGGCTGCAAGAGAGAAAATCGGACTTTTTGAGCAAAAACAGAGCCCTAGAGAGAGAAAGGACGAAGAACACATCCTAGAAGCTATCTTGGAGCTGGGTTTCATCAAATCAAGCTTGGAGATCGTCATAGGAGTGGAAATCATCATCCCAGAGTAGATTCTTCCCATAATTATGAGTATGACTGCTTTGTATCTTGTTTTCCTCTCTCTCTCTATGGAGTAGAACCCCTCTCTCACTTGGGGATGAAGAACCCTAGTTCTATGTGTTAGGGATTGATTGTAATGACTTGGGATGATATTACTGTTTGATTTTAATCGAATGATGCATGTTTATTGAGTCAATTGAAGTCTGATCAACTTTTCCTGATTCCTGCTGCAATATGAGATAGATAGAATCTGATTAGGTTGCTAGAGTCTCATCATTCGATAGTAGGAGATTGGCTATACGAGAGTTAGCCAGTTTACTGCTTTGTACTGGAATCCAATTCCAGTAGTGGAGTTCTGTTCTTACTGCTTCAGCTTTCTATCCCGGTGAAGACTAGTCGTCTGCCGGGTAGTTAGACTGAGAGGGCTTGGTCAGCTTAAGAGATTCCAAGCTACTGTCGGATCTTCCGCAGTCTAATCAACAGTAAATCAACCCAGGGAAATACAATTGAAACCTAACTAAGGAGCTAGGGGGACTCATTCCCGAGTGACTCTTACCTGCTTGAGAAAACCGTATAAATTCCTGCTTTCTTTCTGCTTTTGCTTTTAAACAACAATCACTTACTTTAGTTGGCTAGATAATAGAGAATCACTGAGTAAGCAGTAGACCTAGACCCCGGGTTGATAATATAACTTGCCTGTTACTGCATTCCCGGTCTGCGATTACACTTGGTCGCAGATTGGTGTTGTGTTTTGGCGTGTCAGCTGGCGGAGGAAAGATGAGGGTGAGAGGGAGATGGGTCGGCCACCCCTTCTTTTCCTTCTTCCTTTGCTCGACCAGAGCGTTTGGCGGAGATTTTGGTGCCAAAAAGTCGGCAAGAAGAATCCCGTTTCGTCAAAACGATTGACTTCTACGAACAAGTTCTAGCAGCACGGTCGTGTTAAGGCCTGTGTTCTAGCATGTTCCTCATTCTTCAACGATTTAATTATTTCCAATCGCCTTCCAACTTCTCGGTTGAACCTTGGTCGAACCTAAACCCGAAAAAAAGGGGTCTTGCAAGTTCATTAAACGTTCGATCATCTATTTCAATTAAAGCTTCTTCCATTAAACTCATAGATTTTTGGAGATCGTTCGCTAAGTGGCTAGTACTATCATTAGGCATTCTCTTAGCTGGGTTCGATATGTATTTGATCATTTTTTTCTAGCTGCATTTTAAAAATAATTTATTCTGAAACCTTTTGTTTTAATTTTTTTTTCATTTCCCCTGGCATCTACCAGTTGATTTATGATGGTTTGAACTTCATCTCTTAACCTTTGTCTGTCAGATTCAGACATTTCATAGTCAGTTTTATTAAATCTTTCGACCAAGGTTTGAATCTAGGCATATAGATGAGCAAGATCAGTCAAACTAGACTTACAATTTGAGTTGGAAGACTCATCTTTAAATATCATGATGTCCTTTGATAAAAACTGGTAATTCAAAAACTTTCAAGGACCAAAATGTGAATAAAAAGTATGGGTAGCTGTAGGGGTGGGCAATGGGAAATGGGTATTTGGGTATACATGTACCCGTCCAGTTTTTTTAGGGTTATGGGTATCCAAATAAGTGTAATTTCTTTTACAGGATAGGACTTGAGATCAAGAATCACTACTTTGGGTACCCGCGGCCCGCGGATTACCCGTTAATACTCGTTTGGGTATTATGGGTGCCTGTTATACCCATTAGTCCAAAACCCACTCCAACCCCACGACACAAGCAAGTAGAAGCTATGTAACATAATGTGACAATTTAGTCAACAATCCAATAAATTGCACCACACCTTCTTTATGAGTTCATATATACTTTGTTGGGCGGAGATCGCATAAATTGTCTTAGCCATTAGTATTATATCGTACTCATCAACAGGATTCTTTCTTGAACTACTGTATGTGTCCTTTACATCGTTGTGTTTGTGAGGAAGTCACTGATGGACTTGGCTCAAGTCACCAGCAAAGTATCTTACTTCAGTTTCAACAATAGAGAACATGACACCAAGAGGAAACATGATGAATGAATCTAGTTTCGTGAAGAACATGTGGTCAATGTGGTCATGTCTATTACATGGTCGCAATGACTCGGTGGCACCAGTGTGAAGACAGGATCCATGTTATCTAGGGCTTGGATTGGACAGGTATTTACGGATAGTATGGGTACCTGTTATTCATCACGTACAGGTAATAGTTACACGTTAATTCGTATGGGTTTGGGTCTTTGGGAAATGGGATGGAGATTGCTCTCCAAATGGGATTGGGTATCCGTTTCAAATAGGACATGTATCATGTCCTGTCCCGTTGTCCACCCCTAAGTAGTTGAGAAGTGGTTGATTGAGCCAGAATTCTGGCCACGTCACTGATATTTTGATTAAATCACTCGAAATGTTTGTCAGTGGCTAGATTTGGAAATAAGATGAGAAGGTGGCTATATAAGTAAATAGTTTAACTTTAGTGATTATTTTTTCAAATGCTCCTAAAAAGTAAATACTGCCACCTCATTTTCCTCCCAAATTTGCCTAACCTTTCCTCTTTGCCTTCCAAATTTGCAAATTTGGGTGGGGTTCTCTGGTGGGTCGGAGGAGAAATTTCATTTCACCCTTCCAAGTACCCATTTATGCCTAATGTGTTGGAGTTGGTCTAATATAGTATTGTTGAGTTGATTTACCAAATTATATGGTCCAAGGTTTGTATATCGATTTAGCAAAATATACGAGGAAGTGGGAAGCAGTTAAAATCAAATGAATTGTGCATTTATATATCCATGTTAAGTACCTATAATATTCATCCATATTAAAATAAAAGGTAATGTCTATTTTTTTATCCAAATTTTTTTCAAATTCTTTTATATTATTCAAACCTATTAAAAATAAAATGCTATTAATTAGTCAAATCTTTTGTAATGCATCAAAATATTAGCCATTTTTACGTTATCGTTAATATTTTTGTAACTCTTTCTTAGTTAAAATACTAAAAAATTTCAATATTGACATTTATGTGTCTCTTCCAAATTAGTATCATGTTGGCAAGTCAATGTTACTAACAAAATTACTAACTGAAAAGTTAATATTTGGCTAATTCTTAGTATTTCAATAGGTTTGGATAATATAAAAGAATTTGAAAAAGGTTTAGATAAAAAATAGACATTGCCCTAAAATAAAATACAATGTAACAAACAAAATGACAAATTATCATATTTAAAAACAATAGTCAACATTCTGTTGTTAATGCTTGAAACAAATAGATAAGATTAACAACTTAATGTTCATATTTAAATTCGACAAAAAAATTTCTTTTTGTTAATTCCACCAAAACGATGTCATTTTTTAGAAACAAAAAATTGATTGTATCAGTGGATCACTTTTTCTCGATTTTGACCACCTTTATCGTTTTGACTATCGGCTTATACTGGTGGTCTTCCACGCAGATTTTTTCCAACACCAGTATCTGGTTATACCAGCTGGCATACCAGCAGTTTGGCAACCATACTTAACATACATTAACAACATAGTTTTTGTTAATCGAGAAATGTCAAGAGAGAAACAACCATGGGGCACCCTTTTAGCGTCCCATTTTCTATCTAAAAAAAGAGAAACGCACAAACCATGATCAACTAAACGATGGGGGAAACAAATTAGTGTCTAAATTGAATTAAAAGTCCACCATTAAGTAGCTTCAATGCCTTCCAAATCACAAAGGAGCTTTTTTTTTTTTGATTGATTGGAGGCGCAAGCCAAGAAAAAGAAGAAAGGGGTTACAGGTGAGTCTGGGGAGTTTGGACGACACTCCGAGGTAAAACAACACCTCTCTCGTCGTCCTGCAATATGGGTCTCAAGGGGGCCGGCGGGTCAACCAGTTCATACATACCATGGGGATAGACGAGACCGTGCTTCGAGAGCCAGTCCGCGACTCTATTCCCTTCACGGTAAGTATGAACTATGTTGACCAACCAGTCCTGCGCCACCAACCTGCGAATAGATCTCAGAAGAGAGGCCAAAGGGTGGACATGATCCACTCGATGCTGAATCAAATCAATAGCTAGCCGGGAATCGGACTCAACAATTAGGAGTCTGAGATCTCTCCTCCAAGCCATCTCGAGTCCTTGCTTGATTGCCCACAACTCGGCGCAGGCCGCCGAGCAGTCCCCAATGGAATAGCAGAAACCACCCAACCACCGCCGTTGATCATCTCTGAAGACTCCTCCTGCTGCGGCTTTCCCAGGGTTCCCTTGGGAGGCCCCGTCAACGTTAAGCTTACACCAGCCTCTAGGTGGCGCCACCCATCCTATATCGGTCACGACACGATTCGACTTAAAACTTCCTCGAAGCAACAAAGGAGAGGGAGCCATCCATGCCGAATGCCAGATGTGAACCTTGAGATGGATAGCATGCCGCAAAGAAGGGGGAGAAAGTAACTTATTACCACCACTGAAAGCGCCCTCGTTCCTGTTCTTCCAAATCGTCCACAGGGCAATGCTGAAGCTTGATGCCCACGGGACTCCGTTCCTGTCCGCCTCCGTGTTGAGAATGTTCGTGCTGACCCAGTGATCGAGGTCTGCTGACAGAAAATCTACCAAACTGTTTGTCGGCACCTCTCGTGTCCAGAAGAAGAGGGAAGTAGGACAGTCCCTCAGAATGTGTAGCTCAGTCTCCGGCACGTTATTGCAGTTTGGGCAGAACGGATCAGGAGCAATGTGTCTGTCAAACCGTCTTTTGTTGGTAGTGATGCGATGAAGCAGAACCAACCAGATGAAATGTCTAACGCGCTCTGGGACTTGAAGATTCCACACCGCTTTCCACACCTTCTGGTCTGTAGGCTGGGGTGCAGGAAAAGCAATCTGGTAAGCTGACTTTGCCGTGAAATCCCCGGTAGAGGTGGGCTGCCAACAGAGTCTATCCTCCTCCGCAGAGATTATATCTGTAGCAATTGCTGTGACCTTGTCCATGGCATAAGAAGGCAGCCATTGTTGGAGAAGATCCACGCGCCACTGACCTGTCTCACTAATGTAAGCTGCTACTGGTTTGTGAACCTCATCCTCCGGGATTGGCACCACTGTGATTTCCTTCAAGGGTACCTGCATAGCCCAAATGTCAGTCCAAAACTTAGTGTTCTTTCCATTCGAAATGTTCCAAGCGCATCCTTTCCTCAGAATAGGAGTAGCTTTGGAAATGCTTTTCCAAGTAAAGGAACTTCCCTGATTGGCTTCGAGGAGAGAAATTCCTTCTCTGTTCTGCCCATACTTCCCTCGCACGACCTGAGTCCAAAGCGTGTCTTTCTCTTGCAGCACCCTCCATCCACTTTTTGCCAAGAGCGCAAGATTGGAGTGACGCAGGGAGCGGAGACCAGCTCCTCCATTCTCCTTTGGCTCGAGAAGCTTCTTCCATCCCACAAGGTGGGATTGTTTCTTGTCCACCGTGTCTCCCCAAATGAAGCTCCTGTTGATCTTGTCAATATCCTTGCAAACTGAGGCAGGGAGCATCTCTGTCTGCATGGAATAAACAGGAATGGAGGTAGAAACTGAACGCACAACAGTCAACCGAGCAGCGAGGGAGAGTTTCTTAGCTTTCCAGGAGGATAACTTCTTCTGGATTTTCAGAACCAGCTCCCTGTACCGGTCCTTGGTGACTCTGGAATTAATGGCCATGACTCCCAAGTATCTCCCGAGATCCGAGGTAAGAGGAATCCCTGCGCGGTTGCTGTAGGCGGCAGCCGTATCTCTCGGCACATTTGGCGAGACAAAAATCAAGGATTTCTGGAGGTTCACTCGTTGCCCGGAGCTAATACAGAAATCCTCCAAACACTTCTTGATCGTCGTTATCTGGCCAAGTCCCGCCTCTGCAAAAAGCATCAGATCATCTGCAAAAAAGAGATGGGAGAGTTTCGGGCCACCAGGTGAAAGCGTCAGAGGTTTCCAGTGCTTCTCCTCAATGGCCAGGTCAATCTTGTGAGAAAGGCGTTCCATGCATAAAACAAAAAGGTACGGGGAAAGGGGGTCTCCCTGTCGGACGCCTCTACTGGGAGTGATCGTGCCTGAGAGCTCGCCATTCCAGGAGATGCGCATCTTGTTCTTTTCAACACAGAACATGATGCAGTTAATCCAAGAGCTGGGGAGTCCGATCTCCATCAAAGTATCTCGGAGGAAGTCCCATCGGAGTCTATCGTAAGCCTTCTCCAGGTCAATCTTGATCACCACCCCTCCTTTTCTCCCTTTTCGCTTCCGGAGAGAATGCAGAATCTCTTGAACCACAATGATGTTGTCCGTCGTTTGCCGCCTCGGGATGAAGCTGCTTTGCCTTGGAGAAATCCACTTTCGCATAAGAGGCTTGAGACGTTGAGTCATAGCCTTGGTAATGGTCTTCAGGCTCACATTGTTGAGCGATATCGGCCTCAGTTGGGTCACCATCTCCGGCCTGTCGACTTTGGGTATGAGGACCAATGTAGACTCCGTGATTGGCTCTGCAAGCTGCCCTGTAGAAAAAAACTCCAAAGCCATATTAACCAAAGCCTTACCCACCGTTGCCCAGTTATTCTGATAGAATAGCGCATGAAAACCGTCCGGGCCAGGAGCTTGCAAGGGCTTCATCTCCATGATCGCCTGAAAAATATCTGCCGCCGTAAAGGGACGAAGGAGACAGAGCATCTCCTGCTGGGAGACCCTTGGAAAACGATTCCTAGGCAGAAGGTCAACGTACGGGGAAGAGTCCTGCAAAAACAGAAGCTGATAGAAGTCGAAAACATGCTTTGCAAGGGCTGCCGGATCCTGGATCCACTCCCCATTAACATCTTTAAGCATTTGAATTTTGTTTCTTCGTCGGCGGATGCTTGCTTGTTGATGGAAGTAGCATGTGTTCCGATCGCCAAATTTCACCCAATGTTCTCTCGATCTTTGGTACCAGATCAGCTCCTCCTGCTCCATGACTTTATCGAGCTCCTTTTCAAGTTTAGTGAGTAGTTTAGCTAGACCGGGTTCGAACGCAGCAGCAAGGCGATGCTGGATGCCTTTAATTCTATTCAGAAGCCTTCGTTTTTTATGAAACAGATTGCCCACTGAGTTCTAGCTCCACTCCTTGAGGTGATCTGCAAAGGCTTGCAATGCTGTGTGCAACGGGCTGCCGTCATCCCAAGTACCTGTCAGAAACGAGGCAAAATCATCGTGAGCTAACCAAGAGGCCTCAAAGCGAAAAGGGCGAGAAGGAGAGTTGGTGGGGCTTCGCCCCCCAATTGAGGTGAGGATAGGGGAATGATCCGATTGCATACGCGGAAGATGGATCACAGTAGAGTTCGGAAAACACTCATTCCAAGTGCTGTTGCAAAGACTCCTATCAATCCTGCTAGCTTTATAATTGCTCGCAGTGTCTCCTCTTGACCAGGTGAAACGAGGACCTGAAAAACCCAAATCAATAAGGTTAGCCTGATCGATGAAATTGTTAAAGATTCGGCAGCGACGAGCCGTGCTAGTCGTGGCGAGTCCCGACTTCTCATTCAAGGATCTGAAGGCATTAAAATCCCCAGTTAACAACCACGGCAGAGAGATCGTGGAGCTGAAGGTAATGAGGGAATTCCACAGACTCGGCTGCAGCTGATAATTAGGAGAAGCATAGATTGCGGTAAGCAGGAAACTCGAGAGATTGGCGGAAGTAATCTTAGCCGTGAGATGCTGAAAGCAAGCAGAGGTGATCTCCACGTCAAAAGCTTTCTTGTCCCAGCACAACCAAATTCCACCACTTCTACCGTTCGCATCAACTCGAGCAATGTCCGGGTATCCAAGCTTCTCGCAGACCAGGTCGGCAGTCGTGCCACTAATTTGGGGCTCCAGAAGAATGAGGATGTCTGGCTTGTGCTGATTGGTAAGAAGCTTCAGTGCTCGAAGAAAAGCCCTGCTGCCTGCACCGCCCACATTCCAGGACATGATATTAAAATTGGGTGTATCAACCATAACAAAAAAACAGCAAAGAAAGCGAGGGAAGGAGAAGGAGAAAAGAGAGGCGGTCAGGGATCCTTCGCTAGAGTGTTGCTATCCGAGCTGGGCATCCGCGTAGCGCCGGTCGGAGCGGTGGTCTCCGTCGGGACTTTTTCGTGGGCCGTTGATTGGCTCCTCGTAGTCAAGCTCCAGGCTTCAATTTCTTGGAGGGTTAAAGAGACAAGTTTGTCTCGTGGTTTATTGTTCTTGTCTTTCTTGGGTGACCAAATCTGCAAAGCCTTGGTCGTCGTTGCCACCGAGATCCCCTGCTTGGTTTGACCAGATGGGTTCCTCTTCTTTTTGATGCGCAGACTGGAAAGGGGTGCATCAGGGTCAAATTTCCGCTGGGGAGGGGGCTCAGGGCAAGGGACGTCAACAATAGTAACTGATTTTCCATCCGGCCCGTAAACTGTTCGGGTCTTGATTCCTTCTAGGCTTGGCCCGCTTCCGGAAGCTTTGTTTGTTTTGGTGGGCATCTCACTTTGTGCATAAGAGGATGAAGGATCCAAAGAGAGGAGTCCAGCAGAAGCTTGTGGGCCAGGCCCCAAAAGGCCTTTTTCATTTAATTGGCGTGAAGGGGATGGGGAGTTCTGACTTGGGCTAGCCGTTGGAGCTGGGGCTGGCGTGCTCATCGTAGCCTTCTTTTTCTTCTCTGTTTTTTCCATATTTGGCATTCCGATTGAAGAGGTTTCCGTGTGATTAAAGGCCCTTCGTCGCCAATAAATCACAAAGGAGCTTGTGAGCGATTTTTTAAACAGTATATAGGGCAATTAAAGGCCCTTCGTCGCCAATTAATGAGAGTTTAAATGATGATATGAACACTTGTAAGGCTGTACCCATTCCGGACCTGCCTCGTTGTCATTCCTACATGTAACTAAACCAGTCAAAATAAGGTGGCCGTGGACCAAAGACCGCCATAATGAGGTATATGAAGAATGATAGGAACATCATAGCTTCCTTTCCCAGCTCCCACCCATAAAATGAAACATCAAGCTTCCTTGCGGAAGTCAGGAAGAAACCGTATGCTGAGAATTTAGTTGAAGAATGAAATGCAGACAGAGAGCTTCTGCGCACCATAGTTATGCAGCGCAAAACAAAACTCTCGATCAGCACTGGCTAAGAGCCACAGAATTCATCGTGTTTACGACCCTGCAGCTGCTGAACAACTATGAACGTGTTGCAATTAAGCAGCAGAAAACCAGAGGGCTAACCACAGGGTGCTAAGTGAAGCCAGAGACGAATTGCGAGCAAGAGTTACAAAACTTGGCATTTCTCGCATTACACAATTCACAATTGTAATATGCAAATTGCAACACATTTCATACAGATGCTGCTAGTTGTGACATTCGGTTAAGAATCGAGAAAAAAGAATCCGCGGGAATCACATAAGAAATCTGAATGCCTCAATTCTTTTCTGGAATAAATACCAATAAGTAGTACTGCTTGGCTGACTGGTTTACTGTTTGACATGAAACTTTATATGTACCCAAAGTTAACAATCCACACTTCTGGGATGTGACAAATGCTCGTTCAGCCATGCAGTAAGCAAATAGAGGCACAATTAACAATTACTGAGCGCCCACCAACAGTTTTTTTCTTTTCCTGCGTAACAGCAAAGACATAACATTCCACAGCTGCAAACTGACAATCAACAAATGACCAGAAGTAAAACTAGAAGCAACGAGATTCCTGCTACACTAGTGGAGGATATATCTTTGCTTGCTGGCGAACCCTCTTCTTATACTCAGTAGGGTCCTGCAACAGAACCAACTAGGGTGTAAACACAAAGGAAAGCTAGCACACGACCTAGAGATGGTACAAAGGTTTAACATAAGAAAAATGCTTGGTTTAACTCGAGGGAAAATGCTTAGACCTGAATGAAGAGATGATAGCCTTCAGTTTGTGCAGGGTCAGCAGGGTTAGGGGCGTCCAGCAAATCCTGGATCCCAACTAGAATTTGCTTCACTGTAATAGCTGGTCTCCACCCCTACATTAACACATGTCGGGGGATTTGAGAACAGAGAATTATGTCATAACAGGTATATATATCAAGAAACAAGATGACTGAGCTGCAACATGGACACCGCAACCCAAAGAAACTTACACTGTCCTCATTAAGGATGGACAAACAGACAGTTCCTGATGGGTAAACATTAGGGTGGAAGAAACCTTGAGGAAATTTGCACTTCGGTGGCTTGCTAGGATAATCTTCACTGAAGTTGAGAGTGAGTGGGAAATATCCACCCTCCCAGTCAGTCTACAGTAGGATAAAAAAAAAAGTGAGTCCAAGACCCAACTCAGCTACATCAATATGAAACAATCAAATGCACCTACAACCTAACATAACTAACAGAACACCATACAGACAGAGACCACTAATACAAGCAGCTAAATGTGCAGGACAGAAAAGCGACTTGCCTAGTTTAAAGTTTAAACAAACAGATTAAAAAGAAGAAAAACAATCTTTCACGACTTCGACAGTCCAGCTGCTAAAATTCAAACAATGATGCGACGAAAGTAAATATTGTTTATCTCGTCCATTCAAAACTTCAGTTCAGTTTGTCACTGGTGCAAGTTCCACCAGCAAATACCATTTACCAACCACAAAACAATACACAAAGGGTATAACAACCTGAAGTAAATATCCAATAAGGCCCTCATGAACACAAAGCTTGTATGAAAGAAATTAGAAAATAGCTCTGCTAACTAGTGAAGCAAGTGTCCAATAAGCCGTCAATCATTCTCAAGCAGTATTACCCCCGATCACAAGTAGTCTTATCGACTTTATAATTGAAGTATGTCATGTTACTCCTAGAGACAGTAGCCACTAGCTCAATAAATGAAGAAAGAACCTTAAAACTTAATAGGGCATAGTGTCAAAAGCTATTACATGCCAACAATTACACACAGATTCAGCAGGAAGTTCTGAATCCAATGTTCCAGTTCACCAGAGCAATTCGAAACAAGAACAAGCAGCCCCTGATAGCATGTGGAAGTGGAAGATAGCGCCAATGGAACAAAACACAGTCCAAATTTACAGAGATGATTTGAGAAGCTATTCTAATAAATTAGGCATTTAAACAGAGAAAAAAGACGAAACCGAAACTTACCCCAGCCTTCCCAGGGATAGTGCAATGCCACACCATCAAATTCACAGTTCCGTCCTGCAGAGTTTCTGGCTTCGCAACAAAACCCTAAAAAATTCACAAGCTAAAAGAACTTCAATTCTCATATTGCAATCCACACCATAAAAGTCCAGACACATAACATAAAGTCATTAACCACCCTGGAAGACCGAATCTTCCATTAACCATTCAACATGTTACTGAAAAAAAAATTGAGAACAGCAAGTAGCTTTACGAACATGAGGATGGTTTTTGCGCCAAGACTTCCGCTCCTCCGCCAGACGACCGCGGGCGATACCGCCGGACATTGCTGCTTTTGCCGCTGCTGCTCGGGAACCGGAGAATCTGAGAGGAGGAAGATGAGAGAAACTGCTTTTTCCCTCTCCGCAAGTTAGCCGAGGATCGGAGCGACGGAAAAACAGAAGTGAGAGAAAGGATGCGAAACTGAGTCCACTCCGCGTTTAAATTCCGTTTCATCGCCCAATCAGGTACAGGCGTTACATTCTTGCTATCGTGCACTCGACCAGTCTTCGGGGGAAAGTCAAGCGGTTGTACGGTTCAGATCGTGTTTGGAGGTGGGTCCCACCATTCGTTTTATCTGGTCCGCGTTTATCACTTGGCATTGGGCTTCGGTGCAGCCCAATAGACGAGGTCCCGCCGCCACCAACCAAACGGACAAGCGTTTTCAAGTGATATTTTTTTTTCTAGACTGGCGTGAAATGGACGCTAGGGAATATGGTTAAGGAAAGTAGTGATGGCAATGGGATAGATCGGTTGGGCGGATAGTACATATTCGTTAACCTAATTAAAAAGGTTTGAGTTTTATTCATATTCATACTTACATTAGAAATGGGTGAAAATTTAAAATTATGTTCATATCCGTTCGAGTTTCGAATATTCACGGTTATTAATAGGTAATAATTTCTCTTTATAACTTCCACTAATATGTTAACATTTACTCGTATTCTCACGTTACATAAGAGGAAATGTACGACAATAATGCACTTGAATACAGAAAAATAATTAAAACAACACAATTTCATAAAAATACTATATTTATATGCTTAATACAAAATATGTTGGAGAAAAATAACGATTATTTCTAGACAAAATACTAGGGTTGCAAATGAGCCGAGCTGCTCGCGAGCGTCTAGGCGTTCAACTCGAGAAAAACTTGTTCGAAACTCGACTCGTTTATTAACGGGCCGAGCTTGAGCTAAACCTTCTGCAGTTCGCGGAGCTCGAGAGCTAGCTCGACTCGGTGGTTTGTTGAGCTCAACTCGTGAGCTGGATCGTTTAGAGTTAATGAGATGTCTCGACTCTCAACATTGTGGCAAGAGAGCCAACTCGATTATAGCGCCCTATTTTGGCCGAAGCCTTCTCTCTCCTTTTTTTTCTCTCTGCCTTCTCTCTTAACAAAAGGCTCACTTCCAGGCAGTTGTGGGGGCTGCCCCGGCGCTAGGGATGGCAATGGGTCGGGTCGGGGGCGGATAGTGCATATCCGTTACCCTACCCAAAGTAGTTCAGGTTTTACCCATACCCATACTCACATGTGAAATTGGTAGAAAATCAAAACCATGCCCATACCCGTTCGGGTTTCGGGTATCCACGGTTATCCATGGGTAATCATTTCTCTTCATAACTTCAACCAATATGTTAACATTCACACGAATTCTCACATTACGTAAGAGGAAAAGTACGACAAGAATTCACTAGAATGAAGAAAATTAATTAAAACAACACAATTTCATGAAAATATTATACTTATATGCTAAATATAAAATAAGTTAGAGAAAAATAATGATTATATCTAGAGAAAATACATATGCATTTGTATAATCGGGCAGGTTCGGGTTGGATAGTGAGAAATCCATGCCCACCCACTACCCACAATATTCGGGTTCGGGTTTTACCCGTACCCACTAAATGTCTTTCGGGTTCGGGTTTTATCCTACCCGATTAGGCCGGATTCGGGTGGATATCCACGGTTACGGATATTTTTGCCATCCCTACCCGGCGCTTCTCCGGCGGCCGGCGGCAGCCCTCCGCCCCCATTTTTCATTTTGTTTCTTTGTTCTCTCTTCTCTCCATCTCAGTTATCGTCTAGCCTCGTTTCTCCTTGTGTTTTTACTGTCTTTATGGGTAGATCTGTTTTTTTTTTCCTGTTTCCAGCTTTGTATTGACTTCTCTGCTCCGATCAGTGCTTGTTCCTGCCCTCCGCTGGGCCTCCTCCCTCCCCTGGTGTGGTTCGAGGTCTTTGGCCTCTGATCTGTCTTCAGATTTGGAGATGTTTCGGATCTAAGAGCAAAGGAGGCTAGATTTCTTTTGATCTAGCTGGTTTTCTCCTCTTCCTTTATGTTGTCTACCTCCTTGCTTCATCATGCAGGTCTTGATGTTTCGGAGATGTGCCTCTTGGCTTGGACTCGGCTGGAGAGCTTTGAAGACCGAAGTTTCTTCCCTCTAGAATGGTCGTCGGCCGACCGATTTTTTGATGGTGTGCGTTTGGGTGGTGCGTCGCCGTGTTTCCATCATCGATCGGCTCGGGGAGGATTCGGGGTGGAGGTTCTCTTCGTCCCATTTCCTTTCTTCTGAGGTCTTGGTGGCGGCGTTGGTGTGCTGGTGGGAGCGGCAGCCAAGGTTTCTGCCAGCGGCGGCGGGGTTCCATAGGGACAATGGGGTAGATAGGGTTTGGGTGGGTTGTAATTGGGCTTGGGTCTCTCGGCTCCTTGTCGCGAGCTAATTCGGGAAGTAAATTACCCGAAGTAGCTATCCATCATCTTTTTAGTTAAGAGGGCACTAGGAGCATGTGCGTTGACTACACAATGCTGAACAATGTTTACCCCATCCACCCATACCCTCTCATGAGGATGGACCAACTAGCGGATGCCACTTCAAATCACACAACTTTTTCATTTCTAGATATGTTTTATGGATAGCAACAAATACCAATGAGCCGCAAAAATGACGTTCATGATGCCATTCAGGAATTTCTGCTTTCTAGGCATGCCTTTTTGCTTGAAAAACACTGGCGCCATTTATCAACGACTCACCGACTCTTTCTTCGAGACGCCAATAGGGAGGAACATGAAGCATACGCCGATGACCACATTGTCAAGACCAAAGAAGGACACTCCCATGTCGAGGATCTTCGCGAGACACTAGAGGAGTTGTGCAAGAACAACTTGCGGCTAAATCTGTTAAAGTCTGTGTTCATCACAGAGGCAAGAAGGTTATTGGGTTTCATGATAACCCAGATAGGGATAAAAGGAGATCCGAAGCATATCAATATCGTGCAAAAGCTCTGTGTCTCCTAAAACATGTTTGAAGTGCAAGCGCCGCAAGAAAGATAACAGCGCTTGGAAGATTCATTCAACGAGCAACAGAAAAATGTGCTTCGTTTTTCCAAACTCTTAAAAAGAGTCAAATTCTAGTGGAACGCCACCTATGGTGCTGCGTTCGAGGAATTGAAATCTCACCTTGTATCACCTCTAGTCCTAGTTACGTCGAAATACAATGAAAATAGTTTCTATACATAGATGTGTCAGTGTGAGAGTTGAGGGCAGTCCTTGTCTCCAAACATGACAACAGTTAAAGACCCATATATTACACATCACGAACATTATTATGCCTAGAGACGTGCTACCTGCCAATCAAGCAATTTGCTCTAGAACTCGTGAATGCATCGTAAAAGCTAAACCCGTACTTCCAGGCTCATGAGGTAGTCGTTCTCACCAATCTCCCAGTCAAATACATTTTAAGCTCCATGGAAGTATCTAGGGCTGGAAGTTTGGTACCGGTATTTGAGATATACCGAATACCGTACCGAATTTGTCTATATTTGGTATTACCGAATACACGTATTATTTCTTGGGATTGGGATTCAATTGTTATTCGGTATTAGGGATTACGGGATCGGAATCGGTATATACTGAAATACCGAACAATACCGTAATATAAGCTAGTGTGTATTTTATCCTCTCAACTAGACTCTCTCATTCACTACTACACTACCCTCAACCACCAATCTATTGTTATTTTCATAACACCAAAAAGCAAACACTAGTATTAGTCTTCTCTCAACCTCCAATTAGTCAGATTAAATATTACCAATGAAAAAAACTCGAGATGTCACCTCTACTCCATTCTCCTTATCCATATCCTAGCTCTAGTCAAACTCAAAACTCTTTGTTTAGTCTCTATGTCCTATATTAAACAATCAAATCTAATTTATATATTTAATTATGAATTTTAAAGGTAATTAATTTCGTATTCGATAATACCGATTGGGATACCGAAGTACCGATTGGGATACCGAAATATTTAGGGATTGGGATTGGGATACCAAAGTTATTTAGGGATTGGGATTGGGATTGGGATTGATTCTAGGGGTTTAATTCGGTATTCGGGATTTTGGTATTTGGTATTGGGATACCGATACCGTACCGATTTCCACCCCTAGAAGTATCCAACAGGCTTGTCAAGTGGGCTATCGAACTATCCGAGCACAACATCCAATACGCTCCACGACCCACCATTAAGGGGCAAGTGCTAGCCTATTTTCATAGTAGATGGAATTGTACTCGACACCCAGGCAGACCGAATGCGGGAAGTTTATGTAGATGGTGCAGCAAGCAAACACAGTACATGGGCAGGAATCGTCATACAAAGTTCGTTAGGCACAATTCATGAAGTCGCGCTTTGATCCAAGGAGCTAAAGACGAACAACCCGGCAAAATACGAAGCTGTTTTGGCAGGATTTCGAGGGTGAACGAGTTAAGAGCAAGAATGATATAGGTAATATCAAACTCATCCTTAGTGGTAAATAAGTTAAATAGTGTGTTTGATGCCAAAGAGTCGACATACATTTTCCATGTTAAAGAGACAACTTTGGAGTTCCAAGTTGTCACCTACAAGGCTATAACCATGTCTTGCCAGAACAAAACATTCACACAAATGCTCTTTCAAAGTTAGCTATCGCAACAAACTTCGAAGAAGCTAAACTATTCTTAGTACAAAAGGAGGCCACGAGTGTTGGCGAACCAAAAATAAACACAACGCAAATGCCCGATAAAGTTGACTGGCGCACAACCATCAAAGAATATCTCAACAACGGGACGGTGCTCGACGACCTAAAAGAGTCATGGGCGCTAAGACAAAAGGCGGCCATGTGTACACAAATAGGTCAAGAGCTTTTCATAAATGATCGCACGTTGGGGTATACCTTAAGTGCCTCGGTACATAAGAATCTCAACCAATGGTAAGAGAGCTACATGAGGGCATATGTGATATGCACAACAGGGCAAGAAGCCTAAAACGAACAATTGTGCTCCAATAATACTATTGTCTACGAATAAAAAGGGATACCAAACCATCATGGAAAGATGTCACAACTATCAACTCCATGCACGTCAACACCTCATACCAACGATATTACTCAGTCAAACGTAAGTTTGTGGCCATTCGTTTTATGAGGATTGGACTTGTTGGAATCCTTCCCAACGGCCAAGGGCAAGCATAAATACATCGTCGCCGTTGTGGACTACTACACAAAATGGGCTGAGGCAGAACCACTGATGTCCATAACATTGTAGTAGATGATATGTTTCATAACTCTAAATATATTAAACCGGTTAGACGTTCCATAGTCTGTGTATTTGATCACAGAAAGTAGTTTGATTGCGCGGAAGTAATTGATCTATGAGACCAAGTGGGAGAAAATAGCGCGTTTTGCGTCTGTCGCATACCCACAAGATAACGACCTTCATACCTGCCTAGGCCAAGCAATGTCAATTAGTCAGAAGAGGTCCACAACATTTTATGGTCCTATCGCACAACCTACAAGGTCGCGACAGGAGAAACTCCTTTCGCCTTCATCTATGGCACATATGCAGTCATACCATTGAGACCAGTGAGCCAACGTACAGAATCCAGCTATACAACAAAACAGAAAATGACGAGGCCAGGCAAATAGACTTTGAACTGGCGCACGAGCACAAAGAAATGGCAAGCATCTACCTAATAGCCCTTAGAGATCAAGTTTTGAGGCACAACTTCCATCCAACACAATCTCATGGCAAGCTCACCTCTACAAGGGAGGGCCGTACCAAATGTGTGAAGTGTTGGGCGCCAACACATTCAAGTTATCCGAAATGGGCGACCCTAAAACCCCACAAACTTGGAACACGCAGAATCTCTGAAAATATATACCGACCTCTCAATTGTAATTGTAATTGGGTGCAATATGTAGATAGAAAGGATCATGCATCAACGCTTACGTCGGCATCACCAAAACACAACCATTACCAAAGGGACAAAAGAAAGCAATGATAATACGATGTTGGACTACTCTCATCCAACACTAGATGACATCACTTCGAGTATCCAGTATCCTAAAATTGATGCCAACAATTTTGAAATCCCATCTTGGGTTTTAAACATGATCAGTCATAATCATATGTTTAGAGGATTTCCACATGAGAGTCCTCGTGCTCACATCAAGAAGTTCATCATGTTGGCTTGTAACACCAAAATAAATAATGTTCCAGCGGACTTTCAAAACATGAGGCTATTCCCTTTCACTTTAAAATGAGTTGTCCTTGATTCGTGTTAGATTATACACTTTTACTCCCCCTTTAACTTGCAAAGTTTGATATGTTTGCACCGTCCTTGGAGCTATTTTATCCGATGTTTGTTCGTGTTTTGTCATGTTTCAGACCTAAGTAGGTAATCTTGCCATCGAGATTGAAAGTCGGACGAAAGAGGGCGAAAATAGAGAAAAATGGTTGAAAGTGCAGCGATCACAGTTGCGGAGAAATTGTCACGTACGAAGACCGTGATGTCAACGCTCCAAACATGAAGATCGCATGGTTGTAGGAGAATTCTTGCAGCTCGTGGACAGTGTCAAGATCACGGTCTCCTAACTGTGATATCAACAAGCAGCCCATGAAATTCGTTAGTGAAACGACAACTTAATCTCTTTGCGCAAAAGCTGGTTGATTCTCCATCTCTCGATAACATCGATCAGTGAGAGCCGAGTCTGGATTCCGTTGGGGTAAATCACCGGAACTTCGGCTGAATTTCCACCATTGACGTCGACGGTTGACCGGAGGTAGCAGAGGAAATCGACGTCGTGAAGGTAAAATAATTAAAATTGAAATTATGAGTTTTTATGATTTAACGAGGGGCAATTGATAATTTTACAACACATTAAACAACCATTTAACAAAAAATTGGACAAAAGGATATGTTCGTTATGTTTTAATAGTATAAGGTTATGTTTGTGCAAAAAACTTGATAGAGGGAGACATTTGTTAATTTGCAATAGTAAAGTGGTACAAAATTCTGTTAACCCTTTTTATAGCTCAGGTTCATATACAAGACCCAAAGTTTTTGTAGGCCTGCAAAACTCTGATCTATGGCAGATGGGGCTCCAAATCTGATGGCTATGCAAGAGGAGGGGTATCTTTGGCAAAAAAAAACATGCCTTGATCCTATGCGGCTGAGTGCATTTTATGACGAGTGTTCCCTATTCTCTTTCCTCATCTTAACGCGAATTTCCAAGCGACTATTAAGGCATTTTTCAAATCTCTAACGAAAAATCAACGGATCATAGCACATTTATTTTTGATTAGATTTCAAAATTTTTGCATAGAAAAATTAGTTTTTTGTTCTCTACGAAATGATATCCATTTTTATATTTTTTTTTGAAGAATTTCAGGTCATCATATCACTGTCATACCACAAACAGTGATATGATGACATGCCACTGATATGATTGATATCATAGTGATAATAAAATAATATCACACTGATATGATTGACACCGTCACTATATCATAGTGATATTAATATCATGATTATAGTGATAATATCATGATATGATATGACACTTATATGTTTGATATTATCAGTATGATATAGTGATATTATCAATCATATCATAGTGATAATATCATGACCTGACACTGATATGATTGATACGACAATGATATATGCAAATATTTTAAATTCCAAGTTAAAACAAATGCGCTATGATCGGATTAAGGAAAATTGGAGATTAAAAAAAAAAAATTTAACTGGTCAGTTGCCTCCCTTCTCCCCTCTGTTTTTTTGCGTCAGAAAAAAGGAAAAGGAGCACACAAAATTACCACTATGCCCTATAATTTTTGTATAGAACTAATATGAGTCACTAGATTGCATTAAAATGGACAGCGAGGCCTGAGAGCATGTAGGACCCGGAGAGACAAGTGCAAATTTTGCAGGGCATTTTGGGGAAGGGCTGGCTGGTTGGTTCCCACTTCCCACAGAAGTCAGAACTCCATTTGTGACCATTTTGCAATTTAACAAACCCACACAACACTTGCTGCCTGCTCTCGCTCTGCGACACTGAAACAATTTCTCCATTTCATTTCACGTTAGAGGAAAGAAAACTGATGGAATGGAACAGTCTCTTTCCTTGTGTCTTTCTTTCTCCATATATATTTGTTGCTTTCTTTCTCTTTCTGGCGCCATTGTCATTACTAAATTGTCCAGTGACACTAGTCGCTCTTCTTCACTCTCTCTTCAGTAGCGCATCAGTACTCAGTAGTCAGCAATGGAGCAGCATCCAAGAAAAAAAGCAACCAAAATTAATGGCAGTACCAATGTCAATCAATTTCCATGATTTAATTGACTGATTTCCAAGAACGAAACTAATTCGCTCTGCGTCTTCTCCTTAGTTGTTACTCATTTCTTCTCTCTCTCTCTCTCTCCCGCTCTTCGTCTGACCTTCGCCACCTCGATTCCCGCACCGCGCCAGATTCGTCGTCGATCCTTTCCTCCCTCTCTCCGGCCGTCGCGCTGATGGAGCCGGCGGCGGAGATATGCAGCGTCAAGGTAGCACTTCACGTTCGTCCGCTGGTTCCGGACGAGCGTGCTCAAGGTTGCCGGGAATGCGTAGCCGTCGTCCCGGGGAAGCCTCAGGTAACCAACCTTCTGCTCAGTTCTTGTAATTCCTTGATATTCTGTCTCACATTTCTGATCTTGTTGACTGTGGAACGAGATGTATGGGGGGATTTTAGTTGAAAGAGTTGGATGGAGAAATTTTGGTTATAAGTTGGAGTTTAGCTCAAAATAGTATATACTACGAGTTTAGCAATTCCAAGGTACTAGTGTGCTTGGTTGGCTACTGTTTCTTGACACTATTGGCACTGTTTGGGTTTGGCACTTTGGCTATGGCGTAGGTACAAATCGGTGGCTCGCATTCGTTTACATTTGATCATGTCTACGGTAGTGGTGGTTCATCGCCATCCGCCATGTACGAGGAATGCGTTGCTCCATTGGTCGATGGATTGTTTCAAGGGTACAATGCTACTGTGCTCGTCTATGGGCAGGTAATAATGCAGTCTCTTTCCAGGCTGAGAGCGACATTCACTTGGAATCGCTTTCTCTCTGTTGCATTTGACCATTGGTTCTGAACTGATGCAGACAGGATCCGGGAAGACTTATACAATGGGTACGGGAGCTAGAGATGGTAGCGAGAGTGGACTGATTCCTCAAGTCATGAATGCACTGTTCCACAAGATTGAGACGGCAAAGCATCAGACTGATTTCCAGTTGCATGTGTCTTTCATTGAGGTAATTTCAGATTTATGGGAGACATTGTTTGTGGCGGAGGGAACTTGGGAGTAAGCAGGAATAGTCTAGCAGATGGATATTATGTTTTTGAACCGTAACCTCATTACAGTCTTTCTATTTCGGAAATGTCATACGAAGAGTGATAATCTCATTATAATCTGTACATCTCCTTGGGAAACAAGTTATATATTCTTCTGGTAAGCAAACAGTAATTTAACTAAAAAAATGGATGCTTGAAGGTTCTCAATGAAGAAGTGAGAGACCTGCTGGATTCTGTCTATGTGGGTAAATCTATGGCTATCAATACTGGGAAGGTGGCAGTGGCTGGGAAGCGTACGATACAAATTCGCGAGTCCACAAGTGGGGTTATAACATTGGCAGGTTCAACTGAAGTAGCTGTTAGCTCATTGGAGGAAATATCTGCTTGCTTGGAGCAGGGATCATTAAGCAGGTCCACAGGAAGTACAAACATGAACAATCAGTCTAGGTAATGTAGGCTTTTTCTTATGTTCTGTTATTGTTTTGTTCAAGATGTGTGTTTTCATGCTTGGCAATCTAAGCAAACAGAAATATTCATATTGGTAAACTTAGTATCAAATGATAGAGAAGGCTTTACCCGGAAACTCGTATTGTGGGAAAAAAAAAAACAATTTAATGCTTGAGGGAGCAAATCTGGTCTGAGTTCAAACCAACTGCAATTTTCTGCGTTACTAGGTTAATTGATGAGCTGGGTGCTCTTTCATGATTATGAAATAGCAGGGAGAACTAATTTTTTCTGGTCGCATTCTGCATGTTTGTTTGTAAAAGTCGGTCACATGCCATCTTCACAATCACATTAGAGCAGATGCGTAAACTCCATTCAGATTGTCCTGAAACCCCAGATGAAGATATGGGTGAAGAATTCTTCAGTGCAAAGCTCCATTTGGTTGATCTAGCTGGATCCGAAAGAGCAAAACGAACTGGTTCTGATGGTCTTCGTTGGAAGGAAGGTCGGTCTCATTAGTTGCTTCAACTCAATCATCTGGGCAAAGATTGCAATATCCATAATGTTTGTGTTTCTGCACAGGCATTCACATAAATAAGGGACTTCTTGCCCTTGGTAATGTCATCAGTGCTTTAGGAGATGAAAAAAGGCGAAAAGGAAGTCTACATGTTCCCTATCGAGATAGTAAACTTACTCGACTCTTGCAGGTTTTGAATTTTTTAACCTTTGTAATTTTGTTTCTCTAAGACATTATCTGTCATATTGGTTGAAATTTTGTTGACCTTGGTGAATTCATCCGCCATCATCTGAGTTTTGTAAGCATTCGACATATCAACTTTATCAGGACTTCAAATTTGATTTACTTAAAAAATTGTTGGGCACAGAATGTGAACTCATTACTCTGGATGCAGGACTAGTAACGTAAAGATATTGCTAGTTCAGATATAAACATTTTCTTTGGAGACGAAGGCTGGTATAACCATATGGGTCTTCTTGCTCATTCAGATCCCTTGGAGCAATAGTTATGTCACATAGTGTAGGAACTGGGACCATAACAATGACGGGTTCATGCAGTCTTGATCTAGTACCATGATAACATAATGATTATGTCAGAAGATATATCTTTGGATGATCGGTTTATTTTTCTTGTGCTCCTAAATTTACAATATTGTCTCAGAGACTATTTTTTCCTTTCCGATACTGTTGGTCCAATCAACTGTTTCCTTGCTCCCTTTTCTGACCTCGTTTCAGTCACTTTCCGACAAACTTTCCTCTCATTTATAATGTGCAGGATTCACTTGGAGGAAACAGCAAAACAGTTATGATAGGTAACCAGATCAGATTCTCACGTTATTCTGTTTTCCCCCGCAGTGATATTGGAAGTGGCTACTTTGCTGCTATCCTAGCATACATTTCCCATACCATGGACATCATATCGGTTATTCTTTCTTATTATTTTTTTGCTTACTTCTTCCAGCTTGCATTAGTCCTGCTGACATTAATGCTGATGAAACTCTTAACACTCTCAAATATGCAAATCGGGCCCGTAATATTCAAAATAAGCCTATTGTAAGTTTTCACCGGTTGCGACTTAGCTATTCACCTTGTAATTCATTCTGCATGATGCCTGATACTTATCAATATGGGTTCTGAAACTTGAACTGCGGAGGGTCTTCATATTTGTTATGCAGGTCAATAAAGATTTAATATCAAATGAGATGCAATCTATGCGGCAGCAGCTAAAGTTGTTACAGGAAGAACTTTGTGCTCGCGGAGGAGGTCCTCCTTCAGATGAGGTTCAGGTATATGCTTGTGCATATCTTAATTGAATGCACATTAGTTGAGTTCAGGATAAGGGCCATTTCGACAGCCATAATCAGGCTGCTGGTTTCCGCAGGTCCTTAGAGACAGGATTTCTTTTTTAGAAGCTAGCAATGAAGCCCTTTCTCAAGAGCTTCATGTGTACCGGAGCAGATGTGCTAATGTACAGCAGTGGGAAATTGATGATCCGGTAATGGTGACCACAATTCAAACATTTTCTGTTCTGGTTCTTACCTTTTGAATAGTCTGAAATAATTTCTGGGTAATTCTTAATCGAATCCCTCGAGGTGATTGATCACGAATAACGTTGAGTGTTCATCTGGAGAAATTCTTGTCTCGGGTTGAATGTATCATGTTTGACTAATGTTAACTATTGCATCGAGATTTGGGTTTGTGGTCACTCCTTTTCCAGTGTCAGATTTACTTTAAACCTCAGTGTACCTGCTACAGTGCTACTATTACAATCCCTATGTTGGTCTAGTAAGCATGCTTATATAAATACAAGATGCTACTTTTGGTTGTTGGACCAGGGACCAATTTGTTTCTATTTTGCAGGAATGCCATCCTTGTGGAAAACTTGATGGACATAAGTTGAGCTTCCAGAGTATGGATTCCTCTGATTGTCAAATGGATGAATCAATATCAGGTTTGTTCGATTGTCTTCTACTTTAATCCGAAAATTCAAGAAGGAAGATAAAGTAGCAGGAGTTTGCAGGAACTTTATTATGCTACACACTACCGACTATTCTTCTCCTTTTTGTCCATGTCACTTTGATTTATCTTGCCTGGAATCTGTAGGAGAAAGGTCTACTGAAATTGATGAGGCGGCAACAGAGTGGGAGCATGCAATTCGGAAGAGGTGCATGAGCAAGGAACTGAATGGGCTAAATCGACTGTTGGAGCGAAAGGAGGTTGGTATTGGTTTACGAGCATCATAAGAAGCGACAATGTATTTAAAGTGATTTAGGCATTCCAAAAAAGTTCTGGTCTGGTCACTGGATTTAAGTTTTTTCTTCACCAAGTACCTCACATGACTTCCCTTGATAGGCTCTTCGTTCACCAAATTAAACTCCTTAAAGAAGGCTATAGTATAAGTTCCCTATAGTTGAGGATAGCTATGCTTGTCAGCTGTTTGACTTGCGCATATTTCTGTCATGCAGTCTGAGATGGAACTTTTTGGAGGGTTTGACATTGAAGCTCTAGAGCAACACTTAAATAAGAAAATTGCGGAACTTGAAGATGAGAAAAAGGTCATGCAGATTGAGAATCTTGCTGCGGGGTTAGGAGAAAAATCTCACAAATTACTTGATGTTCATGAACAGAAAATAAAAATGCTTGAGGCACAGGTACGTGGGTTGTCTTCTGATCATATTAGTCTTGAAATAAGCTGCTGTCATGCTAGCTGTTTATGTTAAACCTATTTGCTCTGTCGAATTCAGATATTATATTTTAGAAGCAAACCAGAGAGCTATGTCGAAATTTTAAAACAAAAGCAAAAGAGTGATGAGGCAGCAATCAGGCTGCAAACTGAAATACAGTATATGAAGGCAGAAAAGGTTCACTTTTATTCCTCTGATCAATTTAGTTTACATCAGTAAACTCTGTCTTGGTAGCTCTTCACCTGTCCAATTGGGTCATTGTAGGTGCAATTGCAGCAAAATATTAAACAAGAAGCTGAACAATTTCGGCACTGGAAGGCCTCCCAACAGAAAGAACTGCTGCAGGTACTTCACCTTCTCCCTAGTTTGCTCCAAATGGTCTTTACCTTTGCGTATAATAAACTGGGTGGCGGTCATATTAGAAATTTTGAACCAGATACTCTTGTTGTTGCAAGATCATTCTCCTGATATGAACCATTTGGATGAGCAGTCAATCATTATAGTCCAGAAGAACTATTCATAATTCTTTTGCCTCTAAACCTATTGGCAAGGAATAAAGGACACATTAATATTGTTCAGGTTCTCCAAAGGAAGACGGAAGAAGCTGCCTTAGCTACGCAAAAGTTAAAGGAGTTGTTGTCGGAATCCCTAAAACCTCCAGCTGGTAGGAACTTTGGTAAACTTTTTTCCCCTTCAATCTACTTGTATTCATGTACTCGGTGGACTGATTATTTTCCTCCGTCTCTTGCAGCTGTTTTAAACAGGCATGAATCATTTGGACAGGTAAGTTTACAAGGTTGAGGAAGTTCCTTCAGTGAAATGCATGCTGCAACCTATATTCTTCTCTTCCTTTAGATTTTAGTATACGATCTCCGCGTGTGTTGATGAAAATAATTAAATAATAATGTGAATTGCTCACTTTCACCATTCAAGGTTTGATGTTTGATGGTGATGCTCCACTGCTGGAAACTAATTTGTTATGGTATTTGATCTTCGCTTTGTGTTCTTAGGGCAATGAAATGCAACGTTTGCTTGATCACAAATTAGAAGTGATGGTGAAAATGCATGAAGTTCGTTGTCAACATGAGAAGCAGGGAAAAGTGTATGTGATTGGCCCATCTGCCCTCTAGTAATCTATTGTATACTTTTTGCTGTACTTGGATTGTTGTAAGAAGTTCAATCCATTTTTCAGGCATGCTGAACTGGCAGAAGAACTGGGCTTGGAAAAAATGAATCAGCTTTCTCCTGATGTGCAGAGTCCAGGAAAAGCAGATCATAGGCATCCTAGGTGAAATTGGTTATTTGATGTTATGACATAGTTTTCCTTTCATGGGAACAATTCATAGTAATTTGATAGCATCCATGCGTTTTGGTCCTGCTATTGCTGGATTTGCTAACATGCTTTTTAAATACTTTCTGGTTCATTGACTTCGTTCAATTAGTTCGGCGTTGATGTCACCAAGTGAAAAATTGGAGCGAATAGCTTTCCTGGGCGATATGTTGACCCTATCTTCAAATGTGCTCACTGCAATGTCTGCACAACTTTCTGAAGCAGAAGAAAAGGAGCAAGCCTCCATTAGTTGTGGACATTGGAGCCAATTGTGCTCCCTGGCAGAAGCCAAGAACCTTCTGCAATATACGTTCAATGCTGCTGTGGATGCAAGGTGACCTCTATTCCTAATAGTAGTTTTCCTCATCTGCCTTTTGCTTTCCCCACTGGTCTGGACCAGGTTTTCCCTTCCTTTTGGGGCAAATTTGCTTAGCCATATAACCAATCAATTGTGCAACTAGTTACTTTACGTATAGCCAAAATCAGAGCTGCGCATACTTATCACTGTTTCCGGAAAACCAGTAACCGGTTAACCACCCTGTTGCTGACTGCAGTAAAATAATTCTATTTCTAGGATTACTTTCTCATACATGGATTGGCTCCTAAATATATCCACTGATCCACTCAGTGTACGGGTATTTGAATAGAACTGGTTTATGGTACATGTTTATGGAACATGTATATTCTTTCCTTAGGACTCTGAGGTTCTCTTCTGCTGGGAATGCAGTTATAATACTCTTTTCATCAACAGATGTAGGATGTGGGAGAGAGAAATGGAGATAAAGGACATTAAGGATCAATTAGTTGAGCTAGTGAAGCTGTTAAATGAAAGCGAAGCCCAGAAATTGATACTCTTGAAGGAGCAAAAGATGAGAGAACAAGCTGTTGCCATTGCCCTTGCAGCATCATCGTCAACTGTGGTAACTATCCATCTAATTTCGAGATTGATTATGCAGTACTATATTGCACTTGCCAATCCGAATAAAACATGTCTGTGATTTTATAATTAGACTAGAAGAGAAGAACAACAAAAGGAAGTTTTAAGAAAGTTGTTATTTACTTTTAACGCTTGCACTTGGGGGGATTGTTCTGAAACAGTGTCATTCTCGGAGTTCATCTAAGCAGTATAATACGGAAGACATTAGTGGCCCCCTATTTCCAACATCACTGCCAACTTCAAAGCAACTGAAATTCACACCAGGGATCGTTAATGATTCTCTCATAGAATCAACTGCATTTCTCAACCAGACCAGAAAGGTAAAGCCATTGCTGCTAATTGCTTTTGAGTTCAAGCAATTGTCTCCCTCTGTACTCTATTAAGAGGCCTGAATAATGATTTGACTGCAGATGGTACCACTTGGACAAGTATCAGTGAAAAAGCTGGTAGCAGGCAGTGGGCAGAGTGGGAAAATGTGGAGATGGAAGAGGAGCCATCATCACGAGTCGTCGGTGCAGTTCAAGTGGAAATGGCAGAAACCATGGAAGCTCTCTGAATGGATCAAACACAGCGATGAAACAATTATGAGAGCAAGACCTCTTCACCAGACACTCTTGGCTGGTAAGATGATATGAGCCTCATTTCAACCAACTCAACCATTGTTGTGCACATATTCGAGGTAATACTTCCCTCGCAACCTTGCATCAACTTAGACGATGGTCATTTGCAGTTGTACCATAATGTCTCATTTTGACATATTGTGCGGTTTCTCTTCTCATTTCTGCAATGCTAGTTTTGCTCAAGGCTAGGGTAAATCCGTGTCCATCCCAATCCGTTTTACATTCTATGATTGTATGATTGAAGAGTTGTTCTTATTCTTTTGTAATTCTTTGTTCCTTTCCTGTCGAAGGGAATAAATGCAGGCATAAGTTATGTAAGCATAACCGTTGTTGTATAATTTCTTTCTTTCCTTCTGAATTTCTTTAGCCAAGGTAGAGAGTTGTTGCCTACTGTATTTCTGCAAGATTCAATTTGTTAGTTTATCATTCAATTATTATTAGGGGAGGGGATTCTTATCGTGACTTGAGATCATTGTGATTTGGAGAAAATAATCTTCGCTTTTGGTAAATGGTCGGTCGGATGTCACGTTTACTTTTTATTTATACATGGACCGGATGCCACATGGAAAGTAATAGATAATAGGAGAATTTAAAGAATTACAAAAAGCCAAAATACATTTCTACAGCCACAATTTTTGTCGTTTGTGACAGTGATAGCCAAAACTTTCGAAATGCACGAAACAACCAGAATTTTGATGGTTGTTTGACAAATCTAGGCATTTTCGTTACAAACTTTAATGGCTTTAGAGATTATGTCAATTAGGTTAACAATACGCTGACTAAGATACCAAATTGACGCACATGTCAGCGACAACTCAGTTTCACTTGTCACTTCGATGCCACATCATAATTTACTTAAAGATATTTTATTATTAGCTTCTTTTTTTTGCCAAAGGTGTTGTTGTTTCCTCAAAGAGACTTCTCGGTGTCGATGAAGGAGACTACTGACCGTCGCAAGAGACGAGCATATCGATTGGGCTTTCTCTGGCGCGAATTAGCTTCAGATTTGGAGGAGATCTGTGCTTTCTCTGGCATGAATCGTCTTCAGATTTGGAGTCGACATGCTTGGGTGAGAGTTGATTTGGGGGGATTTGTGCTTTCCTGGAAAAATTTCCTGTACGACGACGAATGTGGAGGGTCAATCTGGACGACGATGGTCGAGATCACGACCATGAAAAGAGGGTGTGAAACTGAGCCCCAAGATCATGGCCTCCATTGTCGAGATTGCAACTTCCAAACGACCCCTAAGATTATATGTAAAGTTGCAAGGGAGCTCTCCCCCAACTCAAGTCTTCTAATTGTTCCTATGTATCTTCTTCCCCCCTTAATGGGGTAGTTCTCTACAGTCTTAGGGGTCTAATCCCCAAACCCTAAAATTAGGTTTTTTTAGTCTAGATGGAATTGTGTTAGGGTTTGTGTATGGAAGTTATTTGCTCAGTGATTATATGCTTCATCTATGATTAATTATGCACAGGCTTGTCTGTCCAACTCTTTTCATCTAGTCTAACACGTAGGAGTTTTTTTTATCTAAACTCAATTTAAGCACCTTAAGCTAACCAAGAGTAGATGAGTGATCTAGGGATCCGATTGGTGGACGAGGTGACCACCTCCTGCCAACCGAGAGCCCTCCTAAGCAATGCTAGAGCGATGCGTGCGTGATCATTAACATGTCGAGCTAGTGTGCATATAGGTTGAACCGATTGGAAGGGTCTAGAATGCATCCCTAGTATCGTGAACTTGATCTAGGTTAATTGGGTCAAGGAATTGTGCTAGTAGGGTGGCTAGTTTCATGACCATTGAGCTAGTCCCCACTTTAGTGAGTCCCACACCTTATTTCCTCAAACCCGACATTATGAACCATTCGCACAATAGACCTAAATCTAGGGCAAGGGCGATACCCCAACGTACCTGCTTTTATCTTTGTTTTCTCTACCGATACTTTCCATTTGACCTAAGAAAACAACCATAAACCGAACGACTAGATAAAAACAAAATGAGAAGTTGCCTAGGATATCAAAACCCGTGGAATTAGACCTTGGTCGGCCGCTATATTAAAAACGCCATCTTGAGTTATACTTGGCTAAAGATGGGTTAGTTAATACAAGCTGTGCAATCAAATTAATAACCCACACGGTGTAACATCAGCTGTCATGGATCAAAATTTCACTTCACTGGAGCAACGGGCATTGCAAGCAGAAAACGGTTAATGGACGAGCTAAAACTCAAATGAAAGCATCGAAAGCGAGATCCTTATCGTCCGACATTTGTTGTCGTCTACCATAAGCTGCAAGGAACTTCTTCTACATCGAGCCTGGTCGAGACGTCACTTGAACTTCGGGGACGAAGTTATTCGAAGGGGGGAGGATTGATGCATTCAAGCATTATCAAGTAGTGTACGTAATTGCTCTATTATTATTAGTTCTAGTCTCCATAATAGTTGTTCGTTGGATCATTTGAGATATTCGTATTAGTTTATGTCTAGAATTATTATTGTTTATTGTGTATTGTCTAGAGAGTTATTATTTACCTGTTGATTTAAGATTTGTTTATCGTATCTTAAGAAAAAAAAGTTTGTGGGACTAGTGCTATAAATATGTACTTTGCCTTTACGTTTTTATTATGAATGAGAAGTCAAGTAATTTAGCAGAAATTAACTGTAGTTTTATCTCGATACTTATAAGTAGGATAGCATTTCTTGCCGAATCCCCGTTGTCCATGATTTTGCGTGCTATTCATGGAGATACAGTTCCACTAATATCTAATTGCCACGTTCTATTCATTGTATAAAACTATTGTATTGGTATATATATATATATATTGTAGTCGCAGCAGCAGCTGGGAGGTAATTTGTCCCCGTCAAAAGCCACGTTTTTTTCCAATGGAAAACAACACAAACAATGACCCAATTTTGGTTTTATATTATGCGATCTGGGAGAAGTACAAAATAGGTTACTTCAGATCCAAAACAGAGAACTGAAGAAGGAAAAGCGACTTCTGACTTGTAATTAGTTACTGGGTCGCTACACTCATGCCCGCTTCCAATAGCTCCATTCCTCCTTCCTTTCCAATCCTTCCCCACCATCACTCAACTTTTCGTCCGTTCCCAATCCACTCATCAATTTCCATTTCTGCTCATTTTAGTCCACTTTAGAGAAACCCACCACCCTGCCATTTGTCCTATAATTGCTTGACCATCCCCTCCAAAATATCATTTGTCTTCCCTTTCCCTATCAAAACCAACAAATTATTATTATGATATAATAATAATAATCCTTTCCCGTCTAAATTTTATATAATGAATATGAAAGCTATGGAGGAAGACTAGTGGGCCGGGCGAGAATGCTAAGATAGAGTAATTAAAATTGAATTAGGTTGATTGAAATGTAACTAATGCGATGCTCACATCTCAATTCCCAAGCTCCCTCTTCCCTTTTAAAACTTCTCCCTTTTTTCTCCCTTCACCCACAACATCAATTTAAAGTTCAAGAATCTTGTCAAAACGAAAACAATAGAAGTCAAGTCATCATAGCAACTTTAAAGAAAAAAGGGGGAGATGAAGAGCAACAACAACGGCAATGGCAACACAAAGCTCATCCTCCTCCATCCTTACATCCAAAAGCAAGGCACCTCTAATCGGGTATGGCTCCTCGCGGTCCTCACCTTCTTCACCGTCGTCTTCCTACTCACCTTGATCTACACTCGTGACGCCCTGGTCAGGTCCCCCAGATCCTCAATGAGATCTGTGGTCCCCACGACTTCTTCTTCTTCTTCTTGGTCGGAGGGGATAGTAGCTGCAGGTGGTGGGGCGGCAGCAGCAACATCAGTCGGTGCTGTTGCTGTCCCACCGCCTCTCCCCACGAGCGTGATCAGCACGCTCGTGCACTACGCGTCCCGCTCCAACGAGAGCTTCCACATGACCCACCCCGAGCTCAAGTCGATCTCGGATGTCCTCCGCAAGTGCTCCCACCCTTGCAACTTCCTCGTGTTCGGGCTGACCCACGAGACCCTCCTCTGGAAGGCCCTCAACTACCACGGTCGGACCGTGGTGGTCGAGGAGAACCGCTACTACGCGGCCTACTTCGAGGAGCTCCACCCGGACATCGACGTGTTCGATGTCCAGTACACGACGCGGGCCGGCGAGATGGACGAGCTCCTCGCCTCGGCGAGGGAGCTCGCCCATCAGGAATGCCGGCCCGTGCAGAACCTGTTGTTCTCGGAGTGCAGGCTCGCGATCAACGACCTCCCTAACCACATGTACGACGTGGACTGGGACGTGATCCTCGTCGACGGGCCCCGCGGCGAGGGAGCCGAGGCGCCCGGGAGGATGATGTCGATATTCACGGCGGGAGTGCTGGCCAGGAGCAAGAAAGTTGGTGGGAAGACGCATGTGTTCGTCCACGATTACTACAGGGATGTGGAGCAGATTTGTGGGGATGAGTTTCTGTGTGGGGAGAATTTGGTGGAGGCGATTAACGGGATGTTGGCCCATTTCGTGGTGGAGAGGATGGAGAAGGATAGCTTCCAGTTCTGCCGGGAACAAAATGGGACGGCGGCGGCGGCGGCAGCGGCGGCGAGATCAGGTTTTTAATTAGAGCTGGTTTGAGGAAATGGGGGAAGTTTGTCCTTTTTCGTATAGCTTGAATTCTTGTGGGGAGGCAAAGGGAAAATGTGGTTATTTAAGATGGGTCTTTACTCTTTTATTTCTTTGTAACTTGTAAGTAAAAAGAATGTGAAGGAAATAATCGTCTTTCTTTTTTGGGAAATGCAAAGCAAGGTCTCCTATCAAAGTTCTGGATCTTTAGTTTGTATGAAAAATTGAAAATCCATCCAATGAATGAAAAGATACAAATTTACATAGAAAAATCATTTATGGGCATGATAAATAATATATTTGCATGATTAAAATATGAAATGGAGAATGAAAATATTATTAGCGTTACAAGATACTATATAAGGTGTTAATACTAGTATATATTAGTCGTTACGTGAATAATTATCGAGATAAAAGTATATGTTTGGAAGAATGTTATTTGAAATGGTTTATGTTTCATATTAAAACTTAAAACCCAGTTTTCATTGAGATTCAACTTTTGTAATCTTGCGTGTTATTTAAATTTTTTCTTGATGCTTTTATATTTAAGTAGGATCGGAAACACGTTGGTACATCGACGTTAAAAAGGATGGAAAAAGAACTCCCAAGTAAAGTTTGGTTGGTGAGGTCTCAACAATAAGTCGGGGATTAGTTGCAATAATTAGTCTTTGGCTACACAAAGAATATGCAGTCCAGAAATAAATGTCAGAGTCAACTCCTCATGATTTGGCATTTTGGTTGATTCATTTTCCAGATTCATCCCTCAAAATAAATTTATTACAGATTACTCATTCTTAATTTCAATAATTTCACAGATAGTACAGCTTGGACAAACGGGTTTAGACCGACAAACGGGTTTAGTATATTTTTTTTGTTGTACTCTAATTTCATGAAGAAGGGGGGAAAAACGAAGAGAGAAACTTGCTACATATATCTTGAAAATGGTCTTCCATGCTTAAGGAAATATACCCTGAATTACTTCTATTCTTATGGATTGTTTTATGAATTATTCTTATGGATTCTTTAAGAGCTGTGTGATTATGATTATCACTATGATTATTATGACTCTGCATAGTTAGGAGTTGCAGGGGGGAAAAAATAGAAATGGATAAACAAATGATATAAGTGTATGTACATTCAATTGTTACCCTTTCTTCCACCTTTGTGTGGATTCAGATTATGTCCATCGTCTTGTGGTTAGTAATCGTGAATAACCTGTCCATCAACCGTCACATCAGATTTATGAAATGTCTCTAGCCTTTTCCCCTTTAATTTTTAATGGATGGTTTTTCTCGCGTTTTAAGTCGGAATTTATATATTTTTTTGCATAGATAAATCATATTAGTTGTACTTTCCAAAACGATATCCACTTTAATATAGTTTTGGGAACAAAAAATAATTGAGACATTTATTACGATCATATTAAATGGTATGAAAGTGTACCATGGTGGAAGAACATACCAGACGGTACAATGGTTGAATACATGATAATAGAAATATACTAACTTTCATTTATGACTTTCAACATTGTGTACCACAAGATACCACTCGTATATCAGGATGATATGGGGTGGTATTTTTTGGTCTTGTATTTCCCGCCGAAAATTTGTAGATCCAATAGATCATGATAAACTCTTTCCTTATGTGCAAATATTTTCAGAAAATGACTTAAAATGAAGGTGATACCATATGGTATGGAGTTGGCAACGAGATGTATGAAATTTTTCTAAGAAAAATATTAAAAATGGATCTCATTTTGAAGATCACAATGAACTCGTTCCATATGTGAAAAAGAAATTGAAATCCAAGTTAGAACGAAGAAGATAAGAGCCGATTAATAAAATTAGTGAAAATAAAAGACCTTTAGTTATGCACCACGAGTTATGCACCCTATCCTAGACCCACCTTTGTGATTCACCTACCCAACTAATGTTTACTACAATGGCATATAGGATCATCCATGAGTGAATCTATTTGACACTCCCTAGATGTTTTATTTTTCCGGATGTGGAAACTCTCCCTGCGGATAGTTCGTTCTAAGTGAGTTTGGATAACTCGATAGGGAGTCTAAGCGGGAATAGGATTCTCCGTGGTATAAATCATGAGTCGGCAAGCTTGGAATATCATTCATCGGTCTATTTTGTAGTTATATAAAAATAGGAAATTGAATACCAAACATCGAGTTTCACATGTCTAGAATCTCTAGGATTCGCTAAGGGAACTAGCTAGCCGCAGGGACCAGTTTATGGGGATTCATCGAATTGAAATGAAGTCCCCAGAACATCACTAGAAACGACAGCCAGAAAAGAGAAATCAGGGCTTAGGCTGCCAATTTTGCCTCCATTTCTTCGTTCATACCTATGTCTCTTTAAGTTAGGAGAATTACCCTGTCGGCAGTGTAATGAACCTCTAACTGCCTCTTATCACTGGCTACTGAGTTCCATACCCTAGAGACCTATTTATAAGTCTTGGATTAGGGTTTGTAAGGGGAGAAACCCAACCTTGACCTTTCATCCAGCCAATCAGAAGGGCCCGCCATGCAGCTACTAGTTCATGATAAATTCTGGACGCCTTCTCGACGAAGTTTGGCAAATTTCCTGAAATGGCAGCCACGAAGTCGTTTTGAATCATGGGTCAGTGTTTTAGGCGCCATTTTGGGCCTTCGTCTTCTTTCAATGTCTTTCTCCAATAGTCAAGCCTCGATGTCCCTCAATGCTCCCAAGTGGGCTTTTAGCCTACTTTGACCTAAAAATGCAAAAAAAAAAAAAATGTTAGCAAAAGCTTATCATTGTAATAAAGCAGTCCTCACACACTTTGAGGATGCACATAGTATATCTATGATATTATGCCGATAAAAATGAGAAATCAATACATTTTTTTATCATAATATGAGAGTTTAAAATTGTATATTTCACGTATCATCAAAGGTCTAGATGTTGTACTTGAGAGACTATTTTAAAATGATGACATCTTCTGAGTGATTTTAGGGGTATCATTATAAAATAATTTTGATGATTTGAATTGTAAAAATGGCATCCCATCTTATGTGAACGGCAACATAATGGCAGTAAACAATAAAAGAACCTTTTCACAAGATATAATTAATCAAAATAGTATAATTTTTTTTTTAGTACATGATTCATAAACGTCGTCTAGTGCCCATCCTATGTGATGTACTTCAATCCTCTCGTCTCCAATGTGTCATCCACGTCGTCTAGTGCCAACCGCTGCCACCCCACCAGCCACTGTCATTCACTCACTTCTGCCCATCCATTGTCACTGAGACCATATTCAAGAACATTTCGAAGTTCAGTCAGATCCAAACCGAACCCAAAACTTGTTAGTTTTGTGCTCGCCGGATGTCGGTCCATGAACACGCTCTATCTCGATTTGTAGTTCAGTTTTAACCGAATAGACCAAATGCCGCCTCTTTTAGCGAGTATCAAGGACTTTTTTTTCTACAACGTACTCTAGCTCTTAAAAAAGATTATGAAAATACGATAGCTCTTATGAAATTTCTCAATCTACTTGCATGGATTCGCTTATCGTCATTTTGTATAATGTTTATCTTTCCATCCGGAGACGTTTTAACATTTGTGTAGTACTCATAGCTGGTTTCCAACTTTGAATTTATCATTGAACTTTATTGTAATGATGTTTATCTTTTCCATCTTTTCATATTTTGACTCTCGCGTCATACTCCTAGCTCGTTTTTAACTTTGACTTTGATCACTGAACTATATTATAATGCTATTTATACTGAACGTGGATCGCTGAAGGCAAAAAGCAATCATAACAGATCGCTCTCGTCGAAAGTTATCAAAACTTCATCGCCTCACACATCAATGATCTATGTATAAACACGTTCCACCTCAGTGATCCTTGTCAATTATCGTGACCAATCACTTCCCTCTGTAGCTATGTACTCTCGGATTGCTTTTTCAGACGCGATCTAGATATAGATCGCTTGACACCTCAGCAATCCTTGCACATCGCTTTTCCCACCAGCAATCAAATATTTAATCACTTTTCTCTTCAACGATATTTCAACATATCGCCTTTGACATGAGCGATCGATACAAAATGTATGTAGGTAGAAAATTTTCATAAGAACTATTATGAAATTTTTTCCCTCCGGTAAAGAATTAGTGTAGCTTGGGAAAATTGTCCTAGTATGGAATTTGCGTAAAACAACAGAAAAAGTAGATATGGGACAAGCAAGCAAGCAAAGGGACGAACACACGACACCAGAGTATCCAGCGGAGCCGAGTTAGAGAAAATGAGAAATAAAACGGAAACAGAAAGAGATTCAGCAGCTGCTTTGTTCTTTCCCTAAATCGTCTTTTTGGGGGATTTTGGCATTTTGTCTTTCCTTCCACCTTTGGATCCGCCGAACATAACACAAATGGACAAGCACTGACCATTACTTAATTACTCTGCTTACGACCTGACACTACTTAGTACTTAATAATAATAATCCCGAAACCATAATGGCGAGAAAACCCCACAGAATACACTGATAACTGTAACGTGCAAGCTCTGAATCAGGATTTCAGAGAAGGGAGAATCGATCAGGAAACAACTGAGACCTCAGTCCTCCCCATGGCCACTGACTTCAAGTCAATCCCTATCATCGGTAACGAAACTGAAGCTCACTCTACTCCATGAGAATTTTCCACTCCATTTTCTGATAAAATTCGCCTTTTAAAGTCTCCGACTCTGTTTTTCTTTTTCCCCGCTGAATAAAGTCTCCAACTTTGGTCATAATCCGGTGGTGGGTTCTGCAGATATCGGTCCTTTACTGGCAAAGAGCGATGACCCGGATATGGGTTCGGACCCGGGTGTGGCTCAAGTTGTCGAACAGCTGGACCGGGCTTGTAGGGAAGCTGGCTTCTTCTATGTGGTAAGATTCGAGTCTCCGAGACTTGGAAATGATTCGATTGTAGCTGGGAAACTTGAATCAATTTCTGTACCGTTTGATTCCATTCATTTTCAAAGCTCGAATTACCGTTGTTAGCAAGCCTTGAAACCCTTTTCCTCTTCCTTTGAATTAGTTTAATGATGTTCTTGTGCTGAATTGGTGGCTGACCAGAAAGGCCATGGCGTTCCAGATCCCCTAGTGAAGGAGGTCAGAAGTATAGCACGCAAGTTCTTCCATCTTCCCTATGAAGAGAAGCTTAAAATCAAAATGACACCAGAAGCTGGATACAGGTTTTTGCTTCTTCATCCATTTCTGAGCTATATGGCAAGTAAATTCAGATTACTTGACTCATGTAAGCTCATACTTGAAATGCAGGGGATATCAGAGGCTTGGAGAGAATATAACCAAAGGTGTTCCTGATCTGCATGAAGCTATCGATGTAAAGTTTGTTCCTTTGTTTCCGGCACTCGTTTTAAGATTTTGTGAACCTTAGGAAGGCGGCTGAAGTGTGGAGAAACGTTTTTCTTTCTTTCTGTGAATAACAGTGTTACACAGAAATAAAACCAGGGAGGTATGGAGCTCTTGGAAAGCCTATGGAAGGATCAAACCAATGGTATAGAAACCACACTGTTTACAAATTTAATCGATCGGGTATTCGGTTACCGTTGTTGATTCTTGATTCTCTTTTCAGGCCACAGTATCCACCAAACTACAAAGAACTGATGGAGGAGTACATAAGCCTATGCACAGGCATGGTTTTTGTCCACTCTTTACCTTCGTTTGTCCATCTGAGTTGCTATCTATCTGTTTGAATTTTGAGAAATCTTCTGCTAACAGAACTATCGAGGAAGATCATGCGAGGAATTGGTTTGGCATTGGGTGGATCGCCTTCGGAGTTTGAAGGCGATAGAGCTGGAGAAGCGTTTTGGGTGACGCGGATCATAGGTTACCCTGGTGTACCTGATGCAAATGGAGATAACAAAACTGACAATGATGTGGGATGGTAATATGTTATATGCATGTCTGAACTATATTGTGTTGCCGCTTCCATGTTGCTTGATAGTTTCACGAGTTTAACCTAAAATCGTTTGCCTTTCCTGTGGCTGGAAAATTTGTGCAGCGAAGCTCACACAGACTACGGTAAGATTCATTCAGATGTTGCTTGGGGGTACAAGTTTCTGCACCTCAAGTTTTTCTAGACTATCTTGGTAATAAATTCTGCTATTTCCGGCTGCTTGATAGGTTTGGTGACGTTAGTCAATCAGGATGATGATGTAACTGCACTTCAGGTATTGCCGACTGTACCTTCTAGTTTCAGTTCATAAAAAGTTTCATCTGTTAAGAAGGGTTTGTTTCATAGTTTTGACTTTCGAACTCCGTTGTTCTCCTGATTCGAAGGTGAGGAACCTGTCTGGGGAATGGATATCTGCTCCTCCGATACCCGGGACATTCGTGTGCAACATTGGGGACATGTTGAAGGTTATATGAGCAACCACTCACTTCACTAAATTTACTTCTGAATTCTTGTACTGGATCGTTGAGTTCGAGTCTTTCCTGGAAAAAAAACTGCAGATTTGGAGCAACGGTCTGTATGAGTCGACTCTCCATCGAGTTGTCAATAACAATGCCAAATATCGCGTCTGTGTTGCTTACTTCTACGAGGTTAGTGACTTGCCTTGCCTTCTAATGATGTTTGTGAATCACAGATGAATTTATGTAAACATTCTTGTGCTGTTCGTTTTACAGCCAAACTACGATGCCATCGTGGAGCCCTTAGACTTTTGCATCCAGAAGAGTGGTGGCGTTAGGAAGTTGGGAAAAGCTGTTTATGGAGAACATTTGGTCTCCAAAGTTCGAACCAATTTCGTCTGAAGTGTCTCTGACGTTGGTTCATACTGTGGTTATATAACTTGCATTGCAATGTACTATATATAGTCTTCTCAGAAGCACATTTTCAGAATAGTTTAAGAAACCCAAAATAAGAAAACAAGAGGAAATCCCATAAGAGTAATCCTTCCAATGGTGAGAATATAACAATCTGAAGTTTCCTGTCAAATGGTCTACAAAACATACAAGTGGACTAATTCCCATCCCACAACCCGGGAAGACGAAACCACAATGGGTACTATGAAGTAAGAACATCAACAGAAAACCTGCAGGCTGCCATCCTATGAATCACAGGACAAACTGAACATACACTGTATAGGTTATACACTGTTCATGACGCGAGGATGAATAGAACAGCCAGCTGCTCTTAATTCAACTAGCATAAGTTCTAGGACTTGCCTACACCCTTATCCTTGAGGTAAAGTGGAATCCTCCCGCCTAGCTTCTTGAGACGATCCACCATATCATACAAAAATTCAAAGGTCAGCTTGGATTGTGCATTCAGATCCTCTCTAACATGAGGATGAACCCTGAACCACTCTCCCAACATCTTATGCACATGGGAACGGATCATTCTCCACGGCACTGGGTACTTTTCGCACAGCTTCAAATACTCCACAACCAAATCAGCCTGGTCGAGCAATCCATCTCTGTGCCTTTCTTCTTCCCCGCCAGGGGAAACCCATTCAGGAGTCCGGTATCCAGCAAACACCGCTGGATTCTCGAGCAGAGTCTCGGCCGAGAGCACACCTTCCACGCCTGTCTCATCCAAACAGTCGTGAACGTCTTCCATGTGGCGGATGTTGCCATTGGCAAGAACAGGAATTCTCACTGCTTCTCGTACAGCTTTAATGACTTTCCAGTCGGCCCTGAACTTCTTCCCATCCTTTTCGTCTCTTGTTCGGCCATGGACTGCCAGCACCCAGCACCCAGCTTCCTCCAACATCTTCGCGTAGCTAATTGTATCCTCCAAATTGGGAAAGATTCGGATTTTACAAGAGACACGAATGTGATTCAGGGCCAGCTTTTCAACCAGGGACTTGACGAGTGGCAGGTTGTCCATTAGAAAAGCTCCGTAATACCCTCGCCTGGCAATCCGCTGAGGACAACTGCAAGGAACAGGATAGCAGCAAATCGTAGTTATCAGTTAAAAATTGAACCATTCTCTTCTCCCACTTTTATGTTTCCCTTCTCAGAGACATAATGTCGAACACATACCCGAAATTTATATCGACATAGTCGCAATGAGGCTGCACCCTCCCAGCAGCTTCAAGCAGGGTGTCTGGATCATTGGCACAAAATTGAACGAAAAGCGGCCGATCCTCCTGTGAATCGGCTAATGAGAACTAAGATTATCAGTATCCAATAGAATCAATGGAGGCAACAACTTACCTTGCAAGTGGTGAACTCTTGGCTACGGTACTTCTCATTCTCGGTGAAAATCCTTGAATGAAGCATTGGAGTGTAAGCAGCTTCTGCACCGTACTTTCTGCAGAGCATCCGAAAGGGGAGCTCGGAATTGTCCACCATCGGAGCAACGATGAACTTGGGGCGACCAAGCTCGATCCAATGCGCCCATGCTCGTTCCGCCCGGGAATCCCCGGTAAGGTAACCGTTGGGCGAGGGGGAGACGCTGAATGCCGCGGTTGAAGTGTCTTCTTCTTCTGTTTGGGCTGCGTCTTGGTGTTGGAGAGGGCTGCTGGAACAAAGTGAATCGTCGGGAGTGGGAGGTGGGTCAAGAACTTGGGTGCCGGAAGAAGCCATGAGAGGTCTGGTTAGCGGGAAGATGAGAGGGTTGAGAGGAGGACGGGGAGAGAAGACGGATCTCATCGGCGGGCGACGGGGAGGGAGAAGAAACCCATCGCCGCCATTGACGAGGGATTTTTGGGGGGAAGGTTTCCCTCTTCGGTATTGGGCAACGTGAGGTATTTGCAGGGTTTTTTGTAACTTCCCCTGGCTCCTGGCCTAGAGTGGTTCGATGGACGAATGGGCCAGGCCCGTAACTTCTCAAACGTGGAACTGGAACATAGCTGGATTATATATATATACATACACTAGATTAGGGCCCGGCCTTTTGGCCGGTAGAGTTTGATTTTCATGTGTATGTGTACTTGTGTAGTAAACATTGAGGATTGAAGTAACAATTTAATTTGGTAAGTTCTTCATGAATAATATAGGAAAGTATTTAATGTATTTGACTAATGAAGTTTAAAAAATGACAAACAACGCCCAACTACGCTAACATAAATTCATATTTCAAACAAAGTCATATCTATATAAAAATGTCTAAGAAGAACGATGATAAGAGTTGTTTTACATCACACATACATAATCAATCTTCAGTATACGATAAATTTTTTTGCCTTTTTCATTGACTTTCGTGTATTCAATGATATAATGAAACAAACCATATGTTTAGAGTGTACTTAAAAAGAAACAAACTAACTCACACAGTCATGGTTCCATTGACTTTAGTGTATTCAATGATATAATGAAACAAAGCATGCAGATCTCCAGCTGCAAGTTCAACTAATAGAGCAACACATAAAAAGCTAAATCAAAGCGAAAAAAAGGCAAAAACTAAAAGCAGCATACCTAACATTTTGGGGGAAATCCACAACAATAAAAGTCATTGTATGAACACTTGATAATGATTTGAACACTTGTGATATATGAGTTGTGAAAGTTAATAAAAGTCATTGTAGCTCTTACTCAAGTTAGAAAGACTTTGATTTAATGGTAAGTAAACAATTATATGTAGTGTGTAAGAGGGAAAATGAGACCTTACATTGTTTATTAATATGCATCTTAGTTTCATAAATTTTACATCATTAAAAATTTATGTGCTGAATAGAAACCCATCCAAGTTTGGAGCCATTGTAAAATGTAAGTTATGAGGCAAACAAAAAGTCTCATTAGGTTGTCAACCCGCGGGTTGACCCGAACTCGGTGAAGCTAGTGGGCCAAGGGTTAATGGGTCACCCGGTTTAACCCGAAAATATGGAAAGAGTCATTATATTATACTTCTCCTGATAAATTATATCAAATCTCATCAAACATATGAGTTATAACATATAATATTACACTAAAATAACATGTTGTACTTAGATCCAACATATAGTGAAAATTCACACACAATTATATAACAACAATATTCAAATGTTCAACTTAGGATTCAAAAGATTGAGTTAGGGGAAAAGAAATCGGAAAATAGGCGCATTTCGCAAACCAAAGAAAAAATGACACAATTTGACCTCTAACCCGATACCTTGTAGCGGTCGACTCGGCAGGTGTGTGCAGCCAGTTTTTCTCACCGGGTCAGGGTCAAAGTGGGTCGACCCAGGGGTTGACCCGCGGGTTGACAACCTACTCTCAAGCTTGAAAAATAAATCTATATTATCAAGCATAAAATCATATCTTGCATCAGAAAAAAGAACAAAAAAGTAGTAATTTGATAATCAATATAGGAATCAATATGGACACAATATCTAACCAAGAGAAGAGGAAGCGAAAAAACACAAATTGTTGTGTATAGATTCCGCTCACGATATTTCAAAGTGAAAAATATCATAAAAATTATTAACCAATAAAAGGGAACGGTTAAGGGGAAAATGCATCAATTTGAACCTAAAACGAGAGGAAGTAATATCCTACACCAACATAATTAATGATATATTATATCCTAGAACATCATAAACAAATCTATCTAAATGAAAAAGTATACTAAATTGAATCCAATGTAAAAGTAACGATGAAGATAGATATTATATCCACCTAAGGAATAATAAAGTAAACCATGTTTCTTAGAGACCTCTCTCGATATAACCACTCTATTATAAAACTCATTTCGTCAAACAATTGCATCATATAGAGTTTTAACTTAAATTTGAAGTGCTTATAATTAGCTATTTCATCTCATGAATGAATGAATTATATCATTTGGTAAAAGAAAATAATTTATAAACTTGAGAGTTATTTCGTTTGTTGTTAAATCATTTGAACTGAAGTATGAAATTGCTTCAGAACCATTATTTCATTCATTATTATTAAAATTGCTATTTTTATTATAATTTCTAAGCATGTCTAGTCGAGCTAAGAGATAGACAAATGCCCAATGACCGTCGTATGCCTAACATGCCGCTGACCTCAATAATTATAGCAAACTTTGAGTGCATCTTATAAATTTGATCACTTCTATTTTGGTATAATTGATTACATCAATAAAGCGATCAATCAAAGAGTCTTTCTTTAAGATTTTGATAAGATGTCCCCTACTGCACAATTAGTATGACTAAATTGTACTAAGATAATCATGTATTGAATTTTGAATCGATAGCGCAAAAGATTGTACTAACTCAAGTAGAGTTTTAGCTACCCAGTACTTCATATTCGCATGTAGATAGCTATTTCGAAGAGTTCGAATATTGATTGAGTTTGTTGAACTTTACCTAACAAAACTATGATATCAAGCGCAATATATTATGCTTTTAGGAGAAATTGGGAGAATATGTTGGTGACATCAAACCTAACATGGATACCATTGAATTTAAGTTATAAGCAAAATTTATGTTTAATAGATTAGACATGAAAAATATATTTAGCATTCTCATAAGTTGGTATGAAAGAAGTGAATAATTAGGAAGTGAAATCTAGAAACAAAGTTGATTTAATAAATAACTGCAAATGATATTGTGAAAAAGAAAACAAATGCTTAGAGCATAGCTAGGCATGCGAGTGTTACATTAAACTCTATTAAACTCTCTAAGAGAAAGCAAGTAACCATTAATAGTTAGCTGTGGATATTGAAATAGTTAACTATGATGAATACTATATACTGGTGTTAATACTTGGACCTAAGCTTGAACCTTGTATCATGCTGATAAAAATTATTTCATTAATTACATTATTGAAATAAGGGGTCGTATGGAAGTTTTGATTGTTTTTTTAGATTTTTAAAATAAATACATTTTTCATAATACAATACATATGTTTTTATTTTTGTTCATACACAATCGTGAATTATTTGCTTGATTTGACTAAACTATCATTCAAATTGAATGATTAAATAATTTTGAATTTTAGTATAGACTGTCGAGATAATTGGTATCGGTGTTTGTCATTTTTATTTATCTTGAAATGTATGGTACCAGTGTCCTTATATCGTCATTGAACACTTCATTCAACACTTCAATTTAATTCGCAATATTCCAACCAATGATAATTGTGTTGAGATTTTAAGATTATCCTTCATTTATAAGTTAGAAAAAATTATAAATTAATTATTAAAATATGAAACTAGAAGTATCAAACTCCACAAAATACTTATAGGAGACTTAGCGGGCTAACTAACTGTGATAGAAAAGTACTTTGTTTTTCATAATTTTAACTTCCTCTATGTTTTGTATTACTAAAGTACAACAAATGTGTCTAGTCTAATTGGTTACAATTATTGTCATTGGTGGAAGAGACCATGGTTCAAATCCTAGCATTGATATCTTTTTATATAAATAAAAAAATGATTGTGTAGACGAAAATACCCTTCCTACTTTCACTCTCGTTGCAGGAAATTTGAAATCGAACAAATCAAACTCTTTAAAATGTATTATAAGTAGTCTAGATAGACTAGATATATATATATATATATATATATATATATATATATATATATATATATATATATATATGGTGACGTCTTCGGTGCACTCACTTTTTTGGGTGCATTCAGTGCACTCGCTTCATAACCGTCATTTTAAACATGCGATTTATGTCAAAATGATGTCAATCATCACTTATGATGTGATGAACAATAACGCACATGAATTTGCACAAAAAACCATTAAAGATTTACTTTAATTTGAAGGATTAGAGTTTAGAGATTTAGGATTAGGGTTAGGGTTTATAATTTGGGGTTTACGGATAGAACTCAAAATTGGAGGTCTAGGGCTTAGGGTTATCCACTAATTAGTTGTTATCATATGTTATATCATCATATTACACTAATTCTACATCTTAGAATTCAAAATTCGACACCTTAAGACTAGTTTTTGAGTTGGGTGCATTGAACGAACTCATTTTTGTGAGTGCACCGAAGTAGGCACCATATATATATATATATACATATATATGGTGCCGTATTCGGTGCACCCATTTTTTCGGGTGCACTCAGTACACCCTCCTCATAATTGTCATTTTGACCATGCGGTTCATGTCAAAACGGTAACAATTGTTGCTTATGATATTATGAATAAGAAGCACATGAATTTGAAAAAAAATCATTCAAAATTTACTTTAATTCGAAGGATTTAGGATTTAGGGATTTAGGGTTAGGGTTTAGGTTTACAATTTGGGATTTTGGGTTGGGATTCAAAATTGAATGTTAAGGGGTTAGGGCAATGGATTGATTTGTTATGATTCTATGTCATATCATCATATTATATTGAGAGTACTAATTAAAGTTCAAAATTTGATGTATTATGGACGCTTTTAGAGTTGGGTGCACTGAGTGCACCCAAAAAAGTGAGTGCACCGAAGTAGCCACCATATATATATATATATAGGGTTAATTACATAGTTGGTCACTGAGATTACTAAAAACTTTCGGGTTTGGTCACTAAAAATATTTAATTCCGTTCGTTGTCACTAAAATTAATCAAACGATTCAAATTTGGTCACTCTCCGTTACCTTCCGTCAACCTCCGTTAGCGTCGTCAGTTTTTTGCTGACGTGGGTTATATACGAAGAAGAAGAGGGAAGATGGGGGAGCATTAGAAGATCAGAATGTAGAGGGAAAGAGAAAGGAATCAGGAGAGGGGAATAGAAGAAGACAGAGAGAGAGAGAGAGAGCATGACATAAGCAAACTTGGGCTCGACCAAGAACTCGAATCTCACATCGACGGGCGGCAAAGAACTCGAATCTCGGTCGCCGTAAGGCATAAGTGGAGGTAGAATTGGTGGCGGTCTCCTCGACTATCCTTCTCCCTCCGAATCCAGCCGCCCTTGTCCCTCTTCCTCCGCCTCCGCTGCCGAAATCATGGCAACTATTCTTCTGAACAACAGCACGCATTGCTTGATCCACCGTCCTCAACGCTATACAACGCTATGAAGAAGACCGACGTCCGGGACACGGTCGGATGGCAAACGTTGTCGTTGGCTGGCGTGGAGTAGTTTTTTGGGAAGAAGACCGATGTGTCTTTGCGATTTGATTTGGGATTTGAGAGAAGAGGGATTTTTTTCCAGTTGGGTCAACAAGAGGAAGGGTCGGGTCAATGGTTGGGTTGGATTGGGTTGGTTTCTTATGTGGCTGGTTTTAATGAGGTGGTGGGCCTGATTTTATTTTGTGGGTTAAAATTAGCTTATTAGGCACTTCTGTTAGCCACGTCAGCAAAAAACTGACGGCGTTAACGGAGGTTGACGGATGGTAACGGAGAGTGACCAAACTTGAATCGTTTGATTAATTTTAGTGACCACGAACGGAATTAAATATTTGTAGTGACCAAACCTGAACGCTTTTCGTAATTTCAGTGACCAACCATGTAATTAACCCTATATATATATGTGTGTGTGTGTGTGTGCGTGTGTGTCAATCGGACGGTTTTGAGCTGGGTTCAATCATAGGTTATTCGGTTTTTGAATTCATTAATTATGAGTTAGTCGAGTTCGCAATTATCAGGTTGCACGTTCATCGAATTATGGGTTTATCGGGTTACTGGTCAATCAGGTTGCGGGTCATTTGGGTTTCAGATTAAGCAAGTTGCCGGCTAATTAGATTACAGGTTGATCAGGTTATAGGTCGGGCGGGTTGCAGCCGGATCAGGTTGCAGGTTGTTTGGTCAGTGCATCGATTTACTTACTCGTTACTTACTATGGCTTACACGTTTTATTACACTAATTTAAAACGTTTTTCAAAAAAATTTAGCCAATTTCTTTCTACCTTGTATATGTACTTACAAAAGTTAAAGAAACTTTCAAAGTGTTGAACCAATTGTATAACTTGCAAATTTATCATATAATTAATGATAATCGATAAAATAAACTAGCTAATAATTATGATGATATCAACATTTTCATTCAATAATCACTACAGTAAAACTTATCTTCAGTCACGAAATATTATTCAAGGGATGTTTCCCATACTAAGATGTATATATACTACTAATCACGAAAAATGTTCATGTGTTTGATAATATAATTCTAATCACATGAATTAATTAGCCATATTTATGTCTTCAATTCCCTGTTAGTTACTATTAATTTAGCTATCTTTGTATGACTGCATGAGTATGAGTTTCCTATTAGTTTCATTCGTTTTTTTCATGTTTTTTCGTTTCGTTTTGTATGTATCATCTTGTAAATTGCCTCAAATATTGCTATAACATTCGTTTAGAAGTTGCAATTGTTTTGGTGAGATTGTTACTATACTTGTATTGTTTAGAATACATCATTTATTATTATTATTTTTAGCAGAAACAATACATGGATTGTTACATCATTTATTATTATGTGATGTGATATTAACTATCACAATCACACATACCAAATGTTGTATTTTTACAATACATCAAATTCAATAATACATGTATAATATCATACATGCATTCATAATAATACATCTATTTAACAATAACAACTTCCAAACAACTTTAATTACGATAAATTTTCACGATGAAATATAGGATAATTATCATGAAAATTAGTTCCCAAGATTAATAACATTAGATGAAGCTAATATAGTTATAATAGGGTGGAAAAATAGCTATAATTATGGTTACCCCGAATTCGACACGATTGGGTAGGTAAAATCTGAACTAAGAAAATTATCTAGTAGTATGGAAAATCTGAACCCGAATATCATGGGTAGCGGCGATACGATCGGTTGTGGGGTTGCCTCTCTTTCTTTTGTCCAAATGGGTCGAGTCTTCTTCATATTGGCTTGTCTTGAGATAATGTAGCAACTTCTAGTTGACTTCTCCATCACTGGACCTCTTCTCTTTCACGAAAGCTCCTTAATCTTCTCATTATAGCTCATATGGTCTTTCGAAGTTCTTCAATGCTTGATCCAATCATCCTTATGTTGCTTTGTCATTCCATCAAGTCGTGAACAAAGAGTCACGACTGTGGGCTGAGAGTCACAGGCATGATCGTGACTTGTACTTGAACCTTCTGTTTGCCGTGTTCGAGTTAAGGGATGGTGGGAGATGCCACGGCGGGGGCTGAGAAGTCACGATCGTGATCGTTACACTCTTACCTTCGCCATTTTCCACGATTCATCTAACGGCTCTTGATCCCTCTCTACTCCATTTGATTCATAAATTGCCCCAAACGTTTCCTCCATTCATTAGGCCCTGAAATATCGCAAACAAACGCAGCCTAGCGTAAAATCGATCCTTAGTTGCAACAAACATATCCCAAACGATCCAAAGGTGAAAGGAAAAACATGTGTAAATACTATGTTATCACATACGTTTAAATGTCTAAACTGAGCAAGCTCTTCTTGCATAGAAAAGTTAATTTTTTTTTTAGTTCAAGCTTAGACACAAAAGCGTATTGGCCAGGGGCGTGCTTAGATCGACTTTTGCGACCGTCGTTGATATCGCCAATAACTTGAGCTTCTAGATGGCGTCTGAGGGCGCCTAGCGACGTTCAAGGCGCGAACTTGTGGGGAGAGGTGGCGCGCATAGCCGCCCAGATATGCGCCTATCTTGCCTACTTCCCTCTCGACTTGTGCACGTGTTACTGACATGGACTTGTGATTTTTCTTTCTGTCCAGATGCTCCTGCTTGCCAAGAATGGCGCCTTGGCCGGTGAGGCGCTGCGCGTTGAAGAGGCAGAGGCCTCCGCCTCCCTCGGTGTGATGCGTGATGATTTGGAGACGGCAAAGAGGCGCCAAACAGAGTTGGTGCAGGCGTGTGAGGACGCTAATATTGAGGCAGCAAAGGCTGCATCTCTCGTCCAACAGTCGATGGATGAGGACCGAGACCAGACCGGGACCGGACCGTATAACCCGGACAGAGACCGGACTGGGACGGGATAATAAACAATCCAATCTAATCTTTGGGTTTAGATTTGAGGTAAAAAACCGTTCGGGACCGGATCGAAAACTGGATAAAGACCGGATAAGAGAACTCAACACCCAAAACTTAAGGGTAATTTGCATAAACGGTGACAAACCTTTGCCCTTAGTACAAAACTTAACCAGCTCCTCACCCTTTCAGGCCTTAGGCCACTGAAATCTCCACAAGTTCAATATAAAATCAAGACCGAATTGGGACCGACCGGATCAAGACCGGACCGAATCAAGACTGTACTGTATCCAATCCAATCTTTGGTCCTTATATTTTCAAAAAGATTGGGCTGGACCGGATTAATTTGAGCCAAATTTAACCACGGGATCAGCATTCCGGTTAAGAGGAGGGGGCGGGCGGGGCAGGGAGCTGAGATCACTCCCACGCGGAAGTCATCCACGGCGGGCAGCGAGAAAACCGGCGCCCAGTTTTTCACAGACAAAAGTCAACCAAATCATGCTGCCGGGACCCACTCTCCAACTCCTATCGTTCAGATCTACTGACGTCCATCAGACGGCCGGAGACGCTCTTTTGACTCCCCCACACACACTCTCTCTCTCTCTCTCTCTATCTAACGTGCCTCTGGGCTCTGGACCAAAATTTCTCCCCACTTGGGCCCACTTACGATCCAGCAAGTCAAACGTTTCCCGACAAGTCATCCCCCACTAGTTTCAATCTCATCTTCCCTATCGTAATTCGTACCCCAAATAGTACTAATAAAAATAAATTCCCCACACCAAAATATAAAATTTACAGCGACTCATCGGTGAAGACAAAAAAAAAAAAAAAATTACAGCGATTATTGTCCGCAGACAATAGAAATTTACAGCGACTGCTCTTTTTCTTCCTTCTTCTTGCTTCGAGAACAGCGAAGAATAGAAAAAAAAAAAAAAGTGGTTGCGTGATGTTTGACCGCGGCCTGCTTTGACCAGCGACGACCCATCCAATTCAATTCACAATCTGTTTTTATTCCTGGTCTTTGCATTTGGCTTTCATTAAACAAAAATAAAAGAAAATTTAATTAAAAAATGGGGGAATCCAAAAGCATGATGTACTGAATTATTCTTACCTACACTTGACGACAAGGCTAAAGTGACCCGTCGGTCACCTTGTCGACCAATACCTTTTTTGCTTTCCTCCCCCATTTCTAACCCAAACCACCACTTTTGCCCGACCCGAACCGGCCCGGCCCGGCCGCTTTCCCCATCCTTTATCAGCACCACAGCTCTCTTTCTTTCCCCTCTCCTACAATTCCTCTCTCTCTCTCTCTCTCTCTCTCTCTCCTGGGGTTCCCCCACTCCGCCATGGCCATAGAGCTCATGATGAACTACGGCGGCAGCAGCAGCAACGCGAGCTTCGTCACCAAAATGGAAGAGTCGGCCGTCCAAGAAGCCGCCTCCGGCCTCGAAAGCGTCAACAAGCTAATCCGCCTTCTCTCCCAGCAGCAGCAACAGACACAAGATCAGAACCACCGCCGCTCCTCTCCCTCCTCCTCCGCCTCAGCCGACCCCGCTCCCGCCGTCGACATCGAAACCGACTGCAGAACCGTCGCCGACGCCGCCGTCTCCAAGTTCAGGAAAGTCATTTCCCTCCTAGGCAGCACGCGAACAGGCCACGCCCGCTTCCGGAGAGCCCCTGTCTCCGCCGCTTCTCCGTCGACGGAGCTGATCCCCGCAAATCTCAACCACCATCACAGCCACCACCACCACCACCACCACCACCGCAGCGGCAGTGAAATCCCGCATCCCGAGAGCAACAGCAACGACAACAACAAGGTCTACTACGCGACGCCGATCCAGCAGATTCCTCCCTCGCCGCAGGATTTCGGCCTCGCGGTTGTGAAACCAGGCGCATCCGTGGACAGAAACGGCAAAGATTCGTCCGCCACGACCATCAATTTCTCGTCCTACTCCTCCGCAGCGAACTCGTTCGTTTCGACGCTGACCGGAGAAACAGAGGGGAAGCCGCACCAGCACCAGCACCAGCAGCCTTCTTCCTCGTCGGCGTTCCAGATCACGAATCTGTCTCACTCGGCCGGCGGGCGGCCTCCGCTCTCCACATCGTCGTTGAAGAGGAAGTGCAGCTCTGAGACTCTGGGATCCGGGAAATGCCTCAGCGGCGGCTCCTCCGGTCGCTGCCACTGCTCCAAGAAGAGGTAAACCAGTCCACTCGGGTCCTGTTTTTGAATTCACTCCCCCACCTAATTCTTCCCCCCTGTAGCCTGGTGGTATTGAATTTCGTCCGAAATTTTTGCAGTAGGAAATTGAGATTGAAGAGGGTGGTTAGGGTTCCGGCGATAAGCCTGAAGATGGCGGACATTCCTCCCGACGACTACTCGTGGCGGAAGTACGGGCAGAAGCCAATCAAAGGCTCCCCGCATCCACGGTAAGTTTCATTTTCCTGATGATCTGCTCCATCGTTTGACCGGGGATTGGGCGAGGGTTTGTTGAATCAATTTGTGGCAAAAAAAACTACAGGGGTTATTACAAGTGCAGCAGCGTGCGGGGATGCCCGGCCCGGAAGCACGTGGAGAGAGCGGTGGATGACCCGTCGATGCTGGTGGTGACCTACGAAGGAGATCACAATCACAACACGCTGTCCATTGCTGAGACTGCTAATCTCATCTTAGAATCCTCCTGAATTTCATTAGCTTCTGTTTTAACCCTTTTTTTGGGTGATGGAAGGAAGGAATTAGATAGCAAAACTGTAATAGGGTTGGTTGGGTCGAGGAAGAAGATGCAAGATGATGAACAAATTCAATGCTTTGTTTCTTTCTTTTTTGGTGGGTGCTGGTGATCTCGAAGGAGATCGTGGGATCAGAATCTGTAGGCTTGTAGTAGTAGCAGGGAATGGATATTTTTGGGGGGTCTAAGTTCCCAATTTGTGTCCAATCATTTCATGTAAAATATTTATTATGGGGATACTTTTGGTTTTGTTTTGTTTTTGGGTCGATAATGAGGAACCCATATGTTCTTTCTTGTGATTTGGGGAATAAATTTGGTGGAAGGAAAGATTTGATGGAATTTGGATGAAGCAAAGCAAAGATGGTGGGTGGTGGTGGTAGTGGGATTTGGTGGTAGATTCCTCATTTCCTCCACCTCTCTCTATTAGCAATAACACTAGTAGGGAGAAAGTTGGAAGGTCTTGGGTATTAGCATAAATGGTGTTTCTTTCTGCTCTTGTTAGTCAAGATTTTTACTGATTATTAAGATTTGTGTGAGCAACTATTCATTATTCTTATTTAGACTTGCTTTTGACATGTAGAAAATACTAGACACCTTTTAGACAAGGGATTTTCCAATGTTCATAAGCACGAATGTTTTGGGTAAGTTGAGTTTGTACTAAAATATTGTAAATACAAGTTTTGTGTATACCATAAACGAATTTGTACAAAATTTGTACCATAAGGAACAATAGGGAAACTCTTTATATGTTTCGATTCTCATTAGCAATTATGTTTACTTTATATAATGCTATCTATATCCCAATTTGACAATTTGTCCAAGAACTGATAAGCTTCCAATTGTGCTCCTTTTGTTCAAAACACTTTTACTTTAATTTGCTTTATTTGTTAATTAGACTGAGACCGAACGAAAGATTCCAGCTTTGGTGGTGGCACTGTCTGGCTCTTTGATTGATACTTTGGCCCTTTTTTGTTCTTTTCAACCTGGGGAGTCGTTGTTTTTGATCCTTGGATGCCAACTTCCTTTTACTTTTTCAACGTTCTCCCATGAATAATTTGCAGAGACCCAAAAAAAAAAAAAAAGTGTTTTAACAAAAAGAAAAAGTAAAGGAAGGAAGAGTGATTTGGTCAAAGCAAGCAACTATTCCCCTCTCTCTCTCACCAAGTGGATCAACGTGTCGTGTGTGGTAGACTTGGTTGACTGGAACATACCATGAACGACAAATAATGTGTTTTCCTCTAAAATTTATATTTACTTGAACAATGAAATGGATGTTAGCGTCTGCCGGTTGGAAATATCCTATATTTATTTATTTATTTATTATCAAAATTAACTTTGTTACGATCGAATTATTTTTATTTTTATTAATCATTTGAAATTATAATTAAAATATTTTTGAATTAGTTTATATTTGGGTTGATTTAATTTATTTGTAATCATAGAGTATATGTTTATATAACAAGATTCATTAAAAATTCATCTAACTTTTATTAATTGATAAAGGTTAGGACGCCCGTCCTGTTTACGCACAAAAAAAAAAATAACAGGCTAGTTATAGTCTTGTTATAATAAATATAATTAATAGAGTTTATCTTGTAAGTTTTGTAATAAGTATTATCAAATAAAGTTTATTATTGTGACCGCCAAACTTAACTATTTTTCTTGCTCATTCTGAGCTTGCTCCTGTAACCGGCTTTTAGCCTCCATTTAATAAACAATAAACTTTAGACTATAATAGATTAATAATTAAAGCTGGTTGTGTATTCCAATCTAAGACTCTTAGCAATGATTATTAATATGTTCATTTACTTTTAATCAGTGTTGAGTCTAGAAAATAAAAAAATAATAAAAATGCTAAAAAAGAAATCAAAGATCAAAGTTGGCGTGGGTGCTTAAGAAGTGAAAAAAATTTGAAATTGTACAGTCTAACTTGGAAAAATATTGCTTGTGTGATCGAGCTTTAAATTTATAAGTCGATACACACTCTCTATTCAATACTCACTAAGCTAAGTATAACCTAGTTAGGGTTGTAGTAAAGTGGTTCGGTCATATTCCAAAGGAACCCTAAACTTACTATTACTTCACTCTCAACAATTATCTAATCGAATCAAAAGGTTGGGTGTTTAAACTAATCTAATCTACTCCTAAATACAAAATAAACAACCAACCAAGTGGCCGGGTGATCGCTAGAGATGAGACGGTTGCCTAAAGTTGAATCCTCCTAGATATGGTTGTCATGTAGGGTTAAGAGAATGTGGTGAGTGAGCTCTTTACCATGGGCATTTGTGATTATCCACACGCCTCGATCTAGGCTATCGTATCCGGGGTTTTAAGAACATAGCTCATATCAATGGGTACTACCGACTGTCCACACCGATGTTTAATCCTGGGTTCTATCTAGGAAGACATTCTTACAGAAGGGGTACAGTCGCATCGTCCACCACAAGATCCTATTCAATCATCTAACCCTAATTTGCAAGATGACACATACTCGTCTAACCTTAAAACTCCATACCCAGCGTAGAAGCTCAAGTAAGTTAGAAGAGAATATTAGGGCGACTTACCCAAGCACAATTTAATCTAGAGAAGCAATGAAATCAGCTAGATAAACATATTCATTCAAAACCAAACTCGATCTTCTTTTCCTTGCTTGCACCTTTCTTCTTGCTCCTTGAGTGGACTGGATATTCAACTAAACTCTCCTTTAAAAACAACCCAAAACCCTTCTTTTCCTTGCTTACACCTTTCCTCTATAAAAACAACCCAAAACCCTAAATTTCTCACTCTAGGGCAGCTCTCCTTTAAAAAGTGCAGCAAGATGGGTATTTATAGAAAGCTGAGGGTGGTCAAGGCGTGACACGATGGTCAAGGTCGTGACCACCTGGAACATCTCTGAATCGCTCAAAGCAACGCGTTTTGATTTCATCTTTAAGGTCCAAGATCGCGGTCGTGATCTGTGTGTCCCTGACGCTATCTTTATTGCGGTCAAAGTGCACCATGTCCGTAATTCGATTGGGGAAACTTTCTGCCTTCTTCTTGGGTGCCTGCTGAAGTCTGCGGTTACTGTTCTCGATCAAGATCCTTAGCCCGCGAACCAGTGCCTCTCCTCCCCTTCTTGCTCCTATGCTTCCCAATCGTGCTCAGATGACCTCCAATCGATTCCCGATCAATCCCGAATTCATATAAGACCTTGAATTTCATCACTAACACTTGGAAAAACATAAAATACGACAAATTGGGGTCAATTCCCCTACGTAAACCTTCATATCAAGAATACCTATGCTAAGATGGATGTTTTGCAAATTTTGGTACCTTTGATTTATGGAAAGAAAAATAAGTGGCAATTTTGGATTTTTTATGTATGGAAAAAGAAATAAGGGCGGAAACTGTGTTGTTTTCAAATTTTTGGGAAGAGAAAGAAAGGAGAAATTTAGTGTTTTTCATTTTTTTTGAAAAGAAAGAAGAGGGAAATGTGAATGATTTTAGTTTATGGGTTGATAAAGATGGGGAAAAGTTGGTGTTTTTAATATTTTTAGAAATGAAAGTAGATAAAATGTTTATGCTTGCAACTTTTTTATGTTTCATAATTTTAGTTTTTCAAATATAAATCTTGAAATATTTACGTGGAGAGCATGACTAATTGAGTATATTATACCTTTACCTGAAATAGCTAATTAACTATATTAGATTTGAGAATCTATCGTTGGTGATCTCATCTTCACTCTAATATTACTCAAACTACCTCAAATGAAGGTTATTTTATATTATAGATAATATACTTAATTACTTATCAATTTGATTATCACAATGTGCTACATGTGATTGTATAAGAGTTTAGCATTTAGTGCCTAAGAAATTGTATATGCATTGAGATAGATGTTCAAAACTAAGTTAGAGTTTCATCTTACAAAGGATCAATTATGTATTGAAGACTTGGAGTTCTAGTCGATTTAGGGTTGTTATTACAAATTATGTGAATATAAATGTTTTCAAAGCCAAACAAAGCCGGTCAATCGAACCGATAAAACCAAGACCCAACCACCAACACAGCCCGGAACATAAAAAATAAACAATTGCTTTTAGCCGACCAACCGTGCCCAGCTAAACAATTGGCCTCCAAAAGTCCTAGGCCTAGGCCCATATTGTTTGGTTCCGGCTTGCACAACATGAAGCCTAAACACTTGGACCCAGGGTTGTCAAGCCGGCCGGCGTGCCACCGGTTGAACCTGGTTCAACCGATATCAGTCGTAAAATTGGCGTGACACCACCGGTATGACCGGCATGATTGATATACGAATCTCTAAGTAAAATGACCTTATTTTAGTGAGTTTAATTGATAAAAATAATTTTATTATTTATTTTATGAGTATAAAAGTTAAATATTGATGTTATTTGTTGGATTCAAGTATAAATGTCTAAGTATTGACGTTAAATGTCATGTTTAAATATGAGTATTTATAATTTTATTTGTAATATTGACCGGCATGAACCGATACAAACCGGTATGTGCCACCGATCGAACTATTCCACTTGCTAAACCGACACACTGGTATAAACCGGTTTGACAATTGCTTGGTCCTCAAAAGAACACATTTTGAGGCCACAATTACCATGAGAACTGCCACCACAGTTTTAAAATAAGTGGCGTAGTGAAATTTTCTTACACCAACAGATGATGTACTTCAACCAATTTCTATCACTTTTAATTTCACTCTCTTCCCCTCCCCTCCAGTTGAAAGCAAGACTATACCTGCATGCAAACCAACGCTAACAATTTATCAATCAATCGATGTAAAATAAAGTAAGAAATTAAGATGGGGAGATTGGATTCGTACATGCATGGAAGGATGATGATCAAGAGCATGACGACAAACTTAGCAACAATTCTGCAGATAATCACCATGGCTATCTTTCTTGGGGTAGAAATTGATGATTGACCACTGCTGCTGCTGAATAATATTTATATATAGTATGAAGAGTTCTAGAGGCCTGAATATACCATTCATATACAATTCATCAATAATTTCATACTTGTTTGAGATTAAGTGATTTATAAAATTTAGACATATTAGTACTCGTGTTCTAATTCTAAATTAGTTTAATGAGTTTTTAATGGTCTAAATGTTGGTTGAACCAGTAAAACGTGTGTTATTTACAATACTGATTCGTACTCTGCTTCGTTTCGGACAACATTGACCAATATATTGAAGTCATATATAACACTAGGGCTGCAAATAAGCAAGGCTGCTCACGAGCAACTCGGACCTCGGCTCATTTGCATCTCTATCTGATACCACTTCATTTCATCACTTGAATGTTTGTGGAGTTAGTTATTCTAAGGTTTCGTTTTAAACTGAATATGAGTTCTTACTTATTTATCTTATGGTAAACCTTTTAATTTGTGGTTGTAATAGGACTATTTGATGAAAATGGTGATCTCACCATAACAATTAACTAATGTACTTTATGAATTACGATTAGTTACATGGCAAGAACTAAAGTCATACGATTGTAGTAACTCAATCATCTAAAAAATACCAAATTAATTCGACATTTTGACAGCTTTTTTTAACCTTTATAAGTGATTATACAAATAGAAAGAAGTTGTCTAAAAATTGCAAAAAAATGTTTGAAATTAGTGCAATAAATAATGTGTAAGCTGTAACGAGTATAGAGCAAGTAACACAATGCGACAGCCCGAACAACCCGCAACCCGATTCGCTCACAAGCCGCCCGACCCGAGACCTTATTAACTCGGAATCCAACTGACCCGCAACCCAACTGACTCGTAACCCGATGGATCTGCAATCTGACTGACTTGCAAATCTATTAACCCAAACCCGACTGACCCATAAACCAATGAACTCAAAACCCGACTAACCCATTACCCGATTGAACCTAACCCGAACCCGCCAAATTGACCTCTCTACTTGTGAATGGTGGCTGCCTTATTTTGTTGTTTCTGTTCTTGGCCAATTAATTTTGTTTTAATAAAATTTCATCACCATTTAAAAAATAGGTTTGGTCTGGTCCTCGGTATCTGTAACACTCCAAATTCTGGTTAGGTCCAATCCAAAGCAAACCTATAAAATTAATAATTTATAGTAATTATTAATTAATCAATAAATTAATAATTTATTAATTAAAGAGGATTTTTTATAAGTATATTGTTAACATAAATGAATTTATAACCTTAAAATTAGATTCATTTGTGGTGCATTAATCGCAATTGAGGATGAAGGAGATGATGATTCAACGTCTTTGAAATCAGTCATGGGAAAAGAAGTAGTTAAAGGCGCATCGGCTCTTCGAAAATACTTGTTGCAATTACATAATACAACACCAACGATTTCGAGTGCAATGAGGAAAGTTCAAGATGAACTTCTAATAGACTTGACCTTCAAGAATAAACAAACAACTATAGATTCATATTTTTCTAGATTATCCTAGTTATATTGTAAAATTTCTGATGAATTATATTTGCATAATTATTAATTAATAGAATTGAAAATACATGTATTTATGTAGGTTGGTTTTTCAAAAACTATTATCTTATTAATTTTATAATTTTGCTCATTTTTTATAATTGTTCAAATTGGGACCGGAAATTATTAATTTATATTAAATTATTAATTTATTGAGTATTAATTTATAGAGATTTTACAGTAGGTCAATTTTAGAACGAAAAGTTGAACCAAAGAATTTGGTTGGTTTAACGGCTAATGGGCCGACTTTGTCAAATTGGGTAGGGATTTGTCTCTTCGATGGATTCCTTGTAGCCCACTACCTAGAAGTAGGGATGGCAACAAAACCCGAACCCACAGGTACCCTGCCCGACCCGCTTTACGGGTTTCGGACCGGGTTTGGATTACCCATACACTATTCACTGGGTTGGGTTTGGGTTTATGGGTACCCAACCCATGGATACTTGCTCACACTTATTTAGTCTCCCTACTCTCCCCAAACTCTAGCCTAATTCTAATTTCCTCCTATCTAACTCCTACCACACTTATTCCGTGTGAATTTATTTAGTGTAACTGTGGTACGTTTGTATTTTATAGAATGGTGTTTTATATATGGTAATTTGTATGGGGAAATTGATGTTTGAATTTTATTTTGATAGGAACTTGTTATTGTAAATTTTTTACCACAAAAATCCATGGGCACCCATAAATCCGCGGATACCCAGCGGGTTGGGTTGGGTTTGAGTTTTCCAAACCTAATGAATTTTACCCTGGGTTTTTTTGACGAATAAACTCATGGGTTTGGCAAAATCCGACCTATTGCCATCCCTACCTAGAAGGCATATTTGAAGACAAATTATTAAGTGAGGCGGCGGAAAGCCTAGGAGAAGCATGGAAGATACGGTCTAAGTGTAGGTTTCCAAGAATGATGGCATATGTAAACTAGAATTGGGCACGGCCCGTCGGCCAAATGAAGTTTGATAATACTTAATAATTAAAGTTTCATGTTGTTTTTCCAGGCATTTATGATAATTTTCAAAATTCATATTGTCTAAACTTACGTTCTTCATGTTTACCTTAATGATAAAATTGATCATAAATTTTATAGAGAAAACGGTTTAATACTGTTTATCGTGTCATTTCCAATGTTTCCTGACACATTTGAATGCATACATTGTAATCTCATATAAAAAAAGGAGAAATTATTCTCTCTTTAATTACACTTAGCTCTACAGCTGCTAATTGATATCAATTTCTTCTATCACCAAATTTACTATATTATCATAAAAATCCACTGTCTTCCATACCAAGACAATAATTAAATTTGAGTTAAAAAAAAAAAAGAGGTTTGCCATGAAGTTTTTTGTTTTAAGAGTTGGCCTGAGACCATTTTTGAAGTTTTGCCATTTTTCTATATTTGGAAAACCAATTTCTTTTTAATGTAACCAAGCCCAAAATAAAAATAGAAGCCCAAATTTAGAAAACGCAGTTGTGATCTCTACGGGCCAAAAACAAAGAAAAAAAAAGAAGTAGAATAATATTTAAAGAAAAAGTAGAATGACAGAGATAGCCCCCTTGATATGCGCAGAGTAGGGTGGACGTTCGGTTACCGGTTAACCGGCCGTTAAACCGATAATTGGTCGGTTATTGACTAACCGGTAATCGAACTTCGATCGGTTATCTGAGGCTAGACAAAATGGTTTTTGGTCTTAAAAGTGGTTCGGTTAACCGATAACCGAGAAACCGAAGCCTATTTCGGTCAGTTTTAGGTAGAGAAGGTGGTTATTGCGGTTAACCGATAATCGACCGATCGGTTATCGGTTATAACCGAAATAACCAAACTGCCACCCCTAGCGCAGAGGCCTTTGTTTTTTTTTTCTAAGAGCATCTCCATTGGAATTGCAATTAGAATTGCATTATGACATGACATTCATTTTGCAATTGCATAATGCAATTGCATTGATTAGATGACAATTGCATCTTTGCAAGTTTGCATATAATGCAATTATGGAATGCAAGCCACATCATCTTTTTTATTATTAAATTATTCATTAATTTTATTATTTGAGTGTTAATGTTTTAATAAATTAAATAAAAAAATTAGTTGCAATTGCAAGTTAATTGCATTGATGTGGTGCAATGCAAGTAAGATGAGTTGGATTGAAAAAATGAAGTAACAATAAAAAAACAAATGCAATTGCACCAATGGAGATGCTCTAACCCCCTCTTCGCCTGGAAGGCTGGAACGTCCATATAGTAGTGTAAAGACACTAGATTTTACCCGACCTGTTGGCCGGATGAATTTTATTTTACTTTATTTGATGTTGATCAATTTCTTCATACTTTTAATTTGAGATTTTCTAAAATAGTTAATTCATTATTTCAAAGTAATCTTTATGATAAAATTTTATTATTACATTAGCAATAATTAGTTAATGTGTATTTTTTTTATCAAGTCGTGCTAGTGTACTGTTGTGTATTTTTTGTCATATCTTCGTAGAAATTTGCAAAAATTTTATTGTCGAATATGAATTTGGAGTTGGAAGGAAATATATGTCATCTAGAATTGGTAAGAATTGAAGATATATTAAAAAATCAAGAGAATAACGAAAAGATTATGCCTAGAAATATGAAATATGGAAAACATGAAAATATAATTCTTATTGTATAAATTAAGATAATTAAGTTTATAGGCTTGTTTGAATAATAAGTGGGGGTTGTTAAGTGTTTGTAGGGGTGGGATTCGGTACGCCGGTAAACGGTTTACCGTTTTACCGAACCGTTTACCGACGGTATCGGCGACCGAGCGGGGGATGGGGTGTGTCGGTTTACCGAATCCGGTATCGGTATATACCGACGGTAAATCGGTAAACCGATACCGAACCCCAAAATGACGTCGTTTTATTTGGCCCCCAATTCCTATACCCTAATTTATAAGTTATGGCATTAACATATAACATATACTTCATTATTCACAAATATTACATACATCATGAGGAAAAATATTATAAATAATAGTTACAAATGTTACAAATGATACATGAATGTAAGTAAGTATAGGCCTAAAAAATGTTATAAATTATTAATTACAAAAATGAAGAAAAAAAACTCAGAAAAATCAAAATATTACAACATCTTCCCCACTAACAGAAATTCGGTTTCGGTAAATGTTCGGTAAACCGAACCGAAAATCCACCCCACGTTGCCCCTTGCGGTAATTCGGTAAACCGGTTTGTAACCGTTTACCGGTAATTCGGTAATCGGTAAACCGGTTACAAATCGGTATCGGTAAACGGTAAACAGTTTTGCCAGCGCCGGTATACCGAAACCAGTAAATTCGGTAAACAATTTACCGTTTACCGACCGATTCCCACCCCTAAGTGTTTGATACTAATGCACGTAAAAAAGTTAAGAAAATCCAAACATTATAAAACGTTAAATTCTACTCTACCAGCACGATTTTTGACTTTTTATGTGGAGTTAATAGCATAAATTGTCACTCTATTATCCATTTTCTCAAATCTATCCCTATACTATTTTCACATCAAACATGTATGCATACTATATAGTATATACGTTTTAACAAATTAAATTTACCCATTTTGTGGCTTATCTTCTCCGTCTGCAACTCCCAATAATTAATAGACACAATCCCATCATCCATCTGTTCTGTTTTCTCTTCCTTTGACCCAACAAGAAATAAACGTAAAAACTTGTCTGTCACGAAAGAACCTTGAAGACCGACTTTTGAATTTCAAACACTCTCTGAAAGTCCACAATTATTGATCGATTCGACTCAATCATAAAAATTTGAACCCAAAATTTTTAGAATATATGGATTTCAAATTATCAAAGGTTGTCAACCCGGTTTAACCCGTTGGTCCGGTCGATTAAGTGGGTTGAGGGTAAAGGTCCAATCGTTTTAGTCCGCTTTTGCCAAGATTTATGAAAAAGTCATTATATAAAATCTCATCTACATATGGATAATATTCTTTCTCGTCCCGACTATCTACACTTGTTTCTCTACCTGCTACTTTCCGCTATCCTGCTTCGAGCTCCTAAAAAGCACTCCAACAACATGTATTCATCACGTGATGAAGGTCGCACTCCTATGACGACGGTGTGTGTGCTAGATGTGGAATTAATGAGGAATGACCAAGTGGGAATTGAGCGTGGGGATGTTTGCGAGTGAAGGCAACATGTGATGGAAGGCGAGTTTTGCCAGTAGTCGCTTTGTCTATAGAATTAACTCAACGGATTTAGCTTACAAATTCGCGGTGCGAGAGCTAGAACGGGTGCGTAAGAGCGTATATTATTCGAGAATTATAAATTGAGTGGGCCAAAAGAGTGTGAATATTATATTAATTTAATTAGTATATCATTTAACTTACTAACATGTTTTGCTCGAAATATTTCAACAATGCAGCGGAAAATAAAAATAAAAATATTTTAGATAATAATTTTTAAATAATCTGATTAGGCCCGAAAAAGGAAAAAATTTCAAAAGTTGAATAGAAACCCATCAAAGTTTACAATACTGTTTTTATTTTTTATTGAAGTTTTTAGTTTTATTTTATCTAAAAGGAAAAGAGAAATGAATGAATCGTTTATTCATCACCCCATGCACTCAATTAGCAGTTAATAAAAGAGTCAATATTTTCGTCTTCCCCTTCAATTCTTTGTTTCCTAAGCGACGCTAAAGATCTCTTGTAGATGTACCAAATTGGCAAATTCATATTAACGGCCATCTAACTAACCTCCTATACTTTTATTTAGCCCAAGCTCGTGATTTGATGATCTATTTGTTAGTCCCCATTCAAGAACTCGTGATGAATCTTCGGAAGTACGAAGATTTTTTTACCGCTCATCTGAATCTTCAACAACTATCTAGATCTCGTGCCACATGTATCCTTTTTTTCATCTTTGCTCTCCAGATCTCTGACACCACCACAAGTATTCATTTCTCCCACGAAGAAGCGGGTCATCGTCTTCGAGCCAAAGCTGTTGATTTGGCTATAACTTGTTTCATTTTACTTTGTTTATAGAGAGAAATCTCTCAAATAAGTGATATATGAAATAACATTTGTGAAGTTTGATTTTCGATGCTCTGATGTTTAGTGTGAGCTACAATTTCTGGGTTTTGGAAGTCGGTAGTTTCTGTAAAAGAATTGTGAAGCAAAAATATCATTTCTACTTTCGCTCTCTTTGTAGGAAATTTGAAATGAGACAACAATTTTCTCATTTCAGTATTACAAATTGTGTAGAGTGCAGATAAAGACATGTACTTCACTACAAATTCGTTAGCACATTTAAAAAAGGTGAAATGAGCCAACTATTAAACTCGTAATGATTGTTGGATTCAATCATATCAGAATAGGAAGAGGTTTAAAATTTGACGGTATATGAGTGATGTAGTTAAAACAACAATTAAATTTTGATAGTTATAGGTGTACGTGGGCACCGTGCCGTGGGTACGGTTAGAGCCCGACACGAGCACGGGCACGAAATATTTGGGCCAATCCGGCACGAGCACAAATTCTTTACGGGTCGTGCCGGGCCTAAACTTCATGAACACGGGCACGAGCACGGTATGTAAATGGGCCATGGCGGGCCTAATATTTTCAAAACCTTATTGAGTATACGAACGGGCATAACACAAAAATAATATTAATTTGATAAAAATAAATATAAAAAGAATAATGGGTTCAAATATTGCAAATATAAATACAAAAATAATTATTTATTGTTGTTAGACGTGATCATTAAGATATATACATAATTACTACCGTAACAAAAAACGGACGAAGAATTAAACAAAGTAACTTCACACTCGTTATACTTCCAATTTTCGTTTCCCCTTTGTTGTTACGTTTCTCAAACATTCTCGGTTAATACTTTCATTCTCCGTCCAATTTTCTCCTTCTTTTTCATCCCCTCTTTTATTTTCTTCCTTTTAGTTAAACACAAATATGAGCATGACACAAGCACGAGTAGGCACGACAATATTCAAACCATGTCCGGGCCCGGGCCGAGCCTAGCAAAAGTAACAAATGGGCTTGCACGGCACGACACGAAAACTCAAAACTGACGGGTCGTGCCAAGCACGACACGAAATAAATGGGCCTGAAGCGTGTCTGTGCTGTGCCGACCCAAGCACGACCCAACGACCATGTACAGTTATAGGCATGAAAACATCTCACATTGTTAATTTTTTGGGTGCATTCAATGCACTTGCCTCATAATCGTCGTTCCGATAACACGATTCACGTTAAAATTACGTCAAGCGTCACTCATGATATTATGGACAAGAAAATGCATTAATTTTCACAAAAATCATTTAAGATTTATTTTGATTTGAATGATTTAGTTTTATGGAGTTTAGGGGTTGCAATTGGGGGTTTAGGATTAGGGTTGAAATTGAAGGTTTAGGGCTTAGGATAATGCATTGATTTGTTGTGATCTCATGTTATATCATCATATTAGATGAATGCTACAACTAAAATTCAAAATCTTACGACTACTTTTAGAGTTGACAGCATTGTATGCATTTATTTTTGTGATGTCTTATATTAAAATATGCTAATATTTGTTCTGTTTGGAAGCAGTTCTACTCAGCAACCTTGGTCAATAACCATGCATAACTATGCATTTACCATTTATGAAAGGTCTCTATCTATTCCAATTTAATTTGAATGAGCTATTCCTTTTTCATTTTAAGTCATTCTTTTTTCATAAAAAACCATATTAATTGTGCTCTTCAAAATGACATCTACTTTGATATACTTTGGAACAAAAAAATGAGACTTTTATTACCAGTCCATACCATGTGGTATTGCTTGGTATGTACAGAAGAGTATACCATGTGGTATGAAAGTGTACCAAGGTGGATGAATATACCATAGTGTAGAATGATTGTATACTTGATAGTAGAAATATATTAACTGTTATGTATCACATCTTCGTGGCCTACCACCAGTTACCACCCCTATACCATATTGGTACAATGTGGTATATTTGGTCCAGGAAAATTTTTCCAAAAAAAAAAAAATCATAGATTCAATAGATCACGATGACCTCGTTCCTTTTGGGCAAATTTGTTCAAAATTCGAGTTAAAGCGAAGGTGGTACCAGGGGAAAATGAGTGGTACAAGCGGTATGAAAATTTTTCCCAAAATATATGGAAAATGAATCTCATTATATAGTCACAATGAACTCGTTCTATCTGTGCATTTTTTTTGGAATCCAAGTTATAACTAGGGGTGTTCAAATGGTTGTCATGATAATTACCAGCCCAAAATCTATTGACCATGGAATACAATATCATAACCAAACCAATAAAACTAACCAAACTAAAGTTTAATCAGTTCGGTTAATTCGTTAACCAGAATAGCCAATATAACATCACATTATCATTAAGTAAGAAATTTTTCGGTCAATGCATCAATTCGTAATTTATATAAAAGAATAACACATAATTATAGTTAACCCTTAACATAAATACATGTAACTAATACAATTATCTTATAGTCAATAGAAGTATTCAATAAATAAAGATATATGTCAATGGTATGGGTTAATGAATTGTTGTGTTAGTAATGAATTGTCTCTTGGCAATTATTATAGGCTGAAAAAACCTTTCTTTTAAGTTTCAACCAACATAATATTATGTTTTAATCTAAATTAAGCGTCTATATGTAGTAGTTTACACTCTACAAATACAAATATACACTATATGAAAAATATTGAGTTTATTTTTTATGAGGTTAAAAGATACGAACATATGACTCTTGAGTGGTTGTGAAAAGTATTAATTATGTGTATATAATACATATTAGATATTTGACAAATTACTTAACTAGTTAATTTGGTTTGATTAGTTAGGAGTGCCTAAAACCAACCAAACCACCTTAATCAAAGGTGCTAATTTTTTTAACCAATCGAAACCAATTATCCAATTTAACGAAACCAAATTATCCAAATACTACCAGTTAAAACGGTTACCACAATAACCTCTCCATTTGAACACCCTTAGTTATAGCGAAAAAGAAAGTTCGACTAATAAAAATAGAAAAAATTAAAAAAAATCATTAATTTTCATCTTTTAAAACTAGCCCACTGAAAACTAAGGCCTTGTTTGCTAATGGTATTTGGGTGATGGATTTGGTCCCCAAATACCAACCATCATGTTTTTTTTAAGCAAAGCCCTTGTTTGATGGGTATAAATTTGGTACACAAATATGTGGGGTCCACGTATTTGGGTCAACTTTTTTTGGCCAAATCCGTGGGCCCCACAGATTCATAAATACCAAGTTTTATTTGGTATTTGGTGATGGGAAGAAAAACGTGTGGGTAAAATGTCCTTCATGTCCAAGCTATTTTCGTTTATTTCGACTTTGCCCTGATCTAGTTATTCTTCATCTCCTTTTTCCTATGAGCTTTTTGCAAAGAGGTAACAAGGAGGAGAGCAGAGGAAGCGCTGTGTTAACTGCTGTAGACGAAGAAGGTAGCAATCGGCCTCCTTGTCTCCGACGCCATCTTTGTCGTCGACCAGCCCGGCAGCACTACTTGAATCAGGTGAGTCAGGGCTATGGAATGAGATCTCCGAAAAGCACACCTTCCACAACCCCAATCTGAGTTTTTAACCCTAATTAAAATGGACAGTGGTGAGGGTTTCTTTTGACATCAATATTTCCTTTCCTTTGCAATGAATGGGATGTTGCAGTTGGTTTCTTCTTCTATGGGTGGGCTGCTGGTTTTTTGTTGTCGATCCACCTACTGTTTGTAGGTTTGATTTGTTCTTTCAACTTTCAAGCTTCTTGCTATGCTGGTGATTGTTTTGGTGTTAGAAATGTCTTCCTAACTTGTTATTACTTTTGATTTATCTAAAGGAAATGGCTCGATTGAGAAGGGTATCTAACGTGCGCAATCGGAAAGCTGCGGAGGCAGTTAGTATAGTGTTAGGACTGTTGCTTGTTTATTTTTCGTTGCTGATCAACTGCTGGAACTTCTGGTAATGAGAAGGTTATTAGATCCTAGGAGACCGAGGAATACCCCAATAGATAACATCTTTGATCGTCAACACGACAAAAGTCGTTATATGAGACACACTAGAATTGTCCGATAGTCGATGTATTGATAAGGTTCGAATGAATCGTACCTTGTTTAGGTAGCTGTGTGAATTACTTGTGAGTGAGGGCGGGTTAAAAGGTACGGACGATGTAAGAGTAGATGAGATGGTGATAATTTTGTTGGTCACAATTGGACACAACATCAAGAACAGGATACTGCAGCAAGATTTTTGTAGATCGGGCCAAACCATTTCAAAAGTGTTCCATAAGGTCCTTCGTTCTATTCTCCGATTCCATCCCGTCCTACTACCTCGGCCAACTCCTATACTCGAAAACTCTGATGATGCGAAGTGGAAACTCCTTAAGGTGATTGCAACTTGTTTGTATTTTCTGTATGCTGTTAAAACGTTTGAAATTAGCATAATAGAGTTGTTTTTTTTCTTAGGGTTGCTTAGGGGCGCTAGATGGGACTCATATCAAGGTTCTTGTAAGGAATGAAGATCAGTCTAGATATCGGGATCGCAAGGGGGGAATTACAATGAATGTTTTGGGGTGTGTAATTCAAAATTGGAGTTCTTATATTGTTTAGCTGGTTGGGAAGGTTCAACTCATGATGGGAAGGTGCTTAGAGAAGCATTGCTAAGGCCAACTGGGTTGCGGGTTCCGAAAGGTAATTAGGCTAAGCATGTCACAAACAAGATTGAAAATCTATTTGCTGAATGTAGAGCATACTGTTTGGTTTCATTTACTAGGCACATATTACTTGTGTGATTAAGGTTATAGCAATTGTGAAGGGTTCTTAACTCCATATCGAGGGCAGCGGTATCATCTGAAGGATTGGGGAGGATTGCGCCCAAATAAAGCAGATGAATACTTCAACATGAAGCATGCAAGTGCAAGAAACAGTATTGAGCGTGCTTTTGGCATAAACAAAAATAGATGGGCTGTTCTAAGAGATGCAAGCTGGTTCTCCCCTGAACTGATGGTCCAAATCGTGAATTCTTTCTTTTTGTTACATCATTTTATAAAAAAAGAGCAAGGAGTCGACACATTTGAGAGGGACTACGTGGACACCGAGCCTGAGGAGTACCCATCTTCCTACGTCGAGCATATTGAGGACGTGATTTCTGTAGTTCAACCTTCAGACCAATGGACCTACTTTAGAGATAAGCTAGCACCTGATATGTGGACTAATAAGCATGGTAGATCATGAATCTTAGTTAGCTAGCTACGTTGTGTGCTATTTCTATCTTAGTTCCTAGCTTTTAAACATTTGCAATGTAGCAGGTTATTCCTATCTTCAAACATTTGCAGTACTTTGCCCAAGTTAATGGATGTTATTTGATTATTGTGAGCTGTTTGTGTGACTTGTGTTTGATATTTATAATAAATGAATGTGACTTGTGTTTGGTTAATGAATGTGACTTATGTTTGCTACCTGTCAAAGGCTTCGGTTAATAAATGCTCTTTATGTAATGAATGTGAGAAAATGTACAGATAATGAATGTGATGATGTTCCTTGCATATTTATGAATGTACCTTTCACAGGATGGGCAGGAAAAGAAAGGAAATCAAAGTTGAAGGAGAAGAACCTATCCCACCTCAGCCTAAGGGTTCGTACTTCAGTTGGAACGAGGCTCTTGATGGAATCCTCATAAAGTGTATGCTAGAGCTGGTCGAGAAACATCAAGTGGAGAATGAGAACTTTAAAGATGTAGCCTTTACTGAGCTTGAAACTATGATGAACCGGAAGCTTCCTGGATGCGGGGTCAAGGTTGAGCCAAATATTCGATCGAGGCATAGGAAGCTGAAAAGAGAGTTTATGGCTGTACATTTGCTTCGTTCAAAGAGAAAACAAGGATGGGATGAACTGACTCTCACCCCAATGATAGATGATGATGTGTTTGCTGATCTGTTAAAGGTACAAGAAGCTTTTAAAATGTTACTTCATAAGCAGCATTTTAGGTACGATGTGTTAAACAAGCTAAAACTTTATTGTAGGTGCATCTGAACATCAAGAACCTCAACAAAAAGCCTTTTCCACACTAGTATAAGCTTCTTCAGATCTTTGGCAAAGGTGGAACAGCTCAAGGAAGGGTAACATGTGGGATTTCAGACCGGGTTTACTCTCCTCAAACGGTTGTGAATTTGGACGATCTAGAATCACCAATTGATTTAGAAGATCCGAAGAGCACAGAGATATTGATGGACATTATGAACGAAGGAATTGAGAAGAGTCTAAGGGAAACTGGACTCGGAAGCAACTCAACTATTAAGAAGAAGGCTAAAAAGCTCGAGTTCAATAATGATGAAGCCATAGCAAATGTTGTATCCGAGCTTGGTGGTCTGAAGCCTGTCATTAGCAAGGCTGTAGAAGCTCTTGGATCACTTATGGGTGATCTTGGGGATGACAACAACAAGCAAGCTGCACTAATGATCGAGATTGGTAAAATCGAAGGTCTAACAAGATGTGAAGTCATTGATGCTGCAATTGCTCTGGTGGATAATGAATCGAAAACACGCCTCTTTTATGCTTTTGACAACGATGAAGATCGCTGCTATTTTGTCAAGAGTGTGCTACGTTGACATGAATATGGTTAGTTAGCTTTTGGTAGTAAGATTTTGTACAACACATGTGACAAGGTTGAGAAACTTCATTCCCTTGCCAAGTTGAATCCACTACGATTTGACACTGGTTAGGATTTATTTTGATGAAGTTTCTGTTTCATGCCAACATGTGTTTAGTAGCATTAACCTGTTAATGGCTACGTATGTAAGGAACTACCTGTGTAATGTTTGGGAAAGAGAGCACTCTCTTGTATGTAAAACTTCTGCAGAAATGGAAGTCCAGTGTACTCTACTATTGTATGTAAAACTGCTGCGGAAAATGAAGTGCAGGGAACTCTTTATCCATATTCTATATACAGGCTGCTAAAACAAGAATGGCAATTGCTGCAACTTGTCTGCCATGTCTCTATACAGGCTGCTAAAACATTCATCAACACCATTTGCTGGACAAAATGATAACTTGCATTCACTTTACCAATGTTTACATCACAACATTCAACGACAAGTTCCAATTCACACAAGCATATGTTCACTATGCAAGCTGTTAAACAATATTCAACACATGACATAACATCTTTTTTTACAATCCCTTCTTCCTTGAAGATTCTATCTCCAAACGCTCCAGCCTCTGCTTCATAATCTGCAACTCTTCAGCTATATTAACGCTGCCAGGTGTAGCACCAAGTCTCTCTAACGAAGCACGAAGCTCTTGATTCTCGAGTGTCAACTTCACAACAGCTTCGGACAACATTCTTGTCGATTTGAACACAACAGCTCCTATGTCGTACCACTCAAAGAAATCACAAGGTTCTTTAGCCTGCACACAATTGAAAATCAACATTGGCAAACCACTACTCCGAGAATTCAACGAGACAGGGGAATGTCGACGTTTCTGGGAGGATAACATACCATCACACCAAAATTTGGGCATCCAAAAATGTTTCGATTCGGGTTCGTGGCTGTGCGAGAAATTCTTCGAGAATCCCTAAGCCCACAATCACAAGTCACCTCTTCCTCGTCGTATTCGACGTCGTCCACCACCTTCGATCCCTTTCGTCTACTTTCCATGAGATGGAGAATAGAAAGAAATTTTACCTAAATCCAACGATTATAGGTGAAGCTAAAGCTGACGAACCAGCGACCGGAACGAGGGATTGCGCCACCGTCAGTGGAAGGATCACACACACACTAACAGGTCACTGGAACTAGGTAAGTTGAAGGTTGACGATGGAGATGGGAGGGACGATGGAGGCCTTTTGGAATGGGAGCTCTGCTGACCGCTGTTGTACACGAAGGGAGAGATAATATAGCAAAAGAAATAGAAAAGGTATAATGTGGTAATGTACATTTTTAATGACCAAATCCCTACTACATAAATCTATAATCAAATCATGCCGCAAACAATAGACTTTACAAAAAACACAATGCACCAAATACATAATAAATCCTTAGGGTTTTCAAAACCAAAAACTAGACCAAAACCCTCATTTTCAAATCCCACAAGCAAACGATACTTAAAGATCCAAATTTGTTTATAGAAGTGTGTGCAACCAAGAGTAATCATAAGAACGTTGTATTTATCCTTGCTAGTTATTACGATTTACAAACCTTTATAGTTTATAATAACAATTACTTGTTTGGTCCTAATTACGAATTAAAAAAAAAATTTATTAATGAATTTACGAATTAAATGTTCCAATTTCCAAACGAGACAAAAAAGAATCCGTTTATTACCTGTACCTAAATCACGCAATTAATTAATAAAAAAAATTCCCCCGCCCTCTATCTCTCTCTTCTCTTTCCATTTTGCCTTCCTTCCTTCCTTCCCTGCCTGCATCGTTGTTTGTCCTAAGCTCAGCTCCCAGCAAATCCAGCTACAGCAACCCAGCAACCGCAGCCCCCAATATTCAAATCCCTAATTTCTCCCAAATTGTCTTCCAATTCGTGAATTCAAAGCAATCTGTGTCCTTCCTAACTACTTTTTTTTTTCTTCTTAATCTTCATCTTCATACCAACCGCTGCTTTTTTTTTTCTTACTTCAATCGAACTCAACAAATACCCTTCTCCCTCTTCTTCCCCTTTCCATCTCTCTATCTCTGATAGCTCTGATTTCACTCTCTCTATCTCTCTCTGTCTCTCTCTCTCTCTCTCAGAATTTGGACTGAGTTAGGGGGGAGAGAGGGACGGAGGAAGGAAATGATGAAGCTCTCGGCCCTTCAGCAGAGCTACCTAAACCGCCGGCCGGGGAGTTTCAGGGGAGCGGCTCCATTAGATTCGTCGGCTGACGGCGCTATCAAGTCGCCGGGGGCGATGTTCTGGCTCGTTCTCCATGGACTCTGCTGCCTCATCAGTCTCGTCCTAGGGTTCCGCTTCTCGCGGCTGGTCTTCTTCTTCATCTTCTCCACTTCCGTCACTACCAACACGAATCACTTCATGGCGCCTTTCCGCCAGCTGACCACCACCACTGCCGCCGACGTGGCGTTCGATTTGCCGTCAAATCCGGTTGGAGACGCGGCGCTTAACAGGACCAGAGTTGTGGTCGGCCGCCACGGGATCCGGATCCGCCCGTGGCCGCACCCGGACCCGATCGAGGTCATGAAGGCGCACCAGATAATTGAGAGAGTGCAGAGGGAGCAGCGGAATCAGTTCGGAGTGAAGAACCCGAGGACTGTCATCGCCGTCACTCCGACCTACGTTCGGACCTTCCAGACTCTGCATTTGACCGGCGTCGTTCACTCGCTGATGCTCGTCCCTTACGACGTTGTGTGGATCGTCGTGGAGGCTGGCGGAGTCACCAACGAGACCGCTGCGATCATTTCGAAATCCGGTGTCAAAACCGTCCACATCGGGGTGGATGAGAAAATGCCCAACACGTGGGAAGGACGCCATAAATTGGAGGCCAAAATGCGGCTTCGAGCTTTGAGGTAAGAATCTTTGTTCTTGTCTTGCTTCCCTGTTATTGTAGCGCTCTGAAAATTCAAAGTAAAACGAGAGTCAATTCAAGTCAAGCTCGTTCTGATCGGAAAACTGATTGACCGTTTCTTGTCCATTGGTGGAGCAGGGTTGTGAGGGAGAAAAGACTGGACGGGATTGTGATGTTTGCAGACGATAGTAATGTGCACAGTATGGAACTCTTCGATGAGATTCAGAGTGCGAATTGGTTTGGTGCGGTTTCGATTGGTATTCTTGCTCATTCAGGAGGTGCCGAGGAGTTATCATCATTTGCTGGGGTTGAGAAGGAAGTAGAAGAGAAAGAGAAGAAGCAGGCAATCCCTGTTCAAGGTCCTGCCTGTAATGCATCTAGCAAGCTGGCTGGATGGCATACCTTTGATACACAACCGTATGAAGGGAACAGCGCAATTTTTATAGACGATAGAGCAACTGTGCTGCCTATGAAGCTGGAGTGGGCTGGGTTTGTGTTGAATTCTAGGTTGCTATGGAAGGATGTTGAAGATAAGCCTCACTGGGTTAGGGATTTAGATACAGTGGTTGATGATGATATAGAGTCTCCTTTATCTCTATTGAAGGATCCTTCTATAGTGGAACCACTTGGCAGCTGTGGCAAACAAGTTTTACTCTGGTGGCTTCGAGTCGAAGCTCGTGCAGACAGCAAGTTCCCTGCTGGGTAGGTTTTGCTTTCCCTCATTTCCCCTCATTTGTGTACAGGTGATATGGTGATTTTGCCGTTTAAATTTTGCATGAAAGTTCTTGGTCCTTCAGGTCATTTAGTTAGGTTCTTTTAGGAGTGAATTCATGCAGTTGTTTGGGCAAGCAACTGCATGTTCACAGATTTTTACTTCCCGTTTGAGTATTCCTATAGCAATTTAAATAGTCTTCTGTTGAAAATAATGCAAAGACAGTCAAGAAACTCTTCAAAAAGTTTCAAGGCATTTACTCTTGCCGAATTGGTAGTTAATTCCACTTTCTAGACTTGTAGTCAATAGCAAAACACGTGAATTTCATGGTTAATCAACTGCTTCTCGTATCAGGGATCGATTAATTTGGCGACAGTAGTCTAGAAAGTTACTTGGCATATTAGATTGACTTGATTATTTGTATCCGGATTCAGCATCCGCGTGACACTTGTTGACAGTGGCAAACAAACATAGGAAGCGAACATGTCGATACTTGTAGGCATATCCTTGTTAAGTTGTTATCGAATGAGATGATAATAATTCACTTTCCTTGATTCCTTTCATGCACACATGCTCTTGCTAATTACTTGCCTGCCCTGGAGATTCCTAATTAGTAGCAGGTAGATTGCTGCAGTGGTGCATAGACTGTTTGTTGAGACATGTTTCCATGGCTTATCAAGACTAATTTATGCCTGAATAATCGGATTTTATTCCCCCGGGGTTCTGAAGTATAGATACTCTGGAGTGCTTATTGTGCTCTTGTAGAAATAGGCTCTGAAATTTGGTCATAGCCGTTTGTCAGTGGTCGTGCTTTGCTTAATTGACCAGTTACGGTGCTGAATGCCCTTACTCTTCGGCTCTTCCTAGACCAAGTCCTTTCTGGTTGAACATGCTTTATGCCAATTATGCGGTATTAATATTGATTACACTGGAAAACAACGGCCCCTGTGAATGACTTGCGCATCTAGACCTCAAAACCGACTCGGTTATCATTGTTGGTATGATCGCACCACTAGGTTATCATTGTTGGAAGAAGTCTTGAACATGTGCTTGTGTTTTTAGGTGAATTTGTAGTTTCTCAACAGGTTCTTTTATTTATTTCTTTTCCCTTTGAGCTCATCTATTCTTGGTGCGTGCTGTTTATACAGGTGGATAATCAACCCACCCCTGGAAATCACCGTGCCATCAAAACAAACACCATGGCCAGACGCTCCGCTGGAATTCCCATCCGACAACAACGAAAAGACAGCGGACAACATGGAAGAGGCACGCCCAATTGTTAAGCACACGAAGACGCGATCATCAAGATCTAAGCGCAGAAGTAAGAGGAAGCATGAACCCAAAACTGTGGTGGACACAAAGCAGCAGTCTGGACAAAACTAAATATAGAGAAAAACAACCTTCCTGGGCAAGAAACATGTGAGATAACCGTATACTTACTGCTTTGAACCTTCAAACTTCCAGCCTCTCTATACGCGATACGTGATGAAGCAGGGTGGACTGGGGAAGGAAGGGAACACCCTCGTGATGATCATACTGGAAGAGAAGGTAAAAATCCACCTTTTACAGCTTGGCAAGATTGAAATGTAACTTGGCCACTCCTTTTTACCTTCCTTTTTTTTTTACCGTTGTATTCCATATTTGTTTTTCTTATTCGAGCAAAGGGGGTGGTCATTTAGTACGTGTTGATCAACCTTTGTAGCCCATCCAAGTAGCGCTGTTGTTGTAGGAGAAGGATTGGGATTAGTCCCAAATTTTATACATGAAATGAAATTCATCAACATGCCTCTTTTTTTTTTTTTTTTTTTCAAGGGCCAGATTGTTATATACAATACTAGATGCAGCTGCCGCGCTTAGCAGCGGCCTAGATAATAAATCAATGCAGAAGGCTCAATAGACATGCAATTTGATAAATTTCATGTGAACTGATTGAAGGAAACATAAGTACTCGTGATTCTAGCAACAGTCCTGAGAATCAGCAATCATGATCTATGTTTCAGCTGCTGCAATTTCTCTCTCTTCTAACTACTAACAGGACTCGACTAATACAAACAGAAATTGGAGGACTTATAATATAAACCAGACGATATACTCAACTAACCAGAATGACAGAGACCAATTTAACCTTGGCACCACTTCCAATCTTTTCCCTGATCGGATTAGGACTTCTTCAGTTGCAGCAGTTCTCTTTCTACTTCTCAACAAATCCTCCCATGTGTAAGAGCCTCAGAAAACCTGAGTTATGTTTGTATTATTGATGTGAATTTATACAATGAGACTCTCAACTAATAGCTATTCCTAAGGAAGCTAATTCTCCACTAACACAAACTTAGGAACAGAAGAACAGAAAAGCAACAGTCATAAACGAAGAGAGAGGGGAAGTGGAGAGGTAGTTGCCGAGTATGTCTCGCCCTTATCACGCCCCCGCAAGTGGAACCTCAGCGAGGTGAAACTTGGAACAGAAACTGCGGAAGGATTGTCGTGTGAGAGGCTTCGTAAGAACATCCGCTACTTGATCAGTAGCCGGAAGATATCGGACACGTAGTTGTTGCTTGATAACCCGATCACGTACAAAATGGAACTCAATTTCTAGGTGTTTGGACCGTGTGTGAAAAACCGGATTGTGAGCGAGATATGTGGCACCGAGGTTGTCACACCATAGAACCGGGGATGCTGATGGAGATTGTCCAAGCTCAGCTAAGAGTGCTTGTAACCAAATAACCTCGGAGGCAAGCGTCACAAGTGCCCTGTATTCGCATTCTGTGGAAGACCGGGCCACCGCTTTCTGTTTCCGAGTTGACCAAGATACCAAATTCGCGCCATGGAAAACAGCAAAACCATATACGGATTTCCGATCTTTAGGACAAGAGGCAAACGATGCATCCGAATAACCATGTAATTGTGAATCAGCCGATCGTTCGAAGAGAAGGCCATGTGTAAGTGTACCTTGTAGATAGCGCATAATGCGCTTCACGACTGCCCAATGTGCATCAGAAAGTGACTGCTGAAACTGAGAGACGTGATTGACCCAAAGGATATGTCTGGCCGAGTAAAGCTCAAATATTGGAGACCACCAACTATACTTCTGTACAAGGTTGGATTATCGAATGCTGGAGACAGATCTGATCCACTTTGTATGAGCTGATCAGGCGTGCAAGGAGTGGAGATAGACTTTGCTTGGGCCATTCCCGTGCGTTCCAGCAACTCTAGGATGTATTTTCTCTGGTTGAGGATCAAGCCTGATGGAGTATAGTGAACTTCCAGGCAAAGATCCCTGAGAGCAAACCGAGATCGAAGGTGAACCATCAGCTCCTGGATGACCTTCGAATCTGTGCCTGTTATGACCATGTCATCCACATAGACCAACATATAGAGAACCACAGAACCAGCCCAGTAAATGAAGAGTGAGGGATCTGTTTTTGATGCCACAAAGCCGAAGTCCCGAAGAGCTTGAGATAGACAGTGGAACCAAGCACGAGGCGCTTGGCGTAAGCCGTAGATAGATTTTCGAAGTCGGCAAACATAATCTGGGTGTTCGGGATCTATAAACCCAACCGGCTGACGCATATAAACTTCTTATTGAAGAGAGCCGTGTAAGAATGCATTCGATATGTCGACTTGATGTAATGGCCAAGCTTGAGAGACGGCAATGCCCAGCAGAAGCCGTAGTGTGGCTGGTTTCAGAACAAGACTGAAGTTATCGCCGAAGTCAAGGCCGGGTATCTGCTCAAAGCCACGTGCGACCAACCGGGCTTTCTCGCATTCGAGAGAGCCATATGGATTCGTTTTCTCTGCAAACACCCAGCGATTAGACAAAATATTACAATCAGGAGGGGGGGGGGACCAAGTACCAGGTATGGTTGCGAACGAGAGCGTCAAATTCGGTGACCATAGCCGCACGCCAACGAGGTAACTTCAGTGCCTGAGCTGCAGTAGAAGGCACGCCAGAGGGAGCAACAACGAGATACTGACGGGGTTTGAGCTTGCCTGTCTGCGTTCGTGTAATCATTCGCCGGGGAGGTGTGGATGCAGGGGATGGCACAATGCAGGGAGACGTAGTGAAGGGAGGACGATTTGCGAGGGTGGAAGAGGTGGTAGGCTTAGGAGAGGGTTGCGGACGAGGAGTAGTAGGGGGATGAGGTGGAGGGGGTTGGACAGGGATGCCGGTGGAGAGAGGTTTCGGGCGGCGATGATAATGCAAAAGGGGTGGCGTGGAGGGATTAGCAAGGACTGGGCGGCGGCGATACTGAAGCAATGGTGGAAGTCGCGTGCGAGTAGGCTGGGTAGGAGAAGCTGGGTCGGGTTGGGGGATGGGTGAAGTGGGCTGGGTAGATGTATTGGGTTCGGGTTGTGATGTGGGTGAAGTGGGCTGGGTAAGGGGAGTTGGGTCGGATTGGGGTATGGGGGAAGTGGGCTTGGGGAGGGTTATGGTGGGCTTAGAGAGAATTTGTGTGGGCTGTGGGGGGTGAGGAGATGGTGAGGTAGACAATTGGTTAGGCGTGCGTGCAGCCAAGGGTAATGGGCCGGGAAGTGTAACGGGTTCTGAGAGAAGCAGATTAAGTGAAATATTGAGATTTGGGTCGAGAGGAGTATCCTTGTACGGGAACACTGATTCATCAAAGAGAACATGGCGACTGACATGAATACGACCAGTAGATCGATCAAGACACCGATAACCTTTATGTAAACCATTATATCCCAAGAAAACACAAGGAGTGGATCGAGGTTGTAGTTTGTGAGAAGTTTGAGGCCGAAGCCAAGGATAACATAAACAACCAAAGACACGGAGATTTTGAAGATTTGGTGATTTATTGAATAGTGTATAGAATGGAGAATGATTTTGGAGAAGTGGAGTAGGAGTGCGATTGATGAGATAACACGCGGTATCAAACGCCAGAGACCAATACTTGAGCGGAACATGTGCCTGATGTAGCATAGCAAGACCATTATTAACAATGTGGCGATGTTTCCGCTCGGCACAACCATTTTGTTCGGGAGTATAGGGACAAGAAGAATGATGAGTAATGCCATTGGCGGCGAGATAGGAAGATAAGGCTTGATATTCACCCCCCCCCCCAATCAGATTGAAAGGTTTTGATGGGGAGACCAAAAAATTTCTCAACAAGTTGACGAAATTGGATGAAGACATTTAAGAGTTGAGATTTATATAGCACAAAATACACCCAGCTGAACTTACTATAGTGATCATAGAATAACACATAATAAGATTGATGATCATAAGAGAGAATAGGAGCGGGGCCCCAAAGATCACTACAAATAAGTTCTAATGGTGCAGAAGCACGATATGAGGATGAAGGAAATGGTAGTTTGTGAATTTTACTAACAGAACAACCATGACACAAAGAATCGGGACTATCATGGTATTTTAATGAATTCGAAGACAAAAGATGTTTAACAGCCCAGAGATTTTCATGTCCCAACCGTTGATGCCAGAGATCAAGAGAGGCAGTGAAGACACGAGGAAGAGTGCGACTTTGGATATGGAGAGGCAATGAGTAGAGTCCATCCCGCGCACAACCACGATAGAGCTCAGCCTTCATGCGGCGATCCTTGATCACAAAATATGTATAAACAAATTCAATGGAAATAGGATTAGAACGAGTCAAGGAGCTCACAGAGAGAAGGTTTTGAGGAGCATGTTGAACGCGGAGCATATTATCGAGAACATAGGAATGATTAGAGAGATGAGCATGAGAGGAACCAGAATGAGAGATGGGAAGGCATTTACCATTGCCAAAGGTGACTTGATCAGGACCACTATATTCAGAATGATGAAGCAGATTACCCAAATCGGCGGTAAGATGATGATTAGCGCCGGAATCAAGGAGCCACTGTTGGGATGACTGGACCGGGTGAGAGGATTGGGCAAGATATGAGGATGGGCCGGGTGATAATTGGATTGGGCATGAATAATGGGGCTTGGACAATGGGCTCGTACATGTCTCTTCCCCCCGCAATTGTGACAGAGCATAAGTGAACGGCCTGCAGGCCCAGCACCCAGCAGCCCAGATGAGACAGGCCTTGGGCCACCTTGATTGGGCCGTCCACCTGCAAAAGAAGGGTTAGAAAAACGGTGCTGGGGGAATGACCCCCGACCCCCAAATTGGCCGCCTCGACCGCGTGAGAAACGGCTGCCGTTCCGCCCCCTCGATCGGAATAAAAAGACTGCGGGGAAGACAAGGCAGCCGACGCCGATCGAAATCGTTGGAGCTGCATCTCCTCACTGAGAAGCAGGCTGCTCACGTTTTCAAAAGTGATGAGTTCCAGACGCACCTCCAGATTCCGAGTGAAAGGACGGTAGTCCTCGTCGAGTCCATCCAGAAGAGCAATCACCAGCTCTTGTTCGGTGACCGTCGCGCCAAGAGCGAGCATCTTGTCATAGATTGCTTTTGCGCGGTGGAGATATTCATGAATCGTCTCATTGCCGCGAGAGAGACGAAAGAGATCCTTGCGGAGCTGGCCGATGACGACGGGAGAGCCCGAAGCGTAAATGGTAGCCAACGCGGAACAAGCGTCAAGAGCAGTGGCTTTGTTGACGACGTTGGGCAGAACGGCCTTGGAGAGCGAGAGATTGATCCAGGTTAGCACATACTGGTCACGCACATACCACGACCAGTAGGCGGGATTGGGCTGGCCATTGACGATTTGTGGTGGAGCAGGAAGAGAACCGTCAACATGGCCCATCAATTGATGACAGCAAAGAAGAGGAGTGATTTGGGCATGCCACAATAAGTATTTGTTGGGGTGAGCTTGACAGTGAGCTGTGGGTTGGCTGGCAAGGAGATGGATGAAACCGGCAGCGAAGTGGAATCGCCAGAAGCAGAGGAAGACGAACAGAGGAAGGGTCGGTGGCCATTGTTGGCTTTGAAGAAAGAAGAAGAAGGATTGAGAAGAAAGAAGAAAAAGAAGAAGAAGTGACTCGCTAGAGTGCAATGTGCTCTGATACCATGTAAGAGCCTCAGAAAACCTGAGTTATGTTTGTGTTATTGATGTGAATTTATACAATGAGACTCTCAACTAATAGCTATTCCTAAGGAAGCTAATTCTCCACTAACACAAACTTAGGAACAGAAGAACAGAAAAGCAACAGTCATAAACGAAGAGAGAGGGGAAATGGAGAGGTAGTTGCCGAGTATGTCTCGCCCTTATCACCATGAACTGATGCTCGTTGTATCACAAGTTTCAATTCACTTCTTCTCACTTCTTCATTCTGCATTGATGGCTTCAACTAGATTCTTTAAATATGAAAGGACTCCAACTTGAAATCCTTGGTCATGATGCTTGTAACCTGTTAATGAGTATTGCAGTATTCCAGTTCAATAACTTCATCCTTTGCCAGATCCCTTATAAAGTGAAATCTAACATCAATGTGGTTGCTCCTTCCATGTAGTATTGGGTTCTTGGATAGCTTGATAGTTGAGCTATTATCACATAAAATCATTGTACTGCGAATCACACTAGTGTTCCATCCCATACTTTCCATAATTCTTTTCAACCAGATACAATGTGCAACACAATATTCAGCAACCATGAATTCAGCCACTGTTGTAGAAAGAGTAACCACAAGTTATTTCTTTGAGACCAAGGAAATGACACCTCCCGCAAGAAAGACAACATGTCCACTGGTACTCCTACTATGTTAGAAACCGATTTCTGTAGGGTTTCTCTATTTATTACTATAATTATTAATAGGGTAATTATCAATAAGGTTAGTAGTCATTTAATAGAATTAGGTTTATTGTTAGGGTTTTTCACTATTTCCTATATATATGTACTTTGGGCTTCCATTAAGAATCAATAAGAAGCATATTAAGAAAATCCCTAAATCCTATTCTCTCCCACATCCTCTCAATTTCTCTTCTTTCCCTAATCCGGTCGCCGACCATTCTTTCTCGTTCTTCCCCAAATTCTACTTCTTAATCCCTAATTCTATTATTCAAATCCCTAAATCCCAATTATCAAACCCGTTAGAAACCTTGTTTCTAACATTTGGTATCAGAGCCCGGTTTTGAGAATTGAGTTTATCACAACTCTTAACCAGGGACGAGTTCTACAACTGGTTCAACGATGAGCTCTTCAAGGCTCTCAGACCTATCATGGGCGGAATTGCGGGAACAGGCCCGCCGCATCGGACGTCGTTGGATCCCCGGCCGAGGAGCTACCGATCGCGCAGGAGGAAGTGATGCCCAAGGAGACTGACGGAGAACTACCTCCGCAGCTGGCCGAGCGCGACACGAAGGCTGGGGAGCAGCGACCCGAGACGACATGGTCACCAAAACCTTCGGAGCTGTCGTGGGCTCAAAAGCAGGAAAAACTATGGAATATCGTGGAATATTGGAAGGCCTACGAGTTGCGTCGCGGGACGGCTGACTTGAAGGATGGAGTTGACAATGTGACGGCGAGGCAGCCGCCAACAGCAGAGGCTGGCAAGGCCGACGAGCGACCGTCAGCGACGAGAGCCGCGGCCGGCGGCGGATCCAGGATATAGTACAGCACTGGGCCGCATTTGAATGGAATATTGGATGCCATAAACAAAAAATATATGTAATAACTATAATTTATTAATTTTCATTCATTACAATGCCAATTTGGAAAAGAAAACCAGTGCTCGACGAACTGGCGGAGGAATCCATTTCGGATCCGGTTGTCTCTTGTTCTTGTTCTTGCTTTAGTCGATAGGGATTTTTTTTATTTCAATGAAACTTTATACTTAATCATTTACGTTATAGACTTTTAAATTTTATTGTTTTTTTTTCAAATGAAAATCATTCGTGCTAGATTTTCTACGCTAAATTTAGTGTAGTCGTTTGGATATGTTCATCTAGACCATTTTCCTAGTTACACAAAATCCTATTATCAAATAACACTAAGCCGATTTTTAAATAGCAGTGGGCCAAATATCTAAAATCGAAAAATTTATAAGCACTATACTACCTTTGAATCCGAAGGAGCGCTGGGCCGTGGCCCGGGTTGGCCCAGCCCTAGATCCGCCGCTGGCCGCGGCGAACTACGATGTCGAGGAGACAGAAGTAGCAAGCGCAGCGGAGGAGGGAGAGTTGTTGTTGGATGTTGAGGAAGCAGCTCCGACAGATGGCGAGTTGGAGGCGGGGATCACAGTTGTGGTCATTGCAAACCTCGCTGGCGGCAACCCTAGGCATCACAAAGCAGAGGCGGAGGTTGGGTGCCACTGGTCGAGTTTGCCTTCTGTCGGTCTGGTCGAAGGCTTGCCAGCAGAGACGAGGAGGAAGATGCCAATGAGGGAGGACGACACGACGAGGAAGGAAAAGGTAGAGAAGGAGATTGGTGGCGGCTTGGTTCCACCCCTCGCAAATCCTTGGTCGCCAACCTGGGCTTCCGGGACTGACAGGGCAGGCTTTGGGTCATCTCGGGCCGACCTTGACGGGTTGAATCCAATGGGAGCATGTGGGTTGCGGTGGAGGATGAAGCAGGCTAAGAGAAGATCGGAGGATGGGCTGGAGTTTAGACTACAGTGGGTCGAGGAAGCGGGGAGGGTGGAGCCAAGATGGGCTTCGCATGGCCCGACCCATGGGCCGCCCAATTATAATCTGACAAGGACTCTATTATATGTGGTTGGGCCGATTTTGAAGGAGGAGTTGTTGTTAGAATTTGTCAGAGAAGCAATTAGTGGGCCCATAGGAGTGAAACTCGAAAAGTTAAATCAGCACAAGAAGAGTGGTGTGAGAAGCCCAATTGAAAAGATGGAGCGTGATTGGAAGAAAAGGAAGCGCAAGCAGTGGAGAAGCGATGATCGGATTGGGCGAGAAGGTTGGAAGAAGTGGGTCAAGTGGTTCAACCTTGAGGGCAAGGTTGGTCTGAAGGGAGAGGAGATGTTAGAAACCGATTTTTGTAGGGTTTCTCTATTTATTACTATAATTATTATTAGGATAATTATCAATAAGGTTAGTAGTCATTTAATAGAATTAGGTTTATTGTTAGGGTTTTCCACTATTTCCTATATATATGTACTTTTGGCTTCCATTCAGAATCAATAAGAAGCATATTAAGAAAATCCCTAAACCCTATTCTCTCCCAAATCCTCTCAATTTCTCTTCTTTCCCTAATCCGGCCGCCGGCCATTCTTTTTCGTTCTTCCCCAAATTCTACTTCTTAATCCCTAATTTTATTCTTCAAATCTCTAAATCCCAATCATCAAACCCGTTAGAAACCTTGTTTCTAACATACTATCATCTACATCTCCTGCATAGTCATTATTTGTGTAGCCCAGCATATAGAAAATCACTTTTTATATCCAGTTGGTATACTGTCAGATCATGATATGCAACAAGAACCAAGATAATTTTGATAGTATCCCGGCTTGCTACTGGAGCAAACACCTCTGTGTAGTCAATGCCTTATTTTTTAGGAAAACATTTTGCTACCATCCTAGCCATATATTTATCTACCAAACCATCTTCTTTCAACTTAGTTATGAACACTCACTTGTTTCCAATTGCCTTTACACCCGGAGGAAGATCCACAAAATTGGAGGTCTTGTATCTTTCAATTGAATCAAAGTCTTGATTCATAGCTTCTCTGTGAACTTGTTTCAAGCCATACAAAGCTTTCTGCAATTTTTAGACCTTATGTTCCAGCCCAGTAACTTTAAATCCTTGAGGTTGCTACAAATAAACATCATTCTCTATTTCAACCTCTTCCATCTCCTCTTCTCCCTCTTCCAGGATAAAACCCTCTTCCTTGGCCTATTCCTCCCCTGCTTCCAAACTCTTGAGTGGTTCTAAGAACCAGATCTTCTTCACCGGAGAGCCTTGTAAACTTATGCTCATGAACAATAAGAGAACTCTAAAGAGCATCCACTACATAACTCCTCGATATCCTTGGACTCCTCAATAGAACATACTACATAATTATATTTTTTTTGTTAGAGTTCTCAGAATCTTCTCTACAATCTTTTCATCAAACATCTCATTACTACAGTTTCTCATAGCATTGGCTATAGTTATGACTTCGCCAAAGTAGTTGTTCACATACTCTCCCTCCTTCATTTCAATTATTTCAAAGTTTCTCCTAAAAGCCTACATATTTGACTTCTAAACCCTAGCATTGTCTTGAAATTTTATTTTCATAGAGTCCTATAAGTCTTTTTTTTTTGTAGAAAGTCCCATAAGTCTTCGGCAATACCTTTCTTGTAGAGTGTCTTGAGGATGGTTTTATCAATGGAATGGAAGAGATAGTTTTTGGCTTTCAGTAAGGTCCTTCACTCTCATATCTTCAAAGGTTTTGTTTAAGCCTCAGACATGTCTATAACAACATTTGTGCCTTTAAAGTTGGTTTGCACCACACCCAATATTCTTTTGAATGAAGCAAATTCCCCAGCACTAAACTCTAGTGATCATAATCACCATAAAATTTGTGGAGACCCACTTGAGCAAAGCTTCATGTATCACTTATTTTGTCAGACACAATTATATCTCTTGACGGAGGTATTTCACTCACATTTTGTTCAATAACCCCTCACAATATCACTTGATATATCTCTTTTAAAATTGAGCATACACTAAGAGTCAGGAAGAAAGGACTAGAAAAACCCCTCAGAGACACTCGAGAATAATACCATTCTGATAGGACACATTCATACTAGTGAGTGAGTTCTGTATCGGCCAGAAAAAAAAGGAGCTATTCGGCTTGATCAGAGGAGTGTGTGAAAGGCTTGCAGATCTCCCTCCTTTTTTAAGGGAAGATATAATTTTTCTCTTAGTACCTCAATACCCAATACAGAAGAGACAAGACAAAAAGCCCTTTTCTCAGATTATTTTCAGAAATTTCTCGATCTCGTGCATTAATCATATAGATCGCTACTATAAAGTAGAATGTCATTGAGATGTAAAACCAAGAAACAAAATTTACTCCCACTGAACTTAATATATACACAATCATCTCCAACATTAGCCTATGAATCCAAGTGAGCTAATAACAAGATGAATTGTGATATTAATAAGGAGAAGGCTATATGAGATCATAGATGGGTTCATTCAATTTAGTACCATAAAATTGTTTCGTCAATGTGACAATAGAGACACACAATCTATATCTATCTAATATGGCTCCAAACCATAATTAGCCACCATTGTCATTATATTTCTAAAATAGTATTGCAAATATTTTGGAAAGAAAGTCTCTTTGTAGTATATGCTTTCCCTATGAGTAAAACAAATAGTGGCCAACGTTCCTTATTTTTCTAACACATGGTCCACGAGCCATAGTAGTCTATTTATGTAAAATTAGGGTCAATTTAAGGTATTAACCCTATTTGTGTAAAGTTCGGGCTAAGAAAAATACTTTAACGTAAACTAAGGTCAACCTATCTCAATTACTAATTTTATTTATGCTTAATTTTCTTCATTTTTCAACCTCCTTGTCAACTTTATGTGGTTCACTATCGGGATCCACCCTGATAAATAACTTGAATTTAATAAAAAATTGATTTTTTTTTGCCAAAAGATCACTCGCATTACTGAGAAAACAGCCAGATACAAAATAGTCACATAGCTGAAAACAACCAAGAAACAAAATTGAACCCCACCAAAGAAGGGGACAACGAAAGGGCTTTTCTTGCCACCAAATGGGCAACCCTATTAGACTCCCGACCCACAAAAATAACCCGAAACTCCTAGAACAAGTCACACATACTTCGAATCTCCTCCAACAGCATCCCTCCATGGACATCATCTTTTGTTAGATAGTTTGAATTTTTAGTTAGAACTTTTTGGTGAATATATTATATGGATTTGAATATGTTTATGGTTAGTGATAATTTTACTACTAAATTAAAATTAGTGTATTATATGTATTTTTTTATTTTAGGGTTAACACTAATTATTAGCCAAACTTTTTCCACATTCTTATTTATTAGCCAAACCTAATAGGTTTGACTAATAAAAAAGAATGCGAGAAATGTTTGACTAATAATTAGTGTTTATCCTTTGTTTTATATCGCATGAATAGATCTATCATCTACTGACCCATCCACGATTCTATAACAAATAATAATTGAACCATCATCTTAGAGTATCCACATTGATATTTCATTCTCAATTGCAAAATGACATGACATAAGTGTTTTACTTAATTTTCTATAATTTAAACATAATATTTAAATATATTTGCAATTGCAAATTAATTACATTGATGTAAGTAAATTAAATGAATGTGATGTGTACCACATACAATTTGAGTTGACAATAAAAATCACAAATACAAATTATTTTACAATTGCATTGATGAAAATGCTTTTAGCAACTCATCCGTTCTGAAAATATTGGTTTGACCACCTTGATTTTTGACCTCCTCAATTTCTTTTTTGTAATATTCTCGGCTGAATCTACACAAACATATAAGGCAATGTCAATAAACAAGTATTGCCACATCAGCCGGTGGTGTTTAAACCGCATAAGTCGGAGGGACTAATTAGTCTTCTCCTCTCCCTGCCTTCTCGCTAAAACCGTCCGCATCGGTTACTTTTTTTCTTAACATCTTACAATCCCACGAATTAATTTTCTCCATTTCTACAAGGCCACGATCACTATTCCATATCTTATACTAAAAACAAATCACTATTTTTGTGGAATTTCAATCTTTCTTTTGAAGCCACCTGGACACTAAATTTATTATTTCCCTTTTGTTGTAGGTTTCCTCCTTTAAATTTATTTTGCTCTTATGATCACTAATATTTTCATAATATGAAAGTGGTATGATCACTAATATTTTTGCTCAAAATGTAGCAAAATGAATATCATTGTGTCTATCATAATTAATGCATTCTTTATATGTAAATTTTTTTTAAAAAATTTCGAGTTAAAACAAAAGAAATATGACTCAATCATAAAAAATGGAAGATTAGAAAAATTTGCATTTGATTGGTAAAAAATCTCTCCCATGTTTTCTAAATTCGCGTTAGTCAAAGAAAAGCAAGTTGACAGTGGGGCACGAAACTAACAGTCCATCCATCTTATTTTCATGAGTTGTGGGCCGTTATATGGTATTTTAATAGGTGTTTACATATTAAAGTTCTATAGGTATTGTAGAATGGAGTTTCATATAATATTCTTATCCTTTCCAATAACAATTGATTTTTCAACAAGTTTATAGAAATTGGGTTTTCGATAGAGCAATAAATATTTGGATTTTAAAAATAACATTAAGTTCTTTTACATAAAAATAATAATAAGAAGAAATTCGTTAAAGAGAGAAAGAGAGAGAGAGACAAAAATAAACTATTGATTAAGGGGCGTATATTATGGGCACACAAATAATTAATTCATCAATGGATTTGGAAGTCGAAGCTAATTATTTTTACTTAACTATAGAAACTAACTAACAAGAATATCCTTTTAACTTTACCCTATATGAAATTGTTTATTTCCTCATTAACCTCATCTATTAAGTAAAATCATATTATTTTTATATTCAAAGTCCCACTTAGTTTAATACAAGGTATCTTATAATTTAAAGATGGAGTTTAAAATTTTTATTAATTTAATATGTAGTTTTGTCTCTTGATATTTTCACTAAATTTTCCAATTATAACAATTTTCAAAAATTTTAATATTTTTTCTAACAAAAACTAAGAGATTTAGACACTCATTCACGGTTTAGAATTTTTATAAAATAAAATATTAATTCACAAAAAAACTACCCGACCAATCGGCCGGGCCACAATCTAGTTCGTAGTAGACCCGATCTACTCCAAAGTCCAATCATAGCACCCCTCGGGGTTCTCTCTCCATTTTTCCCTCTCTTTCTTCCTTCCTCTTTGCTCCCTGGTTCCCCAAATTCTAGGGTTCAGGCGCATCAGTTTCGAAGAGGTTTCTCCGCACAAATCAACCGGCGAGGCTTCGTTACTCGCCAACAGAATCCGGCTACCTGTTACACTCCATCCATTTACCCCAACCGTTCTATCCAGAACCCCGGTCTGATCTTCCTGCGTCCGGCGTCGAATCCATCATCGTCACTGGCCGCCAATCACCACCAGTCTCCGCTATATCCACCGAGACCCTACCAGCTCCGACCGCCAATCATCCACTCCGACCAGTATCAGAGCAGGGTCATTGCTGTAGAATAAAAGGGAAGAGGTTTAGGACTATCTTGAGAAGGTTTGTTGACTCGGCTCTCTTTCTCATCACCTTACCTCTCAACCTTAGGATAGTATTCCTAGACGTTCCGGGCTTATAGATTAGGGTTTAAAGTTGGTTGTTAACCGGAGAGAGAAGGAAGAGAAGAGCGGAGCAATGAATCCCTTGACGCTTGTGAAACGTATCCAGAGCATCAACTCTAAGGAAGCTGCTTTAGGGATTTCAGAGGAAGCTTCGTGGCACGCAAAGTACAAAGATTCAGCTTACGTCTTCGTCGGTGGGATTCCTTTTGATCTCACCGAAGGCGATCTCCTTGCTGTGTTTGCTCAGTAAGTGATTCTACTATTGAAATGTTCAGCTAAATTTTTTTCCTTCAAAATGTTCGATTACACCTTGAGTTGGTATTGTTTGTTCAGTGAATTGAAGTGTAATATTATTAATTTGGGCTGGGACCTCGACTCTGCGATTGAATATTCTTTCTCCTGATTAATGATTCTCCAGGTATGGAGAGGTCGTGGATGTTAACCTAGTTAGAGACAAGGGTACTGGCAAATCAAAAGGTTTTGCGTTTATTGCATATGAGGATCAAAGAAGTACTAATCTTGCCGTAGGTTGGTCTTTCTTTCCGTCTTCCTTTTCTGTTCATTGTCTTCTTCCTCATTTGTTCTGGTGAGTTGTGAGAATTGTATGCTCAATTATGGGTTCTTGTCTTCTGCAGACAATCTCAATGGGGCACAGGTCCTTGGTCGCGTGATAAGGGTTGATCATGTTACTAGCTACAAGAAGAGAGAAGAGGAAGACGAGGAGACAGCACAGAAAAATAGAGAGGCTCGAGGTGTTTGCCGTGCGTTTCAGAAAGGGGAATGTACACGTGGAGCTGGTTGCAAATTTTCACATGATGAACAGGTTAGATCATTATGTTTGGAGCTTAGAATAATACATCTGAGCATCCCAACACATTTGCTCGTTTATTACATTTTTTCTTTAGTAATGATTTGATCCTGCCTTTTTACATTCATTTTTTAGGATTTTCTTTCGTGCTTTGGCCTGTTGTCTTCATATAATCATATTCATACTTCCTTTGTTATATTCTAGAGAGCTGCAAACACAGGTTGGGGTGCTCAAGATAGAAGTCCAAGGTGGGGACAGGATAAGTTTGATGGTCCACAGAAGGGTGAAGAGGAAGATGAAGAGACAGAGCGAAAAAAGAGGGCGGCTCGAGGTGTTTGTTATGCCTTTCAGAAAGGGGAATGTACTCGTGGAGCTCGTTGCAAATTTTCACATGATGATCAGGTTAGATCATAATTGTTTAGAATATATATTGATACATCTTCAAGTTAACATGGTTGCCGCTTTCCTTAGATATTCTTCATTTTGACTTGAGAAAGTAGGTCAAATGGATAGAAAATTTTCCTGGTTTATGAACTACTATAGTGTGTGTTCATTGTCAATAAATCTACTGCCACCAGTTTCATGCTAATGGCAGGATCTAAAACATGTTGAATTACCTATTTCACACTTCCTCTTAGTATTATCTGTCAGTTGAATGACTATGATTGGATGGAGACTATGTTTAAATTTGCTTGTTTATTACTTTTATTTTCCTAGTAATGATTCGACCCCATTTTCACATTCATTTTTAGGATGTGTTTTGTGCTTGGTCTCTTTATCTTCATACTCATACTTGTTTGTTATGTTCTAGAGAGCTGCCAACATGGATCGGGGTGCTGAAGATAAAAGTCCAAAAAGGGGCTATGATAAATTTGATGGTCCAAAGAGGCGTGAAAAAGTTGTCGATGAGAGATCCAGTGGAAGAAACTCTAGACAGAGTGACCTGAGAGAAGAGGGAAGGAGATCAAGGAATTATGATGATTATGGAAGTGGGCCGCAGTCCGGAGAAGACCAGAGGACGGTAAGGCCAAGGGATAGTCTGTATGAGAAAAGGTCAGGAGAGGATGTTCATAGGAGAGATGAAAAGAGATCGAAAAGGCATGAGGATGACGAGAAGAGCACAAGAAGGCATGAAAGCGATGACTTCAAGACCAAATCAAGGAGCATGAAGACACAGGAAGGCGGTTATGGAGGGGAAGAGAAGAGTTTCAGGAGACAGAACAGTGATGAACTTGGATCGAGGTCAATGAAAGATGACAACAGGATACACGAGAAAACTTTGAGAGGGAATGAGTCCAAGTACTATGCTAGGGATGATAGAGACAAAAAGAGAGAAGAGAAACGGTCTGCTCGTGGAATGGATTCTTCATCTGATCGTGATAAAAGAGATGATCACAGGAATAGATAGAATGTACTGGGTCTTTCCGATACACAGTTTTGCAGCATGCGTTCTGATGGCGTGGTTTGAAGGGATTGGTCTCTATCTCAGTTTGGAGTTGTTCTACCTTCTCCTAGATTCGTGATCCAGTCTATAAGTTGCAGCTTAGAGAAGCAGGATGCATGATGACATACCTAACAGCATCTATTTCTTAGGGCCAATGTAGCTCATGAACCGCTTGGTCATTTTGACTACATTTCCATCTTCATGTTGGTGTTCCATGTTGACAGCATGTATTTCTTAGTGCCAATGCAGCCTTTGTTATGCCGTCAACATTCATATGTCAGGTTCTCCTTTTCTGAAGGGAAAATCATATATGACGGCAATTCAAGTCGAGACTGGGCAATTTTTTTTTTCTTTCACAGGCTCATAGCATTTGTGGGTTAATAGCTTCTCCTGGTTGCTTCAAATACTCTTTGCTAAATCCATTTTTCCGACACCCGTATCAGAATGCATCGTTGCTAATCTGATGTTTCATATTCAAACAGATATATGATGAGCACTTCTACTATGCTATATAGTATTGGTGCTTTAATGTACAACTTAAAGTTGTACCATAACATTAAATGTATAAGTTTAGGTTGTACCCTAAAGCAATTTGTACCATTATGTTATGGTACAACTTTACAACTTAAAGTTGTACCATCACATAAAGATACAAGTTCAAGTTGTACCATAAAAGAATTTGTACAAAAAGTATAGGTACAACTTCAGATTGTACCATAACGTAAATGTACAATTTTAAGTTGTACCATAAAGACAAAATCCTATAGCACCAATACTATATAGCATTGTAAAATTTCTCGATATATGATTATGATATATCAGCGAAGTAAAAAAGGTTCAGCGAAGTAAAAAAGGTTGAACTACATGTACGTTTCTGTAAGATAAAAGAAAACGAACATGGTGTAGCTCATGTGGAGAAGGGAAGGTACTTTTTGTTGAGGATGATACTTTGGTCAATGCTTCCATGGCTCAAGAAAAGACGTAACCGGGGGATACTTCGTACACTGAAGAAAAGAACATGAATAAAAGGCTAAACTTACTGATTTTCGAAAAGAGGGGATAGCAAACAAATACATGTACAGCTAGTGGTGAAAGCTTGATCCGGAACACCCACTGACCCGTCCCTATGGGTCGGAATGGGTCAATTTGTCTATAGGGTCAGATTATGGATGGGTCAGGACAATTTAGGGACGAGTCACTTTTTGACCTATGACATTTAGCAACAACAAATATCTCACACCACATTGAATCTTTTTGTAAGGTTTTAAAAGTTTATGTACTAACTTGTATAAATTTTTTTGGGTACCAAACATAATTTTACCATCAAAATTTATGGACTTATTTGTAAAATAAATAAATTTTAGGTACTAAATTGTAAGAAAAATTATTTTGGGTACCAAAATGCAATTTGTAAAAAAGGGTCGACCCACTGACCCATCCTGTTCCGACCCGGGTCAGATTAGGGATGACAACAAAACTCGAACCCACGGGAACCCACTCGACCCAACCCGGTCAATGCGGGTAAAATCCGTGTTGTCGAGTTTTGGGTCGGGTTTGGGTTTAAACCCGTTTACTATTCATCGGGTTGGTTTGAGTTTAGGTAAACCCGATTCATGGGTACCCGCCCACACTCATATTAATTTTCTCGACACATTTAATATTCTAAACAACTAAGTTTATTTATGTTTGTGGAGACATGTCTAATTTTTTCTTTCTAATTGTGTAAAATGAAGTTGATGTTATCGAGTGGAGAGTGAAGAAACTTAATTGAAAGGAAGAAGCTTTCAATTAATCATGTTATTTATGGATAATTTGTGATTTGCTTCAATTTTCTTGAGTTTTCTAAATTGGCGTTGAACAATTTGTATAGTTAATTTATGATTTGCTTGAATTTTCTAGAATGGTTTTTTTATATATGGATAATTTGTATTGAGAGATTGATATTTGACTTTAATTTTGATAGGAATTTGTTATTGTAAATTTTTTACGACAAAAACCCGTGTGTACCCGTGAACCGACGGATACCCAGCGGGTTGGGTTGGGTTTGAGTTTTTCAAACCCAACGGAATTTATCTCGGGTTTTTTTCACGGATAAACCCATGGGTTTGGGTTTGGCAAAACCCAGCCAACCCGACCCATTGCCATCCCTAGGCCAGACAGGGTCAAGAAGGAGATAGGGACGAAACGGGTCAGTTATATATCTTGACTCTTCAGGGACGAGTCAGTGGTAAGGGGACGGGTCAGGGACGGGACATGCAAATTTTCAGCCCTAGTCGTATTTACTTATTTGGACGAGCGCTGGCTGTAGAGGTTCCGCACTAAACTTTATTCTGGAATTCATGTATTACAAGAATATGTATTATGATCAAGGATGGCAATGGGCACGGTCGGGTATGGGTTCACCCTATACCAATTCCTAACTCGCCGGCTAGAGCATCCTAAAATACCTGACCAAATAACCACCGGGTATGGAAATGATATAACCATGCCCTACCAATCGGGTATCCATGGGTATTCGGATAACCGCAGGTACGAATCTTAAAATATGAACTTACGCACATACATACTGTTGTCATTTAAAAATTCTTAATACTTATAATTGTTCTAGCTTCAACAATCACACAAATAAAAACAACAAACACTAACATAATAACTGTTCTTGCTTCTACAATATACACAAACCAAAACACAATACATCATATTTTTTTCTAGCTTCAACAATCCACACATAAACCAAAAAAAAACAACAAAGCAATAAGTCTTGGTTCTTCGGCACACATATTTTGTGAAGAGCAAAAGCATCAAGTCTTTGGGAATATTGCACCTTGTCTCTTCTTCATAGAACATTAGTTCACTTCTACAATCATATAAAAAGACATTTAACATATAAAACAGAGGAAACACAACTTAAAGAAACATTTAAATTGGAGTATAGAGATTACCAGTAACACACGAAGCATCTTCTACATCTTCATCATCAATAATGGTAGCTAAACTCAATCTCTCAAGTGAACTCAGATCATCTACAAGAAAGAAGACGCTCAACTAACAATTGCATAATGTATAAACAACAAATATGAAAGTGAACGATAGGAAAGATCTATCAGTATACCTTGGATATTAGCATTAAACAACCAACTATGTGCACACATTAAAGCTTCAACTATCTCCGGGAGAAGTCTGCTACGACAAGCGCTAACTAGCCTTCCACCCGAGCTAAAAGCAGACTCATAAGACACTATAGTGACAGGAATAGCAAGTATATCTCTAGCAATCAATACCAAAGTAGGATACTGCGAAGCATTTTCCTTCCATCACGACAATATATTAAACCCTGTTATTTTAGGCAAAACCCTTACTCTGAGATAACCATCCAACTCGTTTTCAACTTCTAGTTGACTAGTCTGAATGAAGCCACATACCTATCATAGGCAAACATTTTTGCTCCACTTTGACTACTCCAGTTTACTCCTTGGGTCACACTCAGAGTATGACCCACATTCACATTTGAACGATTCTTATATTCCTTCTCTAAATCCATAATCAATTTTCGGGGCAACCTCAATTTTACCCCCCCCCCCCCTGCTCCTCGCCATAGTAGGATACTTCGAAGCATTTTCCTTCCATCACGACAATATATTAAACCCTGTTATTTTAGGCAAAACCCTTTCTCTGAGATAACCATCCAACTCGTTTTCAACTTCTAGTTGACTAGTCTGAATGAAGCCACATACCTATCATAGGCAAACATTTTTGCTCCACTTTGACTACTCCAGTTTACTCCTTGGATCACACTCACAGTATGACCCACATTCACATTTGAACGATTCTTATATTCCTTCTCTAAATCCATAATCAATTTTCGGGGCAACCTCAATTTTACCCCCCTGCTTCCTCGCCATAGTAGGATACTTCGAAGCATTTTCCTTCAATCACGACAATATATTAAACCCTGTTATTTTAGGCAAAACCCTTTCTCTGAGATAACCATCCAACTCGTTTTCAACTTCTAGTTGACTAGTCTGAATGAAGCCACATACCTATCATAGGCAAACATTTTTGCTCCACTTTGACTACTCAAGTTTACTCCTTGGGTCACACTCACAGTATGACCCACATTCACCTTTGAACGATTCTTATATTCCTTCTCTAAATCCATAATCAATTTTCGGGCAACCTCAATTTTACCCCTTGCTTCCTCGCCATAGGTTTTAGGAAAGTAGCATTCCAATAAAGTAAACTTGTACCTTGGATCAAAGACAATAGCTATAGCCAAAACATCATGGATAGAACCCCAATACTTGCCAAACTTTGTCATCATACTTGCTGCCATATCTTTAATGAAGTGATCTTCATCCAACAACCCATTTGAAATTCCCACTTTAATGTCACATACTTTTTCAAAGAACACGTTAGAATTTGGATATTTTTTCCCTGAAAATAGCTCACCACTTCATTAAAAACCTCAAATTTCTCACAAACTTTCTTTGCAAACCTCAAATCTGACTCTGATGGCAAACTCTTATAATGTAGCTCTCTTAGTTTCAACCGTGGAAAAATAGTTTGGTAACTCAATGCAATAGTAAGCATAAGATATGTAGAGTTCCATCCAGTTGGACAATCTAAGCTTAATGCTCTTCCGTAACAATTTCCTGAGTTCTTAACAACAAGTACAAAATTTTCTTTCCTTTTTAGGGTTGTTGTCCAATATTGTACACTTTCACGAATGCGCTCTATGCTTTTCTTTACAACCTCCAACCATCCTTAACAATTAAGTTGAGAACATGAGCACAACAATGTATATGGAGCTTAGAATCAGACCACATCAAATGATCACTGCTTAACTTATACTTCAAGAGATCCATCAAGGCATCATTAGTAGAACAATTATCCAAGGTAATCGTAGATATCTTTGAGTCAATATCCCAAACAATTAAAGTGTCAAGAAGATCCTGAGCAAGTACCTCACTTGTGTGTGGGCAAGGAACATAAACAAACCTACAATGCATAAAAAATAATAATGAGAAAAGACTTAATCACATATGTTTTACTCCGAAACGTGCAGAATTTAATGAAGAGAAGAATGAACCTTAGAATATAGCTTCGAATGTTCCATCCATCATTGATAAAGTGGGTTGTCACCACCATAAATCCCTTCTTCTGATTACTTGATGTCCACATGTCACTAGTAATTTCTATTCGACTCTCAGTGTCATCTACGAGTCTCTTCAACTCTTTCATTTCATGAAGATATATCTTCAAGATGTCAGTCGTGATAGTATTTCTCGAAGGGCAGTTAAAGAGGGGTTGTAGTACATTTAAAAATTGCCAAAAACCAACATGCTCGAAGATACAAAGAGGATATTCATGCTAAATAATCATAGATGTCAAAGCCTTCCTCCCTTCATCCTAACTATCAAATCTATTAGAGCGAGATTTACTAAGATCTCCATTTTAATTCTTAGTTATGAGCATATATCTTATGTCCTTAACATTTATTTTGGGACACCTGCGGTTATGTTCATTCAAATGACTTGTCCCATTATTTGAAGCAACATCGAGAGACTTTGAACATAGTTTACACACAACTTTTATATTACCATCCACCTTCAAGATTCGTTTAAGATGTTTCCAAACATCATTCTTCAGTTTGCTTGTATCAAGTATCATTACTAGTAATAGGAGGAGCATCAGTTGCAGTTGCAGATGGTGGACTCTCCACTCCAACCATACCAGCAAGAGTACCACTAGAATTAGGAGGAGTCTCTGTGCGAGCATTAGTTGACAAATTTTTGTCAACGCTTACGAGAATGAGAGGATTTCCACAAGGAGAATCATTTGACGAACTCATTGTTCCACCTACAAAATAGGACACAACATAATCAGGGGAAACACACAACCACAGTGCGTGTGGACAAACAATACAATAAACACATTCCTTGGAGGAATTGGAGACACCATATTGTTTAGACTTCATATCACTAATATGCACAAGACTTATAACCGCACGAAAGATCACCAACCATTCTTGGATGAATTGGAAACCCACTAAATCCACAATAGGGGGAAACAAGAAATCGAAGTGTGCCATTGAAATGAATCAGAAAGCACTCATCTTTCCAGCGTATTAACAAAAATACAGAGAACCCTTAAAATTGCATCTTGCAGGTGAAGACTCTCTCAGAGGAAATTAAACAAACAGGTGGAGTGGGAAGCAGAAAAAATAAAAATAACAGAGAATTACAGTTGACGTCACTGAGTTCAAATTGTGTGTCGCCCGTGAGAGAGCTTGTCGGCGAGTCGCGATCGAGAGGGGAATAGGGGAGAGCAGGTCATGCGACTGACGGAGAACAGGGGAAAACACCATCCTACGTCAAAGTGACGTGTTATTCATCACAATCATTCCCAAAAATGCATTTTAAAACTTTTCATGTGAAAAATTTATTAAAGCATACCAGAAAATCTCATCACACAACACCATTCTACGTCAAAGAGACGTGTTATTCATCACAATCATTTCCAAAAATCTCTCAAACATTTATCGAAATGTATGTTAAAACTTTTCATGTGAAAAGTTTTTTTAAAACATATTAGAAAACTTCATAAAACATATTATAAGTTTATTAAAGCATACCAGAAGTCTCATAAACTTGGACCTGGTTGTAAAAACTAAAAAGGTCCAGTATCAAAATGTAAGGCATAAATTTTTTAGTTACTAAGATATAATTTTTCTTCAGTATTTTTAGGAATTATATGCAAAAATATTAACAATAAGTACTAAAATTTTACATATATTAAGTGTAGATATCTAACCTTAATTTGTTTATAAAACCCGAATCAAAGAGATTGAGAGGGAAAAAGACTACTCCTATTAATAACTTGTTACTAAAATATTCTTAATATATTAAGTTAGCATAGTCCTGGCACTAGAGCAAATTAATATCCTATCCCATACCTGACCTATACTTACCTCCTTGATATATTTATTATAACTCGATGATTAGTAGCTTGAACCCTAATGATATCTTCAATTCTTGTTTGCTCATGATGCCATTTCGAATGAATGGAAGAGGTCACTTGATTTCCTTATTAGTGGATAACACTAGACCGTATGTCTATGATGTGTACACGCATGCATATTTGTGAACCTAATCATTAGTGGAATCTCAATCCATTAGTAGTTTTCTTCATCCTCTCTACTCCAGCAGAGACGCATTACTTGGCACTCAACTCAAAACAAAACCTCTTCAGCATCCAACTTCTGCACTTACGAAATGACAAAGTCAGAAATCTAAATGAACGAACTTATTTGAACCGTGATAAATGGGAAAGAAAATTACTATTTTACTTTCTAAATTTGTTATGAATTTTAGCATTTCCGTCGAACTTTTGCATGAATAACACTGCAAGAACCCCTTCATTTCTCTCCCAAGCCTCAACTTTGAAGGTTAGCAACTTCGTCTCTGAGAATCATGCACGTTCGTGATAATTGTACAGAACGCTTTCGTACTATCGCCATTCTTGCTCTCCCCTGCTTTTTCAAATCCATTTCTTACCCGACAGGCAGCAAGCAAGCAATGGGTCCATTATTCCATATGGGGAAGGACGAATTGATGATTGAATGCCCCAGCCAGCTAACATTCATCAAGACGAGAAAAAAGGAAGCAGCTTTTTCTCACACCTTTTTTTTTATGAAGTAAAAAATTAGAAGAAAGGAACACTCTGTCTGCGATCATCATCTTCCACACCCAACCACCAATAAAATAAAACCTACAACAATGGTAGCCGTCTTCAACAAAGATCTGCTCAGTTGGTACCTCATCACCCTCAAGCTCCGCGAAACCGTCGAATCCGCCGCCGCCGCCGCCGCCGATTCCCATTCTCCCGCCGCTCCCCTACTCCTCGAATACCCACAACAACCACCACCACCACCGCCACCAATCGATCAATCCAAACCGCCGTCGCCGGATTCCGATTGGGTCATATCCATCAATGACAAACTCACCCAGGCTCGGATCGACGACGCATCCGCCTCATGGGAGCGTTTCTGCATCTACAGAGTCCCCCACTACCTCCGCGAAGAAGACGACAAGGCCTACGCCCCACAATTGGTCTCTCTGGGGCCGTACCACCACGCCAAGAAGCGGCTCCGGAAAATGGAGCGCCACAAATGGCGGTGCCTCCACCGGGTCCTGACCCGAACCGATCACGACATCCGCCTCTACCTCGACTCCGTCAGGGAGCTCGAAGACCGGGCCCGCTCCAGCTACGAGGGCGGCTCGGCGGCGATCTCGATGGGCAGCAACGAGTTCGTCGAAATGCTGGTCCTCGACGGCTGCTTCGTCATCGAGCTTCTCAGGGGCGCGGCGGAAGGGTTTCGGGACCTAGGGTATTCGCGAAACGACCCCGTTTTCGCGATGAGGGGATCGATGCACTCGATCCAGAGGGATATGATCATGCTGGAGAATCAGATCCCACTTTTCGTGCTGGACAGGTTGATGGGTCTTCAGCTGAACGAACCTGACCAGACCGGTATCGTGGCCAGGCTAGCGATCCGGTTCTTCGACCCGTTGATGCCCACGGATGAACCGTTGTCGAAATCGGATCGAACTCGGTTGGAGTCCTCCCTCAGGACTCTGTCCTCGTTCGATCCGTTGTCCGACCTGGGAGGCCTGCACTGTCTGGATGTGTTCAGGAGGAGCCTGCTCCGGTCAGGACCAAAACCGGTGCAGCGAATCTGGATCAGGAAGCGATCCCACAGCGAGCGAGTCGTGGACAAGCGACGACAGCAGCTGATACATTGCGCGATCGAGCTGAAGGATGCCGGGATCAAGTTCAAGAGGAGGAGGACAGACAGGTTCTGGGACATCAGGTTCAAGAACGGAGTGCTGAAGATGCCCAGGATCTTGATCCACGACGGGACGAAATCGCTGTTCCTCAATCTGATTGCATTCGAGCAGTGCCACTTGGACTGCAGCAACGACATTACGTCGTACGTGATCTTCATGGACAACCTGATCAACTCCCCCGAGGATGTCGCGTACCTGCACTACTGTGGGATTGTGGAGCACTGGCTTGGAAGCGATGCCGAGGTTGCCGATCTCTTCAACCGGTTGTGTCAGGAGGTGGTCTTCGATGTCAACAACAGCTACTTGGCACGAATGTCGGAGGAGGTGAATCAGTATTACAACCACAGGTGGAACGCCTGGCGAGCGAGCTTGAAGCACAAGTACTTCGGCAATCCATGGGCGATTATCTCTTTGTTTGCTGCGGTTGTTCTCTTGGTGCTTACTTTCACGCAGACCTTCTATGGTGTTTACAGCTATTATAGGCCTACGCCCTGAAACTCCCCGGCGATTTTTGTTTTTGTTTTCGTTGGTTGGTTCGATTTTTTCGCTGTCCTGACAAAAGAGGTTCTGGTTTTTCAGGACTCAAATATTTTGGGCGTGTATGTATGATAAGCAGAAGTAGTTTGAGAAGGATTTGCTTTGCTATAGATAATGAGAGAGGAGCAAAGCCAGCCAACTCCAAGCATTGTTTTTTATATGAAATGAGAAATGTTAAGCTTCTACAAGGGAAATGCAAGGTTAGGACTCGTTTCTGCAAACCAAATGAAAAAAGTGTTTGCTGCTGCATCAGTTCAGTTCAATTCAACAACCAAGCTTTGAAACAACTAGCCAGAAAAGAGACATCCAGCAATCCGAAAATCATACAACTACTAGAGATTCTTTACATCTAAATTTCATCAACCGAGTAAATGAATCACATTAGGATCAACAAGGAGGCTGAATCTGGCCTTAGAGAATTCACTTTATGCTTCTCTAAACTAGTATAGACATATAAAAATTCACAGTGGTGCGATATAAACGAGTACAAAATGCGTAAATGAAACCGAAAGTTAAAATAAAATCAGGGAACCAAAATTAGACCCCTCGATCAATGTCTAGGAACAACCCTGCTTTTCCACCCTCTCTAGATTCTCAACCTGCAGAAGGAAAGGATCCACAAGAAACAACTCAGAGCTTGTTGTAATTTGTCAATCAAATTTCAGAAGGAAGTAGGTTTCCTGCTTCATCTAGGGCATGATATAGAGAAGTTATACCCGAGGCATTCAATCCCTAGTCAGGTTATCACTTGATGGTGTCTTCTTCCCATCATATCGCTGTTAACGAGAGTAAATAACCAAACAATCAATTAATCACATTTACTCTGGTGTACAAATGCAGCTGATAATTCAGAATTTTATACACAGATCTACTGTAACAATGGAATGGACATACCTGTTTGCCGAAAGAGAAAGGAACATATTTGTATTTGACCATATGCATAATCTGTCTTCTCATTGTGAGGATAAACAGCATGATCCAGTAGAATAGAAGTATCGGCCAGAACACAGGCACATCAAACACCGCGAAGAATGTCATGTGAAACGCTATGCAGAAAGCCTTGGTAATAGAGTACCTTCATGAACACAAACGTAAGAAGATAACAAATACATAAAGTACACCAAAATTCCACAAAACAAAGAATAATGCCTAGATTAAACTTCACCCTTATCTACCAACGTGAGCACCTATAATGAAAATCTATCAGAAGAAGAAATTGAAGAACAGAAAGCCAATCAAGGAAAAGTAATGACAACGAGAAGATATTTGGGCAATGAATCTATCTCACAGATTAAATTCCACAATATAATCAGCTGATTAAGTCTACCAGCCACCCAACCCTCATCCCGTCCGTTCTCTTCCCTTCCTTTTCCTCTCTTCAGAATGAGCAAGGGTTAAAAGCCAATCCAAACAAAATACCCCAAAGAAAACTACAAGTATATTGTTCAACCACAGAAAGCAATCTCTTTGAAGCATTTCCTCATTCACCTAGTATGCAGTTCTATAATCACGGTCAAAATAGCCGACAAACAGCTGCTAAGGAAACAGAAACAGAAAAGAACCACAATTTCTGATAGGACCCAACATTTAGGCAATCAAAATGCACAGGAATAGAAGAACCCAAGGGAAATCGACGAAGCAGATCAATCTTAACTTGAGACCGAATCAAAAGAATGATGAACACAAAATAAATCAAATTAGGAACCCGAACAACCCTAAGGCATTGATAATGCCCAATCCCAAGTAAAGCGGTAGATTTCATGAGCAATTGTACCAGAACTTGAACTCGGGGAGGCGTCGGACGAAGGGACGGAACTCATCGGATCCGCGCGTGGGGAGCGAGGGGCCGTCGCTGACCTCCGGGTCAATCTGCGGCGAGAGGAATCCAATCAACAGGTTGAGCATGTAGATTCCGAGGCCGTAGGTAACGATGTAGAATCCCTGAACGAAGTAGACGCGCAATCCGTAGATTAGAGCGGCCAGAAAGCATCCGATCCACCGGTACCAGATGTGCGGCACCGTCTTGTCCAGCATGTGCTGGTACCGCCGCGTGACGGCGAACGTCCACTGCGAGACGACGGCTGCGGGGGACGACGACAGGGATGAGAGATTATCTCCAGATAGGGCTCCTCCATTGGGCTGCTGTGCGGTCTCCATGCGCCCAGCAACAACAACAAGCTCTCTCTCTCTCTCCCTCTCTCCGTCTCTCTATCGAGATCGATTTACAGATTGAATTACGCGTTCGCCAGCTTTTTCCTTATTCTCCGCCGTCTCCGCCGTGGATTTGCCGTCTATGGTTCTCCGGAACTACTTCGCGAGGTTGTTAGATGGGGGAAATGGTCATTCTTGAAGAACTGTCGGTTTCCAGAGCAACCGCTCTTCCATTGATTCTATGCCGTTGACGTGTCTCTCCTCCGGGTCCGGGCTGGACCGTTCGGCCCGTTTCAAATTCTCTCAGCCGATCATTAAGAAACCCAATAGGCCCAGTATCAAAGGGCGGCCCAATTAAATCCAACTTCGGCGTTATTTGCTTGGATGGAGAAATAGTTCAGTTCGTTTTCTTTTCTTTCCTCTCCTCGAGGCGCAGGATCTAATTCCAAATTCCCGTTGATGATTCTGGAATTCACTCTCATTCTTCTCCGCCATTGATGTGGCTTCTTCGAATCTCTTGCTCTTTGCTTATCGGAGTTTCTTTCTTGGATCTACTCCGTCCCTGGATTGGTGGCGGCAGAATTCAGAGGCTGAAATTTTCACGAATCATTTGTTGAAAAAGCTACAACTAGTGCGGCAATGAATTAGAACAATTTGCCGAACCACATTGCAGTTATTGTTGTTGAATCTGAAGGTTTGGATTTCTCCACCGGAAAATCCTTTGAATTGGATTCCGTTGTTTCCTAAATTGTTATAGTTCGAAATCATGATGGATTCCGAATCCGCCGACTCTTCTTCATCAGCGCAACCTCCTCCTGCAAAACCTACTTCCACTGCAGAGCCTATTGCGATAGCTTCGAATGTCGATTCTTCTGATACGTCTTCTAACGCGGAGCCCTTGGTTCCAACTGGAACTACGGCCGATCATCCAGCTGAAGAATCACGAACTACAACTGCGGAATGTAAGGATGCGAATACAAGTCTGCCTACGCCGACGCCGCCACCGGACTCCGTGGCTACAAGTTCTGGTGGTTCCACCCTTTCTCGTATTACTAGTGGCATCGGTTTGCGTCTCTCTGCAATGGCTTCTGGATCAGAAGAGGCTTCTCAAGGCAGTGCAACAACAGCTGGGCAGGGTGGTGTTCTTGAATCACTGACGAAGGGCTTAGTCGACTCATCTCGGAGTGCCGTCAAGGCTATCCAGGTCAAAGCTCGCCATGCTGTGTCTCAAAATAAACGCAGATATCAGGTATAGCGTTATCCTGTGCCTAATACGCGCAGGGATCTTACTTTTGGCCTCCAGCATTGTTCTGAAGGGAACTTTCTGTCACGTAATAATTTGCCCTATGTGCAATTGCTTGCTGATGTGCTCCTCCTTGATATTCCGATTGTGAACAATTGACTGGATCATAGGAAGGAGGATTTGATTTGGATATGGCTTACATCACTGAGAACATCATTGCTATGGGGTTTCCCGCTGGTGATTTGAGCTCTGGGCTTTTCGGGTTCTTTGAGGTAAGTTTTGTTGCGAGACATTGGCACCCAGGATTGACTAGCTCATTTAGACTTCCTCTTAATAATATAGGAGCTCAAACTTTTGATATAGGGGTTCTATCGGAATCACATGGAAGAAGTGATAAGATTTTTCGAGAGTCGCCACAAGGTAGTTTCTGTTCTGAACTCACTTGGTTTACTGTTGGACATTTGTGTTACTGGTTACAGCCTGGTCTTGATGATGAAACTATTTTCATCCACTCGCTGTACCGAATTGAAGTAACTTTACAGAGTTAAATTATCAGGAGAAAAACCTAAACTCACCCTGGGTTGGGTACCATTTCCCAAGAGCAATGATAGCAGTACTAATGGTTTCATTCATGTGGGGATTCATTGGCTTTTGTCTATGCAAGTGTATTAATATCTCTTGCCACTGATGCAGGGAAAATATAAAGTGTACAATCTATGTGCAGAGAGACTGTATGACGCATCACGGTTCGAGGGGAAGGTATTATAACAGTCTTCCTCGTCACTAGGCTACTTCTTCATGAAATTTCCAGTTTTCGTTTAAGAAAGGGAATAGAATCTTAGATTTGAAAAGATTAATTCTCTTAGAAAGATCTTCCAGAGAATAGGAATCATATAATTGCTTCGTCTTATGTCTGGCTGCAACTGTAAGCTAGAGTTGAAGCTTGTTTTGCTACTCTACTCCTTCGGTTCCGGTGAATAGGAGCTCTAGTTGAGGACCAGTCCTCTTTTTATCACATTAGTTTTTGAACTGATTTGAATTGCATTTCTTGAATTATTTGACTAGGTGGCATGTTTTCCATTTGATGACCATAATTGCCCTCCGCTTCAACTCATACCATTATTTTGTCAAAGTGCATACTCCTGGTTGAAGGCGGACATTCAAAATGTAGTAGTAGTCCATTGTAAAGCTGGAATGGGCAGGACAGGTCTGATGATCTGTTGCCTTCTTCTATTTCTTAAGGTAATATCTTTTATCTTGTCTCAACAATGATCTTAGTGTATTTCGGTGAAACTAGGGTATAATGACTCCATTTAAAAAAAAAAAAATGTCATCCTTTGTTTCTACTGCAGTTCTTTCCGACTGCTGCGGAGGCCATTGATTTCTTCAACCAGAAAAGATGCATAGACGGGAAGGCTTTAGTTCTCCCAAGTCAGATTGTTAGTTGGTTGATCTTTATATTTATTTACATATCTCAAGTTCTTTTGATGGTTTGTCTCTTCCTTTTTCTGATAAATACTCTGCCTTTTCCCCATTTTTGGTCTTTCTGTTTCTAGAGATATGTTAAATACTTTGAGCGCATCCTGACTTGCTTCAATGGCAAAATTCAGCCTGGACGGAGGTACGTGATCCTTTTGTTACTTTTGTTTGTAAGTTTGTATATGTTCTTTTCAAGAACTTGCTGAACGTGTGTTATTCTGATGTAGGTGCATGCTTCGGGGTTTTCGGCTTCACAATTGCCCTTACTGGATACGGCCTCCTATCACCATCTCCAATCATAGTGGTAGGTTGTCTTTTAAGTTTTCGTCTTGCAAATCATCATTTTTGTGCTTTTGTTATTTTATGGTTTTTAGTTTGTTAGTATGTACAGGAAAATCTGGGTTGTGTCGTGATGGTATATTAAAACACATGAAAGCTTAGGGTTACAGTATAGTGCAGTTTATGATTCCGGAGTAACATATTAGTGAAGTCCGTCTATATAAAATAGTAACTACAATGAAGGGAATATAGGGTGGGCTTTTTGCAAAGTATAAATCTGTCTTAATGTTGAACTTCACAACTACTGAAGTTAGTTCAAATGAGTCCTTGTTCTTGTTATGCGAATTTTGAATGGAAGACTACGTGGATGCTATATCAGCTTTTGGAATAGATCTGTAGGAACTTGACACAGCGGAATACACATTGTACTGCTTCTAGATCAGATTCCTTATTCGCTCGCCATTAAATGTCTTATATGTCTATATATAAACGAGAGTTTTACTTTTTACCTTATGCACAGGAGTTCTATTCTCAACAAGAAATCATCCAAAAACCAAGGATTTGATGGTAATTTCTTCTTCATTCATGCTCTTCTGATTAATACTTGACAGCTTTCTGAACTAATGTGCAAACTGACTGATTCAGCCTGAGGACTTTTGGATCAGTGGCCGGAGGAAAGGAATTGTTGTTTTTGCTCTGCCAGGGGAACCTGGTCTAACCGAGTTGGTTGGAGACTTCAAAATCCACTTCCATGACCGCCAGGGGGACTTCTACTGGTTAGTCAACTCTCCTAACTTGAAGAATGTTTTGTCGGATATGTATTTGCCCAAAATGCCAGTTGCTCCTGACTGCATAATACATACGCACATTCCTAATTTCTTGCCTGAAAATAAACCTTTTCTCCTCTCTCTTGCGGTCAGCTGGCTCAATACTACGATGACGGAGAACAGGAAAACGTTAACAGGGGACGAAATTGATGGCTTCGACAAGGTAACTTCAGATTCAGCCTTTCAGATGCCTGTCAAAGTTCTTTCCTCTTTACCCATACTCTGCTGTCGTTAAAGTAAAAGCTGCATTTTCGCAGAGAAAACTGCCTTCTCCAGGATTCGAGGTTGAGATTGTGATGATAGATTACGATGGTACATCACCACCGGTAACTACAAAGACCAATTCAGCAAGCAACAGTGCTAGCGCGTCAAGTTGTGCTGCAACAGCGAATACAGGAGGAGCTTATGTTGCTCCGAAGCCTTCTAATCAAAAGGAAGCGTCAACGAGCAATGAGGAAGACGATGTATTCTCCGACAGCGATGAAGAGGACACCAAAGCAGCCTCAAAGAGCAAGCAAGGTCAAGGTCGGAGTGATGGTCAAGCTGCTCCGCCTACTAGTGAAGCGGCTATGTCCACCACAGAACAAATGAACAGCTTGACTCGTGGAACGAAGCAGGTGAGTCTCGGTCTTGCTAGTAAGGAAACTTCACAGCCAAGTGCGAGCAGCGAGCCAGCCGCCATTCAGAAACCTTCAGCGAGCGTGGGAACACCAAAGTTGGAGTCCGGGGCCAGCGATATCAAGGCGATGGCTGCTGATGCTTCGGTGTTCAGTTTTGGGGACGAAGATGATTTCGAAAGCGATTAAAAGATGACAAGTAGGCTCGTTCAGTTTTGGCCAGCAAGCTACCATCTTTCGAATGGCCCCCTTTGGATCAGCGAATGAGGCAATGCAAAATCGATATGGCCTGGAGTTTGCAAGGTTAGATTAGATGTCAATTGTATTGGATATCAATTTCGTAGTTTTATGGGGTTATGTGGATGCCAAAGTTGAAAAGTGGTTGATTTTAACGCACCTAAAAATTTCAGAATATCGGTGTTTAGGTCACATTGATCTTAACAAAGCTCACTAATATTTCTGTATGAGGGCAAAATAAACATTAGGAAAGCCCTGTTTCAAGAGTACATGTACAAGAAAAATAAATTTTTTAATTTATGAGGTGTAAGGTGTTCGACAAATTTGATGCCCTCATGAATCATGATAATTTGAAGAGAGTGATCTAAATCTTTCCTTGAGTTAAATGTTACAGGACGCTTTCTCAACGACAAACTTCAATCCTAAATCTTCCATCTCCGGTTCAAAATTGTGGGGAATATTGAAGACACAATAAAAGCGTATAACAGTAACAAAATCCTCTCCACGAGTTTAAAACCGTTACCGTCCCTTCTTAGTGGTCTTCGCGTCGTTCAATTTCTGTTTGAGATCGGCAATGATCTTGTCCTGGGTAGCAATTTCGAGGTCTTTCGCACGTATATGTTGCTTCAGTTTTTCCATCTCTTTCAAGTGGTCGTCGCAATGATTCTTGACATCTTTCTCCTCCAGTTCTTGTTTCAATCTTTCAGTTTCTTTCAAGTGAGCTTCACCTTGGACTCTTAGTTCTTGCTTCAATCTTTCGATCTCTTCCAGGAGGTGACCATCTTCAGATGACTGATCCGTTTTCTGCTTCTTTTGACCACCGCGGTCCTCGAGTTCCAGAGCTCTCTTTTGCTGCTGATCTTGGAGAGAATCCTCGGGCACCATTTGACGTACACAAACAGTAGTAGTTTTTCCCGAGTCGGAGACGAGGGTAACCAGCTTCTGTGGGCGTCCAGCAGAATCCTGCACAAAACAGACAATGACAGAGACTCAACTAATTTCAATTACAAAATCCAATTCCTCCCAACTTATGGCAGATTTGGAATCCCCATTGCGCTTCTGTTTGATTCCGAACATAAAAATGTGAAAGGAATCGGAACAGGAGATCAGATTCCTCTTAGTTTTTATTGATCCCAATCGGCTGTACAAATAAACAATCCTTTGATACTACAGGAGATAGATATTAGTCATCAAACGATGTGGAAGCTTAAGGTTAAAGGCGAGAGACAAAGCCATCAAACCAAGTCCTCTAACCGATAATTACCTTTTCAATGGAGCCATCTACTTTTTGGAATGCTTCATGTGCCTCTCGTAACTTCTTGAAAATGGCTAACACGGAGTAGTGTTTTCCCTGGCCTTTCTTAAGTGGCTGCCAAAACATTATTCCATCATCACTATAGCATAAGGATACAGAAAGCAAATAATTGATGTAATGATGCCCTAAAACAATCGACCAAGTTACATGATGACTAGATCAAATCTATGAAGGAAGTTCACCATTGTGTATGGCTGAAATCAAAAAATGTAGAAAACAATAAGAAAATCCAAAATATGATGGAAAACAAAAGAGTTAACCCTTGTCTGTAGAACCCATAGAATAACCCCATGGTTCAGAGTTCAAATGTAGCTGTGATTTGCAGAGCCAAAGGGCTAGTTTGATTCCGCTAAAAATTAAGGAAAATATCCCATCAATTCTACTTTCTTCGAAAATCTCACCATAGTTTTTCTCTACTTTCACTGAAACTTAAATCACAAGTCACTTTCCTTTTAGTAAAAGCTACAAACACACTCATTCACTTATGTACAGTGTTCTGGGACAGTAGCCTTCTAAAAATGAAAAGGATTAGGTTCACCTTTAGCTCAATAGTAAAGTTTGCAGGAAAGACTCTTCTTAGTTCTTCGGTTGGCACAGCGCTCGGTATTTTGTGAACGAGCAGCCTAGCAAGTTCATCATCAGGTACCTGCACGCTTGCCAACAAATTTAGTAAGTTCAATGAAATCTGCATCATAACCTTAATAAAGTGAGCTTGTTTAACTTACACTCTTCAGGTTAGATACAAGCAACGGAGTTTCTTTATCAACTCCATGCTTGAGCTTAGCCAGTACAATTTTCATAGCAGTACGTGCATCATCTAAGCAATTGTGAGGAGCACCTTCCTCTCGAAGCTTATATCCTAGAATTGACTGTAAAATTTGAGCGAAGATTAACCATGTGTCTAGAATGAAACATGTTGCAAATAATTCGCTGAATTTTACAGCTTCTAGAATTCCAACCAACTGATTATATCATAGACATTCATTAAACAAGGGAAAGGAGAACTAGAGAAGCAGCTTACAAAAAATAAGGCAGAATGATCATTCAGAAACTTACCTCACACAAATTACTCAAAGATGGTACACGCCCAACCGAATTTTTGTAGATAAGTGACGTGTCTATAATTCTTGCGTGGTCCAACTTCAATGCTGCCATTGATGACAAATGTAAAAGAAAACGATCAAGTTCTACTGAAAACAAATCAACATAAGCCCAGCCACATACTTGAAGCATAAAAGTGTTTTTTCACGTACCAAGCAGGTCATTATGTAACCCATGGCCCACTAAAATGGAACCTTTGGACAGTAGCTTTTTCAAGGATTTCTGAAAGAGAGTGCAGGTGAACAACTTCAGACAATAGATCAGTCTATCAAACAATGATAGTTAAGAGACCATAGTCTCAGTACCTGTATATCTCTCAAGGAACATGTAACATTATCCAGATCTCCAGGATGGATTCCAGTAATTTCAGTTCGATAATCTGCAACTGGCTTGTAAGGGTTTACTTTCTCGTGGAGCTTGACCTAAGATTTAAGGCTAATTAGTATCCAATAAAAAGGAATTATCCAAATTTCATGAACAAAGCCGGCCAAATGAAAGGACCAATAAAAAACCAAGATTGGGAACCTGTAAATCACGGTCCACAACACAGACTCTCACTAAAGCATCAGTACCATCCTCACAAAGAACCATCTCACAATCAAGAGCAAGCATCTCATCCGATTTTACCAGCTTGGACATTTTACAGGGTTTTGTTACAACCCAATCCTGCCACATCAAATATCGCAATAATCAAGATACGATTAGAGTTTGATAATTGACCTAATTGATTCAATCGCTAGTACTGCCATCAAAGTAGAGGAATGTAAACCGCAAAAACAAACCTTTTCATATGATGGGAACACATACTTCGCCATGAAAAGTGGATGTTCAAGAGTTAAATGAACCAGCCTCTGCACTGCCACGGTTGCAAATTTCACCACAGGTTAAACACATTAACCAAACCACAGTCCAAATCCCGAAGGCACAGAAACATTCACAGATTGCCCCAGTGATTCCCCAGAAAACCAACGGAAAACTGAAAGCAGTTCCCAAAAGCAGCCAACCCACTGAACCAAATGGAGCTCAGCCCTATACCTGTTCAGGAGACACATCGCCTGAAGCCTCTTTAGCAATCTGCAGCAACACCTCCCGGCTTGAATGCGACTTGAGAACATTATCAACAAACTACAACAAGAGAAAGAAACATACAGTTCAAAGAGCGAAGTTTACAGGTCCTGAAACCGCTTGATTAGAGAGAGCAAATTAATTTCATTTCGAAGTGGTTGGTTGGTTGGTTGGTTTACCTTGGAATCATCTTCTCCGCTAAATGTTTGAAGGAAAGAAGCCAAAGCTTCTTTGGGCCTCTTGCCAGGATCACTGAGTGAAGAGCCAAACTTCTTATCGTAGACATTGAGGAACTCCTTCCAGCTTCCCTTTGTGCCCTTGCGCCCCTGCCTTTGCGCTAACTTCACAATCTCAGTCAGAACCTGTGCCAGAACAGATTACGGACCAGAGTGAAGGGGAAGCTTACATTAGTTCCTGCTAACTTGCGACGGTGGTAACTCGACTGAAGTGTTGCAGGGGATTGAAGGAGGAAGTAGAATAGAACGAAATCGACGTAGGGATAGGGAGAGGGAAAAGCTCACCTTTGCCGGCGCGGCGGCGATTGCGGCGGCTAGTTTGTCGTCCATTTTTAGGGATTTCTGGTTGAGAGAAAGGGCTGCTGGCTGCTGGTAAGCAGAAAAAAGCCGGGAACAGCTGCAAGAGGGTTTATTGTTGAAAGTTGCTGCGTGCCTTCGCTTGTTGTTATTAGTTAGTACATGCCCTAGGTTGCTTTCCTTTCGTTCGCAGAGCAAACTCGAACCGGCTTCCTAGATAGGAGAAAGGATTTCACTTAGGAATGTCCATGCCCGGTTCGAAGTGAGTATTTCAATATTCATGTTCGTCCAGTAGCATGTCTGGTTATAGTTGGATATTTTGTTTTGAGGTGCAGTTTGGGTCAGATCGACAAATTTGAGTAGATTTGCAAAACAACCTTGATTTGGGTTGTGAGATTGAAACACATTGTTTCACTTAAATACGTCGATTCGACTTCCAGTCGTGAAACGAGTAAGTTGTGGCTTAAGCCGTGGGATGTGGTGGTCGTGAATCAGGCAGTGAGATAGATCGTGAGACAGGTCATGGGGCAGGAAAAACTTTCTGGAACTTTTAGCCATCTCACGACTTTTTGGCTCATCTCACGGCTCATCTCACGGCTTGTCCGCCTAAGCCGTAACTTGGGTGCCAGCTTTACGTCATCTCGTGTTTTGCCCTCCGATCTTTTCGAAACTCACCCCCAAGGTTTAAATCATGCACTAGCACATGTAATACAACAGAAACACACAACCTAGTGTAAAACCAACACAAATGGGGGCGTTTCACACTCAAATGATCAAGAAACGACCAAGTATCAGGAGACAAAAAAAAATATAATTACAAACGTATCGAGCCCCCCCACATTTAACCATTTGTTTGTCCCCAAGAAAACCTAACTCAAACTAGTGCAACTCACTAGACTCTTACAACCGTATGCAACTTTTGTTCATCAATAGCGGGTCATTAGCAACTTACGAGGCCAACCGAGGACAAGAGATCTCCCAACCACTTCGGTGAGAACCACATCTCAAGTTAGGACAAGCCGAACAGTAGAACTAGGACAAACAACTTGTGAATGGAGAGAATCTCAAAAACATCAAAACCGTGCACCCAATTTTCGTGCTCCTCCTTTAGAGAAGCTCAAACTTTCGAACTTCAATTAAATTTGGCTGCACGTTGCAGCACCTCATTGTTTTGAATTCAAAAGCTCTTATTCTCATGACTAGAGCAGAATTGGCATTCACTTCTCAATCTAGTCCATGCGAGGAAAGTGGTGCAAGAGAGGATGGCAAAGTGAATGATGAAGTTGGATGTTAATCGAGCTGAGCAGAGGTCTCTCGACTTGAGCAAGAAAAACCATCTCTTCTATATCAAGTCACGTAAGGAGGAGAACTGTAAGGGAGTGTCGAAAGTAGTAGGAGAAGGTTGGATGATTAATTCGATTCTCCCTTACACAACTCTCAAAAGCGCACTATAGTACTTGAACCGGCTGCCACAACACGTGAAACCTCTATTTTTTTAAAGCACATTAAGGGCGCCTTTTCGTTCAAACATTTGAAGTCCACAAAAACGGGTGAGAGTCATCAACACTGCACAAATCACACATCCAAACATGACTATTCAACATGTCAACAAACATAGTAAGAAGTGGAGAGGAAATATCTCATGCACCAACATCTTCTATAATGCTCCACTAGCCTTCTTAGGTTGCATACTATCATGAAATCTAGCAATTCAAACACACTAAGCAGGTAATCACAAGGGACAATGTACTTGGAGCCCTCAAATTAAATATTTGGACATTGAACTAGACTCTAAGCACTCTCAATATAGGCCAAACATTCATTCAAAAGCCATGCATCTAAGATAATCAACACCTTCACACTTGAGTACGACATTGTCCTCAATGGAGGAAGATAAGGAGAAGGTGGAGCGAAGTTACCGGACATACGGTGAATGTTGAACGGAATGGAGAAGGACCAGTCACCAGGAGCAGCTTGGTATTGTTAGGAAACACATTCAAACACTTAAAAAGGGTTGATCTACAGACCGAGCATAAGTTCACGAAACACAAACAAAACACAAATGTTGCAAAAGAAAACAAAACACAAGGGGGGCCCTAGGGGCCATCACTCCTCCTTGTCGCTTTGGTCCTGGGCGGGCACATCGAGTCCAAAGTGGTCGAGGAGCCGCTCCTGCGTGATCTCAATGCAACGAGTCCTCCCCTCCAAGCCATCGAGAAGGGCAGAGTGGTCAGAGGAACAACTCGTGTGGTCGCGGTACTGAAGAGTCTGAGGTGGAGCGAAAAGCGATGGTGGTACCTGTTGTTCATCGACAAGTGGGACACCTGCAAGGGTAGCAGCAATGAAGGGCAAATGAGGAAGGCGATGGAGGTATCGGACACCATTGGTCTGCTGCAAAAGCGGCATGTGCCTCAATGTCGACTCGGGTAGATCAACGGTACAACCAAAGTGGGTGCACACAGTGAATTTGAATCCAAACTATCGAAAAAGCCAGGTGATGTAGGGCCCACCGCCAGCCCATCACCACCTGAAATACCACCACTCCACCAACACTTCTTCATCCTCAATTGTCGTCGTCATCATCGTCTTCTTTTAACCCTGCGGTGGAGAAGAGAGTTGGGCAGGAGAGATGATGAAACGACCTGTAAATCTCGAGATGAGCTATTTGATTTGGGGGTTATGGATGAGTTTGAGAACTGGGGTTGGCTTCTTCTTGCTCGATTGAAACTTGAAAGAGAGAAGGAGGATCGGGGAGCTAGGATAGGCATATTAGAATTGGAACAAAGGGAGCGACGGTGGAGGAGAATTGGCGAATGACGGACGGGGAGGGTTTCAGATTTAGGGATTCTTTTTTGTTTTCCATTCGAGAGGGTTTCGTGGGAATAAATGGTTATCCTTTTTTATTTGATTCATGTAATTATAATAAAAATCATCTAATTTTGTTTTTTGACAAAAAAATGCCACATCAGCAAAAATCGTTAGTATAGTCAGCATTCTTTATAATTCCGCTAAAGTTATTGACGGAATGACTATTTTAGTAGAGCCAACTATAATGTGATGTGGCACTAATTTAGTCTTGATATCCTGTAATATTAAGTAAGAATAAGGATGCTCACTAGACTGCATGTCTAATTGTAATTCACCCACGTCAATCACCTTCGGTTTCACATGTTGTGGGAGAAAGAGTTAAGCATATTGGCTCCCATAGAAAGAAAACGCTCTCGAAAAAGTGGCAAAACGAGACGATGGCCAATTTCAAAACAGAAAAATGTTACCGAATCCTAGTTAAATAAGGATACACGACACAAAATTCAAAAAATTGGAAGCTCGTAATTCAGCTTCAAACCAATGTTTATTTGTGTCAGATATTTTTAAAAAAAATAATGAAGGTGGTGAGCGGTACTAAGTTAATTATATAGAATCTCAATTCAAACCAAATTAAAAATACAAATTTTTTTTTTATGTGGATTGCTCAGAAGATGATGATGTTGTTGTGGTTCCGGCGATAGCTTCCTTAGCAGACTGGAGCGTGCTTGCGACAGAAGCTGCGGCAGAGGCCAAAACGCCGCCGCTTGTGTTGGACTTTGGTTGAGGAGGAGGATTATTATGATGGATCACCTCCACTTTCCTCAGCTCTTGTCCTTGCCCTGCCGACGACCGGTAATCCACCGAGGTTGTCTTTGTTTCCTCCCGACCATGGGATTTCTCTGCCTGCGTCTCCTGCCAAAATTCACAATATTTTTCTAACCAAACCAAAAAAAATACAAAACCCTATTCCATGATGCAATGTGTGTTCATACCTTCATTGCGTTTGAACTCATGGTGATTAATGGGTTGATTTTATTGATTGAGAGGCTTCGTTTCTCTCCTTTTTCTTTTGAGTTTTTTCTGTAGTCTTTTTCCTTCTTTCATAATGGTTTCTCTGTTTCTGTGATGTTAGGGATAAGTTCGATGCTTCGAAGACCACTCTTTGGCCGAAAAACTTGGGGGCGTTTGTGGTTCTCCCCTCTCTCTGCTGCTATCATGCAGACGACTCCACTTGTAATCACAAACATATTTTGGTCCACTAAAATTTTCTTCCAATATGGCATTGTTTCTGTTATGATGACTGATGAGACACAGATAGAATAAACCTTTGAAAGTATGATGTGATAATTTTTTTTAGAGTATTATTTGTTCGTCACTGCAAATTGTTAATTAGATTTAGAAAAAATTAGGTAAATCCCAATCTGAAACAAGAACTTTTAGTTATTTTGTGTTCACGAATAGAAAATGAAAATTAGAAGAACTGAAGAAGAATGATGAAGATTTATGGGGGCAACAATTTTTTATTATGTCTATCACCACTTGGACAACTTCTTATGAACCATTTGTAAAGATCAGTAGATCTTACTGCACTGGGGATGATAAGGAAGAACCGACATTGTTGCAAACTTGTTTAGCTTACTACTTAGTACCTCCATACTAATTGCAATCAAATAGGGGATGATAGACACCCTTGTCGAAGGCATTTCTTTGCACTAAACCTCTCTATCAATCCCCCCATTCAAACACATTGTTAACCCAACATTATCAAGACATCACTACAACAAATTCGGTCTATTAGGACAAATTTTTTATTTTGTCATTTTCTGTTTGTCACAATGTTGTCCTATTTGATAATGACAAAAATAATATATGTCCTATTTGATAATGTGACAAAAAAAAATGTTGCCAGGATAAATAGTCATTTAAAGCGAGTAACGTGACAAATATTTCGTGTCACAATTAATTTTGTCGAAATAGTCGTCCCATATCGGAATGTAAGAGACACAAAAGTGACAAATTTCATGTTGTAAGAATAGTTCGTCATTTAAAGTGAGTAATGTGACAAATAGTTTGTCACAATTAAGTTTGTCATAATAACCCTTCTCGGCCCACTGTAAACTAAGTGCCCAGATTTAGTTATGCACCTTGTCCGCAACCTAATTGTTGTGGTTGCTCTTATCATTAGTATTATTGGTTTTGCCATTTTAGTGGGTTGTGTACGAGTGGGCAGGGTCCTTTGGTTCACTTATATGATTAATTGAAGTTCATAATTAATATTTTTGGTGATGTGGACTAACAATTAGTCAAAATTAACAAATTTTTGGGTGAAAATGGACGAAATAACCAATTTATTATATGCTCAAATATGTTCTACCGCATCATGTAAAATAAAAGAAATTGTAAACGTTTTTAACAAAATGCAAAATTTTGTGACCGTTTATGCTAATTACGCATAATATTCCATCAAACATAGATGCAGGCGGCCAAGTATTATACAAGAGAGTTACATAAATCCTAAGCATTACTTCTTGTTGATCAAAAACCTACATTACAGTTGTAATAGTAGTAACAACCTAGATGGAAGAAGAAGATTCTTCCACACAAGGTCCAACACAGAGAAAGGAAATGGAAAAGTCCAATCATGGCTACACCAAGCTGCAGAGTAAATCAAAGATCAGTAAGTCATAAGAGGTGACCCACTGCAATGGACATCAGTAGCATCTGGGAACCTTTGCCTAGGAGACAAGTTATTGATGCCAGCGGCCTCCACATCCAGGTTTCTAATGCTCTTCCTCTTCTGAGAATCTGGGTTCACCATCTTCTCCTCTGATGATAACACCTCTGGGATGGGACTCAAGGACCCTGCTTCTTCATCCTCCTCCTGACAGTTCAGAGACATCATGGCTCGAGCCTCTGCAACTGCTGACCCATCGTTGTCTGCAGCATACAGTATCTGCTGAATTGCAGCAATAACCTGAATATTCAGAGTAGTAACACATGGATTAGAGGGTATGAAAAGAGCTCTGAAATACAATAAACCATCAAAGAGAGAGATGGGTGAAGCTTTCTCTCACAGGCAGTCCTTCAAGACCAGGGCTCTGGCAGAAAAGCTCAACATCTCTCAGCTTGGCAAAGTAGTAGTCTCTTTCCTTCTCAAGGCTGTCCACGGATAGCTTCAGTTCTGTGATCTGCTACCATTCAAGTAGTCCATGTCAGACACATATAAAGCTCAATCAAAGCAAACAACTAACGTTACTTCTGACTCTTACCTGTTCTTCATATGCTGGTGCAGGCGGTGGAGGTCTAGCAGCCTTCACGTTTAGGGTCGAAGACGAGTTGGAGTTCACTGAAGAAGAAGACTCATGCCTTCGACCGTGATGGGACTGTGCTTTGGGGGCAGCCGCAGTGCCTTTGGCCGAAGTTTGAGCCGGTGGACCTTTCTTCCCTACTTCTTTTCCACCCTTGCTACCCTCTCTTCTCTCGATTGGGTTGTAACTGTGAGTTAAAAGCCAGCCAAACAGGAGCCAATTCACACTTCTAGTCAAAATTTACAGCACTGCTTCCCAAACAGCATTCTAAAATCCTTATACACAGAACCCCAAAAGCGAGAAATTGAATCAAAATCTTCTAAAGCCAGTAACCAACTAATAGACATCGGTTTTCATGCTTAGAGGAAAACGTAAGAAAACAGCGAATCGCGGCGGTCGAAGAAGAGGAAATTCACCTGACAAGGCCACCATTGACGGAATCGCAGTAGCGCTTCAGCCACTGCATGAACTCCAGATTATCCAGAGGCCTCCCTTTCACAAGCTTGCTTACTTCAATATGCTGTCAAGTCGAAGGAAAACAGGGAAACAACAACACTTCAAAAAAAAAAAAAAAAACGGAATCAATCGCGCGATTTCATTCAAACAAAACGTGGAAGTCGCTAATCCATATACCTTTGTGATTTTGAGTTTATTGAACACATCCTGAAGGACCTTGTAGTTCTGAATCATCTCATACTCGCTCTTGGCATCGAAATTGACCTTGTGCATCGGCACCATCCCTGGATGAACAGCGTCCAGTAGCTGACAGTGAACCGCTCCAGAGCACGCCTGGAACCAAACAACAGATCTAAGTAAGAAAATTTTTCTTCGGGATGAGAAGTTAGGGTTTTCAGAGAGGAAAACAAACCTCTTCGACTTTGGAGAGATTGAGTTGGAGAGTGGAGTTGATCCAAGCGAGAATCTCCGATCTGCCGACGAAGTACGCCGCATCCATCATCCCGATCTTCGTCGCCATCTCCGACTCTCTCCGCCGGTTCGTAACTCGGTGAAATCCTCTGGTTTCTCTGCGATTTTGTTTAGAGGAATTGAGAAGTGAGATCTCTCGTTTATCGTCCTCCGTCTCTCCTCGGCTTATGAGTCCACACAAGGCGCGTGGTTTTCCTGACTTTTGTTGAGAGAGAACAGCGAAACAGAACAGAAAGGAAAGTGAGAGTGGGGAGAAGAGCGGGGATCTTTTACAATTCAAAATCGGGATTGACATGAGACCGTTATAGAATCGGGTTATGCGGGGTAGGGTTTTCTGGAAACCCGGATTTGTTTGGGCTTCCACCTCACCAGCCCAGCCTCACGAATTGGGCCACAAATCATTTGCAGCCCAATTTAAATAAAAAAAAGAAAAAGAGAGCTAGTTGCAAGGTGCTCGGAGCCGGAGGAAAATAAGGTAAAGAAAAGGAAACCAAGTAAAATGAGAGTTGAAGCTCTCGATGGGCATATATAGATATAACTAGCTTGTAACCCGACCCGTTGGTCGGAGGAGCTGAGCTGAATATTGAATTATTGGGATAACCCGTAGATTCAACCATTAAGCTAAATTGGTCTAATGGTGAGTACCGCCTAGCATATCCCTAATAATCATACCAAAGTGAATATATTGGAACATAAACAATACATCAAAAGTTGGTACAACCATGAAGTTAGACCATTAAAAACATACCAATGAAATTGAATAGCATCGAAAAACTTCAACTTCATTATATAATTACATGAGATCAGAAAGAGAACACCATTAATTTGATTTATAAAACTTTCATCTTGTCGTCATTGTGCTTTCTGGTTTTTGTCAGGCCATGATAAAATCTAAGGAAATCAAGAACGAACAACACGATTTGGGAAAGGAACCACCGTTGTCGTATTCCTAGAGAATGGTGGTAAACACGGACTCACCTGCCAAAGTGGTTTGGATTGAGATTTTTATCGGGTATCAGGGAACCATGTGATTATAAATTAGACTTGATCAAAACGGGCCAAAACTTAAAATTCAGCCTGTTTGACCGACCCATGCAAAATTCTAATTATTCGTTACTTTTAAACTTTCTATTTGAAAATAAAAAATAGTGAAAGAAAATAGATGACTGCAATTCGCCATTTGCACATCACTTATTCGGGAATAAAACCATAGAAATTCAAAAGAAACTGAAAATGTTTAGGATCGTTTTAATGTTTAAAATAACCAAATAGATCTTTCTGTTTAATTTTTTACTAACAAATACCAAACGATTCCCTATAAAATACACTATAATTTTATCATTATGATATCAAATAATTATATAATATATATTTGAAATGATAAAAATTGGACTAATTGGGTTGGTCGAGATTGAACCATTGAATAACTTTAAACTACATTATATTTTAGCCACTAAAATATAAAATAATATAATAATATATATTATGCTAGAGAAAATAGCTTGTTTTAGAATGTCAAACCAATGATGTTCATTTGTTTTACTTGATGGCCAAATCCGGTGTAGGTCAGGCCCATTCAACTCTTTTATTTTATGGTTAGCGGTTAGCCCTTTAGATACCATGCATTAGTTTATTGTTAATTTTTTTTTATTTTTAGCATAAAAATAAGTATTGTTTTTGTCTTTTCATATATATTTTATCACCACAGAGAAATACAAGGGGTTAAAGAAAAAAATTGACACTCCTGAACCCGTTTAAATCCGCATGTGTACGGTAAGTTGGCCCGTTCCACAGAGGAAAGAGAAAAAAATTAACACTACCTATTCTACCCTTCCTACAAACGCTCATGGAACAGGGAATTTGAAATGGGGGAAGGGGTTTTTCCTCCCTGCTATTATATGTTTTTGATTTAAAAGGATGCAACAAATGTACTTAGTGTGATTGGTTATGTTCCTTGCTTTTCTTTAAAATGGACATGGTTCGAATCCCAGTACGTGTCTTTTTAATGAATAAAAAAAAGTAATTGTGAAGACCAAAATGTCCTTCCTACTTTCACTCTCGTTGCAGGAAATTTGAAATTGGGCTCCCGTTTTTCCCTTCGGTGTATTATATTATGTGTAGACGAGTGCCACGAACTCAAAGAAGAATAACTAAAAAAGAGATAAAGACAAGAGAGAGTCCAGATTTATGATACGAACTTGTACTTTACGGTATAAAATACATAGCAATCTCTAACAAACAATATTATTCATTAATTTTTCAACTACACCACTAGTATTTTTGTGAGATAAAATTACAGTGAGTTGTATATAATACATTATAAATTCTAAATTTTGTTCCTATTTTTCAACAATTCTTGTCCTTGAAACTTGCTATCTAGATTTTATCCTAATAAATTTTCTAATTTTTGGAATAAATTACAAAAAAAATATGAGCAGTAATATGCTAAAGATGGATTTGAACTCTAATCTCATTGTTAACAGTTTACTTATTTAACAACCAATGACAACTTACCCTAAAATGCCTATGGATTTGGGACATCTATGGACTATGATACGCTACGAATTTCGGATGCATAGGATACATCATTGTCATTTGTAAATGAATATAGTATCACTGACAAATCTTATATAAATAGTATGATAATATTATAAATAGATGTTTACAAACGTTTGATGTGACTTTAAAAAATTATTTTTATATATTTTAAAGCTCGTTTATAACCATTTGTTTTGTGAGGCTAATGTGGATCATATTCACATGTTCATTATTACCAAATGAGCACCACCTCTAATTAGGAAAACCCTAGAAAATGACATGAGAATGTATTTATTACTATTTAAACATATGATCCAAGATAAGTGAAGTGCAGATGATGACATGATTGGCCAGTATTCACAACTCGAATTGCAAACGAATATGTGTGTGATTTTGTAAGGGATAAAGCTCGCCCACTTGATGATGATGATGATGATGAGCTTGCTATAATAATTCCTTGAAAGCTCCAAAAACTGGAATATGACATTTGACCTAACCATGCAGAGGCCATACGGGAAGGAAACATAAAGCTCCCCACCACTTTGACGATTTCATAAAACATCCCATCGGGCATATATATATATATATATATATGGAGTTCTACGATACTCCGGGGAAATCTGGGGTACCGCATACCTTGAGTAAGAAAACGCTATCCAGAACTTGAATTGATTGATCTTTCGGACATGATACTATACTCTAACCCTTAAAGATCGAAATCTAGGTCTTAACTCTGTAAATCTTATACCCCAAGATCAATTTAATTAGAAACAATAATCGACGGTTATGATTCATCCAAATATAGGCAAAAAAATCAATGCACCATCTTAGGGTTTATAGTTTATGATTTAGATAATTAGGACCTAGGGTTCACACATTAAGGGTTAGGGTATAATATCATGCCCAAAAATCCTGTTAATTCGAGGTTTAGATAGCGTTTTCATACTCAAGGTATGCGGTACTCCGGATTTCTCCCGGGGTACCATAGAAGGCACCATATATATATTGGCTTCTATCGTATCTTAGGTAAAATCTAATATACGATATATCCTGAGTAAGAAAACCATATCTAAACCTCGAATTAACCGGATTTTTGGGCATGATTCTATACTCTAACTTTTAACGAGTGAACTCTAGGTTTTAGTTATCTAAATCATAGAGCCTAACCCATAAAATTGTGCATGTAATTTGTCGCATATATTTCGACGAATCATAACTGCCGATTTTTTTCTAATTAAATTGATCTTAGTGTATGAGACTTATAGAATTAAAACTTGAATTTTGATCTTTATGGATATGAGAATAGTACCATATGTCAAATTTCGATCAATTAACGATTTAAATATAATTTTTTACTCAAAACATGCAATACATTTGATTTTACCCAACCGCCCTATATATATCTAAAATAAACTTTTTCTAGCCACCCAAAAATTAAACAAAAATGATTTATTTGTTGATAGAAACATATGACAAAACCCACCCTAAAGGAGAATAATTTAAATTAACAATAATAGTGGGAAGAATGGAAATTTGTTTGCTTCTGACTCTAAGCAGTTGCTTTTCTTCCCAACTGTATGCCTTTGCAGCTGGACAATCATTGAAGAACCTCAAATATAAATCTTTCCTATTTATTATTTGGCAAAATATACTTATATATCCACAACTTTCACATTTGTGACAGATATAGTCACAATTTTAAAAAATACACGAAATAGTCAGAATTTTGATCATTGTTTGACAAATCTAGCCATTTCCGTTACAAACATTAACAGTGTTAGAGATTTCGTTAGTTAGGTTAACGGCAGGCTGACTAGGATACCAAATTGCCGATCACGTTAGCGACAACTCAACTTCACTTGCCACGTAGATGCCACCTCATAATTTACTTTAAAATATTTTAGGCAAAATACACTTCTATAGCCACAACTTTCACGTTTGTGACAATTATAGCTACATTTTCACGTTTGTGATAGTTATAGCCACAACTTTTGAAATATAAAAATAGCCAGAATTTTGATGTTTTTTTTTACAAATCTAGTCATTTCCTTTAGAATCTTTCGAAATACATGAAACTGGCGCGATCCTGTCCTCGATTTCTTCTTAGTGCTCAATTTGAGAGGAAATGCAATGAATTGGGCCAATTGACAGCGACAAATCGAGCTTCACCGAAAACAAGAACAACCGCACCCACAACGGTTTCGAGGAATTGGAGGGAAAAATGCACTACGAGCCGCAACATCCTTCTTTCATGATGCCTTCTTCTTCACAGTCGTAGTCAGCTTCTTCCCGCAACCTTCTTACCCTTTTTCTGGCTGTTTCTCTGTGACTCTAGCAAGTGTTTGGGGCCTTCACCTTCAATCTAGTGATTGGGGATCTGAATCGGCAATTGAGGAAATAAGGCATCATTCTCCAGTCATATGGATAAGTGACACCGTTAAAGAGATGGACGGAAGTGGAAATTTTGTGTGTTTCGAAAGTTGTGGCTATAATTTTCACAAGCGTGAAAGTTGTGTCCATAACTATCACAAGCCTGAAAATTGTGGCTATAACTGTCTGGCTATGAAAGTGTATTTTTATTTTTGTTAATCCACGTGGATCGCCCACTCATCATTTCCGTTAGTCCAGTCATACTGTTAAGTGACACCATTAAAGGGATGTACGAAAGTTGCTATTTTGTGTATTTTGAAAATTATAACTAAAAGTGTTATAAACATGAAAGTTGTGACTATAAAAGCGTATTTTGCCTTATTATTTTCTTGTATACGCCAGCTGCCATGCTCCATTCCTATCTTGGAGTCCTGCTTACTATCTTTCGGTTAGTTTGATGAGTCCACTAGGTACACATATATGGGGAGTGAGTGCGACATGATCCCCACCATGACCATGCACACCTTTTTCTTAATTTTCCTCCACATATCAATATTGTCAGAAACTTGGCAGGAAAGAATTATAATGGAATGTGTCATTAATCACTTGTTATTTGCCTCACTACTAATTATTGGTACGAGTCACACAAATTAACTCATGAGTCCCTTTAATTAAAATCGGAAAGCATCAAATTTTCAGATTTCTGTATTTTATTTTGTCTGTATGAGAAGAAAAACGGAAAGAATATGAAGAAAGTTGGGACGAAATCAGGCAGCCATCATTTTTTAAAGTAATTAATTAAGTAATAGTATAAAGGGGAGCAGATCGGGTGAGTAACTGATGGGTGAGTAACCCATCAGTAACCCCCCTCTCCTCTCTCCACGTGTCAGTTACTTTTTTATTTAAATTAAATGCTAAAGGGCAGTAAGGTAAAATGCACTTATCCCCTATTCATTGCTGATGCGCTGACTTTTGACCAACCACATCAGGAACTCCTTCTCTCTCATCGAAAAACCTTCAATTTTCCTTCTCTTAATCTTTAACGGACGATTTCTCACTCGTTTTAAGTCGAAATTTAATTTTTTTGCACAGTTAGATCAGATTAATTATGCTCTTCAAAATGATATTCACTTTGATATTTTTTTGACACAAAATTTTTTTCCAGTTATTACCAGTCTATACCATATGGTATCGACTATACCATATGGTATTGACTGGTATTAAATAAGAGCATACAATATGGTATGAATTTGCCACATCAATATATATTTCGTTACCACCCAATACCATATGGTATAGTGTGGTAATATCAATATATATTTCGTTACCACCCAATACCATATGGTATAGTGTGGTAATATCATATATATTTCGTTACCACCCAATACCATATGGTATAGTGTGGTATATCAATATATATTTCGTTACCACCCAATACCATATGGTATAGTGTGGTAATACCAATATATATTTCGTTACCACCCAATATCATATGGTATAGTATGGTATATCAATATATATTACCTAAAAGAAAAAAAACAGAAGGAGGGAGAAAAAAAACTCGTCTTCTATTTACTCTTATTTCCTCCTCTAAAATCAAGAACACCAAAATGCCAAAAAATGAGAAAAATCCGAATTGAGGCCAACGATTTGATGAAGAGAAGAAATGCAATGAAAGAGGGAGGCTGAAATTTTTCTTCGTCGATTGCTAAAAAAGAAAAAGAATAAGAGAAGGGAGCAAATCTAGATCAGGAGAAGAAGATTGGGAGAGAGAAAGGAAGAGAGAAAGAGAAAGAAGAGTTGCAGAGAAAAGACCATTTCTCTCTCCTTCATTGAAAAGCCAACTATTAAATGTTGGATAAATTCAAACAAATTCAAAAATGGACAAATATACCCCTCCCCTTCCCCCGCGTCCGGCCAACGGCAGAAGATAGGGTCAGTAACCACTTGGTTACTGACAGGTCAGAAATAAATAGTGACCGTAGATCTACGAGGCAAGCAATCGTGTGGTTGGGCCGGATGCTAAGTGGATAAGGGTATTTTTGTCCGTTTATACATTAAATTCTTTATTTATTTTATTTCGTATTAAATGGCTGCATTTTCAAAGAAGGAAAGAGAAACCATTATTTCTCTGCAACTCTCATTTATCTTTCTCTCTTCCTTTTTCTCTCCCAATCTCTTTTCCAGATCCTCTCTCTTCCTTTTTTTCTCTCAATCTCTTTTTGAGATCTAAATCTGCTCCCTTCTCTTCTTCTTTATTTTTTTTTCTCCAGGACGAATAAAAATTGCAACCACTCTCTTTCATTGCATTTCTTCTCTTCATCATCTCGTTGGCCTCAATTTCGATCTTTCTCAATTTTTGGCATTTTGGTGTTCTTGATTGCGAAAGAGGAAATGAGAGGCGACAGAAGACGATTTTTTTTTCTCTACCTCCTTCTGTTTTTTTTTTCTTTTAGATAATATATATTGATATTATAACTCAATACCATATGGTATTCGGTGGTAACGAAATATATATTGATATTACCACATTATACCATATGGTAATGTATGGTATTGTGTGGTAACGAATTATATATTGATATTATCACACTATACCATATGGTATTGTATGGTAATGTGTGATATTACCACACTATACCATATGGTATTGTATGGTATTGTGTGATATTACCACACTATACCATATGGTATTATGTGGTAACGAAATATATATTGATATTACCACACTATACCATATGGTATTGGGTGGTAACGAAAGATATATATTGATATTACTACACTATACCATATGGTATAGAGTAAGGGTGTTCATTGGTTACTGACAAAATGAAACCCAAACAGAGAAGCCATAGATAATATTATGTTATTGTATTTCCCAGTGAGACTCTTCCTTCCAATATATCATGCCTTTCATCTTTTCATTCCTTGCTGTTTTATTTCGTTCCTCTCTTGGACTGCTTCTGCCACTATGATTTCGAGCTTATTCTAAGGCCAAGTGGAAGTGGCTGTGAGGGACGGTGATGCCTAAGACGATGGTAAAGCTAATGGCAAATGTCAAAGAGGGCTGTATGATATGACACTTGATGAAGGGATCGGCTCGAGGGGACAGCGCACGAATTCGCTTTGTCTGCCGCAGGACGAGTGTGGTCCGTTGGATCGTTGGGTAGGGATGGATGTGTACTTCACGGAGCCGTTGGATGGCGGCAATGGCACATTGCTAACTAAAAAGTATAATAAAGGTATTTATTATATAGTTTCGTAGGTGCTATCTGAACAATTAAATCCGCTGTAGCAATCTGGCAAATTCAATTGAATCGAATTCCGGGTTCAAATCCCGGCAGCGGAAAACTTTTTTTTTTTTTTTTCAATCTTTCTTATAGACCTGAAGTCTTTTACCTTAATATTTTTTTGGTAGAAACCTACCTTAATAATAGACCTGAAGTTTTTTACCTTAATATTTTTTTGGTAGAAACCTACCTTAATAATAGACCTGAAGTTTTTTACCTTAATATTTTTTTGGTAGAAACCTACCTTAATATTTAATAGTTAATACACAGCAAATTTTGCAATCTTTCTTATGGTCCAAGATACAGTCAGTAACCAGTGGTTACTGACTTGTCAATAATTAATCCGGGCCGCAGATCTAGGAGCCCAGCTCATCGTGCGGTTGGCATGGGTATTGAGGTACCCCGTCCCGCCCTGACCCATTGCCATCACTACCCGCCAATACAGTGGTCGAACCAAAAGCTGGACGCTAAAAAAATTTGGTGAAAAAAATTATCGATTTTCAATGTATATGTTTGAAGAAAAAGGAAAAATAGTAGCTATTAGCAGCGGCGGATCCAAAACATAGTAGAGTCTGAGCCGCATTTGAATATAATATTAGATGCCATAAACAAAAATAGTCAACATTCCAAAATTTTAGTATTTCAAATAAGAAATTAGTTGCAAAATTACCAACGGTAACAGACAAATGACTGATATTTTGATGCATTATAAAAGATTTAGCTAATATTTATATTTCGAAAGGTTAGGCTAATAATTTGGAAAATCTGAAAGGTTTGGTTAATAAATTGTGTTTCAACTTTCATTAATGCCAATTGTAATAGAAGGTTGTTTAATTTGGCAAATCCCATCAATAATATAATATCCATCCATATCAATAGCATACTCTCTCTCAAATAAAATAGCTATGCAATCAATGAAAAATTCATCGCGCATTTTGTTGCGCAAATTAGTTTTCAAATATTTCATTGCTTAAAATGTTCTCTCCATGGTAGCCGCTATAAACGGGCAAGGTCAACACTGGACGAATCAACCAAAAAATCACTTTGTTTAGAGGGTTTTCTTATTTCAATGAAACTTTATACGGTCTTTTATGTTTTAGACATTTAGGTTTTATTGTTTTTTTTCAAATGAAAATCATTCGGGGTTCAGCAGAACAAGCCAAGTCAACACTGAATTCTTTGGGATACCACCCTTCCAAACCAATTCTGACCACTGCACTAGATTTCCTCTGGGTCTCAAACTGTGCCATACTCTGCTTATTTTAAAGTGCTGCATTAATTCTCCATCCCATTCAATACCTCTATCGGTCAGATATAATCTCCCTGCCACCAAGTCCCTAATTTTCAGTATTTTATTCCATATCCAAGATCCTCTCGTTTGAATTTCCCATATGCTTTGATGTCTAAGCCTGTAAGCATGTAGCCAAGCAATCCACAAAGTCTCCTGCATAGCCAGAATTCCCCAAAAATGTCTAACAAGACAGGCCTTATTCCATGAATGCAGATCCTTGAATCCCATTCCACCCTCAACACGAGGAAGAGCCACTGTTTTCCAGGCAACCTTAGCTCTCTTCTTTCTCTCCAGCTCACCCCAAAGAAACTGTGAACAGAGACTCTCAATCTCTTTGATAATCTTCTTAGGCAGAAGGATCACTTGCATCCAGTATTGAGTCATACTAGCCAGCACAGAGATTACTAACTCAATCTTACCTGCATAGGATAGAAGCTTGGGTTGCCAACCCTGGATTCTTCCAGCTATTCTGTTAACTAGGTTTTGACAGTCTGCCACAGTCAACTTCCCTGCATTTAGTGGCAAACCGAGGTACCTAACAGGCAATGCACCTTCTTTAAAACCTGAGTGTTGCACCAGAGCATTCTGCAATTCTTCTGTCACCCCAGCACTAAATATCTCACTTTTGTTAGGGTTACACTGCAAACCAGAGACTAAGTAAAACTTCTGAAGAATATCTGCAATCACAGTCACACCTTCTACTGTACCCTTAGTAAACACAAGCAGATCGTCTGCAAAACATAAGTGGGTGAGGCCTATTCTACTGCATTGAGGGTGGTAGGGTAATACTGACCTAGAAGCTGCTCTATTGAACATGCAGCTAAGTACTTCCATGCTGGCTGCAAAGAGATATGGGGACAGGGGACACCCCTGTCTTAAACCTTTTTTGGCTGTGAAATGGCCTGTAAGTCCCCCATTTACACAAACAGTGAAACTAGTGGACTCAAGGCAACCTTTAATCCAATTAACAAACTTATCTGGGATTCCCATTGCAAGCAGCACACAGTATAAGTAATCCCAATCCACACTGTCGAAGGCCTTCATTATGTCAATCTTAAGAGCACATCTAGGAGATATGTTCTTTCTTCTATACCACTTTACAAGTTCATTGGCCATGATTATATTGTCTGTTATAAGCCTACCTTTGATAAAGGCAGATTGGTTAGGGCTAATGATCTTTGGCAGCACTTTTTTCAATCTATTAGCAATGATCTTGGATATGCATTTATACACAAGATTACAGCAGGAGATAGGTCGAAAGTTCTTCATAGTGTTAGCATTAGGTACCTTTGGGATCAGAGCCAATATTGTGCAGTTCACTTCCTTCCTCATTCGACCAGTGACAAAGAATTCCTGAGTTGCCATAGTCACCTCCTCCCCCACTAGTCCCCAGTGCTCCTTGAAAAACTCTGCTGTGAAACCGTCTGGCCCTGGTGCCTTTCCTTTCTTCATATTCTTAACTACTCGATATACTTCATCAGCAGTAACCATATCACATAAACCAGCACTTTCCCCTTCTACCAAATGATTAACCAGCAGCTGCCTTAGAGTACTAACTGTGACTCTCTTCAATTCCCCATTTCTTGTTCCCAGTAGGCCTTTATAGAATTGAACAGCCTCTTGACCTATTTCTTCTATATCTTCCAAAACAGCTCCAGAGTCAGAAATCAACTGTCTAATAGTGTTCTTTGCTTGCCTAGTCTTAACCATACTGTGAAAGAAAGCAGAGTTTGAGTCCCCACTATTCACCCAAGATTGCCTTGATTTTTGTTGATTATAGGATGCCTCAGCCTGCTGGAGCTCTTGAAGCTGGACCATACACCTCTTCTCAGCTTGGAATGCTGAGGAGGCAGGGCGCTCCAACACTTCTAGCTGAGCTCTAGTTAGTTCCTGCCACGCCATCTTAACCCTCTCGTGTATATCTGAACAATGTTCTCTGTTAAGCTTCTGCAACCTACCTTTGATGTTTCGCAATTTCTGATATAATTTTGCCATGGCAGAGCCTGTGGTGGGGCAAACCCAACCTTCTGTGACTAGCCTTTCATAGTCAGGGTGCAATTTCCAGAAGCTGAAGTATTTGAATGGTCTTGGTAAGGTTTTGATCCCTGAATCTAGACTGACCAAGACTCCACAGTGGTCGGACAAGCCAGGTAACAAGATTCTGACACTGCTCCTAGGATAGGTCTCCAGCCAGCTCTCCGAGACTAAAGCTCGGTCCAATCTTCTCGCTATAGGGTTTTCCTCCTGCTTGTTAGACCATGTGTACCAAGGTCCTAGGACTCTATGATCTATCAGCTTCATGTCTGTTATCCAGGTAGAGAACTGGGAGGCAGTCTCCCCTAGTGTCCCTGAGGTTGAAGACTCTGAGCTATTCAGAATTGCATTAAAATCTCCTACTGCTAGCCAAGGAAGTGATGGATCCACCTTCGACTTTAGTTCTTGGTACATTTGCTGCCTTTCATTGACTTCATTTGACCCATATATAAAAGTAAACTGTGTTGGCTCTTGTTCTGTCAGCATCCCATGCACATAAAAACCAGTCCTCTCTTTAATATCAAACTTTAGATCTTTCCTCCACAATACCCAGATTCTTCCTACCCCAGTTTGGGAATAGGTATCTATATAACTCCAATCTTCAAAAAACTGTGCAATTATTTTTTGGACCTTTTCTTTACTAACCCTTGTTTCAAGAATTGCAAACATTTCCACCTTGTATCTCCTAATTGACTCCACTACACTCTTCTGCTTTTCAGGGTTGTTAAAACCCCTCATGTTCCATACCAGGACATTCATGCTTTAATAGACTGGTTTTGCCCCTTTGGGGGCCGACCTGGCTTCCCTTTTTTCTTCTTCTGTCCATCTTTCCCTAATTCTGGGAATTGCACAGGATCCTTCAGGGGAGACACAGCCAGTGTCCCTACCTCAAACTGAACCTGGGGAGCAAGAACTTCAAAGGAATTGTTTGTGCCCACTGCCTGTTGAAACTCACTATCTGATGGAAGATAGCCTTGCCAAGTTGATCCCCTGGATAATGAATTCACTAGGTTTGCCACTGCAGTTTGCAAGCCACCCTCTTCCTGACTTCTCAGGTCAGCTACAGGAGTAGGCTCTGCTCTGTCCCCTGCAACAGCTGCATTCCCCGCAGCAGGACCCAGCTCCGAGCTACCATTCACAATTCCCTGGTCTATGACTTGCCCCTCCACAACCTCACCTACACTTGTTATTGAGTGCTCAACCTGAACCACTTCCAAACTGTCTCCCACCCCCAACTGAGAAATTGGATCCTCCTGAACCTCTGCCTCACAATTATGCCCAAATCTTTTACACTTTCCACACATCTCTGGTTTGTTGCAGTACTCAATGCCAATAGTGTAAGCTGGTCGTTTATCTGGAACAAGACGAAGAGTCTCAGGGAACTCTGAGTCAACCCCCATTTCCACACAAACTCTTGGGTAACCCAACCTTCTACCAAGCCTACTGGACTTATCAAACCAAAGAGGCCGCCCAAGCAGACTTGCTAGCCGTGTCAAGATCCGCCCAGTCACATGCTCAAGAGGTAAGTCCAGAAAACGTACCCAAATCGGAATTACCGGGCGAGGCTCCTCAGCTCGGAGTCCTGGCTCCCATTTCCTCAGGTAACACATATCGTTCCGCAGATGCCAAGGACCACTCGAGAACGCCCAGTGCACCGTTTCCTCTGTCGGAAATTGGAAGAGAAGTAGGCGATCCCCAAGCCAAGAAACCCTAACTGAACCTTTCTTTCCCCAGAGACGATTAGCCCATGATTGAACCTGTCGAATATGGGGGGAAGTAGAAAGAAATTGCCCCACCAAGCAGTGTCGCCAGCGCGCAATACCTTCCTCCTCTAGCTCAGCAGGAATTCGAAGACCTCCATCTACTATCTCCGGCTCGATGTATACCAATCGGTTTTCTTCCGCGACTCCAAAAAGATCCGCCCAAGAATTCCCCGACATAGGTAGACTCGGTGCCATCCCTCCTTCACCCTCAAGCAGTAGGTATAATTCGCTGGTTTATCCAGCGATTTTTCTGGATGGGATCGCTGGAGCTAGTAACAATCAAAGTGAATCACTCCTGTCTCCAGCAAACCAATATGAAGATCGTTGAGCACTACAGCGAACCACACAAAACTCTCGTATTAAATTGGGAGTAGTTGTTTGCATATGTTTATCTAAACCGCTTTTCTAGCTACACAAAATTCTATTATCAAATAACACTCGACCGACTTTTAAATAGTACTGGGCCGAATACCTAAATCGAAAATCTTATAAGCACTATACTAGATCTGGATCCGACGGAGGGTTGGGTCGTGGCCCGGGTTGACCCAGCCCTAGATCCGTCGAGGGCTATTAGTTGAAGTGATTCAAGCCAGAACACTTTTCTTATGAAAGAACATGTTATTCATTACACTATAAATAATTTGTTAGTATGTTAAAAACATAAATTTAACGGCCAATTCCACTAGTAAGCCCAAAATATTCAAAAAGTTCATTTGTGTGTTCTAAACTATTCAATATGAAACTGGGTTGTATTGACGGAGGAAGGGAAGAAGTAAGGTCTCAAACGAAGTAGAGGAATCGAAGAGGAAGGGAGGATTTGCAAAGGAGAGACCGAGAGGTAGAAAGCGATAGGTGTTCTTCTGGAAACCCAAGACACCTATTTATAATAGGGCAAAGTGAATGCAACGAGCAGTTACCACACGGGGAATCGTAAGCGTCACAATAGTTTTTCGAAATTCAAAATCAAAAAGTAATCGACTAAACGAGCGAACAGGAAAAGGCCACGTGGACGACAACTAGATGACGATTGGAAATTCAAGGTGGTGACACCTACTACGCACGCGCACCCCTAGGGGGCAGGACATACCCGCGAAATGGGAAAAATCACACACAAAAAATCAAGCGCGGCCGAATGAGCACGGCCCGCCCGTTACTAGCGGAATGAGTCCGCGGAAAACAAAAAATATACACGAGTATGAAGAGGAAAAGAGTATAGCGCCTGCCTAAGCGCACATGACAAGCAAAAAACGCACAAAGAAAACCATGCGGAGAAGAATGAGCGTTGCTCGCCCATTACTAGCGGAATGAGTATGTGGAAAACAGAAAATATACACGAGTATAGAGAGGAAAAGAGCATAGTGCCCCTGCCTAAGCGCACATGACAAAGCCAAGACAGTCACCACGGACGTCGCGAAGAGGCCTTTTCCCGAGCCATCACAGACGCTAAGCACACCGGGGGGTACTCGGGGAATACCCTCTGCTGAGGGGCAATTTTTGGGGGCATGGCCCGGGTCCATCTCCTCCAACAAGCGCACACTCACCACCCCAAGAAAGATAAGATGATGCTAAGGGAAAGAGCGACCCAAACACTCATACTAGCGAAAAATATTATTCCGCGAGTACTCAGAGAAGGCGCGCCAGAGAGCGGCGTGACACGGAGAGCATCATCTTTCCCAGACGGACAGGGCAGGCCGCGCCGCTCACCAAGGGAGGCGACTTCCACGCAACAACACTGCCCGCGCATAAAAAGTTGAGACTACACCGTGTTACTTACAAAGCTGCCACGTCTTACTTGTAGACCTCATCATATCCTAGCCTTCTGTCTCTTCCAAATGTCATGTCAGCTCGAAAGCCCACCCACCGGAAGTAGCCTATAAATAGCGCATTTACCAGGTGGGTGAGGGAATTGATTTCCAAATTCTCTCCCTAGAAAGCAAGGAACTTCTTGACTCGACTCTACTGTCACCCTAGGAATTGGCCAAGTGGAACCACTCCCTAAAGCGTAGTATAGCGGGTTTGGGTTTAATTATCAACCCGGGTCCTAGATTTGATGACTACTCAGTGAATTCTTGTTATCTAGCAATGAAACTTTAATGCAAGTCTAAACTATCAAACTAACAAAGCAAGTAAACTGGTTGTATTCAGGTTAAAGAGGTCACCCGGATATGGTTCCCCCTAGACTGCAGTTAAGCCGGATTGTAATTACCAAGTTCAGTTTCTATGAACATTATACTGCGGAAGGTTCTTAAACAGTCTGAAGTCTCGACTAAAGGTCTTCAGACCCTCTCAATCTGAATCTCTAGCGGGCGACTAACCTCCACCGGAGTAGACAGATTGAGGCCCTAAGAACAAAACCTCCACTACCGGGGTAAATCCGGTACAGAATAGTGAGTTGGCTCCTCGACTAAAGTCACCAACTCCCTACCTTCAATCAAGGATACTCTATTAACCTAGGCAGATATTCTCATTCTATGTTAAAGCAGAAACAACAGGAATTTGATCAGGATTCAAGTCATTCAATCATTAAAACCTCAATCGAATATAATCAATCACAGAATCAGTACTTGGGTTCATACAATCAAAGCCTAACATACAAATCTAGGGTTCTCCATACCCAGATGAATGGGAGAACTACTCCATAGAGAAGAAAGCAAAAGCAGAATCAGACACGGAATTCATACTACGAAGGATGGATTCCTGCTTCTGGACGTTGATTGGCACTTCTCCAAGCTCAAGCTGGCCTCCAATGGTGTTGAAGATCAATCTAGGGCACTTGGAGACTCTTGTTCGTCGCTTTCTCTCTCTAGGAATCGCTCTCTTACTCAAAAACTCGAATCCCCCCGAATTGTGGCTGAAATTCTGCTTAAAAGGAGAAAATCCCGACTCACACGGCCAGGGTGGCACGGCCGTGCAGCTCACCCAGTTGCCCGTGTGAGTCAAAACGCATCGTTTCATTTAGTTCGAATTCCAGGCTCTTTGCACGGCCAGAATGGCACGGCCGTGTGGACATCCCCTCTTGCCCGTGTTTGCTCTCGCAGAATGTGGCACGGCCAACCCGGCCACTTGCACGGCCGTGTCGATCCTCTGCTCTGCCCGTGTGTGCTCTCGGCAAAACTCGCACGGCCAGGCCATTACTTCACACGGCCGTGCGAGTTTCAAGGCAGCCCGTGTGACCTCCCTTGTGACTTGTCTCGCGCCCGATCTTCACCCAATCGACCCCGAACTCGCTCCTAAACCTTCATCACTTGCCAGGACCTGAAATATCACAAACAAGCACAACCTAGCGTGAAATCGGTCTAAAACACGAGAAACCACCTCTCAAACGGTGTAAGAACAGGGGTGAAAACATGTGTAACTAACGGTCTATCACTTCTCCCTCTAGAATTGGTTCCAAGCTCTCTCTCTCGAGCTTTCTCACTTGTAATCTCAGAAAAAGTTAAGGATAAAAGTGGAAGCTTTTCCATTTTCACTCGCACCCCACTCTTCTCGTGTCTCACTCCTACACTCCATTAAACACAAACACATCTAATTTTAAAAATACATAGAGGTACTTAGAACGAACGTAAGTAATTACCTCCTGATCGCTGGTGTTCAAGGGATAATAAGAGGTTCCAAAAATGATTAAAAAAAATAATCTTAAAGGTAAGCAACTTAAGACAGTTAGTTAGGAACCAAAAAAAGGATTAGGCGGGGAGGGAGAGGACGTGCTCTGAACAATGAACGGACAAGCCTCTCCACACCACCACTCTACTTACTACCAAGTAGCACTAATAGTTGTAGGCCTAATGTATGCCTAATAAGCAAGGTTGTCAATTTGTGGGTTGACCCAATTTGATTCTGACCCGATAAGAAAAATGGGTTGCACGCATTCGCCGGGTCAATCGCAACAAGGTATTGGTTGGAGATTAAATTGTGTCTTTTTTTCTTTGGTTTGCGAAATGTGCCTATTTTTCGATATTTCTTTCCGTCTAACTCAATCTTTGGAATCCTTTGTTGAACATTTGAATATTTATGTTATATAAGTGTGTGTGAATTTTTACTATATGTTGGATCTAAGTACGACATGTTACTTCTGTGTAATGTTATATGTTATTACTCATATGTTAGATGGGATTTGATATAATCTATAGGATAAGTACAATATAATGACTCTTTCCATATTTCCGGGCTAAAACGGTTGACCCGTCAACCCTTAACTCATTAGCTCGACCGAGTCACGGTCAACCCACGGGTTGACAACCTTGCTAATAAGTAATAATGCTTCTCTGCATGGTTGTCATGCCAATTTTATGACCGGTATGACATCTATTTACGAATTTTAATTAGATGATATTATTTTAGTAAATATAATTAATAAAAAATAAATTAAGTAGATATTTGATGAATATAAAAATAAAAAATTGATGTAATTTTTTGGTTTCAAGTATAAACATTTAAATATTGTCTTTAATTTTTATATTTAAATATAAAAATTTGTTATTTTGTTTGAACTACTATATTTTATTAATTCGGTATTAACCGCGACAAACCGGTTAACCGAGGCAACTGTATAGACTACTTGAGTCAACTTCGTTCCCCAATCCGCCAAAACAAACCAAACCACGAAAAAAATATTGTTATATAATTAATTTGAAGGCAGAGCAGAGCGGAGCCAGAAGCAAGCAAGAGATATTTTTTTCCAATGAGGAAGAGAGAGAAAGAGAGTTTATGTATGTAAATTAGTGCTAGTGAGATGTGACGCGTGTCCGTTCGCCAGCTGTATCCCAACCCCAACCGCTTCCCACTTCCCTCGAACCATCCATCCTTCCTTTCACCGGCTCTCCCGGTCACCTCCTCACTTCTCTCTCTCTCCCTCACATATATAACAGATATATTCACTTCCTTCTCCATCTCCAAACAAAACAAAACTCCCTCTCCCTCCTTTCTATCATTTTCTCTACCTGCAATCAGACAATCTCAATCGCCGGCCAAAACCTCCATTCTGTTCCTTCATTCCTTTTTATGTTAGTCTGAGATAGATCATTGAAATGGCTGTCACCGGAAAAGATATAGATCGGATCAAAGGTCCTTGGACCCCCGAGGAAGACGATAAGCTCCACCGCCTCGTCGACAAGCACGGCCCGCGGAACTGGTCGCTGATCAGCAAGTCCATCCCCGGCCGTTCCGGAAAATCCTGCCGCCTCCGGTGGTGCAACCAGCTCTCCCCCCAGGTCGAGCACCGCGCCTTCACCGCCGAGGAGGACGAGGCGATTGTCCGAGCCCACGCCCGGTTCGGGAACAAGTGGGCGACGATCGCCAGACTCCTCCAGGGCCGCACCGACAACGCCATCAAGAACCACTGGAACTCCACGCTCAAGCGCAAGTGCTCCTCCTCTTCCTCGTCCGACGGCGGCGGGGAAGGGTACGATGGTAATTTGGCGGATTGTTGCCAGCCGCTGAAGAGGTCGATGAGTGCGGGATCCGGTGTGCGCGTCTCCACGGGGCTTGCCATGAACCCGGGGAGTCCATCTGGATCTGACGTCAGCGACTATTCCAGCGTGCCAGCTCCTCCTCCTCCTCCTGTTTTATTATCCGCCGTTGCTGCCCCACACGCCTTCAGACCCGTGCCTAGAAGCGGTGGCGTGGTCTCACCGGCCGACGCTACGGCGACCGCAACGATGACACCGTCCAGAAACGGAGGCCCTCCCACTTCCTTGTGTCTGTCCCTCCCAGGGGCAGAATCTCCGTCAGAGGTCTCGGCTCCTCGCGTCCCCGAGCCAACAACTCACCGTCATCACCATACTGCTACTGCTGCCAACACGGTAGCGTCGTTACCGCCGATGAGCCCTCCGGCGCCTATCCCAGCGGTGAGCAGTCAAGTGGAGTCTTTGGGGTTCAGCCCGGAGTTCATGGCGGTGATGCAGGAGATGATAAAGAGGGAGGTGAGGACATATATGATGGAGCAGAGGCAGATGGGCGTCGGCAGCGGTGGTGGGATGTGTTTTCAGGCGGCGGCAGGGAGTGGGTTTAGGAATGTTGCGGCGGTGATGAATAGGGTTGGGGTTGGGAAATTTGAGTAGAGTGTAATTGGTTAGGCAAGAAGAAACCAAAAACTGGACGTAGTTGGTGGAGAAGATGAGTCTGGGAGGGACGTAGTTGGTTGTTTTTTTTTTTTTTTTTGTCGCTTGGGGAGAAGGGGAATAATTTTGAAGGCGCCATTGTACAGAGGAAAAATGGAAGAGGTAAAACAAGGAAGTTGGGGGATAGTTGCAGGAGAACGAATATAAGAACAAATATGTATGTGACTGTGAGGTTAAGTTAAAAGTTGGGCATAGAATGGCAGCAGTCTCTGGCTCTGCTGTGGAAACATTCGTAAGCAAGCAAGCAAGCAGCATCATATGAACTGAAACGGCAGGTGAGGAGAAGGCGGTTTGGCAGAGTTGGGCTACTACTAAACTAATGAACAAGGTTGTCAAACCGGTTTGTGCCAATGTGCCGGTTTAGCAAGTAGAATGGTTCGACCGGTGGTACATTTCGATTTGTGTCGGTTCATGCCGGTTAATATTATAAATAATTTACAAACTCATATTTAAGCATGACATTTATCGTCAATACCTAAATATTTGTACTTGAATCCAACAAATAACATTATCATTTAACTTTTTAACACATAAAATAAATAATAAATTACTTTTTATCAAATAAATTCACTAATATAAGATCATTTTACTTAAAGATTCGTATATCGATCATGCCGGTCATACCGGTTTTATGACCGATACAGGTTGAACTAGTGGCACGCCAGCCTGCGTGACAACCATGCTAATGAACAATATGAATAAGAGCAGGTTGGTAAAGAGGAACACGATTTCCATGTGGGTGGTAGGGGGGCCCGACGGGCGACAAAGCAATAGGCGAATTGGCAGTTACACAAAACACACGTTTCTTTCTTTCTCCTTACAATTTCTGTTACGCCATCAATCTGTAATGAAGCCAAAACCCAAATTTTGATCTGATCTGCCAACTCAACTATACATACGTCCTTCTTATCGCTAAGGGAGGGGAGACCACAAAAGTCAAAGATAACCCCACCGCCACCAAGTGGCACTCGGAAAAGCAAAGCAACTCTTTACTCTTTAGTTTACAGTTTATTTAAGAATAATAATTATTATATATAGCTATCCAAACAACAACTAATAAGACGTTTGTGCAGCAAAGCATAATCTTTGCAAGAAACCCACCCTTTTCTCATGCGCATTTATAATTAGATTGGGAAAGAAAAAATAAAAGATGAAATTGATGGCAGAGGAAAAGACCGAGAGAGAGAGAGAGAGAGAGAGAGAGAGAGAGAGAGAGAGCCTTCAACTACAAGAGAGGTTCAGCTTTGGTTATCATATTGCCGGAGTTTGTAGCGGTGTTGTGGTCTAACCTGGCGACATTCTTCAGACGGCAACTCAGCTGCTGCATGCCTTCCTTCCACGACCATTTCGGGTCGTTTAGAGCGCGGACCGAGTTTAGGCATACCAGGAGGGTGCCACCTTCGTGTAAAAGAACCTGCATTTCATTCAACAACCAGATCAAGCACAAACTTCATCCACCTACCATTGACTTCTTGCAACAGCAGGAGAGATTCTGGATATTGTTGGACAATAATATTGTATCATCTCAAACCCCACTAAATTCTGTGAGAAATGGCCCAGCTAGCAAAGGTTCTGGCTAACCAAACCAGTTAAATAGGCACAAGTCATCTTCAATAGATCATTTAGGACATGACTGGACAATTCAATTTCAGCAGAAAGGATTATTGGCTTTCTTTCTGTATGACGGTTAACTGGGTCCATTAACTGTGACCGAACTAGATTCCCCATTAACTGCTTGACTCATTCCCACGATTATTACTGAACAAACAATCTCAAAGTGAAGAGAAGAAAAGGAAGAAGATAGCTTGAGAAGAATAGTTGTGTACCGTCAACCAAAGTGGGAGAAATCCCAACACAGATGGAAGGGAAGCCAGAATTATGGAAGTCAAAGCCAGCGCCACATTTTGCTTGACCTGTGTACGCGCAAGTGTTTGTTAGAAAACGAGAATGAAGAACCTAGATAGGATAAAGTATTATTATTCAATAGTTGGGCAAGATGCAGAAGTTATTTAATGGTACCAGGGAACTTGTTTGGCGGGACTTTGCAATGCAGAAAGGAACGGCTGATATATTGTCCCGTAACAATAGAACATCCGCAACAGCTATGGCAGTTGCACTAGCGCGCTGGGCTAGCACAATTCCAACAGTAGCTGCGGCGAGTGCTGGTGCGTCATTGATGCCTTCACCCACCATGATTAGGCCACCACCTGCCACAAAACCCCAACCATGTTGGTTTCAGATACTCAACACAGCAGATGAGCTCAGACCGTTATGTTAACCAGACTTTCCAGGACATTACCCATATCCCTTGAGATAGTCTTTACGTGATTGAGCTTGTCCTCTGGTTTCAAGCTACAGTGAAATTGACCAATGCCCACAGCTTGTGCAACTCTCCGTGCACTTGATTCATGGTCACCTGTTAGCATCATTACCTGGAGCTTTGCTTTATCCTGTAGTTCTGATATCACATCGGAAACCCCTTCTCGAGGTCTATCCTCAAGATGAATCAATGTTATCTGCACAAGTTTACATAAACCAAGTTGGAGTTTGAGTGCCAACTTCCTTCCATTTCTGCAAATAATAACATTGGGAGAGTGATGGAAATTGATTTTCAGAAATTGTCTCGTCCATAATACATGTCAATTCAAGTTCTTGGGTCCTGAAGTTCAATATGGAACAAGCAGCAAAAAAGAGAACACTCATGAATGCATCCTCACCTTTTCATCCACAGAAAGAGCTGCATGGACAAAGTCATTCCCGTAAGAAGATGCACTGACAGCTTCCTTAATTTTTTTCGACTTGTCCTCGGATTTACAAAGAGAAGTAATGAACTCAACGGAGCCAAGAGAAGCTTTCAATGATCTAGCTCTTCCACTTCCTGACTATACACAAATAGTGCCTATAAGTTACCTCAGGAAGTCGCCCATCCATAGTGCTTAAAAATAAAACTACTTCATTGTGTAAGGACAGAGATATTTAGAAAACTCATTCGCAAATGGTGAACTGAAGTTTGCCAAGCAAAATACCTGAGTGTCATTCAGAGTAGCAACAAGTCCTTTGCCAGGAAAATACTCGAACTTTTCAACAGAGACAGAAGGGAGGTCTTTGCCAATGCTATGATCTACAACAGCTCTACAGAAAGAAAGTGTCAGAACTTTAGAATGAACTCATATCTGGTATGCCATTTTCAAAGCGACAGCATCTGATTTCTAATCTGAGTTGCTGGAAACAAACCAAGCAAAAGGCTTGCACTCAAGTCCAGCACAGATACATGCTGTTACACAAATTATGTATTCGAAGTTGTACTTGCCGCCATATATAACAAAAAAATTCGATAACTTTCTCATCTTTCCACCTACGGATGCTGATTTCCAGCTGTCAAGTTGCTCACTAAATTGCAAGGCTACTCTCAGCATTACTAATGACCCAAAACATCATGGGAAATAGTAGAAAGGAGTGACGTATCCAAGAAGTGAAATTACCTCCCAATAGGATGTGTCGTGCCCTTCTCCATAGCGGCTGCAACAGCAAGAGCTTCTTTTTCACAACTGGGTATGCAACAAGAAGCACGAGTTGTCATATTTTTTCCTACTTGATGTCCAAGAATTGGCTCAATTGCTTTGAACATAAGACCTCCTGTAGTAAGCGTCCCAGTTTTGTCAAATGCAATCGTGTGGCAAGAAGCTAGAGCATCCAGAACCTGCCCTCCTTTAAGTAATATTCCCTGTGTGCAAAGAGAATATAACCGTTAATAACATTTCATTCAGAGAAAATTCAGCGATCAATTCGATTAATTCCAAATAAATGTCGACACTTTTGATACCTCAAATAAACGTTTTAGAAAGCTATTGAACTATTCAGTTCGAACTCATCTATCACATCATCAACACAGAAATATGAAAGAGACTGCTATCTGGTACCCATAGGTCTATGCAGTGACACTGTTAGTAACTTTCACGTGGAATTTTAAGAGTAATAGTAAACATGCTATAGAAAAAGAAAGGCGATACACACACATCTACAAATTCCAAAGAAGTGGATCTTTATCAACACCACTAGGCACCTTTTTTGCACAGGAACTAATAGCAGTGGCGTATGCCAATGGAGCCACTGCCAAGGCACATGGTGATGCAGCCATCATTAATCCTAGTGCTCTGTAGATTGATCCTCTGCAGACTGCATGGGAAAGCGTGAAGAGTTATAATACTATTTAGAAGTTCCAGTAGAATACATTCAGATTAGGAACAGAAACGAATCCATGGCCAGATAACCAGGGGACTACTGGTAAATTAGGAAAATTTGGGGTTCAGGATGATTATCTAGTTTATTCTCCTTGTTAGAACTTAGAAGACATGATAAGAGTTGAATGTTCTCCTTGTTACCTGAAGTACTCATGAATGGCCACTTGAAAAGTAATGGTCCAAGGAAAGCAACAGCGAACGACAACCCTACTACAACCTTGCTGTACTGCTCACCGAACTCATCGAGCCATCGTTGAAGTTTTGGTTTGTTTTGCTGGGCCTCTTCAGTCAGTTGCACAATTCTATTTAGTGTTGACTCTTTCCATGTCTTTGTTGCCTGACTCGTTCAATAGTGACATCCAGGAGATGATTCAGTACAGGGTGTGCAGCACCGCAAGAACGAGAAATGAAACAAAAAAAGGAAAGTAACTATAGTCAGTAACTTCAGATGACCATGATACTAAACGACCATGACATGCATGTTGATATCCAATGAGATGACATATTTCATATTTAAGTTGTGATTACAATACCTTGACAATAATTCTACCATCCAAGTTTCTTGCACCACCCGGAATCCCATCACCCACATTTGCTTCAATCGGTTTTGCTTCCCCAGTCAAATGCTCAATAGTAATTGTTGCACTACCTTGGAAAATCTGACAATCCACGGGCACAGCCTACAGAAAATAAAATATTATTACAAATGTTGTAAGGGGTGCTGAACAACAACCTATTGCCATGGTTGAGATGTGCAGAAAAATATCAGATATAATTTCTCGACGATTCAGCTTGATCAATCACCCCATGAAGTAATCACCCAGAGAAGAATAAGTAGAGCGCCTTACTTGCCAATGTTATTGCCAAGCTATATCATTCCAGAAGCAAAATACCATTAAACAAGAACGATACTTAATCAAGAGATACATAAGCACAATCATCTCATAAAAATAAAATCTATGAACCAGGTCCAATCTGATCATGAAACAGTCAAGTGACAGGCAACTAAAACGTATGTATCCCAAAAATAACCTAAATTTCCTATTTCTATTGCAAGCGGAGTGCAACGGTATAAATGGCAGCCCTACAAATTTCACAATTGAACAGATTTATTCCTGAAACACATGTTTAGCTTCTATTTCGACATGGCTACTGTTGACTTCCATTCTTGCATTTCAATTCAACATAGGCCAACTTGTCTGCAACCGAACTTTGAGAAAGATGAACAACAAAACAGACTAAGAGGTACTACATCAGAGGATAGTTTGCTCTGGGGTCACCACAGTCTAGTCTTGTGCATTAAGTGTTCCAAGATTCTACTGATACTGTGATTAGAGTAATGCTAATGCATCCTTGAAGCAAAAGGAAACCAGTTCCATGTTACAGACCTCACCAGCTCCAACTAGAACATAGGAGCCCACTTCTATATCATGCACCGGCACACTTGAGTAGGACAAATGCGTGAGGTCGGGTAGTTTCCCCTCTTCAACATCTAGCACGAGAGCCGAATCTGGATGGTTCTCTTTCAACTCTTTAACATCTACAAGTGATCGACTGGTGAAGAACTCTTCGGCTACAAAGCAAAACCCCACTATTCAGTATTTGCAGCATTCAGAAGATGCTCTAGTAGCTGCAAAAAGCAAAGACAGTTTCTATGCGTTTACCAATGTGAGCCAGATTGAACATGGCAAGAAGTAGGCCTCCTTCCAAGGCGTTCCCCATAAAAACAGAGGCAAATGCTGCCAGAGCCATCAGGACATGAATGTTCACCTTCCCGCCAGCAATGTCAATGAGAGCATCCAGGGATGCCGAGACCTGACGCACACATTCTCATCTTCAGTTCCAGTGCCAGCGAAAAATGCAATGATGAAATCCGAAATGCGCGCACAAAAAAAAAAAAAAAAATCACGGAAGCGGTAACAGCGAGAGTGATGAGCCATACCCCAACCAGAGGGAAACCGACGATCATGAAGGCATTTTGAAGAGGTTTAGCCACGGCCTTGGGAGCAAGGTAAGGACAAATAGCAGCAGCGAGAAACAAAGCCGCGGAACAGCAACAGAGCTGCAAGTGCTCCCTCAGCAGACTGGCGAGATCCGTCCATCTCACGGCATCCGCAAACCTAATTACAGCTTTCTGCGTGCCGGTTAGCTCCTCGAGCTCGTCTCCGTGATGGTGATGATGGTGGCCGTGGCCGTGATTATGGTGGTGGTGGTGGTGATTATGGTGGGGATCTTCGTGGTGATTATGGTGGGGGTGGTGATTAGCTGCCTCAGAAGCGCAACGGGCGACGAACCGGCGGTGGATATTGGGGGAAACGAGACGGTTGCGGAGGGGAAGAGAAGGCAGCGAGCGGAGCCGGCGTTGCCTGGAGGAGGAGGGACGGATTGAAGGGAAGTCGATCACGCCAAAAGCGTGGCGGACGGCGGTGGAGGTTTCCATGGACGGTGCAGGGAAGCGAGGGAGTTCAGGTGAAATTTCGGGGAGAAATCATGACGGTGGAGGAAGAAACGGATGAAAGGTCTGCGAGTTACAGAGGAAGGAAACAAGGGTTGGTTGGTGGGACTGTGAGAGAGTCGGAGGACTTTCTGCGGCCTAGAGAAGTGAGTGGTGAGGTGAGCATTGGCCTCTGGCTACCCGCTTCCAGTTCTTTTATTTATTTATTTACTTCTTCGTTTTGTCGGCATTCTTCGTTTTCGTAGTTACTTGGGGTTTTCGGTTTTCGACCGGTTCTTCTCCGATGACTTCTGTAGTCTGTAGGCATGTCTGGAACCGCCCATTATTTCATCAATTCATGATTTCATTCTATTAAACTCTAATTTAATTGGGAGGTTAGAATCTTAGAGTGCAATTTTGTTGCTGACTATGGGTCATGAGGTTGCTTTTGGCATACATTCGTTCGATGAGTGCGACCCTAATTTTCGATATTGGTTGTTGTACGATATTATGGGGATTATCCAACCTCGTTCTTTCATTAATATGATTTAGGAAGCTTGTGCATCTGTCTTTCTACCAAAAAAATGTTCTAATTTAATATATTGTTTGAAACATTTTTTTTCAACTCGGAATCATTACTAAATAGTAAATTCTTCTTAGAAAGTCTACTTCCATAACCAAAACCATCACTTCATTTTAGGGTAAATTACAGGTTTGGTCACTGCATTTACTAAAGAGTGTCATGTTTAGTCACTAGAAATATTTTATTTCAATGTTTGTGACTCGAATTAGTCAAAGAGTCCACACTTGGTCACTCTATTTTAGTCTCTGTCAATTCCCGTTAACACCGTCAATCATTGCTGACAGAAGTGCTAACTCGCCCTATTTTAACCCGCAACATCACCAAACTCGACCCGCCATGTCATATTGTTCAACCGAACCCAACCCATGATCAGACCCTGCCTTATTGAGCCGCCCCACCTCCTCCCTTTCCAATTGTCATAAAAAAAACTATCACACGCCATTGTCGCCCAAAATAGTTTCCTCCCTATTCTCCGACCGTCGGAATCTTGAAAACTCTAAACCAACAAAATGGCCACCGATCTCCTTCCCCTCAGTGTCGTCGTAGTGTACGCCTCATCCAATCCAGACATCAACAACCGCCGGAGGCTTCCCCCCTCATCCCCTTGTCGTAGCCGAAATGGTGGTCCTCGCTCTCCGGTTGGTCCTCCGAGCAGGATTACGTCGGGATGCCAGCGAGCCACCCGGCGGTCGATCAGGACGAGAATCATGCGAACCTGGAGGCAAAACAGGCCAGATCTCGATTCTCTACAAACGGCTTCACAGTGGAGAAGGCCAATCATCTCAGTATGCTGACCTCAGGGATGTCGTCACACAACAACGCGATGTACCTCTCTGACTTCAAGAACAAGAACAACGACTCCTCCGTCGACGACCGGTAGCCTCCCTCCTCACTGTCGGTTTTCCCTCATACTTTTTTCCCACCTGAGTAATCTCGATAATTTCCTATAGGAGATTCCGGAGCTTCCCACTGGTTTGCCTTCCCCATCAACGGGGATGGATCTCTGATCAGAAATCTTGACGAAGTTAGTTTAGCGCCGTTAGGGAGTGCTTCTTTCTTGCTTCCGTTGCGACAAGACTTCAAATCGAGCGTGAATCTGAGTAGTTCTCCCAGATCATCAACAGGGTCCGTCAGAGATCCCTGTAATGTCGAACTATACGCTTCAATTCCATTTCTTCGCCCTTCATATCGAACAAGCAACTAGCTGAGTAAGTGATTTATGGAAAATGGGTGAGCCATCAGTCGGCCAAGAACCACACGAATTGGAGAGAAGAATTTATAGCTTCGGGTCGTACAAAGTAAAGAAAGTACATATCCCTGTAGTGGAAGGATTATCTAAGGTGGGACTTTGAATCATCACGATGGACAAATTTCGTGGTCGAAATTTTTCTTAGGGGGGAGGAAATGTGATACTTCTATTTTGTTTTAGGATCAACAACAAGTGTTGAATGAGTTGGATCAACGAGTCACATTGAATCGGAATTTTGTCCCATTAAGACCCCGGGCCAAGTTGTGGAATTAAAAGGACAATGACTCACTCAAAGCTACTCGATGCTCTTATAAATAAATAAAAAAGCTACTCGATGCTACAAAGTAATGATGCTACAAAGTAATGAGGGGATACCAGTTTGAAGTTTATATTATGAGAATAAAACATTGAGGAAAGTAATTACAAGAATGGTGTTGACTGAGGTATGAGTCCAAACAAATTTCGGACGAAATTTTTATAAGGGTGAAGGAAATGTAACATCCCGACATTTGGATCTAGATTCGACCGAATGGTTGGATCAATGCTTACGTATAAAGGAATGTAACCATAAATTAAGGACGATAATAATAATATTATTATCATCATCTACACGTCTCCATAAGCAATTAAGAGAAAAGAAAAAAATTTATTTTTTTAAAGCCCATGTATCCCAGCGCTCCTCTCCCCCGGGGGAAATCCCAAAATACACATGTTTTAAAAAAATTCTCAAAATACACACGTTATAAAAAAATTCTCAAAATACACATATTTGGACATCACTCCTGTTGACGGCCGCGGTGAATGACTGACGTAACACTGAAAGTTCAAACAAAGGTAACTTTGCGCTCGGTTATCCGATTGTAGCGATTTTTTTTATTCCACATAATTTTTCAAGATCTTTCAATTCGAAACAAGCCTTCATCCCAAAAATTCATTTGCTATCCCGAACGAGAAATTTTTCAATTTTGACAAACTTTGGAAGACCATAACTTTGTGCTCCACAATCCGAATGTCATGAAACTTTTTTTTTTTATTTTTCATAACTTTTGAAGTACTACAACTTGGATTATAACCATAATTTTGGAAAGTATGTGGATTTGTGAAAAGTAAAGGCAAAGTGATTCCCAAAATCCTGTATACACAAAAATATTTATTTTTAAAAAAATTATTTCCTAGTAAAAGTTGTAGTTCTTAAAAATTTATATTCAATAAAAAAAAACTTTACGACGTTCGGATTGAGGAGCTAAAAGTTATGTCCTTCCAAAGTTTGTCAAAATCGAAAAACTGCTCGTTCTGGGTAACAAAACGACATTTTTTTAGATGAAGTATTTTTTCGAATTGAAAAATCTTGAAAAGTTATATGGAATAAAGAAAATTCGCTACAATCGGATTACCGAGCGCAAAGTTAAGTTTGTTTGAAGTTTCAGTATTACGTCAGCCATTCACCACGGCCGTCAACCGCGGTGATGAATTCACCGCTTTGATCTGCCGCGGTGATTGCATTCACTGCGGTTGACAACAGCGATGATGCCCAAACATGTGTATTTTTGGATTTTTTTTATAACATGTGTATTTTGAGATTTATTTTAAAAACATGTGTATTTTGGGAATTCATCCCTCCCCCGGTCTCTCTCCCAAATGGCCACCCTTTTATTTTCCCCACCGTAAAGTCGAGAAGGGAACAAGAGAAACAACAGCGGCAGTTTAAACCCTCCCCAAAGCATCCAACCTACAACACCTCTCTCTCTCTCTCCCTCCCGTACGATTTTCCCTTCCCGTCGCAAAGGAACAAGCAAAATAGTCGGCGACCTCGTCCCTGAACCCCAACGTCACCATCACCATCGTCGACGACATCGTTTTTCCTCTGGAATTGTAGCGGTAAGATTCTCGATCTCCTCTCTCCCTCAACGCGATCTTTAAACCCCGATTAACCGACGAACACACATGATGATCGTAGCTCCATCGGCAGCACGATGTAGTCGACTTTAATTATTCTACGAGTGGTAGGCATAACTGCTAAGAGGATAATCACAAGAGCATCTCGATCTTGATGAAACTGATTTTCGACGTCGGATGAGGGAGAAACGGGCATCAGAAGTTTGGGACAAAAGTACGTCTATTTAGGTACCATGTTTGGCAACTCATAAAGTTATTGGATTACTTCTGTAATTTTCCAGAGAGGTCGAGGTCAACCATGTTGACTGGAAAATTGCCAATTTGATACCCCATACTTTGAGAATTGACAGAATTTTTATTTTGGCCGTAGCTCGATTAATTGGCATCCAAATGAGGAACCGTCGGCGCCTATGGAATCGTGGGAACGAAGAGAATTTAATGGGAGCGAGTCAGAGAATTTTCAGAGAGGAATCATAGTCGTATTTTCGAGGTGAGTGTAAAGGGGGTAATATCTCAGTCGCATGTCTTTTAGTTTATGTATTTTACTTTAAGTAATGCTAGTTAATTTTTTTAGTTATGCGTGATTATGTGTGTGAGGCATCCCACCACCTACTTAAGGTGGAGGCACGCGTTGTGCTTGTGTGTGTGTGTGTGTGTTGATGTATGGTTAATGGTAAGATGAACCTTCGGGCGGTTGGGCCACTACTGGACGCAGTAGATGGTCAGATCACTGTCGGACGGTGATACATAACGCATCAATTGATCGAGGATATTGGATCACTACTTGACGGTGATCCGTAACGCAGTAATTGACCGGGCATGGACTGGACAATGATACGTAACGCAACACCATTTCCTTGAGGATATGGACACCGGACACCGATATGTAACGCGGTGGACCCTAGTTTTAAGTGTATAAGTTAAGATAGAAGTAGAGAACTTCTATAAGCTATTAAGGACTAAAGTATTAAGGATGAAAGCGAGAACGACTTTCATGTAAAATATCTAGTGTCATCTTAAGAATGTTCATCTTTACTATCACTTCTCAACGTCAAAAGAATTAACCAATTATAAACAATTTCTCAACGTCCAAACAATTATCCGATTATAAGTAAGTGGTGCGGTTATTGTAGGTATTTGTCAACCGACAAATAATTGAGTATAAATATCTCTATTCCCCCCCCTCCCCCCAACCCCCCCAAAAAAAAAAAGATTATGTCCCTACCAAATAAACTCTCGAACTTTGAACAAACAAATCTCCTCCATGCCTCGACCTTCTTCGTCTTTCTCCAATTTCGTCTCATTGTAAATCTTAACATTGAAAGATTCAAAGAGGATTGCCGACTCTGCGATAGAATTGTAGGAAATTGGATTGCGAAGATCAGATAGCTTATGCTCAAAGATAGCAAAGATCGAGCCTCAATTTCTTTCTTCAATGATTTACATCACCCAATTCGCACTCCTCTCCTTCCTTTCTTTGTCTTCTTTCTCGGTCCTAAGAGGTGCAACAATTCAAGCCCAAATCCTAATCCTATTGCTCTCCAAAATCCATGTCACCAACCAAATCTTAGCCCATCTCAACATCAGAATCCCCTGCCTCGGTGTTACACTAGGGTTGATTTCTCCTACTCCATTCACTGCCTTGTAGTAATATAAGATAATAGTAGAATAATTATAAAATTATACTTTAGTAGTAGGCTGGAGGTCTTTGACGATGATAGACACCGATATAATTGTTTTTGCATAGAACACAACTAATAAAAATAGCATTATCAAATAAATTATCAATATTTTTAGGGTAACACCTATTAATTATTCAAATATTTTCTGAATTCTTTATTTTAGCCAACCTATTGAATTACTAAAAATTAACCGAATGTTAACTTCGCGTCAACTTTTTCGTTAGTAATGTTGACTAAGCATCATAATGTTAAGTTTACATCCTACGTGGCGGTCAGTATACCATTATTATATATATATATATATATATATATATATATATATATATGGTGCCTTCTACGGTACCTCAGATAAAATTCGGGGTACCGCATACCCTGAGTATGAAAGCGCTATCTAGAACTCGAATTAGCAGGATTTTTGGGCATGATATTATACCCTAACCCTTAATGAGTGAACCCTGAGTCCTAATTATCTAAATCTAAATTATAAACCCTAAGATGGTGCATTGATTTTTTTGCCTATATTTGGACGAATCATAACCGTCGATTATTATTTCTAATTAAGTTGATCTTTGCAAATAAGATTTAGAGAATTAAGACCTAGATTTTGATCTTTAAGGGTTAGATTATAGTATCATGTCCGAAAGATCAGTCAATTCAGGTTCTGGATATCGTTTTCTTACTCAAGGTATGCGGTACCCTGGATTTCACCATGGTACCATAGAGCTCCCCATATATATATATATATATATATATATATTATGGTTAATCAAAAATTTCATTAAGCACAGGCAGCTCATCGAGTGCCTCTCAAACAAACAAACGTTTACAAATCAGAAACACTACAATAAAAAACCTATAAACAACCCGATCTGATCGCACTAAGGCTCTTCTAGACAGTTTACTAGTGATTAGAGGAACTCCAAGGTACTTCACAGGCAGCTGACCTAAAGGGAATCCTGAATAAACAGAAATAGACTGCTTTTCCTCCTCTTGGATTCCTGCACAGAACAGCTGGCATTTTGCAGGATTGCAACGAAGACCAGACAAGGTGTAAAACTCTTCCATCAATCTTATAATGCCTGCCACCCCATGAATTGACCCATTTGTAAACACTAACAAATCATCAGCGAAACAAAGGTGAGTTATGGCTAGGGGTTTGCAACGAGGATGGTAAAGAATTTGATTATCACGAACAGCTCTCTTCATTAACCCATCCAAAGCTTCCATAGCAACCGTAAACAAATAAGGTGACAGAGGGTCACCCTGTCTTAACCCTTTTTTCATTCCAAAAAAACCACATAAGCCACCATTAAGCGAGACACTGACCATAGGAGTGCAAACACAGGCTCTTAGCAAATTAATAAATTTCCCTTTTAAACCCATAGTAGCTAAGACATCAAACAGAAACTCCCAATTCACGGAGTCAAAAGCCTTCATTAGATCAATTTTTACCACACACCGAGAACTGATAGTTTTTGATTGATAACCCTTAACCAACTCAGAAGCAAGAAGGATATTGTCACTTATAGATCTACCTTTTATAAAAGCAGACTGTGAATGAATCACCAAGGAAGGAAGGATAGCATCCAGGCGATTAGCTAAAATCTTAGCTATCCCTTTGTACAATGTATTGCAGCACAAGATAGGACGAAAGTCCTTCATAAGCACAGCATTCTGCACCTTAGCAACAAGAGTAAACACTGTCGTGTTGATCTTCTGAGGCATGTGCTCAGTCTGATAAAATTGTGAAACAATGGCATTTACATCAGCTTTGATCAGATCCCAGTGAAGGAGAAAGAATTCAATTGGGAAACCATCTGGGCCAGCCGCCTTATCTCTACCCAACTGTTTAAACACTTGATAGATCTCATCCTCTGTGATTTCTCTATTAAGTAGCAGATTGTCAGAATCAGTAGCCTTATTAGTCAAAATAGACTCATAGTATGCCACAGAAGCTCCCTTGACATTTGGGTCAACCACACCAATCAACTGAGTATAAAAATCCACAGCTACCTTCCCCATTTGAAACACATCAGCACCATTTTCATCCTTTAGAGTAGTAATTTGCTGTTTATGAGTTCTGATCCTTAATGCTTTATGAAAGAAAGGGGTGTTCATATCCCCTGTCTGGACCCACTGAGCTCGAGACTTCTGCTTATAAAACAACTCTTCATCCCGTTGAGCTTTCTGGCACTCCTTATCCAGCACTGCCTCAGCTTCAACACTAACTAGAATTTGGATTCAGCAAAACTTCCGCTTGTAAGCTCTCCAGACGCCTCTCCAGCTCCCTAGCTTGCCCTGATATATCCCAAAAGACCTCTTTATTGAGCTTTTTCAACCTACTTTTCACCTCTTTCAACTTCCCATAAAACTGGTAGTGAGGATAGCCATTCTGTGAAGTACTCCATACTTTAGTGATCATATCCAGATAGCCTGGATGAGATCTCCAAAACTTGAAGTATTTAAACGGTTTGGGAAGCGTTGCCAGCTTTGGTAAAGGCTGAAGTACCAATCCACAATGATCCGAAACTCCTGGTGGGGAAGTATGAGCTGTACTAGAATTGAATCCATCGAGCCAAGCCTCCTTCACCAAAACCCTATCTATTCTCTTAGCAATGAGATTCTTTTTCTGCTTGTTCCACCACGTAAACCAGGAACCCAACACCTTGTGATCCACCAACTGCATCTCATCAATCCACCCTCGAAAATCCTTTATGCTTTGACTTATATCCACTATATTGGAAGAATCTGATACCTCGGCAATAGCATTGAAGTCTCCCATCACTGCCAAAGGCAAAGTAAGCTCCTTATGCACCAGTAATTCCTTATACAAGCCTCGTCGATCATGTTCCTCATTAGGACTATACACAAACAAAATGTAAGCATAACCCAATCCAGCCACTAGAATCTTCATAAAATGCTCCCCTTCATCAACTTTTGTTATTTGCAGACTTGACTTCCAGAAGAGCCACACCCGACCAGAATTGGATTTGCTATAATTCCCTACAAAAGACCATTCTGAAAATGACTTGTGACCTCCCTCCCTCAGAGCCACAAGGTCACACTTTTCTTCCCCCTTCCCCCTTCCCCCTTCATATCCAATCTCCCAATCGCTACCCAGGTCCACCGCCTCAAATCCTCTCCCATCCCTTTCCACCACCTCCTCCACAGCCGCTACTTCTATAAGGACGACCTCAAGTCATTTCTGAAGCTAAAGGAGAATTCGATGGCGAAATCGAAGGATGAGATCCTCGGGGTGATTGGAGAGCTAAAGGAGAAGTTCAAGGACATCCAGCAGCTAACCGTTGGGGATAATTTCTCGTCGGAGAGAGCTAAAGGTTATTCAATTGCGTCCTTGGCTGTGTTACCTGGGGTCGAATGAGTACGATTGGGATTTGGGAGGATGCTTTGTATCCGTCAGAGCAAAATGCACCACTAGTTGGAAGTCTCAAGATACAATGGCTTTAGCGGAAATCATCATTGGCTCTGTTCCTTCTCATTTTCTTTCATTTTTATGGTGAAGGGAGCTCGATTCAGCGAGATATGTGGCTGAAGCTGCCACTATTGAGGAAGAACAGAGTGTCGCGGTGGGCTTGGGAGGAGAATGAGAAGTAGAGTGGCGACGATGTAGGGTTTTGCTTATTTTGTATTTTGTATTTAAGAATTTATTTTTATGATTTATTTATTTTTATTTTATTGGACGCTGATGTGGATGTTGAGGTGGATGCTGAGATGGAGCGCCATTAAGAAATACTTAGCGGTAATAAAACGATAGCCAATACTTTAATCGGTTACAATACGTTTGACTAATTAATAGTATTTCAATAGGTTTGGTTAAAATATAAAAATCCGAAAAATGTTTGGGTAATAAATAGACATTGTTCATAAAAAAAAATAAACATTACCCTTATTTTTTTTACTCTACTATTAAATAGAATTATTTTTGCATAGCACAAAACTAATAAAAATAGCATTACAAATAGATTATCGATATTTTTATTGCTCTACCTTTGATATATGAAAATTTCTAATATATTTGTTTCTTCTGCCTTTCACCTCAATCTTTCTCATAAAATAAAAAATTCTACTGTTTTTCTTGTCTCTTAAAATTTCTCCATCCTTTTTTTTTATATGGATGCAATGCATCTCAACTTTCATTTACAGCAAGACGAGGCTCTGAAAGACCTTGATAGTCATACAAAATGAAGTGGTGCAAACCAGGATCCGAGTTCGAAATTAAATGGAAACCCAAAGATAAAGAGTGACCATAGTTAGCTAAGTAATCAACACACTAATTCCCCTCTTGATAGATGTGGGAAATAGATACTTCCCAGTTACGGGATAACAAGTCTTGGAACCGATCGATGATGGCGACGTGATGATGATCAGATCCGTCTGAGTTCTCAAGTTCTGTAGTGCATACCTGGAGTCGAGCTCCACACTGATCCGATGGAAACCTCTGTCCCAGGCCAACTGAAGTCCTTCTACAGTGCCTCTCAATCCTGCTCGGATAATAGAACAAACACCCAAGTTTGAAGCAAATGTTGCGAGGCAGCATCCAGTATGATCTCGAACCAGGCCACCGCCGCTGCATGGCCTGAGTTAGTAGTACAAAGCCATTTGAATTAAGAGTGACCCACTCGGGAGGTAGTGGCTTTCACGAGATGTCCACCTTCGTTTTCATGGGCAGACGTGACATATGTACTAACCTGTCATTATCCATAATAGTTTGCACTACATTAATCCATGCATGGAATGCTGTAGAAATGCTTCACTAGTGATGAACTCCATCCTCTTTTTAGAAACAAATTGTCAGTATCTTAATTATCAATAGTCTAAGGTTTGATTCCATATACAACTTTAGAGGAAAAAGAATATTGTAGTAAATTCTCACGATCCGCCTTTTTTTTGCTCAATGGATAGAGGTAATTGTTCAATTTTCCTCAATATAACTTGACATGACATTATACGAATCTTGTGCAAAGAAAACATAATTACAATTTATCTAAATTTTCTTGAATGCAATATGCAAATCTCCCCATTGCCCAGAGTGTTACTCCGGAAATGAATGCGAGGTTGACGGCTGAGGTATTATCTAGTGAGGTTCAAAGAACGATCTTTTCAATGGGGTCGAAGCAGGCCCTGGGATCATATGGCTTCACAGACAAGTTCTTCAAAGCATTCTGGGATACTGTGGGCTCTTCGGTGATTGAGGCAGTATGCTCTTTCTTTACAACGAGCCGGATGTTGCGGAGTTTTAACCATACCTGGCTCACTTTGATTCCGAAAGTGGATTCTGTGGAAACTATCAGACAGTTGCGTCTGATTAGCCTATGTCAGTTTGTTTATAAAGTGATAACCAAAATCATGGCTGAACGACTTGCAGATCTTCTCCTTGTGATCATCTTTGAGGGACAGAACGCGTTTATAAGAGACCGGCAGATTATTGATAACATCCTTCTAGGACATGAGTTAATGCATTATCTAAAAAAAAAAAAAACAGGGGAAGAAGGGGTTCATGGCTCTGAAGGTTGACATGGAAAAAGCCTATTATAGAGTTGAATGGCCCTTCCTTCTGGCGGTTTTGGATAAGATGTATTTTAACTCTGTCTGGCAAGGATGGATACATGAATGTCTTCGTTCCTTATCATTTTCTGTCCTGATGAATGGTACCCCCTTGAGTTATTTCACTTCCTCCCGGGTGCTCCGTCAGGGGGATCCGCTATCACCTCTCTTGTTTGTTCTCTGCATAGAGGGGTTTGCGGCTCTCCTTCGGAAAGCGATCTCGGAAAAGAAACTGGAGGGGGTAAAAGTGGCTCCTAGTGCTCCTAGAATCTCTCATCTGTTCTTCACTGATGACTCTTATTTATTCTTGCGAGGATCTCTCCAGGAGTGTGAGAATTTAATTGAGGTTTTGAACGAATATGAGGAGCTGAGTGGCCAACGGGTTAATCTGGAGAAATCTGTGATGTGCTTTAGTAAGAATATTGCCCTGCCAGATCAAGAGATCTTGGCCACGATTCTAGGGGTTGAGGCAGTGGGGGTCCTTGATAAATATCTGGGGTTACCAACGCTGGTTGCCAGGTCTAAAATGATCACGTTCAGATATTTGGAGGAGAAACTATTAGAGCGACTGTAGGGGTGAAAACAAAGGGCATTGTCCTGAGCGGCAAATGAAACATTGATTAAATCAATAGCTTTGGCTCTACCCCTGCATGTTATGTCGTGTTTTCGGTTACCCCTAACTCTTTGTCGAGTTGGATCCGTTTGTGGGAGGCTAGGATCCCTCCGAAGCTGAAGATCTTTTTCTGACAAATTTGTAATCGGGCTCTACCAACTACTGAGGCGCTCATTGAAAAAAAGGTCCATGTGCTTCCCCAGTGTCCGGTTTGCTAGGATAGCCCTGAGACTATGGAACATATGTTTCTCTATTGCCCGGTTGCGCGGGCTCTCTAGGACTATTCAGGACTGGAGTACTTGGGGAGGGTTTGCCCCGTCACACTTTTCCATTATTTCTCAAACGTGTTCTGGCACTGATCCATCAACCGTCGTTGTTTATGGCTGTTGCTGCCATCCTTTGGCGGATCTGGCGGTCTCGTAACTGGGTTGTCTTTGAAGGCAAACAGTTTGGGATTCCTGCGCTTGTTTAACCAGCAATATGAGGAATGAGTGGACTTGCCAATTGACCAGGCTCCTAGGGTGACTTTCCCGTTGGTACAACCAGTAACCCAAGTGGGTGATTCACGATTGGTTTGCACGTGGGATGGTGCCACTAGGAGTGGGTCGCACTCGGCTGGTGGGATGGTTCTTTTGGATCCAGTGCGAACGATCCTTATGGCAAGGGGGGTTCAGTTTCCTCAAGTGCATGAGCCTATAGTGGTGGAATTGCTTGTGCTTCGGGAGGCTATTATTTGTTGTTTAGAATGTGGCTTGTCGGCGGTCCGGTTCGAGGGCGATGCGAAAGTAATCATTGATAAAATTAATCAAGCCAACACAAGGGACAACAGGTTGGGTGTTGTTCTAGAGGAGATAGGTCATTATTTTCGCGCTCATCCTGGGTTTAGTGTGCGATTTATAGGTCGGGAGAACAATAGGGTAGCTCACTCGGTAGCTAGGAAAGCCCTCTCTATGTATCCGATTATGAGTCGCTTTTTTTATTTCCGAGCCTGACTAGTTTCGAGGATGTAACTATCTATTTATTTGCATCATGATATCGTTTGAAAAAAAAACTCTTGCAATATATATACAAATTCGCAGGCTCACATAATGAAACAATAGATCTTGTTTCTCAAGTAAACCTAAACCAATAAACAAATGCCCCCTTGAAGGAAAACAAAAACAATAAAGAAGTACGGCATGCCATTCATGCCTTCCGACTCTCTACAACATTGTGTGTGTATCACGTATATGATTTATCATTTCTATTCATTCCTTTTTTTCCTCTACACGACGCCGTCCTCAGCATCAGCCGAATGCCGAACGCCCCCAAAAGAATCCAAAAGAATTAAACCCAAAGCCAGAGAGAATCAATCGTCCGCAATCTAACGAATACGACTCAGCAAAGATCGGTCGAGTTTGACCGGGTCGGGTCACTGGTGGGTGCCCGTGGTAAAGCTGTGACCCACTCCCGGGCTGGGTCCGGAGTTCTTCATTCCTCCCAGCGTCTCCGCGTTGCTGAACGAATGCCCCACGCCGGGGCTCGGCCCCGACACCATCATCGCTCCCAGCGCCAGCCCGTCGAAGAATCGTTCGATCGCGCACCCAGCTGCCTGCGCCGTCTCCGACTCCATGATGCTGAATGGCCGGCCGGCTTCCGCGGCGAAGGCGAACACGACGGAGAGCGCCAACGCAAAGAAGATTGCGTACCGGAGCGATTTGAACGTAGATGCCATCTGGGTTGCCGCCAAAATTTCTACTTTTTTGTCGTAGTGGATTGCAGAGAAGGAAAAGCTCTGTTTTTTTTTTCCCGGGAAGAAGGGAGGCAGAGGAGGGTTCGGTGGGTTAGTTGATGGACAGAAAAGTTGGTGACTTTGTGGGGAGAGAGGGAGGAATATATAAGGGCTGGTTTGGTGGGCAAAAGTTTGAATAAAAGAACTGGTCTTTACAAGAATTGAGGACATTGTTCTTCATTGGTATACATAATTTTTCAAAGGACAAACGTAATACGGTGCGTGTTTTTTCAACACCATCGTGCGACGGCGAAAAAAAAGAAGAAGAAGAAAACATTGGGCAGTGTGGCTTTGATCAAACTGTGGCGCGGGGGAAAGATGAAAGTTGGGAACCAACGAGGGAGCTTCTTTGGGCCATGGTGACGGAATTGGGAGTATAGGGGTAAGTAATGTGGGAATTGAAAAAATCAACGGGGTAACAACACATAAAATTCATTTGGAAGTCGTATATTCAGACTAAACACAATTTTCTGACTTGGAGATAGGAATGTAATTTGTGGGTTCCATCAAGATCAAGTGTTGGGGAAAAGTGTAACGAAGAAATATAGTTCTCTCAACTTTGAAATATACTTAAAATTATAAGTAAAATTCGTAACAAATTTAAGATATAGAATAGTCGATAAGGTCTTAGACTCTTAGTCCCCCTCCCCCAAGTATCGCGGTTCAAGTCAGGCCCGGCCCCCCTCATTTGGATTTCAAGCTCCTGCATTGGAAAAGTCAAATACAAAGTTACATTTTTACTTAATTCTCACTTATTCATGCAAATTCACTTATAATTACGCATGCAACCTATGCACGTGATCATTATCGACTTACTTAATATACTATATAATTGGAGTGTGCTTAAAAAAATAGATTGCGTACGTGAATATAAAGGGTTATAGGTATAATATGCCACACTATTATGTCGTTTTATCAAACATGGTGCTGTATTATTTTTTATATCAAACATATGCTCTTGTATTTTGTAAAAATGATCAAACGTATCATCGTGTTAAATTTTCATCCAAAAACCGTTAACCATGCCTGAACTTTAGCTTGGGTGACACAAATGTCTAAAATATTTCTAATAATTTCACTTTAGAATTTTTTGGTTGTTTTGTACAGCCAAATAATTCTAATAATTTCACTTTGTTTCGACCCAAAGACGCATTTCGCAAAAGAAACGTGTTTATTTTAATTGGACGCGTACATAGTGCATAGCGAAATAGTAGGGATGAGAGTGGGTGGGTTGACTTAAACCCATTCCATTCCATTATCATTTTCAATCATTACTAGTATAATCCCGCTCGTTGTCGCTTCGTGTGTAAGTGAAAATGTTATATTTTAAAAATTAATAGTTTGAATTTTGATCCAAAAGTAAAGGTTTATCATCTACAACTCCATGTAGACGACGCAACGATACTTTAATAAGGGAGACCGGTCGTAGAGCAAATGATTTATATGTTTAATCTTCTCTCATAAACTACTGCTTAGTGTATTCTTTTTGCTTTGTTTTTTTTAAAGTTCATCTTGATTCTCCTTTTTATGTAGTTTTGGACTGATCGTAGGTTTGAGAAGGTCCAACTCACTTTGGCCCGTTCGAATTAGGTTGAATAACCATGAATTTGGGTTCAATTTTATTCTCAAACAAAAAAAAAAGAAATTAACAAACACTAAAGAGGATAAAACTTGCTTACGATCCAAAACTCGACAACATCATGTTCAACTCTCTTTGATCGGGTTGAACCAGATTTGTAATAAATTCACAACCGACCTGACCCATCACTTTAGCCGGATCGAATTAGGTTGGATACCCATGAATTTGGGTTCAATTTCATTCTCAACCAGAAAGAAAAAGAGAAATTATCAAACACTAAAGCGGATAAAACTCACTCGCGATCCAAAACTCGGCAACACCATGTTCAACTCTCTTTGATCCGGCTGAACCGAGTTTGTAATAAATTCACAACCGATTTGACCCGTCAATTACAAAAGAGAATAAAACTCACTCCCACCCGGGAACGTGTAAACATCGGCTTCAAGTTGTTTTGATTATATTGAATAGGTTGGATATCCGTAGGTTTGGGTGCTCAACCAAAAGGGAAAAGATAAATAAAAAACACAAAAGCGGATAAAACTCACTCCATGCCAAAAACTTTACACACGGAGCGCAACTCGCCTTGACTGGTTTGAACCAAGTTTTTAACAATTCACACTCTGCTCAACATGTCAATTCTAAACGCAGATAAAAACACACTCTCGATAAAAAAAAATCATTAGTATCGGGTCAAGGATCAATTGTCATTCTCAACCAAAATGAAAATGAGAAATAAAAAAGGTTATAGGTATAATATGCCCCTCTACTATGACGTTTTATCAAACATGCCTCTCTATTATTTTTTACATCAAACATGCCCCAGTTCTCTGATAAAGTTATCAAACTTGCCCTTCTGCTAAAATTTTCATTGAAAAAAATTATCAGTCATGGTTGAACTAAGATCTAGATGACCCGACATCGGCAAATGGGAGGGAAAATATCAGTTTTGTCCCCCGTTTTATTTCTCTGGGTCTCTTCAAAGTGAAATTATTTGAATTAATTGGCTACACAAAAGAACAAAAAAACATTATAAAGTGAAATTATTAGGGATATTTTAGACATTTGTGTCGCCCAAACCAAAGTTTGGCGTTGGTTAACGGTTTTTGGATGAAATTTTTAACAAAAGTGCTTGTTTGATAATTTTTACAAAGTACAAGGGCATGTTTGATGTAAAATATAGTAAAGGGGCATGTTTGATAAAACATCATAGTAGAAGGGCATATTATACCTATAACCCAAATAAAAACTATCAAAGTGGACAAAACTCACTCTCAATCCAAAACTCATCAACACCGTGTTTAGCTCGCTTTAACCGGGTCGAATTGAGTTCTAATAAATTCACACTCGACCCAACCTGCCAACTACAAATCCGGATAAAACTCGCTCTCGATACAAAACTCGTCAATACCATGGGTTTGGATTCAATTCGCTTTGACCTGGTTGAATTAGGTTGCATACCCTTGAGCTTGAGTTCAATTTTAATGCTTAACCAAAAGGGAAAAGAGAAATAAGAAAACATCATTGAATATGAAACTCGATCTCAATATAAAACTCGACAACACATAGCAAATTTAGTATGAATTTTCAGTAGCGATATTGGAAAACGGTGAATGTGTGAGAGGCACTAAAACATTGCCAATGATCACTAAAATATCCTCTAGCTGGTACTGAACCACCCAAGTTTAAAGGGCTTTTGTGATGGTATTTTGTTGGCAGGCATTGGATCAAGCAAAATCAGAATCGGAAGAAAAACATAATCTCTGAACAATTGATTGTTGAAAAGGCTGGTAGGTTTTTGTTAACTGATATGAACTACGAATTGATAGTATCAAACTAATACACTTTTTTCTCTCTTTTATGTCTGGATGTGTTTGGGTTTTAATTGCGATCATTCTCAACAAAAAGAGAGAAAAAATAAAAAATAACACTAAATAGGATGAAACTCAATCCCGATACAAAACTCGTGGTTGTGAAATGGGGAACAACTTAGGATTTCACTGATAGTATTTCGAGATGGACTGCGAAATGGTGGCAAATGCGATGATTTGTGCAAAAAGTCATAGTCGAAAACCTAGTGGATAGTTGCTGGAATAGGGAGCTGAAAACCTAGTAGACAATAATTGTTATGAGAAACACAATGGACAATAGATGTAAACCTAGCGGACAATAGCTAAACACAAAGGTTGTAGAATGGAGAGTGGGATAAAAGAATGACTTGGAACTTCCCCACTTGCACTTGGAGGAGTATGAGACCCATTAATGAATATTAACTCCAACATGATCATTGAAAAGGCTGGTAGGTTGTGTTTGGGTTGGGTATAAGCAAGGTTGTCAACCCGGTTTAGCCAGTTGGTTCGATCAAGTAAATGGGCTGAGGATTAATAGTCTGACCGTTTTAGTCTGTTTTAGTATGATTATATGAAAAAAGTCATTATATTTTTCATACATTTATAAATTATATCAAATATAATCTAATATATGAGTAATAACACGTATCACTACACCAAAATAACATATGTAACATCAATATTTAAATGTTCAACTTGAAATTCCACTGATAGAGTTAGACGAAGAGGAAAACTGGAAAGAGACGCATTTCACAAAAGAAAGGAAAAAACGACGTCATGTGACCTCCAACCCAGTAACCTTGGAGCGGGTCGACCCGGCAGGCGGCAGGTGTGTGGCCAGTTTTTCTCAGAGAGTCAGGTCAAAATGGGTTGACCATCTTGGGTATACGTGCCATATAAAGAAGCTCAATTACACTTGTAGTCACTTAAATTATCATATTTTTCATGTTAACCATTCCTTTTTTCTTATATGTCACCGACTTTACCCTTTATCACTTGCCGTCCAACTCTTCAAGTTCATCCTACATCGGCTTCAACTATAATATATGACCGTTAAGTTACTCACGTGTTAAAAATAATTAAAAAAATAAAAATCACAAAAAATCTTTATCTACTCCTCGCTATGGCCAATCCAACCTCAACTTGGCTACTCTCGTCGCCGCTCTTACAAAGTTACCATTTTGGTGATGCATATGGAAACATGTCCTTATTCTAGACTTAATCAGTATTCCATCCAACATTACTTGAGTTTCCATAGAAATGTAGGCAATGTTTTGTCCCGCCGTTATCCACTAAATCTCTGTAAGGTCAGCTTTCTAGACCGCGAGCTTAGGTCGGAAGGAAGAGATGATTCTCTGGTGATTAGGGTCATACGATATGCCTTGTACCATGATGCTCAACGGTTGTTGATTGTGAGTCTAAATGACCTGAAGACCCCTAACACTTACAGATTCTCCAATCTGTTTCGCTCGATCTCAATTTTAGAAGGTTATTAACCTAGATAGAAGGCTTGGACCCTTGACTTCTACTATAATTAGAGTATAATTAAGGGTACGCTATACTCTTAGTAAGATTACACTATCAAGATCTTAAACTAACCATACTTAGAATATGATACCATTTTCTATTCTCGATTAAGTAAATGATCCACCCTAATTCTCTAAACCCCAAGTTCAAATAATTCTTTACTTTTACGAATAAGAGCTTTTTATTTCATCAAATGCAGGGGTCGTTTGGAGAACATGATTTAGACCATGGATTCACTGAATTCGTAGATTTTGTATAATTTTTTTTTGTATTTTTTTGTATTGTGGATTTTAGCTTTAGAGAATTCAAATTTCTAAAATCTACGGATATCATGTCTCTCATAATCATATAGATTATATATCTTGATTCGTGAGATTTTTTTCATACATGACCTCTTCCTTTTATTTATTTATTTATATCATCAAAAGAAACGAGTACGTATGTGGCGAACAACCCTCATCACTGAGAACAATGCAAATAGAACTCTATATATCTGTAGAACCAAGGGAAGAGTCAAAAGAAGAGACTTGCATCATCTGCTCCACAAAGAACAACGACATCTTTCTTCATCAATTGCACTACATCAGCAGCTGTAAAGCGCTGCATACTATACCTGGCAACACATCGGTTTCTCCATATGGAACTAAGCATAGCTTTCCACACAATCCGCCCTATTTTTGAAACTGTTGAGGAATTAGAAAACTGACAGACCGTCCACTTCAATTTTGTAGGCCAGTTAGAAGAAGAGGTTCTGCTAGTGTACTTACTGAATAAACTAACAAACAGTTCATTGTAATGCACACAAGTAGGAAAGAGGTGTTGGAGAGTCTCTGGTGAAGTAGTACAATAAACACATTGAGTAGACCCCTGAAATATCCATTGAATCAGCTTATTACATGTGGAAATATAATTATGAAACAATGAGCCAGCATATGAACTGACTGCGAGGGAGAGAAGGACTCTTCCAAATCAACTTGAACCAGTCCACTTCACGGTGTCTAGGTCTGAACTCCTTCTAGACAGTTTGAGTAGAGAACTTTTTCAACATTTTGCCATGCCATTTACCACCCCCGTCATCTGCTGTTAACAAACCCTGCACTTTGCTTCTAGTTTTCCAAAAAATTTAACCATAACCCCGAGCTAGTTTACCAGGTTGCAGACAAGAAATCATGATTATGCAACCTGTATTCTCTAATCTAGGCTACCCATAGAGAGCCTTACTTCAAAAGTAGATCCCAGATGTGCCTGACAATATATGCCAGATTCCAACTATTCAGATCCCTCAATCCAAGACCATCCTCTTTCTTAGGGTAAGTTAACCTGTCCCATGCAACAACTGCCCTCTTCTTATCATTAGAGCTAACACCCCAGAGAAAATCACTGCACAACTTTTTTATTCGCCTGATAAAAACCTTGGAAGGATGAAGATTGCCATCCAGAATTAGGCAAGACTATATAGAATAGATAGAACAAGCTGAACATTATCAGTATAACTAAGTGTTTTAGCCCCCCCCCTCCCCCCCCCCCCCCCCCCCCCCCCCCAACCTTGGATCTTACATGTATCTGTCAACCCTAACAAGAGAAGCAAAGTGGTGGCGACGGAGGACAGAGCGGTGGGCGTGGTGGCGGCAGTAGCGGAGGACAAGGTGGTGGACGTGGTGGTGGGAAACCCATTGCCTCTAGGACAGTGAACAAAAAGTTACAGTCAACTGAATCGAAGGCTTTCATTAAATCAACTTTAACTATACTATGAAGGGGATATATTTTTTCTAGTGTACTTTTGAACTAGTTCATGGGCCAAGAGAATGTTCTCCTTAATCACTCTACCCTTCAAAAAAGAAGTTTGATTCTCACTGATCACAAGAGGCAAACATGCACTTAAGAGATGATTTTTGCAACACACTTATAAAGTATATTGCAACAAGATATATGCCTGAAGTTCTTCATCTCTTCTGAGTTTTTAGTCTTAGGTAAAAGAGCAAGAAGGGTAGAATTTACCTCAACGGAGAAATCAGAGGTGGCAAAGCAATGCTGGATAACATAGGTGATTTATGCTCCCATGATGCTCCAGGACGCCTGAAAAAGCATGCAGAGTAGCCATATGGACCAGGGGCCTTCTCCCCATTAAAACCTAACATTGTAGTTGTAACTTCTTCTACTGTGACTAGTCTATATAAATCAGAAACCTGCTCTAGTAAGAGTTTCTTTTCCAGAATTTGCTTAATATAAGCCACTAACTCAACCCTAACAAGAGGTTCAGACTTCCCAAGTAGATTTTGATAAAAAGAGACAAAGCAGCACTCATGAAAACCTATTTGAATGGACTTCAAAGAACTATCCGTGTCCAAAAAATAGGACAATGATATGAAACTGAAGGATCAAGAAGATCAACAACACTATTTGGACATGATTCCAACCATTTTAGGTTAACAAAGGCCCTATCTAATAATCTTGCAATAGGATTCTGTGCCTGCTTGTTAATCCATGTAAACCAAGGCCCTGAAGATTTATGTTCTACTACTTCTACGTCATTATACCACTGCTTAAATTAATCCATACTACTATTATAAGGTGGTGTGTTAGAAGCCGAACTAGGATCTCTTATAACATTAAAGTCTCCTACACGATTCAGGATGCTTGACTAGCTTATGAACAACTTTATTTTTTTCAGGGTCCTTAAAACCCCTCGAATTCAAGGTGAGTTACTTCATCGATTTCCCCCCTTGTTGCTGTCTGACTTCTTTTTTGGTACATGAGCCTCAACCACTGGCCTCTTCTGAGAAGAAGAAGGAACTCTAGAGAAATCATCGGACACGATAGCAAAAGGGTTCTCAATATTTTTCGATCCATTCTAATTTCTTTTATTAAGGATAAACATTTTATTTAATATAAGATTAGAATTTTATTTTCATTGAAGGTTAAAAATCATAGTTATCAAACAATAAACATTTTAGAATATGTTTTCAACAATATGAAGAGTTAAAATCTTTACATTGTTAACAATCTATTGATATAGGGTCATATTCTCCAAACAAGCCAAGAATCTTAACAAACCAATATAAGTTTTAACATATTTGAATTCCAAGCCTATACAGACTACAATGAACAACGTACTACAATTAGAATCAAGAAACAAACCAACGCTAGGATTGGTATTCATTGGAGACGCGCCATCACATTTCGTGTTCTCGGGAAGTTGTTCCCTCTCAAATTCATTCATCGAAGAATACATAAGATGTAGGCTAAAATTGGGGGAATTAGGGTTGGAGAAATTAGCAATGGCTACTTTCAAGAAACAATTGCCTTCCACCTCGATCATGACTGTGCTCTCTATGGATGGCCTTGGATGATTGAAGACCATTATATCGCGGCTGAACCATGGAGACTCAACTTCGACCTTTACTTCGACTCAATTGATAGGGCTTCTGTTTGGGTAAGACTTTCATGCCTTCCTTTAGCTTACTTTAATGAAAGAATCTTAAACGACATTGGGGATAAGCTAGGTCGAGTGGAGAAGATTGACTATAACATGACAAATGGTTTTAGAGGCAATTACGTACGAATTTGTGTGGAGATTGATCTTAAGAAGAGACTCATTTCAAAATATAGAATCAAAAGAAGGGTAAGAAGAGTGGAATATGAGGGTATACACACTATGTGTTTTCTCTATGGCTACTATGGACACCTTGAGGAGAACTGCCCCTGTCATCTACAAAGAGTCAAACGACACCAGAGGAGAAGTTGAAAGAAAGAGAAAATTCCACACTTAAGCAAGAAATCAGACCGGAGAAACTACAAGATTTTGATCCTTAGATGCTTGCAACAAAACCAAAAAGGAAAACCCATCAACGAAAAGTGAAGAAAGTGGGGGTTGAAGATAACACCAAGGTGACATCGGGGGCAAACACTGAATCGGGTTCAAGGTTGGTTGTGTTGGCCTCATATGAAGCTATGGACGATGGCATGGATGTGGAGAATGTTGAGGAATTTCACGTTGAGATGGTGACTGAAGCTATAGGCGAGAATATCGAGTAAAAAGCAAAGGGCATGAGAAGAAATCACAAGAAACTACAAATGAGGGGATAATGAAAAGAAAAAAAGAGTTGTAGAAAGCAAACAACCGTCTATCTCACTATACAAAAAGGAACCCCATAACATCTCACCTTTTATATCCAAACAAGTCAAGACTAATGAGTCCAAAGGGAAAGCCCTAGTTTCCTCGGCTAAAGACCCATTTCTCTCCTACCCCATTGCTAGAGGTAATGCTCAAGGAAGAGGGGGCCTTGACAAGCATCAAAGAGGAAACAACTCATCCTTCACCTCACATAAAATCATTAAACAAGGAAAGGCAAGTTATTTTTGAGGGAAGGACAAAGCAGCTCCTCCTTCTCAGCCTAAGGAAGTTATCCTCCAAGGGGTCAACTCCTTGGTGAAAAAGAAACCTCCTGATTTGTTGGAGTTGAAGAAGCTAGATTTTTATGCTAGCTGCAAGGGAAGGAAGTCTCAGCTAGAAAGTTATGAGACTGCTCCAGCTGGTGGGACAATAATGGGTGAGACAGTCCTTGGGTCTCAGCAGGGAAGACTTTTCTTCTATGATTGGTGTCCTTCCTGGAATTGCGGGGGTGAAAAACACCCCAGTTCAAATCTTTTTGTGATTTGTATAAAGCTGAACATTCCTCGAAGGTGGTCTGTATTTGGAACCTCGTATTTGCGATGATAAGGCCAAGATTGTGATTAAATCTCTTGGCTTTGACTCGTCTGAAGTCTATGAAGCGGTGAGATTTAAAGGAGGCATATGGGTGTTATGGGACATCAAGTCTGTGTAGCTCCACCTCAAGGAAAAGAGTAATCAATTCATCCACATGTCCTACAACATTGATGGGAAAGAGGTTGGGTTCTTGACTACAGTTTAAGCTAGCCCTAACTACCATGAAATAAGTTATCTCTAGACTTCGATAAAGAGCATAGCTAGAAGGATGGACAAGCCATGGATGCTTCTTGGCAAGTTTAACTTGATCACATTCCCGTCGGAGAAGTAAGGTGGTGCTGCTTTCAATCCTACTCGTGTGGAAGCTTTCAACGATTGCATCAAGGATTGCAGTCTGGTGGATATTGGTTTCATTGGACCAAAATTTACTTGGGCCAAAATCTATGGGTTAAAAGAAAGACTCGAAAGATGTATCTTTAAAGCATATTGGATTTATAAGTTCCCGGATACTATGAATTACCACCTTACTAAGATCAAGTCCGACCACCGGCCATTTATGGTTTGTGAGGGTAGACCTCAGCAGAAAACCCCCTTGGTGAGAAGATTTCATTTTCTCACTCCTTAGCTGGCTCATGATGGTTTCCATAATTGTGTTTCCTCTTTGTGGAACTACGCCTCTAGTTTTTGCCTTGTTTGCAGGAACTGATCGGGAAGCAGTTGTGGAGCTAGGGGTGTTTGGCTCCGTCACGGGGCACAAGTAAATTTTGGTAAAATGATTATAAATCCCTATGTATGAAAATGAAGAGGATTGAACTCACCGATTTAAAATAACGTAAATGTATTTTATCACTATACTAAAGCCCACTTACTGTTATTTGATTGTCATAATTTAATTTCATATACTATAAATGAAATCTCCAATCTAAAATGTATATTATGAAAAAAAGACACACCTAATTTTTGGATCTGGCTCCGCCACTGCCGGGAAGCTCTAGGAATGGAACAAGAAGATCTTCGACAATATTTCCATTAGGAAAAGAAAGCTTCTCGAGTGGCTTGGCAAGCTGGAGAGATGTTGAACGAAAGAGCACCATCAAGTCACTCTCGAGCTTAGGAAAGAGTCACTAGGGAAGATCTTGAACATACACCTTGTCAAAAAGAGCTTCTTTGGCGTCATAAATCGAGGACCAATTGGGTACTTTTTGGAGATGGCAACACAAAGTTCTTCCATACAAGCACACTCACAAGAAGGAAAAAGGAATCAGGTCACCAAGCTCAAAAATGAAGAAGGCCTTTGGATTATTGACCCGGAAGAGCTCATTATCCACTCAAGAGAGTACTATGTCAATCTTTTCACTAAAAAGGATCTGGATTTCTGTAATTCCCTTGCTGCTGACTTTCCAATGGTTGAGGTTTCTGGACTGGCCCGGGTGGAATCTTTATCTATGCTTGACGAAATCGGAGGGATTATCATGACAATGGGAGGAAAGAAAGCCCGGGGACCTGATGGTTTTCATGATATCTTCTTTCAAAAGTTGTGGGATGTTTTGGGATCTAACTTTTCTAATTTTTTTAGTTCTTGTTTCAGGAACCCAGAGCTCATTGGTGCTATTAACTCTATAGCATTGGCTTTGATCACTAAAATAGAGTGCCATGTGTCCATGGCTCAATTCAGGCCAATTAGTTTGTGTAACGTGGGGTATAAACCGATTGCCAAGTGCATCGCTAATAGGTTGAAAAGTCTGATGCCTCACCTTATTCATCCTAATCAAACTAGTCCACACGATGTCTCTAAAATAGGCACATCACTGATAATATATTGATTTTATAGGAAACTGTCCACACGATGTCTCTAAAATCGAGAAAGAAAGATCGCATTATCCTCAAAGTGCACCTTGCCAAAGCTTATGACTACATCGATTGGGAGTTCCTTGAAGAAACACTGTGATTCGCCCACCTTCCTAAAGACAACATTCGTTTGATCATGGGATGTGTCACAACTAAAGAGCTTCATGTCCTTTGGAATGGATGCACCACATATGTGTTCAAATCGAGTCGAGGCTTCCGTCAGGGATGTCTCTTATATCCTTACCTCTTTACTTTATGCATTGAAAGACTTATCCATTGCATTCGTAGGGAGGTGCTGGATCATATAGTTGGGAACCAATGTTGTTGTCTAAGAGGGGGCCTACCCTGTCTCACTTGTTCTTTGCCGATAATTTGGTGTTGTTTGCTGAAGTTTCTCTCCCTCAAGCTAATGTGATTATGAATGTCTTGATAAATTTTGTTATGCTTCTAGGGAGATGATCAGTAAAGTTAAATCTAGGGTCTTTTCTCTAGAAATGTGTCTGGTAAGCATCGGAAGGATATTTGTACTTGTCTAGGGATCCAAGCTACCATGGACCTTGGTTATTACCTTGGTGTGCTTGTGTTATATGGTAGACTGACCCCTAATACATATAAGTATATTTTGGAGAAATTGGTTGTTATGGTACTATACACTTCGGTGATTCTAGCAGAGGATAAAGCTCTTCTACTAGCATCAAATCTTGACAAGGCTCACACGGTGGCATTCACTAGCTGCATGAATCTAGTTAATACTCTAGAGTATCATCGATTCAATTGGTTTTGGGATGTACCATATGGACCTGTTGTATGATAGACCTCCTTGTTCAATGCGACTACACCAATTTTTTTTTGTCTTTCATTTCTCGTCATTTTCAAACGAGCTAGATTGTAATAGATATGGTTCCAAAAAACCTATACTATAATCGAATTCAGATTCTCAATATCACCTCAACAATAGGTAAAAAGTTAACTACACAAGACATTATTTAAGAAAATGATATCACTATAACTACTACGTGATATGTTCAAAACAAATTAAATGAGTTTATGAACAAAAAAATAATCACACATTTCAATATGTAGCACAATTTTCAATAAATTCATAAATGGAGAATGAATGACCGTCTATTATCGTTTGGAAAAACAAATTATTGTATAACCAAAGAACCCTTGAACATAATTATTGAAAAATCTGTATAATTTGTTTTAAAGTATAGAGATTGTAAAACAAATATGAAAGATAACATAATTAAAATTTTGTTATTGATCAAATTCATATGAAAAGAGCGATTAAATTCCGAACAAAAAATTATTTACACATTTCAATTTTTAACATATTTTTTAAAATATTTTATAGTTGAAAAATGAATGTCTATAAGTATTATTGTATAAAAATAATTAATTATATTACCAAATCAACCCTCTAAACATCAGGGTTTTGAAGTTAATAATTATTGGCTTTTTATTTTTTTTGAACTGGTTAATAATTATTGGCTTAGTTCAATATCGTAACGGAAAAAAGAACATTGAATTTAATATGAAAATGACAAAAAGAAAACTGATTACGTATACCTCAAATTTGGAAGAGAACAAACTCTACCAGGGACGGGTTAGTATGCTAACCCCTTAAGGGGTTGGTTTTTTGACACCCCCTTTAATTGGTCAATTTTTCATTAATTATTGACCAGTATTAATGAAATTAAATATAATAAATGTTCTGTTATTAAATACAAAGTAAGCATTAAATACACTACATTAATTACCACTTTACTGGTATTTGTACCACTGCACTGATACTCAGATATGACATTGCTACCAGTGCACTGATATCGCTACCAGTGCAGTGGTATATCTACCAGTACAGTGGTACAACGTATCAGTGCAGTAGTATATCTACTAGTACAGTGGTATACCGTATCAGTGCAGTGGTATATTTTTTGGAGGTGGTCGGAGGGAGTCTGCCGATGGGATTTTCACCGGAGAAGTGTGGCGGTCGGAGGAAGTCTGGTGGTCGGAGACTGCTGAAAAAGGAAAAATCAAATATAGTGAGAGAATTCCTAATGTGTATTTAATGTGTGTATTTAATAGTGAGAGAATTCCTAATTAATATGGTACATTTAATTCCTAATGTGTATTTAATGTGTGTATTAATTATTGTGTATTAATTATAGTTGTATTTAATATACTAGGGGGTGTCATTTTTCCAACCCCTAAGGGGGGTTAGCATGCTAACCGACCACACTCTACCACTAGATCAATGCCCGATTTTTATGTCAATATTGCGCATAACACTTATACAAACTCTACCACTAAATCCCAATTTCTTCTTCACTTTACTTGCTTCTAAAGTTATTGTTGACGTTGTTTGTTATTACTGCAAGCTGTAAAAAAAGACTTTTCAACTATGAAGTTAATCAAGAATGATTTTATAAATGAATTTTTAGTTGTATACATTGAAAAAGGTTTGAGTCTCAAAATAAACAATAAATATATTTTTATAAAAATTTTAGAATATGAGCCGTCACACGTCGATGTGAGAAACTACTCATTAAATTAAATTTTATATGTTATTTTTAGGATATTTTATTCTATTTTTATCTAATGGTGCATTTCTCCATAAAACATGAGTTCACCAAGATAAAAACAAATTTGTTTAGTGTAATTGGTCGTGATTATTATTTTTGTTTGAAGAGACCATGGCCGGTTCAAATCTTAATATTGATACTTTTTTCATATGAAGTAGATAATAATTGTGATGACAACAATACTCTTTCTACTTTCACTCTCGCTTCACGAAATTTGAAATAGAAAATCTTAAAACATTGAATATATCTTATAGAAAGAGCTTCTTCAACCAAGTAGGAAATATATTTTACCTGAAATTATTATATCTCATAGAAAGTGATTAATTGTGAAATCGACACTCAAGTAACATTGATCAAACATTAAATAATAAATTATATGTGTGGCTCAGTTTAGACAAAATACATATGTGTAGCCAACACATGAATCTTTGTGACAAATACAATAATTTTTGTCACAAATTTACACATAATATAAAAATAAATTGGGCTATGACAAAAAAAACTTTCTAGAATCACTTTCAGACCACAGAATTTGAAATGGTAGAACAAATGAACCCAAAATATCCAAATTAGCTTTCCACTGGCCACTGCTGGCTGCTGCTCTTGTGGTGGGTTCCCAGCGAACCAGTGATTGTGTTGTATTTCGATCTTCTTATCCAGAAGTGGACCAATTAGCATTTTGCATGCGCATACACTTACGTCACCCTCCCGACACTCTTCTTTTTATATGCAGCCTTTATATTTTGTATTGTCGCGTTCATTTTTGTCATGGTCTTCTCCTTTTCAGTCCGTTAACTAAATCCAATTGATGGACATATGATTCACAAGCGGTTTGGTAGACGTGTAAATTGTTTATTTTAATGATTTCATGTATTGTGAATACATATATTGATAAAAATGTGTATCATAATTTCTAAATAAGAAGGGACAGAATCATGTGTCCTCAAACATAAAAAGTGTACCTCGTTTTTTCACTTTTATTGGGAGTATACAGAGTTATTTTTAATTTTAGGATAACATTGGAAAGAAAAGGAATATACTGGTGGTGGAGTTAGGTTGAAGAGAGGAGGGTTTTAGCTCTATCAATGAATGAATATAAATAAAATTACATGCATAATTTTACTAAATTTATAAAAATAGAATATTCATTAAGGTTTTAGCCCCTCTTTATTTATCATAGATCAAATTAGACATCGCTCATTCATATTCTTGGGTTCCCTTGGCTCCGATCCTCATTCAAATTTCCGACTCCACCACTGAAAATACAATAATCCCCACAACCTCTACTTAAAGTCGAGATTACGATAATTACTTGAAATGAATGGTTATAGTTATCATATCAAAACCTAATATACTTTTTTCGGGTCATTATATTTCAAAGAAATTATCCCATTCTTGTACACTATGAAGTACAAAGCCCACTTAAACTATCACAATTCCTAATACGATTCCTTTAATTGCTCTAAAAATAATCAAAATTTCCACTCTTAGCTTGTACATAAAAATAGAAACTTTATCATGTATATCTAAATTAGTATAAGCCAATGTTGTCAGAACCGAACCGGAGCATGACCCGGTAATGCGAACGGCTCTAACTTTAGTGGTCCAACCGGCATTAGACCGTTTAAAAACCGTTAGAGAACCGGTACCTAATAAACGTTATCAGTATAAATAGTGGACATTTCTTAATCAGAGCTCGTCTCTTTCCTTCGATATTGTGAAATGGAAATAAGGATTCGGTTTGAGAGCCCAACGTTTTTGGTTTATTTCAATTTTCTGCTATTTTTTTTAAAATTTAATGGCTCATGGCAAAAACCGGACGGGCGGCTCGATCGGCTCGAGCGGTTAAGCGGCTCGGCCGCTCGTCAACCGCTACATAAAACTGAAGTTGCTTTTAGACTGTTTCGAGTCGGTTTTGTGACCAGGTGGCTGTTTTACCGGTCGGGCCGAGTCTGCTAACAACCGTTATTTCAATTTTCTGCAATTTTTTTTAATTAAATTTAATGGCTCATGGCAAAAACCGGACGAGCGGCTCGAGCGATTAAGCGCCTCGGCCGCTCGTCAACCGCTACATAAAACTGAAGCGACTTTTACACTGTTCCGAGCCAGTTTTATGACCGGGTGGCTGTTTTACCGGTCGAGCCGAGCGGCTCGGTTCTGCTTTATTAACACTGAGGGGCTTGATCAAAGCTGATGTGAGTATGATAAAATTCAAAATTTCTAAGTACCAGAAAATATATAATGAGATGGAATCTTTTCATTAATTATCTAATTTATTGTCCCCCCTGAAATGAAAGTTGTTTGCATGGGGGCCTTTGATTACGACATGGTACTGCTCTCGAACTGTTGACACTAGCTCATGTGTACAGTCACAGTGTAGAATAGAAAAATACAGCAATAAAATTTAGAATCACAATAACGTGCCCATTTTAACCAATTTTTCACCATGTCTCTCCTATAAGTGGCGGGCGGTTGTCATCAATCAAGCCCTCCAAAAAGTTCTAACCCACTCAATAGCCACGATGGACCTGCAGAGTGCTTTCCAAGACATCTCCTGCTATCTCTTCCTCCCTTTATTTTCCTTCTACTTAGCCCACCTAGCGCTCAAATCCACAACCACCGCCCGCCGCCTCCGCCGGAAACTTCCTCCGAGCCCACCGTCGGCGCTCCCGATCCTCGGCCACGTCAGCCTCCTCAAACCCCCAATCCACCGCACCTTCCACGCCCTCGCACAAGACCTCGGCCCCATCTTCTCCCTCCGCCTCGGTAGCCGCCTCGCCGTCGTAGTCTCCTCCGCCTCCTTGGCGGAGGAATGCTTCACCAAAAACGACGTCGTCTTCGCCAACCGCCCCGAACTCATCATGTCCAAGCACATCGGCTACAACTACACCACCATGACCCAAGCCCCCTACGGCGACCACTGGCGCAACCTCCGCCGCATCGGCTCCGTCGAGATCTTCTCCGCCCACCGCCTCAACGCCTTGCTCCCCATCCGCCGCGAGGAGGTCCGCCGCCTCGCGTCCAGGCTCGCGGCGGCCGGCCGCCGAGTGGTGGAGCTGAAGTCGGCGTTTCACGAGCTGACGTTCGACACCATGATGAGGATGGTGGCGGGGAAGAGGTTCTACGGCGACGGCGACGAGCAGGCCAGGGATTTCAGGGAGGTGATCAAGGAGGTGGTGTCGCGTAGCGGCGCGACGAACCCGGGTGATTTCGCGCCGGTGCTGAGGTGGCTTGACGGCGGGAAGTTCGAGAAGACGGTGGCGGGGCTGGCTCGGAGGACGGATTCGTTCTTGCAAAAGTTGATCGAGGAGCATAGGAGCAACAAAGAAGGGTTGGATATTGCGAATACCATGCTTGACCATTTGCTCGCGCAACAGGAGTCTGAGCCGGAGTATTACAGTGACAAAATTATCAAAGGCCTTATTCTGGTAAATTCACTTTCTTTAAGTTAATCATAATTTTATAGATGTTCTGTGGTTCACCACTGGACCAATTGAGCTCTGAATGTGGGAGGTGATTCTCAGTGGCGCCACTTGAGCGTTCCCGACGGCACCCTTGGTATTGGAGGAGCCTCCCGATATTGGTAGCAGAAAGTCCCCTGAGTTATCAAATACAAAAAAATTTATAGATGTTCTGCTACTGCTATAGATCTCAATTATTGGCCTCAATCTTTAGGTGCCGGATTAGGTGGAAAAGATTGGTTGCTATTTACAATACATATTTAATGTGCATAATTAACACTCATATATCAACGTGATTAGGCAGTGTCCTACAGTAAACATGTGATGCTTTTCTCTCTCCATATTTTGAAGTCTAATCATTTGAAAACATGTGTACTTTTGGGTGTTTCTCAGGTGATGTTGTTAGCAGGATCGGATACTTCAGCAGTGACTTTAGAATGGGCGATGGCAAATCTTCTCAATCACCCCGACATATTGGTCAAGGCGAGAGAAGAGCTCGACAAGCAAATTGGCGAAGAACGCTTGGTGGACGAGGCCGATATTTCCAGCCTCCCTTATCTTCGGAACATAATTTCCGAGACCCTTCGATTGTACCCAGCTGCTCCGCTCCTTGTCCCTCATGTGTCCTCCGAGGATTGTGTGGTTGGAGGGTACCATTTGCCGCGTGACACAATGTTGTTGGTCAATGCATGGGCTATCCACAGGGACCCTAATCTTTGGGACGATCCCACTAGTTTTAGACCCGAAAGGTACGAAAATGGAGGGAAGGAAAGCTATAAGCTGATACCTTTTGGGTTGGGTAGAAGGTCCTGCCCTGGCGCAGGCCTTGCCCAACGAGTTGTGGGATTTACTCTTGGGACATTGATCCAGTGCTTTGAATGGGAAAGATCCGGCGTGGAAGAACTTGACATGAATGAAGGAAAAGGAATCACGATGCCTAAAGAGAAGCCATTGCAGGCCATCTGCATAAATCGTCCAATTGTGAACAAGTTTATTTGTTGAAGATATTAAGACAACAAAAATCAAGACTTAAACTAGGTTTAATTGACATGCTTTAATTTTTTTTAGTTCATGTATGGGCATTGTGAAGGAGCAACACTGCTGACAACTGGATATAATAGACAAAATGATAGGAAGAGTTCTTAGCTTGTTGTGTATTGGGAAGGTTTCTCCTTGTAATCTTAGTTCCCTTTTCAGGGAAGGAAATCAGTTGGTTGAAGGCTTGCACAGCTCATGCCAAGGTATTTTAAACCAATTTCATAAAGGTACTAGTTGTTGATAATTGACATCCACATTGCATAAATTCATAATACTCTCTCTTGGATGTTTATAGATCTAAAACATGCATCACTAATCATGCTAGAAAATTCCAAATAGGAGAAAACCTAAGAAGGAAAAGTATACATGATTCTTGTGTTACGCTTTTGTAAATTGGCTCATTAAAAATCTTAAAGGAAAATAGTTGGGAAATTTGTTAAAGGAAAAGGAATGCAGTTCATGGAGCACTTTTGACATTAGTGCACAGACTATCCAGAGGGACCCTAATCTTTAGACGATCCCACGGGTTTTAGGCCCGAAAGATACAAAAATGAAGAGAAGTTCCGAGGTCTTCGTTTCAATAGATGAATACCAAAGAACTCATCCCCATGACTGGCTAAGTTATTTAGTTGCGAAGGTATATATGTGATCCCTAGGAGTTCTAACCATGTAAAAATTGATATTTGGTTTAATACGATTGATTTTATTTATATGTGTTGATGGGTGATTTTCTCTATTTTGTTATTTGTCGATTTTAATGAGAGCTTAGTCGACCTTGAACTCCTTCGAGGTGCAATGATTGAAATCCAAGTCTCTTAGGATTAGACTAGAAATGGCGGCCCTATTCGATCGAACAATGTGACGTCTAAAGGGAGAAATGCGAAGGGTCATTGTTGCCCATTAGTAAAGGTAAATGCTTCCACATAAGGTGGGATCTAACAAAATAAGAAATGGACAGCTTGTATGCCACTAATTAGGGATGCATGGTTAGAAGACCTAAGGGGAGCGCGCCTATGCAATCGTTTCCTTCTTCGATCTTCATTCGTCTATTAAAGTAAATTTACTTTTCTACACTACATTCTTGTTTAAATCTTACGTTCTGCAAAAACTGGAGGCACCTCAACCTCTTAAATCGTCTCTTCTTCTATAGAACCGTACATCAATTCCAAAGTAAGGGCTATGTTAGAGACCCTAGAGAAATATGATCCTGGCCTTAGGACCAGTAAATTTGACTTTGTTCTTCAATATATCACATACCATATGCCTCTAAACTAATTTTGTCAACTAATTTCTTCTTCACACTGATTTCAACATAGATTCTAGCAAGTCCAAGCCTAGTCCCGTGACTCGTAGGTTTATCCATACACATAGGCTTACCCAAAATGCCCACAATCCTTCTCAATCCTAATCTATTCGGCAATTACGTTGGGAGCGCTAAGACCGTGATTCAAATCAGAATAGCAAAGTTGTTAGATTTTCAGTACTTGCATTCTTGGTTCCCATTTTTGATGGCATAATATGTTATATTTAAAGTGTCAACCCCCTCCCTCATCTAATACCCATCTACAAACATCAGTAGAAGGGAAATGAAAGAGAACTAACTGGTCCTCCAATAGGGAAACCGTTATCTCTCTATCCCCATAATAAGTTTGCCCAGTGGCAGAGTGAAGATACTAATGGTAGTAACAAGAACCGACCCACTAGACTGTGAACCCACCACTTCACCTCTTCCTCAACAACTTATCTAGGTACCCACAAAGAGCCATTGATGAATTCCGGTTCATAAAAATCCAACCGACAATCCTTAGTAACATTCGTTTTAAGTCGTAATTTCATTTTTTCACAAATTAATCAGATTAATTGCGCTCTTTGAAATGACATACATTTTTATATAATTTGGAAAAAATTAATACATTTATTACCAATCAGTATGGTAATGTTTGGTAGTCCATAATATTATACCACGTGGTATGGAAGTGTATTATGGTGGTTGATTCGGGTCTAATTGCACATGTTTTTACCTCGTATTCTTGTGGTGTTTGGGGCGTTTACATCGCTTAAGGTTTGATTTTACGCTAGGTTGTGCATGTTTCCAGCATGTTTCAGGTTCTAGCAGGTGAGATTGGCCTTGAAAGCAAAAATTGAACCAAAGAGGGCGAAAGCAGACCGAAAAGGGCAAAAAGGCAAAGATCACGGTTAAAGCAACTTTATCAGGGTTAGCCGACCGTAAAGAAGAGGCTCAGACCATTAAGCGCGTCGAATTCCAGAAAGTTTATTACACCTCACGGGCCTAAACATTGTCAAGATCACCAGACCGTGATAATGTCGTTCAGTCCTTGAAGGCCATAAATGAAACTGTGCATTTTTGCCCGAGATCACAAGCAAGGCTTTGAGATCACGCCCGTGATAATCGACCGTGATGAGCGCACGACTGGAGTATAAAAGGAGAAGGGAGCTAAAACTTGAGAAGGGGGATGCTAGTGAGAGATTGTCATTTTCTTCTTCTGATTTTAGAGAGAAACTGATGAAAAAAGGGATAAGAAAAGGTTTAGGGTTTTCTCCTAGTTAGAGGATTGAAGATTTTCATCTTCCAAGGGTAATTTCAACAAAAAAGAAGGAAGTCAAACACCACACCATGATTCTTTCTATCCTCTTTGTTGTAATCCCTAGTTTAGCTATGGAGTGGTTCTCTTTTTCACTTGGGTATTGTGAACCCATACCTAGAATTGTGATAGGTTGTTGAATCTGAACTCTACGTGTGTTGATAGTGTGTTTTAAGATAATGCTTGAGGTATTTTCAGGAATTGTGACTGTTGGGTTCCATATCTCATTTGGGTCAAATTGACCTAGAAGGAAGAAAACCCCTCCTTGCCCACTTCTTGACAAATTAGGTAATCACTTCTAGGGCAATTAGCAACACATCTGAAGCATCGATTTGACCTAAGGATTTTATTGTGTTTTATCTATTTGTCACCGTTCTGGATTAATCTCCAAGGGATTGGATAGCAATCCTTAGTCGATTGATTAAGAGAACTGGGTTTCTTATCTTAATTGCTTTTCCGTAATCTATTGCCTAAGAGAGTAGGGATTTCCACTAGCTGTGCCATCCTTGTGGTATAAGAACACACTATTTCGCACAAGGGTTCCGATTATTTCAAATTGATACAATTCCAGGGGGAGCAATACCCAAGTGAATTTTTCTAATTTAGAATCCAAAACAATTCAATTCTTGCTTGCTTTAAATTGAAGTTCTTAGTTTTCACCAAAAATCACTAGCTAGATAACGTTATAAATGGTTGAAGTATGAGTACATGGATCGGCCTGGGTTGACATTCTAAAACGCTTTCCCTATACTACACCCTACTATAGTTTATACTTGAGCTCTAGTCAAGATTTTATTTGTGTAGTTAGGAACGAGTCATGTTTTTGGCGCCGTTGCAGGGGGAAAGTTTACTGTTCATTATTTAAAAAATTCGTTTATTATTAATCTAGCTTTTTAATTTTTGCATTGTTGATTGTGAATCTTGCTTGTGTTGACTCGAGTTGTGTTTTTTTAATTGTGTGCAGGAGGAGTATGACCCAGAGCAATCTGACACCTTCAACTGGACTCTCCGACTCTTGGATCAGGAGAGATAGAGAGAGTTTAGGGAAGCAACAAAAAGAATAGCAGATCAGGGGCAACAAGCAGAACCCGAAAGATAAGTTAAAGATGAGGAGGAAATTGAATCGGAAGAAGAGGTTGAAGTTGAAAACCTTGAAATGGCGGAAGAGAACGCCGGAGCGGGAAATAAAGAACCGAGGACCATTGGCTATTACATGGCCCCACAGACGAAGGATATTTAATCAAGCATCTTGCATCCAACCATGGCCGCTAACAAATTTGAGATAAAGCTCGGCCTCGTCACAATGATCCAGAACAATATACAGTTTCATGGGCTTAAGGATGATTCTTCAAGGGAGCATGTTCAGAAATTCCTTGAGTTAGCGGGAAGTTTGAAGATCAATGGAGTACCCAAAGAAGCCCTTTGATTGAGGATTTTCCCCTACTCTCTTGCGGGGAAAGCGCAACAATGGTTGAACAACAGGCCATCCATCTCGATAACCTCATGGAGTGACTTTCTCAATAAGTTCATGAACCGCTATTGTTCGCCTTTCAAGACGGCGGAATGGTGTAACAAGATAACTCACTTCACCTAAGAGGAGGACGAGACTTTGAGGGTTGCATGCGAGAGATACTCTGACTTTTTCCTCCAATATGAACACTACGGGTTTGGAGAGCAGTTCCGGATTAAAACTTTCTATGACGGTCTCCATCTAGAAGATCAAATTCTCATTGACTCTTTGTGTCAAGAGAACATGCTCAACAAGACTCCACTCGAGATGACCTCCTTGTTCGAAGATATGGCCGCAAAGGGCTATGATTGGGGCTTGACAAGACGTGGGAGAAGGGCAAGCAAAAAAGAAGTACACTCCACGGAGTCATCGGGTCCTCTGCTCACTGCGAAGATTGATGAGTTGATATCGACGCTCCTACAAGATAGGAAGCAAGGCAAGAAGTCGGTGATGGTGTGTGATTGGTGTTCAAGTTCCAACCATGAGATTGCAAAGTGTCAATTTATGAAGGAAGCAAGCACTCCGGAAGAGCAAGTGAGCTTTGTTGCTAATGCTAGGGGCAACAACAACAACAACAACAACAACAACCACCCCTAGAGGCATTGTGAATGATGTTCTAGTACGAGTGGGCACGTTTTATGATTCGACGGATTCCATTATCCTTGACATTAACGAAGATGCAGATATGCCCCCCATCCTAGGACGCCCCTTCCTTGCCACCACCAAGGCTTTAATCATTGTTAATGAGGGAACATTAATCTTGAGAGATGGTGAGGAGCAAATTACTTTTTCATTTGATCCTAAGGTTAAGCATGATTATGATGTGTTTAAGAGCGGAGGTGAGTCGATCAAGGCAAACCCCGCTATTGACCTTGCTCCTCGTGATGATGTCAAGGTTTAGGGTTTTCTCCTAGTTCTCTTTTTCACTTGGGTATTGTGAACCCTAGCCTATAAATGTGATAGGTTGTTGAATTTGAACTCTATGTGTGTTGATTGTGTGTTTTAATATAATGCTTGAGGTATTTTCATGATTTGTGACTGTTGGGTTCCATATCCCATTTGGGTCAAATTGACCTAGAAGGAGGAAATCCCCTCCTTGCCCATTTCTTGGAAAATTGGGTAACCACTTCTTCGGCAATTAGGGACGTACACCTCAAGCATCGATTTGGCATCACGATTTGATAGTGTTTTATCACTTGTCGTTGTTCCGGATTAACCTTCGAGGAATTGGTTAACAATCCTTAGCTGATTGATTGAGAGAGCTAGGTTTCCTAGCTTAATTGCTTTTCCCTAATCGATTGCCTAAGAGAGTGCGAATTTTCCACAAGTTGTGCCATCCTCGCAGTATAAGAACACACTATTTCGCACTAGAGTTTCGATTATTGCAACTTGATACAAGGCTAGGGGGAGCAATACCCGGGTGAATTTTCTTATTTAGAATCCACAACAATTCAACTTCTTGCTTGCTTTAAATTGTAGTTTTTAGTTTTCACTCAAACCCGTTGGCTAGATAACATTTTAAACAAGGTAAGTAGGAGTACATGGACCGACATGGTTTGACATTTTAAAACGGTTTTCCTATACTGCACCCTACTAGAGTTTATACTTGGACTCTAGTCCAGATTTTATTTGTGTAGTTAGGAACAAGTCGCTGGTATGAACATAGCAAAGTTTAGAATGGTTGCGTACATGATGGTAAGAATATACTGACTGTCATTTACTACCTTTCTTACCACCAGTTACCACCCTAGACCAGAATGGTATATTTAGTCTTGGAATTTTCTTTCCCCAAAAACTTGTAGATACAATAGATCACAAATAGAACTTGTTTCATCTGAGAAATATTTTTCGAAACTTGATTTAAAATCAAAGGTGGTAAAGGGTGGTAACGAGTGGTATGGATGGTATGAAATTATTTCCTCAAAAAATATTGAAATATATATCATTTTGTAGATTACAACAAACTCATTTTATATGTGCGAACAATTTTGAAATCCAAAGTAAAAGAAAGAAGATAAAAGCGGTTAAATCTCATCATTTAGACAATTAGACTTATCTCGCTCTCCCGAGAGTCCGACACTCATGCGCATGCGTTCTCCTGTTACATGCCTTTTCTTTTTGATAAGTTATATTATATGCCTTTGTATTGTTACTTGCGTTCTTCTTTTAATTTTAATTAACCTACAATTATTCGAAATTGCCACTCTCATTTTATACATAAAATTGGGAAAAAGTATCATGCATAACTAAATCGATATCAGCATATCAAGGGGTTTGATTAGGGAATGCTAGAATGTCAACACTTTTTTTTTTAATATGGTGTTAACAATTGTCGTAAGTCAATAAGAATATTTCGTTTTGATGAATTTTTAATTTAAATGAACGGATCAGAAGTAATGGAGAAGAAGATGGTGTAGAGGCACGTTTGGTATTCTATGAAAAATAGGGGGAGAGAAACCAGCGTGTCTAGGGCTTCAAATGGGGGGAGGGGCACCACAAACACTAAAAACCACACCAAAAAATCTAGACCATACACTTTAGGAAGGAGACCACAATCTCAACAAACCACACCACAAGTTTATAAAAGCATACCACAACTTCTATGATCCATACCACAAGTGTCATGAAACACACCACAAGTATGCAAACCATAGGTTCCATAAAATTACACCACAAATTTATTAAAGCAGAGTTGTAGACCACAATGGTCATAAAACATACCACAAGTTTATTTTCTATCAAGTTTCTTAAAGTAGACCACAAGCTCCATGAAGTAGACCACAAGTTACTTAAAACATGAAATTTCTTCACAGTGAGCCTATTTGTAAAATTTTAAAAATTAGTTTTCAAAATGTGAGTGAGCAAAATTTTAGGTACTAAAAATAGAATTTTCAATCAATATTGTAGGATTTATATGTAAAATAATTAATTTTTGAGCACTAAATATTAAATATCTATTAACTTTTAGGTTCTAAATTGTAATTAGTGTGTGAACCTCCTAAGCAGGAATAGAAGTATATCACAAGTTTCTAACACCCTATCATAATTAGGAATAGAAGGAGAAGGGGAAGTATACCACAAGTTTTTAAGTCTAAATTTTGACACAACAATTATTTAAAAAATGTACGACAGAATTAAGTCTTTTCATTATAAAATCTCTTTATCTCCAAAAATGAATATGTCATATTCACTGGACCTTGATTACGAAATGATATCGAGATCAAACTATTGAGACTTAAAAATTGATAAAATCGTACCAACTTATTTATTAATACCATACCTAATCAGTTTAATCAATACTCTATTTAGCACAAATATTGAAGGTGACAAACTGACAATGGCACAACGTAACTTAGGATAACGAATATCACCATATATCTCTTCTATAAGTAGCGGTTGTGAAGCAACTCATCCCTATTAGTTGCAAACCCACACATAGGCAAACGAACAATAGCGAGCCATGATAGACAACATCTGCTGCTGCTATCTCCTCTTTCCTCTCTTCTTCCTCTACTTAGCCCATGTAGCACTCAAATCCACAACCTCCTCCCGCCGCCTCCGCCGGCAACTTCCTCCAAGCCCACCGTCGGCGCTCCCAATCCTCGGCCACATCAGCCTGTTGAAACACCCAATTCACCGCACCTTCCATGCCCTCGCCCAAGACCACGGCCCCATCTTCTCCCTCCGCCTTGGAAACCGCCTCGCCGTCGTAGTCTCCTCCGCCACCTTGGCGGAGGAATGCTTCACCGAAAACGACGTCGTCTTCGCCAACCGCCCCCACCTCATCATGGGAAAGCACATCGGTTACAACTACACCACCCTGACCCAAGCCCCCTACGGCGACCACTGGCGCAACCTCCGCCGCATCGGCGCCGTCGAGATCTTCTCCGCCCACCGCCTCAACGCCTTCCTCTCCATCCGCCGCGAGGAGGTCCGACGCCTCGCGTCCAGGCTCGCGCGCAGCCACCGCCGCGTGGTGGAGCTGAAGTCGGCGTTTCACGAGCTGACGTTCGACACGATGATGAGGATGGTGGCCGGGAAGAGGTTCTACGGCGACGGCGATGACCAGGCCAGGGAATTCAGGGAGGTGATCAAGGAGGTGGCGGCACGTGGCGGTGCGACGAACCCGGGTGATTTCGTGCCGGTGATGAGGTGGATTGACGGCGGGAAGTTCGAGAAGACGGTGGCGGAGCTGGCTGGACGGATGGACTCGTTCTTGCAAAAGTTGATTGAGGAGCATAGGTGTAAGAAGGAAGAGTTGGAGAGTACGAACACCATGATTGACCACCTGCTTGCGTTGCAGGAGTCTGAGCCGGAGTACTACAGTGACCAGATTATCAAAGGCCTTGTTCTGGTAAACTCACTAATCATCATTTTATTAATCTATAAATAAATAAATGCGGATAGATCTGAATTATTATTAGCCCCAATCTTTAGGTGCCGGATTAGGTGGAAAAGATTGGTTTGTAACAATATAAAATGTTAGGTCGGATATTTACTTTAATTATGGTATACATTGGTTGGGTCCAATATATTAATTGTACATTCATCAATATTTAATTAACGTGCATAGTTTAACATTTTAATATACCGACCGTGATTATAGGCAGTGATGTGATGATTCTCCATATCTCGAGGTCTAATGATTTGAAAACATGTGTCATTTTGGGTGTTATCAGGTCATGTTGTTGGCAGGAACTGATACTTCTGCGGTGACTTTAGAATGGGCGATGTCAAACCTTCTGAATCACCCCAGAATGTTAGTCAAGGCAAGAGAAGAACTCGACAAGCAAATTGGTGAAGAATGCTTGGTAGATGAGCCTGATATTTCCAACCTCGCTTATCTTCAGAACATAATTTTTGAGACCCTTCGGTTGTATCCGGCTGCTCCGCTCCTAGTCCCTCATGCATCCTCCGAGGATTGTGTGGTTGGAGGGTACCATTTGCCGCGCGGCACAATGTTGTTGGTCAATGCATGGGCTATCCATAGAGACCCTAATCTTTGCGACGATCCCTTGAGTTTTAGACCAGAAAGGTACGAAAATGGAGGGAAGGAAAGCTATTAGCTTTTGCCTTTTGGGTTGGGAAGAAGGTCTTGTCCCGGTGCAGGCCTTGCCCAACGAGTTGTGGGCTTCACTCTTGGAACATTGATTCAATGCTTTGAATGGGAAAGATTCAGTGAGGAAGAGGTTGACATGAATGAAGGGAAAGGAATCACAATGCCTAAAGAGAAGCCACTCGAAGCCATCTGCATAAGTCGTCCAATCGTGAACAAGTTTTTTTCTTTAAGATAAATTAAGACATCCACGATCAAGACTTAAACTAGATTGGGACCACTTTCAAATTTTATGAATACATGGATGAGCAAAGGAAGCGAAGGGCTATAGGGAGGTTCATATTGTTCTAAATAAATAGTATTGTATTGCATTCGTCAAATCATAAATAGTTCAACGAGGATATTATGGATCTTTTTTTTTTACTTTAATTCATAGTTGTGGATCATATACAAAAATTAGGGAAATGAACAAAATTAGATAGACCATACAATTTTATGAGTGACATTGGAGAAGTTTATTTTATTGTGGTTACACTTGAAAAAAACTCATAATCTTTATAAAGGCACTGGTATCTAGGGGATAAATTTTTGGATACTAATCCAAGTTTTGGTGAGTAATCCCATATCTGCCTCTCTTTAAAGTCTCTCTCTGGACTTCATTATCAATAGGGCAGTAGGGCGGACCAAGGACTAGTTTTGGTGAGTAATCCCATATCTGCCCCTTACGTCTTGGGCGACACATGTGCTACAATTATTTTTTAATAGTCACAAAGCTCACTAACAACGGGGCCAGGATCTCATTTATGTGGGTGCTTATCATCAGTGGCGGACCTACTTGTTGGCAAGGGGTGTCGTCACCCAAAATTTTTGTGAAGAATCTATATTTTTCGGTACAAAAAATTTCAATACGTGATTTCCGACACCGCTTTAATAATTATAGCCCATACTCCTTCATTAGGAGACACCCCCTCTTCAATAATTCTGAGTCCCCCACTGCTTATCATGCTTTGACCTTGCATTAAGTAACTCCAAAACAAGTGCATACTAATACTAATGAAAATGTGCATGTTAAAGAATATCATATGATTTAAGTTCTTCAGTGAAGTTCGTAATCCATCTTCTCTTCTTCTTTCTACTCTCGGGCTTCCATATAATAAAAGGAGGTGGGTTCCTCGACATGAACTGAAATGGGTTAGGCAAACCTTTATCCCGAGTGCCACATTTTCCCGTTCGAGAATCTCGATCTGCTCAATTAAGCTTATTACCGCTTATCATACTGTGTCATGCGAGAGACAAAAAATATATTCAGTTGATTCATTTCCAATGAAAACTAGACACGCACTCCATATCCCCATGAGCTTGAGGATCCCGCTTGATGCGTGAATCCAGTCTCTTTCCCTTAAGACATGACTCAAGGATAGAGCAAATACCATATCTTGCTACAACCTTTGAGTCATTCTTTACTTTAGCTCTAGAACGAGGATAGGGGTAAACCTTCGGTTGACCATATTGTTCCAGGACATTGTGGTTTTAGCAAACATGTTTTCGATTAGACTATATAATTCATTTATTATTATCTTTTAAACATAAATTATAATCTAAACAAACCCAAATTACACCATATTATTTTCAATTTTTTCTTCCAAAATCTAAAAACTAAATTTCAATCCGCAATTAGAACCCTTATGATATTTGACGAATGAAAGCAGAAAGGAGAATCGACTCCTCTTCTCTCCTCTTCTTCTATCATTCATATTGAAAGAGATTTCACTTTGGTTTATATCAAGAACAAACTTCGGAATCGAATATGTGATCAGTTCATATATATGAATGTCTATTAGGATATATTGAAAGATACTTTTCTGCTGTGAATATTAAATCTAGAACTTTTTTCAGAATAAGAAATCACGTCTTCATGTTCTATTATAACTGTACTAGTAGAATATATTTTTATTTTAACATTTTTATAATTATTTTAAATTATATACCACTAGTCTTGAACCTTAAGGTCTCATGTTCGAATCCCTTAAGTAGTACCTAAAAATAAAAAATAAACATATATCATCCTTATGAAATTCATGGGTCCACTACTGGCAACTGCCACTATATCTTCTCGACAGCTCTCCAATTTTTTTATGGTTAAATTAAAAATGCATTAAGAACCGGCAACCATGAGCAAAACACTAAGGCGCCCTCAGCACAAACAAAGTCTGTACAATGAAAATCTTCATGTACAAGGAAGAAACATAAAGAAAGAACACTACCCCAACCCCCTAGATTCCAAACAACCTAACAAAGTCTGATCCAGTTGGCACCGGAAATAAAGGATCCACTTTGCCTCTAAGGCCAAGATGAGAGGGACTTCTCGCACTCTTCAAGCCATACATCCTAGAGTAGCGTTCGCCCCAAACTAGGCTTATCACCACACACCAAGCCATCCGATGTAAAACAGCATCAGCCGCTGCACCACTCCATCAAGTCACACACCACTGTAAAATAGAATGCCAGTCACCCAGCTCTAGGGGAACTGCAGACTGCAAAATCAAAGAAAGAATACTTCTGATATATGACAATTAACAAATAGATGATAGCGTGTCTCATAACCTCCAGGACAGAGCACACAGAGTACCAAGACCGGCTTTCCCCCACGCAATCAACTTGTCATGCAGTTTTAACTTGTCATGGATAACAAGGCATAGAATAAAACCATGATGAGGGATAATATGCTTATCCCATACAAGTTTGAACCACGTCACAGACCTGCCATGCTGTCTCAGCGAGTTCCAAATATTCTTAACAGAGTAAGACTTCATCACATCACCATCCCACGTCAAAACAGTCCCCATATGTGATATGAAAGGATGTGCTACCTCACAACATTTGAGAATTCGTTTCCAAATACATGAACCAGCATCAGAGACTTTAATGCCCAAAATGGAAGACTGCTTAACCAGATAACGACGGATCCACACAACCCAGATAGAACCCTCCTCAGCAAGAATGGCCCAGGGATGTCGAAGAGCACATGCTTTGTTCCAAAGAGAAAAATTACGAATCCCAAGCCCACCCTCTATTTTTAGACGAGCAAGAAACTGCCAAGATGTAACAGCCCTCTTCCTTACTGATGAATCATCGATGTCCCACAAGAACTTATTACAAATTGGCTCAACCTCCTTAATGGCAAACTGAGGCAGAAGAAAAATACTCATCCAGAATTGCAAAGTACTAGTTAGAAATGAAGAAATCAGATGAAAGCGACCAGAGAAACTTAGAGACTTGGCCCTCCAACTACGTATCTTGGCAGTAATTTTCTCTACAAGTACCCGACACTCAGCACGAGTAAGCTTCCCTGTAATTAGAGGAACACCAAGGTAACGTACAGGCAGATGCCCCGAGGGAAACCTTGAAACAGAGGATAAAAAATGATGCTCCTCTTCAGATATCCCTCCACGGAACATTTGGCATTTATCTGGGTTGCACTTCAATCCAGAAACAACATAAAAAGCATCAAGGACCCGACAAACACCAGCCACACCTCGCACATAACCATTTGTAAGGACAAGCAAATCGTCAGCAAAACACAAATGTGTTATTGCTAACGGTTTACATCGAGGATGAAAGGGAATGTGGTTCTGTTTCACTGCCAGTTTAAGCATAGCATTAAGAACTTCCATTGCAACCGTAAACAAATAAGGAGACAAATTGTAAATTATCAATGCTCTATGGCAAAACCATGCTTTCATGAAAAGCCTTCATTAGAATGTGGTTTTTATTTTTTCTTAGCAAAAGAGGAAAGAATATTAGAGAGCGGTTCAGATCAAAGAGATTGCTACTTTTTTCTTCTTTTTTTCTACTTGAATTACTATTGGAATCGAAAAGTTTTTTACTCTAAAAAAAGAAGTGTCCTGCCGAAACACTCTTTAACTAGTTCTGGATCCGCCCCTGGTCATGTCCCTATTGAGAATGAAGCCTAGACAGACTTTAGACAGATGCTAGATCTATGAGATATACTCAATCTCTTGGATTACTCTCCAAAAATTCATCCTCCTAGATACATATGCCTTTATAAAGGAATTCAACGACTTGTGAATAACCTAGGAGTATTATATGAGTTATATTTTAGGTGTAAACACAATAAAATAAACTTCTCCAATGTCACTCATATGAACCACCATCTATGATTTAGTTTTGTTGATTTCAATAATTTTCATAGGAACCACCATCTATGATCTAATGTAAAAAAATGATCCATAATATACTCCTTGAACTCGTATGATTTTATGAGTAAAATGATATACTACTTATTTAGAACAATATTAACCTACCAACACACCCCTCGCTTCATTTGCTCATCCTTGTTTAAGTCTTGATCTCGGATGTCTTTATTTATCTTCAAGAAACAAATTTCTTCACAATTGGACGACTTATGCAGATGGCCTCCAGTGGTTTCTCTTTAGGCATTGTCATCCCTTTCCCTTCATTCATGTCAACCTCTTCCTCGCTGGACCTTTCCCATTCAAAGCATTGGATCAATGTCCCAAGAGTGAATCCCACAACTCGCTGGGCAAGGCCTGCACCAGGACAAGACCTTCTACCCAATCCAAAAGCTATCAGCTTATGGCTTTCCTTCCCTCCATTTTCGTACCTTTCGGGGCTAAAACTCGTGGGATCGTCCCAAAGATCAGGGTCCCTATGGATAGCCCATGCATTGACCAATAACAACGTGCCACGCGGCAAATGGTACCCTCCAACCACACAATCCTCGGATGAGGCATGAGGGACCAGGAGCGGAGCAGCCGGGTACAGTCGAAGTGTCTCCAAAATTATGTTCTGGAGATAAGGGAGGCTAGAAATATCGAGCTCATCTACCAAGCGTTCTTCGCCAATTTGCTTGTCCAGCTCTTCTCTTGCCTTGACTAATATGTCAGGGTGATTCAGAAGGTTTGACATCGCCCATTCTAATGTCACTGCAGAAGTATCCGTCCCGGCCAACAACATGACCTGATAACACTCAAAATTACACATGTGTTTCAAATCATTAGAACTCATAATATGTAAAAAGCATTACATGTTAGCTTACCAGAACAAGCCCTTTGATAATCTGGTCAGTGTAGTACTCAGGCTCAGACTCCTGCAACGCGAGCAAGTGGTGAAGCATTGTATTCGCACTATCCAACCTTTCCTTCTTGCTCCTATGCTCCTCAATCAACTTTTGCAAGAACGAATCCGTTCTTCGAGCCAGCTCGGCCACCGTCTTCTCGAACTTCCCGCCGTCAAGCCACCTCAGCACCGGCACGAAATCCGCCGGGTTCGTCGCGCCGCTGAGTGACACCACCTCCTTCAGCACCTCCCTGAACTCCCTGCTGCCCCGGTCATCGCCGTCGCCGTAGAATCTCTTCCCGGCCACCATCCTCATCATGGTGTCGAACGTCAACTCACGAAACAACGACTTCAGCTCCACCACGCGGCGGAGGGGGCTGCCGGCCGCCGCGAGCTTGGACACGAGGCGGCGGACCTCCTCGCGGCGGATGGGGAGCAAGGCGTTGAGGCGGTGGGCGGAGAAGATCTCGACGGCGCCGATGCGGCGGAGGTTGCGCCAGTGGTCGCCGTAGGGGGCTTGGGTCACGGTGGTGTAGTTGTAGCCGATGTGCTTGGACAAGATGAGTTCGGGGCGGTTGGCGAAGACGACGTCGTTTTTGGTGAAGCATTCCTCCGCCAAGGAGGCGGAGGAGACTACGACGGCGAGGCGGCTCCCGAGGCGGAGGGAAAAGATGGGGCCGAGGTCTTGGGCGAGGGCGTGGAAGGTGCGGTGAATTGGGGGTTTCAGGAGGCTGACGTGGCCGAGGATCGGGATCGCCGACGGTGGGCTCGGAGGAAGTTTCCGGCGGAGGCGGCGGGCGGTGTTTGTGGATTTGAGCGCTAGGTGGGCTAAGTAGAGGAAAAATAAAGGGAGGAGGAGATAGGAGTAGATGTTGTGCAGTTCCATTGTGCCTATGTGTGGATTGGAATTTGACAACCGTTACTTATAGAAAACTGACATGTGCTCTGTGTTATTCTAAGTTGTGTCACATATCGCCATCAAGATTGGCGCATTGATTTTGTTACTGTATTTCTATTACACTGTACGCATTAGCTACTCTCAACAGTTCGAGAGCAGTACCATGCAAACAACTTTTCCATTTCTATGTATAATTTTCTTTGAAATATAACGACTTACAAACGTATAATACATATTTTGATATGACAACTAGAACCATTCATTTCGAGCAACTGAGTGGCGGTTGAATGATGCATTGGATTCTAAAAGTTGTTGTTGATCTTTTGATGATTAAAATAAGAGCACTTCTACTATGCTATATAGTATTGGTGTTTTAATGTACAACTTAAAGTTGTACCATAACATTAAATGTATAAGTTTAGGTTGTACCATAAAGCAATTTGTATCACTATGTTATGGTACAACTTTACAACTTGAAATTGTACCATCACATAAAGGTACAAGTTCAAGTTGTACCATAAAAGAATTTGTACAAAAAGTATAGGTACAATCTAAAGTTGTACCATAACGTAAATGTACAATTTTAAGTTGTACCATAAAGGCAAAATCCAATAGCACCAATACTATATAGCATTGTAAAATTTCTCTTAAAATAATTACAAACTTGCTCAAGAGTTTATCCTCAAGACTTTGAAGGCTATTGGTCATTGGATGCATTCTTTGAACAATGAGCTACGACAATATGTCGCTCATGTGGTCCATAGTCAGAAATATGAAGTTTCTTTCCTTGCAAAATTACTAGAGAAGTTGGTGGAAACAAGGATGGACACACAATACATATTGACTTGTCGGTTGATTCATCTAGTGTTGAATTTCTCGCTAATTGCACAACAAATGAGTGCAACAAAAATTGAAAACATATTTGCGCAACAAAATGAGCGATGACTTACTCATTGATTGCTTAATATGTTCTTTGAGAGAGAATATGTTTGGTATGGGGGAAATCTATTATTGATGAATTTGCTAAACTAAAAATACCGTCATATACAATTGACATGGTATGAAAAAGTTTTCATACATTTTTTGTTTAACATATCTAATTTTCTATTAAAATGTGACATGGTGCTCTACTATGTCCTAAATCTGGCGCTCGGCTACACCACTGACTTTAAGTAAAGATTGTGGTGATTGTTGTATTTCCAATTCGTTCGAGAATCTAATTAAGGGGGATAAGCAGGGGAGTAGCTAGAGTAATGAAAGGGGGCCGGTGTCATGGCACACCCTTGGTTTGGAGTAATACACACAATATAGTAGTATAGATATACCAATAATGAAATGTGAACCTTAAATTTCAATGTTAATTGTCAAATATTTACCATCACAACCACAATCAATTATATAAATTAATTCTACCAACTAATTTCTACAGTAGTAATACAGTATAGTTTATCAAAATGGGGAAGAGGGTACATATTATTAGAACAAATCATTAAACTTTCTATCATAACAGTGAAAAAATTGGTTCCCATCAATGTATTTGTTTGTGAAACTATGTTTAGTTTGGTTCTTCGTTTAGTCAATACACATGTTACAAGCTTTTATGAAATGCAACGATTGACCAACCTTCTAATCAAGCGAAATGAAATTGTGAATGGATAACATTAAGTGCGAAATCTTGATAGTTTGAAAAATTATGCAGTTTTAAAATAATTTCATGTACCAAATGCGAGATGCATCAAAGCTCATTGTTCAAAATTATTTGAGTGCACCCCCTTAGATCAAATTCTGGCTACGCCACTGGGGATAAGGTCTTATCAACTACTCTATTTTATAAATTTCTTGCCGAGTTTACATGTAATTTGAATCGTGGTTTTTTAAAAGGGGGTTATGGTCTCATAGACTCCTCTATTTTCAAAATTTCTTACCAATTTTACATATAATATTACCTCTATTAAAATTACATGTAATTTGAACCATGGTAATTTAAAGAGGGGAAAAGTCTTATTAACTATCTAATTTTCTAAATCAATTTCACATATAATTTTACCTATATCTTAATATTAATGACAGCTATAACACTCCAAACTTCATCATATCTCCGCCACAAATTATTCCGTTTAATTTTGGGTACTCCCAATAAAAGTGAATCAACGAGGTAGACTTTTTATTTTTGGTAGAAAATCCCTTCGTATTTATAAATTGTGATAGACATACATTCATTAATGTAAACAATTTACACGACTACCAAACGGGGTTTTGAATCAAATATCCATTCATGGGGTTTTAGTTAGCATGCTTGAAGGCATGGAAAAGGAGAAAACAATGACAAAAGTACATGTGACTATACAAATACACGTGCATTAGTGTCGGGAGGGAGAGTACGTGAGTGGCTGCGCATGCAAAATGCTAATTGGTCACCTTTTGGATAAGAAGATCGAAATACACAACAATTACTGGTTCGCTCGTTCGCTGGGAACCCACCACAAGAGCAGCAGTGGCCAGTGGAAAGCTAATTTGGATATTTTGTTTTGGGTTTCATTTGTTGTGCTAACGTATGGCATTACGGATATACGTCTATTCCTTCACCTAACCCCGAGCCCCATTTTCTCTCCGCTTACTTTTCTGCCCTTAATTGTGGGTTGGGATGACAATTTTGTCCATACCCATGGATATTTTACTATCCAACCCAATTGGGTTGGGTATGAATTCCAAATAAATGGTAGATGGGTAGAGTTTGATGGATTTGTACACATACCCATATACTTGGGTTGGGTTGGGTTTTTAACACATGGATTTGGGTTTGTACCCATGCCCAAAGGCAAATTACAGTTTGGTACCTAAACTTAATAGATATGCAGATTTAGTACCTAATTTTAATTTTTTTTTGCATATAAGTCCTCAAAATATCGATGGAAAATTACGTTTTGGTACCTAAATTTTTTTGGTCTTACATTTTGGTACCTAAACTTTTCAAGTTTTACAAATAGGTCCAATTTTTGTGTGTGTAGTTAAAACACCCTCAAGTAAATGGATATCCATATCCAACCCATACCCATTTGCATTATGAAAGCAATATCCATACCTAACCCAAACCCATCTACAAACCCCCAAACCCATATACACTTCATCCAAACCCTACCCATACTAAATGGATTTATTTGGATTTGGATAAAATTACCCATGGGTGGGTAATTGCCATCCCTAATTGTGGGTTGTTTGGGTTAAGAAATTTGGTTACGGATAGGATAAAGTAATCTTATGGTGCATGACCTTACTATATAAGACCTTAGCCCTTAATTATAAGTGGGTCTCAGGATCTAAGGGTTGATAGTTACCTTCTATTACGAAAGAGGGAAAATAGATCGTGCGGGAAAATTAGGGGGAAAATAGAGGGATTCAGAACTTTTGTCCTATTAATAAGTTTTGAGACAGTACAGATAGCAGGACCAGTTCATAATATTTGGAGGCCTTGTTCGAAAATTTAAAATATGATTCTAAAATTTTTTTCATGCAAATTTATTAAATAATAATAAGTTCATAAAATGATTAAGGGCTATTTTCCATGACTATTGGCTCCCTAGGCTGAATTTTGACATAATTAATTAGAACAAATATAGCCCATTAAAAGATCAACTAATTCATTCAATTTTTTTAACTTAGTCCATTAAAGACCAACTAATCCGTTCAATTTCTTTAACTTGGACCCATTAAAAAACTAACTAATCCATTCAATTTCTTTTAAAACTTTGGCTCATACATCCTTCAATGACCCATATAAACGAATTAATAAGTCATTTCTTTTAATTTGGCCCATACATCCTTCCCTAGCCATATAAACAAATGTGAGGCCCTATGTTATGAGGCTGACCAACACATGGTCTGGGTCGGGAAATTTGGACCCCCCCCCCCCCCATTAGAGGTGAGCAACAGGACGGGATTGGGTACTCGTTGTGTTTGAAACGGCCAACGAGTACTCGGTTTCATTTGGAGAGAAAATTTATCTCATGTCTTAATCCCGTACGGGTTAACGGGTACCCATTATCCGTACAGAACGGATAACGTCTACCCCGAATAACCCATATAATACCCAAAATTACAAAAACATAATTGGTTTCCAAAAATCTAGACATACTAAATTGACCAAATTAACATAAATTGACCGAATAACCAATATAACAATACCAACCATAATCATTTTTTAGGTTTATGTACGTAGGAGAGCAGGTGCTAGCTTAGGTTACTTTTAATAATGGAATGGCTCACTTTATCAACCTAAAATATACCTAGCTTAATTATAATTAGATTTAAACAATTATAGAATAATTGTTGTAATCGCTTGAGGCAATTTGGGAATTGCAGGGTAAATTTAGATACAGGTGTGACCGCTTTAAGAATTATGCTTTTACTAATGAATATTACGAGTATCCATACTACCCAAATGAGTATTAACGGATAACTCGTGTGTACTGTCACGGGAAAATTCTAGAATGTTCTAGAAGGATGTAGGTGTGTGCATGTATCTCTAGATTCATGCACTCATGCACATGCATCCTCCCTATTTATTATGATTCATGTATGAGTGAACATACATTCACCTTATAAATTATCATTCATGTAATGGGGCTAGTTCATGTATGGGGGGACTTCTAGGTTCGTTCATTTATGACGGCCTACATACATTGTACCTTATGGAGAGGATGCCTATATAAGCAGTCCTCTCCCTCATTTTTCATTCATCCAGAAATTGAGAGTTTCCATCTCTAGAGCTTTTCTCCATACTTGTGAGTTTGAGTGAATACGAGCAAGGCTGACTTAGCGCTCTAACAAGACTTGAGTGCTAAGTGCCGCACGGCCAAGAGTTGGTCCGTGACAAGTGGTATCAGAGGCTGGTTCGTAGCTCATCAAGTGAGGAAGAACTTCTATGAGATGGCTTCTGGATCCGTTCGTAGTGACGAGCGTATGAGCAAGGCCAAGAGGGACACACCTCTATTTGATGACCTTGTGGAAAGATGGGCCGAGTCATTGAAGGAGACACTGGTGGCCAAGTTTGAGAGCATGCAAAAGGAGGTTGCGAAGCTCAAGGGAGAGGTGATTCTCCCAACGAGGGATACAGAAGAGTTTGGTGCGTCCGTAGCACAACCTAGCATGTTTGATGCGTTTAAGGCCGATGCTTTTCAGCCTAAGGAGCAAGAGGCATCCGAAAGTGATGTTGCGTCAGAAGAGTTTGGTGCGTCTGACAACAACCGTGTTGGGAGCTACAAAATACACTCCCTTATGGATGAGAGCACATGTGGTTACGGAGGTAAGAGAAGATGCTTAGTTACTTCGCCTTGCTTCTTTTGCGATGGGCATCATCGTGTGCGTGATTGCCCGAAGCG